AACCATCTAGCCTCGTAAGCCCTTAGCCCAAGTTGTTTACTCATTTGCTCATTCATTCTCAGTTGATTTTGTATCTCCACCTCTTTTCGCCTCTCTTTTCCCTTCCCCTGGCTCAATCCCCCTCTTGGCCCATCTCAAATTTTCATTAGATTGAACATCGTAAGCATCTTACATCGCAATATTAATATAAAATAACAAAAAAAGGGCATGGGGCACTCAGGGATGCTGTAATATTGCCCTATTGTTTTTTTTTTTTTTTTTTTTTTTTGTAGGACCACGACATACAAATTAAATATATACATATAATGATATAAATATATATACTCTGTAGTAGTTTTTTGGAGATAGCTTTACAAATATATTATACGATTTACCCCCCAAATGACATTTTAAAAAAAAAAAAAAAAAAAAAAGTTCGAAACTGCACCAAGTGAAGTTAATATAAATGATTATAGTACTCATTCTTTCTCCTTGTAAAGCCTTGTCTAAAGTGATGACACTTGAAAAGTAAGGGATCAGGTTGTAAGAGCGTCTAACGAGCGGAGAGAACTCAAATCAATCTTCTAAACAAGAGCCATATTTGAAATGCAATATATGCTGGTAGTGGATCGACGTCTTTAAAAAAAAATAAAACAAAATAAAAATAAAAAAGGGCCCGTGGAGAAGCAGGGTTGATTTCTATTTATCTGTAATCAGAAAGCTGACTGCTCGTAGCCTGTCATCTTTGTCACGCATCGGCGATTGAGAACCTTTCCGGCAACTCTGTACCTTTTGAATTAGCTACTTTTCCCTTTATTACTGTCCATCTTAATTCTCTATTATTTTCTTTCTTTTTTTTTTCTTTTGGAGTAAAGAATAATAGGACACATGGTCCTTGTCTCCTTTGTGTGGACTTATTTGATCGAGAGTCAGACAATAAAATATAAACAAAAGCACCTTATCCAGTTCTCTTGAACAAACCTTGCAATGCACTTTGCTCACACGACATTTTTTGGTATATCGATGTCATTCTATTCAAACAATTTATTTTTTAAAACACGACTTCATACAACGCGATAGGGTCTCAGGGAGGAAAAAAAAAAAAATAAAAAAAAATAAAAAGAGCATTGGATAGGACGAGACAGAAAGAAGGACACGCGAATGAAATAGGAAAAAAAAAACCTATTTTTACGCTATTGTCCCCAGATTGGATGCTTGAGCTAAAAAAAATCCATCTTCTCTCTGCTCTCATTTTGCTCTCAATCCTTTGTCTTTTTTTTTTATTTATTTACAGTTTATATTCCAGTGCGCTTCTAATCAACTCTCTTTTTTTTTCCTCACTCCTATTAGAAAGCAAACAAAAAAAAAAGTCTGTGTAAAGAGGCTTGTTGTTGATCAGACCAACAAACGAATCTTGAGAGCACGAGAATGAGCAATATAAGCGAGAAAGCGACTTGGATATGATACTCTCTTTTTTCTCTAAAAGCATACAGATCGCCTTTTTTTTATATTTATTTAACGATTGTTGTTTGTATGCTAAGGCGATGTTGCGCTAAACTAGCATGAATTACAAATATGTTTTTTATTTTTGAGCCATTAACTCACCTCTTTCTTTAAACATCGTTCATTGCAATAAGGCTTGTACTCGGGTCGGTTATCCTTAACAATTACATCAACATAAAGGCAACTCGAGAGAGCAGGAATGAAGGAGAGAGAAAAACGGAGAAAGGGAGAAACACATGTAACCGAAACAAAGATATTCAGGTACACGGGTATACTTTAATATATTACGTCTCACTCTACGCTCGCTTTCTATCCTCTCATCTCCTGTTGTATTGAAATCAAAAAATCTGCGCTCCTTGTCATTATCATGATTTATGTGTCTACGTGAGAGAGAAGTTTTTTTTTTTTTTTTTTTTTTTTTTCCCTAGAAAAAGAAAATAGAAAAGGACTAGTGCAAAAGCTCTCTCTCCCTCTGTCAAAAGAAGGGCGATCAATCATGGCAACCCAGGCTTCAAAATGTCATGGTGCATTCTTGCTCTCTTTGTTTTTCTTTTCTTTTTTTTTATACGACTGCATCAAGTCAAAATTTTACATGGTAGTGCTCATCTCCGGATCTTCGCAACCGTGCGGTGGTCGATGGTTTCCTAGAGTAAAAAGAAGAGTCTTTGTCTTAAAAGTTATTTATAAACATTCCTACAATGGTTTAATAATTATCCGTTACAAGGGAAAATATAACAACCTTAAATGCTGGCCGTGAGTTGCCTTGTCTAGGAATAGAGACGCTTAGAAGCTTTCTTTCCCCGTTATAATTTTTTTTTTTAAATAAAAAATAGGACGCACACAGAGTCTAGCGTAATTCTATCAACATGTTAAAAAAAAAAAAAGGTTTTTTTTTGCGGTGACTGAAGGACGCGATTGTTGGCGAGACTTGACTCCACATTATTTGACTGTCTTCTTCGTAGTTTTACTAAACCAAATGGCTCCAATCACGCGTCGATATCATCGATAGTAATAGATTCCAAGGCTGTCCAATAGCACTGCTCCATCAAAAGGTCAAAAAAATTCTGCGTGACTGGCCATTATGGCGCGAGAAAAATCACCATCCTGTCTAACACAAAGTTCAGGGACTATTTTCTAACTGTCACTTTTTTTTTTCCTTCTTTTCTACTTCATTCCTCATTCATCTCCATCATGTTCGGGACAGGACTCTCATCTGTGGCGAAGCGCAGCTTTACGACTTTTAAACCTGTTATCTCAGCAGCCAAGGTACAATTTTTACACCACAGAGAAAAAGAAAAAATCTTGACAATTCAACTTGTTTCCAATAGAGGCAGTTCAAGGAAAACAATGTGTACATTTTTAAGCTCTAAGTCAATGATCTATTCTTTTTCTGTTTCCATAATTATTGGATTAATAAAAAAAAAAAAAAATTAGCCTGTTGATGGGTTTGTCGGTGCTTTGGGAAACACTCCTCTAGTAAGTGGTCGCATTCTTTCCACCTCGTTTTTATCTTTTTTTTTTTTTTTTTTTTTTTTTTTTTTTCCTTCGCCTTATATTAATTTCTTCCTTTACTTTCAAACGTATATTTGCTTGATTAGATCCGTCTCAGTAAATTAAGCGAGGAGACCGGAAGCAACATCTATGCTAAAGCTGAGTTCATGAACCCTGGTGGATCTGTCAAGGATCGTGCTGCTCTTTATGTCGTCAAGGATGCTGAGGAGAAAGGTAAAATTGACTTTAATAAAATAAATGATAGTAACAATAAAACGATTTTGCTCTGGAGCTACTTTTTTGTACTGACTTTTTTTTTTATTTTACTTTATTTTATTTTATTCTCCTTATAATGCTTGTAGGCCTTATCAAACCCGGCGGTACCGTTGTTGAGGGAACTGCTGGTAACACTGGAATTGGTCTTGCGCATGTCTGTAGAGCTAAGGGCTACAAGTGTGTGATCTACATGCCCAACACCCAGAGTCAGGAGAAGATCGATCTTTTGCGTATGCTCGGTAAGTATCGGAAATGAAAACCGTTTAAAACAAACCCTTAATCGTCAAATTACGAGTCTAGTCTGTACTTCCAATCATTTCAACTGCGCGTCATGATCGCCTCTCCCAACTTTATCTTCCGTTTTTTTTTTTTTTTTTTACTCTTCCTCACCTTTGATTTCTTCTGTGACCTCTTTTTTTTTTTTTTTTTTTTTTTTTTTTTTTTTTTTTTTTTTTACTTATTTACCTTTTTCATTTTGTCTTAGGTGCTGAGGTCTATCCTGTTCCAGCTGTGGCCTTCGATAATCCTCAGAATTATAACCATCAGGCTGCTCGACATGCTCAATCAATCGAGAACGCTGTCTGGACCAATCAATTCGACAACACAGCTAACCGTCAAGCTCATATCGAGACCACAGGCCCTGAAATCTGGAAGCAATTGGATGGTCAGGTTGATGGTTTTACCTGCTCTACTGGTACTGGTGGCACTTTGGCTGGTATCGCTCGTTTCTTGAAGGAGAGGAGCAACGGAAAGGCCAAGATCTTCTTGGCAGATCCTCCAGGTTCTGTCCTTTACAGTTATTTCAAGAGTGGTGGACAGTTAGTAGAGCGTAGCGGAAGCTCTATCACTGAAGGTAAGAAGCTTTTTTAAAAAAAAAAAAAAAAAAAAAAAAAAATGGAAAAAACTTTTTTTTTTCCTCCTTCCTGTTCTTCCGGCGAATTTCCAAAAGTATTCCCATACTTAAATAATACATTGTGACCTTTTTTTTTTTTTTTTTTTGTTGCTTATTAGGTATTGGTCAGGGACGTGTCACTGACAACTTGAAGCCCGATATTGAGTTGATCGATGATGCACTTCAGATTCCAGATGAAAAGTCAATTGAGATGGTTTATCGCCTGTTGGATGAGGAAGGTATTTATGTGGGAGCATCATCTGCATTGAATGTAGTTGCAGCAGTAGAGATGGCCAAGAAGTTGGGACCTGGCAAGAACATTGTTACGATCTTGTGTGATGGTGCTTATCGTTACCAATCCCGCCTCTTCTCCAAGAAGTGGCTCGAATCCAAAGGCCTCACAAACGCTATCCCTGAGCACTTGAAGAAGTATGCTACCTTAGAGTAACCGAAGAAAAAAGAGGAAAAAAAAAAAAAAAAAAAAAAAAAAAAAAAAAGCATGCCAATTTCATTTAGAGTTTTATCATTAAAAGTAACTGAGTCTAATTATAAATAAAAATAAAAAATAAAAAATAAAAAATAAAAAATAAAAAATAAAAAATAAAAATAAAAATAAAAAAAGCGTTTATCGATCTTTATTTATTTTATATTTCATTTTTGTCTATCCTAATTGCGTAAATGTGTATCATGGTGTCAAGGTATGGGTAAGGATAAGAGTAAGTGGAGGAAATGAGAGGGATCAAGGGCAGGGAAAAGAGTGAGTTAAAGGGAATTTTTTTTTTTTTTTTTTTTTAATTTGATCCAAAGAGTCCCCAGTTTTTGACTTGGAAAGATCCGAGCAAGGTACGGAACCAAAGCTCTGCCTCTTGAATGTCACCTGCATGAGCCACTTCTCTAGAAGAACTAATCTCCGAAATTTGAAGGGGGACATTGTATGAGATCACGATATCGGTTTGCTGAAGGGGCAAACGGATGACGACCATCATGATCTGGACTAAATTGCGTGCATCTCCTCCAATGGCTCGAGTTTGACGTTCGTTATACTTTGCAATACGCTGCTGACCAAGTAGAAGATAAAGCTTTGCCTCAATACTATTAAGAAGGGAAAAAGAAGGAAGGTAGAAAGAAAGGAAGGAAAGTTGAGGAGGGGATGTTGGGAAACGTTTGAAAAAAAACCCAGCAGGCTCTAGAATTATAAAAGAGAAAAACTTACGGCCATTGAGGAAGTTCTGAATTACTGAGAACAGACACACTTTGAACAACAGAAGAATCTTCAGCATCATTGTCTTCAGCCAATTGCTGATAATGGTATCTAATAGGCCATATATTGATACAAAGATGCATATATATACACACACATTCATACAAAAAAAAAAAAAAAAAAAAAAAAAAAACAAAAGAGTTACTTTCCCATCAACCATCAATCCTGAAGTAATTTTGTCCGCAAAGTACTTTGCATTTTTTTGTGTTAGTAATGATTAAAAGAAGGAAAAAAAAAAAAAAAAGAAAAAACTTACGCAGCACAAGCGTCATCTGCTGTATCAACCATTTCCAAAATCTCAACAATAACACTTTGATCTTCGTCTGCGTTCACGAACACCTCTTGATGATCTGGAACTTCACGAAATTGGCTAATTAATCAATTTTTTTTTTTATTTCATTATGCTTAGAACTCTTTATTATCATAGCAATAAGCTAAATAAAATAAAATAAAATAGTAAAAGTAAAGATAAAAAGAAGAAATTCTAACCTGATATCATCAAACTTTGGAGGAAGATTCAAAGTAATGGCACCGCCAAATAATTCTCGTTCAACAGTGGCCATGAGAAGAGGAAATGAAAAATAAAAAAAATAAATAAAAATAAGGTCTGGAAGGGAATTGAAAATAGAAATAAGAATAGAAAATAAGATGACTAGGAGTTGTGTGAAAGGAAGAAGGTTATGAAGGTGAATGTAAAAAAAAAAAAAAAAAAAAAAAAAGAATGTTTTTAAATAAGCAGAATTCCTGTAAATTATAGCAGTCACTTACCGCTGCATTTAAAAAAAATTGACTTTGTCCTGCCGCTGCAGATATGAGGTGGCGATGCAAGGAGGCGCAATGGCGCATTTATTATTACATTATCAGAAGAAAAAAAAAAAAAAAAAAAGAAAAGAAAAAAAAAAGAAAAAATAATAAAGAAAAAAAATTACATTATAATACAAAGCGTTATTGTCATGCACGACCCTTGAGGGTACAGCGCCGACAATACCATGTCTTGATTATATCATCCTCGCGTACGCCCACGCACCGCCCATGGAACCAGACCTGACACGAGTCACATGCAATCATGAATGAGCCGTCATCCAGTGTTGGATTGGAACAAATACAATCAATCACTTCCTGGCTATCATCCTCTATGGCTGCTTGGTAAGGAGCTGAGTAATCACGAGAAGCCCCATGTAATGACCCGTGTAGCCCATTGGATGATGATGAAGTCGAGTTATGGTGATGGTGACTCTTGTGGTGTTTATGGTGTTTATGGCGACTACTACTTCCATCTTCATCATCACTGTCACGTCGATCACGGTCACGATCACGACCGCGATCCCGATCCCTATCTTTGGATTTGCTCTTCTTTTTCTTCTTCTTTTCTCGATACCGTGCTTCATCATCATCATCATCATCTCCAAAATCATACTCTCGTGATGACTTTTTGGATTTCTTATGATGCGACGATGATCCTGACAAGGATGTGATAGAAGACGACCTATGGTGATGGCGGCCCGATGAAGGATGTTGCCCATGCTCTCGCTTAATAGAAGATGGAGAAGTCTCTTGATCTCCTGTAGAAGACATTGAAAATTTGAACCGAATCTTAGGTGCTGCTGGGACAGAGGGGGTTGTAGGGGTGGCTGTAGAAGGCGTTAGCTCCTTTGCACTGTTAGCGCTAGGCTGCATTGAAAGTGGCAGCTCTGATAGAGAAATTGGTTTCGGAATTGGCTTTGGTGTCGTCCGCACCACTGAAGGCTGCTGCTGCTTATAATGCTGTTGTTGTTTCTGCTGCTGCTGCTGTTGTTGCTGTTGTTGCTGTTGTTGCTGTTGTTGCTGTTGTTGCTGTTGTACTGAATTAGATGGAGTTATCGGAGCTGGCGTCACGCCTGCAGACGAGACTAAAGCAACAGAGGGCGCTATCCTGCCGGTGCTGCTCTCAATTTTAATTGGTACGAGTGGGGTTACCGTAGACGTAGGTACCGGTGTTGAAGCCAGCGGTATCGTCGTATGAACACCATTCACATCAGAGAGAGGATTGACAACCGTTGGCGTAGAACTTGAGCCATGTGCAGCAAGTAAAGCTGCTGGATCAAAATTGGATCCTATCCTGGACAGTATGCTGGGGTTGATAGGCGTAGCACTTGGACCATTCGTCGAGATTGTTGAAGTTGATGTTCCCAAAGGTGCTGTTTGTGAAACTATAGCCGCCGATGCAGATGTTGGAATCTGAGCTATTGGATCTGTGGCTGTAACGCTCGACTTCCGTGACCCTGGTTTCTGTTTGCTTCCAACCCCAATTGTGCCAGAAGAGACCCCGATGGTATTTGGGACAGCCGCAATATTATTTTGAGGAGGATAAATGACAGTTGAAAGTGAGGAATTTGAGAATGAGCTCTTCCTAGACCCAGTCGCCACATGTGTTCCTATAGTGCCTACAGACGACACCTCTCCTGTCGAGTGGAAATTCGTGTAAGACGCTCCGTTTACATTCTTATCAGTAGGCACCATTGGTGACATGGCATCCTGCACAGACACTCCTGAATTCGCGAATTTGTTCATAATGGGAGGAGGTGCTGATTGCTGCAAAAGAGACTCAATCATTCCAGAATCTGGGGAATTAGAAAACAAAGTTACTGATGTTTCCCCTGGTCGGGCAATTGCAAGAGCTAGCCGGGATTGGCTCTTAAGACGCCTTGGATAGGCCAAAGAGTTTTGTGAGCTGTCCATGAGGCCCATAAGTGTATCCGAGAACAATTGCTGTGCCTTTGGAGACAATCCAATTCTTGGTTTTGTGGTTCTAGTCCTTGGTGTAGTTGCTTTCAAAGGTAATGCACCGTACAAGGGCGATAATGGGAGTCTGGACTCCATAAATGGCACGATATGTTTATAAGGATTGAAATCTTTTTGTTTGGCGGTTTTGGTTGGTTGCGCTAAATTAGTGACCGCAGTGTCCGCTGAACTTTGAGATGTGCTAATCGAGAGCTTCATCAAGTCTGGCTGAGCTGCATCTTCTTCTGCTTTGAGAGACCTGCTAGTCTTTGTGTCCAGTCCAGATGCTGGTATCTCATTCAATGTAGAAGCGCTATCAAGACTGCTAGCAGCCTGACTATTTCTGATCTCAGTTTCATCATTAACTTCTTCGTCCAATTCTTCCACAGGTAAATTACATCCTGGAAATGGTGGCATGAAATCTGGTATATGTGATGGTTTTGACTCTGGAATCCATTTAGGGCCTTTGACATGTCTTTCCAAAGTAAGTTCCTTAACCGTAGCTGCATCTTCATCGCTAGAAGCTTCTGGATACGCATATTCATCCTGCTCTTCTTCCGTCTCTGGTAGGACAAAGCCTTCTGGTAGGACATGCCATTCGTATACATTTCTGTTAGAAGTTTCTCTTTCTCGTCCATTCCAAAGGAGATCTATCGCATCCACATATACAAATGACGTTATAATGAATGTTTAGGACTCTTATCGTTACTGCGATACTAGAGTTGAAGCCTACATGAAGTCCTAGGACAAAGCAGAATACAATACCATTGATGACACGACCGGGATCGGCACCTTTCCAGGATGGCAACACAGGTCGATTAAACACGTTAGGTCCTGGCCCTGTGGTCGTTCCTGACGTATTGCTGACACCATTAGCGTTAACTCCGCCTGATGCCTGGCCTGTATCTTCTGATTCCGTAGTTATAGCTGCAGATGATGAGAATGGTGCCACAATGTTCTCTCCGCCATTTTCTTTGAGCCATTCCTTCAAATCTGATAACTCGATACCAAGGTCCGATAAGCCAAATGCAACATCAAATGCCGTGATCTGAGATCTTCCAGAGAGCTCTGCAAACTCCTTGGCAGACTCTGCTAGGTAGGATAGGTATTTTCCTAGACAATCCACCAGAACGGACATTGAGTTTGCTTGAACAGCATCGTATCCTGCTGCCTGTAAGATGTGAAGTGTTGAGATGCGGAGCACTGATTGACAAAAATTGGCCAGCGTGGATGGATCGCGTTCATGCTGATGGTTGGTAAATACGATCAAGTCGCTCTGTGGGTTGCGTTGTTGATGACGGTTTCCATTTACAAGCACGCGATCCTTGCGAAAAGGAGTGGGTGATTTGCGAAGAGAATAAGATCGTTTGATAGCGTTGGATGTAGCGGGCACTGATCCACTGCGCTCCCCTGCCTCTTTCATTGTAGTAATAGATTGATAATTTTGATGAAAATGAGAATCAAAGAGTGGAGATGTTGAGGCGACGGTGGACACAGGTGTCAATAGAGACGCGTGCGCCTAACCCTGGAATGCGTGGATGTTTAAAGAAGTGGGTTGATCGTTTGTCGATAAAGAGTAGTTTCGTGCTTCACTTCCGCTGCGCCTTTGACTAGGTCAAAGTGGCGAGGATATAAGGGAAAAATGAAAATAAAGGGGAAAAAGGAAGAATGCAGATGGAAGATTATATTGGCAGACAATCAATACAATATAAAAAAAAAAAGAGAAGGGAGAAAAACAGAATAAACAAATAGCTTTAGGAAATTAAGACGACACTTTTTTTTTTCATTAATAATGCTCTCTGCGATGCTGCAGCATCAAGAACAAGAAAGTGAAATAGAGAAATTGGACAACGGGCAGTTCTGCTTCTTGTCCAATGGTTGCTTGTGATTAACTCTCCTTGAAGCTTGGGTTTAGGTAAACATGTGACTTGCATGTTTGCTATCAACAGGAGATGGTCACATGATAAGAACGAATATTACGCACAGAAAAAGGAAAGATTTCGGACCTTCTTCACCATTCGCGGAAAACACCACTAGCAAACCGGACACCATGGCTGGAACAGAGGACAGGAACAGCGAGTCTAAATGTCCCGTGGACCATTCAACATTCAAACATTTTCTACCCAGAGATGCTACTCCCCAGTCTACACTCCCAGAGGGTCACCCAGCAGTGTCTACGACAAGTCCGAACGGCGAGCCTGCAAAGTGTCCTGTCTCACCAGAAGCCCATAAACATTTTATGCCTCGATCTGCACAGTCCTCTTCAGGATCGTCACCAATATCATCGGCATCAAACTCAATACCCAAAGACACTGCAACGACAACGCCTATGCTTATGATCGATCCAAAGAACAATATGCCTTCAAAACCAGATCAGTTTCGAGCAGCATCTCAACGTGTAGATCTCAACACTGAACGTGAATACAGCTCTATCCCTAAAGCCGCTACCTCTCCAGACCCCTATGGCGATAATAAGAACAAAGACGCTGGAGCACATAGTGCAGATCCCGATAATGACAAAGAAAACGTGTGGATCTATCCTTCGGAACAAATGTTTTTCAATGCGATGAAGCGCAAAAACTGGAGTCCACGTGAAGAAGATATGAAGTTTGTAGTCCCAATCCACAACATGGTCAATGAGATGGCTTGGAAACATATCTTACGCTGGGAGAAACTCATGGAAAAGTAAGAGACCGTAGAGCAATTTAAAAAAAAAAAAAAAAAAAAAAAGCTGGGGGCAAGGAATATTGATTAACCAATTGATCTTTTTTTTTTTTTTTTTTTTTTTTTGGTGGTTTATTAGCAAATGTGGTGGTCCCAAGTTGGTCAAGTTTGAAGGCAAACCAAAGGAGATCACCCCAAAAGCACGAATTCGTTCATGGATGGGGTAAAGTCTACGTGAATTTGGTTCTAGTTTTTAGATCTGGTGCGATTCTACAATACTGATAGCTTTTTTTTTTCTTTTTTTAAAAAAAAAAAAAAAAAAAATAGATATACACTTCCTTTTGATCGACATGATTGGGTTGTCGATCGCTGTGGTAAACAAGTCACCTACATTATCGACTTTTACTCTGGCCAGCCCGATCCCCGCTACCCTGAAGCGCCTAGTTTTTACCTTGATGTCCGTCCAAAACTGACGCTGGATGGAGCATGGCAACGATTCAAAAAGTTTATGTTTGATTGAATAGAAAAAGAGAAAAAAGTAAATAGTAATAATAAAAATAGCTGTATAACAAAGCTACTTTGCTTCCACATGCCAATGCCATCTGTCAACGAGTAGTAGTTTGGAACCCTTTCTTGCTTCATTTCGCATCTAAAGGGAAATGACCATACTTCACTAGCGTGCTTATCATGATAACCATAAAGGAACCGAGGCTTTCACACTACTACTTTATTATTCGGTAGAAAGCCGTCGGTGTTTTGAATACACGATTAAAAGGCATTGTTGCTCCTTCAAGAGATCCTTTAATAGCACGGTTGGAAGGTGCCGATTGCCTTTGGAACAACCAAAAAAAAAAAAAAAAAAAAAAAAAAAAAGAGGGAGAGAATAAAGTGAAGGATAAATGGACCAAATGTTCTGGTGAATCAATTCCTCTTTCCTTTGTCTTTCTTCTTTCTTCAATCTAGGTGTTTTTATCATTATTGTCATCTTATGTTGACACCTCCTTTATTCTTCCATACTCAAACTCAGCGATATTTCTCCGCTTTATAATGGCAGTAAGACAGTGCTCCGCGAAGCTCGACCTTAATGCTCTTTACACGCCTTTCTGTAACCTGGTTTCAGGCAAACAATGTCTAGGCATCAATATCCAAGGATACGTGGTAAATGCCGTCCAATTACAGAGTAGCGGAGGACAGTCCGTCTTGCTGGAGGATTGTCACTCTATTGTCTATCGAATAGTCTATTTTGATTACCCGACCACATTGAGCTTCTTGCCAGGAGACTTTCTCACTCTCCAAAATATTAACGTAAGATAAAATAAAAAAAAAATGTGTATTATTATTTTCACTTTTTTATGCAAAGTTGTTCTTTACTGGTGCCATTTTTCTTAATTTCTTTTTTATTTCCTTCTCTTTCCTTTTACGTAATGATAATCAAAAGTATGTCCAAAGGGGTAGTTCTTGGGAACTAGTTGCTTTATCAGACTGTATGTATTGCAACATGGGATACTATGTACCATATCCTCCAAGGACAGATCGTTCTTCTGGCGCTAACAAGCGTAGCAAACAGATGTAAACGAACAAAGCGAATGAAAAAAAAAAAAAAAAAAAAAAAAAGTAGAGATAAAAATTAAAAAAGATTAGTAGAATCGTTGGCATGTGGGATCGAGAGACGCGTCTCGTTTAGTTATTCCTGAAAATAATTTTTTTCGTGATTATTTTAACACTAGCTCCGATGAATAGCCAATCAGAAATTAATATTTGGACTCTATTCAATGACATTTCGCCATCCGTAGTGTTGAACCTCAACCGCTTGGAATTCACACAACTCGTCGCAAGATGTTTGTATGACTAAACGGTACTCAGAAGGCAGATGACTTCTTCTTACTTGCTTATTCTACCTATTCATCTATTCATTCATATCTTCTCGACTCTCTCATTCTTTCCTATTTTTTTCTGCTCCACCACTGCTCTTCCACTAGCTTTTTAATTTGAAAAGGAGATTAAAACATAAAAAGGAGCAACAGAAAACTACTAAAGATATTGTTGTCATTGTGATACCATTCCGCTCAAATAAACTGTGGGATTATATTTATTTCAAATATGATATCCATTAGTTCGCAAAAATTTATAAACGATGCCGCAGAAAAAAGCATAGACTGTATAAACTGTGTCCGTGTAAAAGTAAAAATTAACCTTATCGTTGTAAACAGATCCATTGATAACCTTACTGTATCATTTGAGGGAAAGAAGGAGAAGGAGCATAGCTATCACGTCTTGTCGTTGTAAGGAGGATGAATAGGCAGAGAAGCACTTTACTACTGTGGAACAGACAGTGTGGACGCATAAGAAAAAAAATTCCCCTTACTAAGAAGCAATCGGAGGCTGCGGGGAGGAGAGAAAGAGGGATCTCCTCATGTCCCCCGTACTTTTCATTCATTATTTAGTACTTTCTCCGTTACTCTATTGTAAGTGGTAGTTACGTCTAGTATGTTTAGGGGAAACCCAATTGTAAAAACTGAGCAGGGTAAATAACGGCAAGTCAGAGCGAACTAAATCTTGTTTCTTGTTGGACCATCAATAATCAACAAAGAGTGTTTGATTTAGTCACCCTGCATCTTTGCATGAACATTAAACCATTAATGAATAGTGACCTTTAGTAACCACCTGCTACTGTTGGCCAGTAGCAATAATCCTCACCGGTAGATTTTGCAGTGGTGGTAAAAAAAAAATCGGCGTGGCGCACCGTCACCCAGAAAACTTACATTGTTAGTGATTTCTGATCTGACGTACCGGCATATCAGGATTTTTTTATATTAAGTATATCATACTTCTACTGGTAGGCTAGCGGCGCGTCGTGCCAGCCAAGTCCGCCGGTGAGAGTCACTGGTCATAAAGAGCTGCTTTGCTGCATAGTACCAAGAAAAGCACTACAATGGCAAAAGCATCAGACGCATTTACCTGGCTAATCTCCAGGAGAGATCTGTCTGATACACAGCCTTTTCCCTGATGTTGTAAACGCGACTGGAAGGCGCCATGCTCTTTAATGCTACGGCTTTTAAGGGATACAATTGATCCTTAGCATTCATAGTAGGCGCAACTTATAAGCGATATTATCCTATATGTATTTATTGACACGACTGAAGCCATGGCCGTTTAATATCCAGGAAATATTTTGTATATAAACCGGCGTAATTTAATGCCTTACTTCTCTTCAGCTGTTCAGCGTCTAGATTCTCCTTCCAATTCCCCATTATCTAAGTTTAACACCTATTCAGGCTCCTCATTAAAGCTTTTCATTCGAGTTTCCCATTAGTATTTGCTTCCCTCACTAAATAATGGAGGACGAACAAGACCTTGCTCTCGGGCAGCCCTTAACAAGGTTTTCTGAGCTCCAACCTGGCGAGCCGCGCAATGGGATCAATATCCGGGGATATGTAAAGGCCAAGTTTCCAGTACAGGCGGATGGAGCAGTCATCATCTGGATCCGAGAAGTCCGTTCCTACGAGATGCGATCTGTGTATTTCAGGAAAGAGCCTGACTTGGAAATTGGAGACCTTCTCGTTCTCTGGAACGCCGACTACCGCTACAATGGCGAAGGATGGGATATAGTCGCTACGTCAACCAGCCTATATGATTACCACAGGTTTCCGATTGTAAACTAAAGCGGGTGCTTGGATTAACAGCCGTAGTAAATCCAGGAATACAGTTTACATCATCCAGGCCAATAAAAAATAAAAAAAACAAAAAAAAAAGCAAATGAACCTGCTTTTCCCAGACGGTTCTAGAAGTAATACATATAGAGGCACGTAAAGCTTAAAACATGCTTATTCTTAGACTCAAATATGGTATTTATTTTCAATTTTCGATACACGTTTCTGGAACTTCAAAAGCCAGTTATACTGTAAAATGGTGATACACGAGCATTTAAAAATATTAATATTTGCATAGATGCCTTCTTACTTTAAAAAGAGCCGACTATATGTCCCATCTTTAGGGTCTACAGCGGCATATTTACTATCAAGTACACACCAAGCAGGTGGATGGTAGTTCCTACTTTGTAAAAGTGGATAAAAGTCTTTAACAGTCCATTTACGTAGATTCTCCCGCTTTTATTTTTCCGCTGGCCTACGTGTGTCATTAAAATGGTTAACGTGCACTATGAAAGCCTCAGTCGACCCCCCAAACCCCTGCTCCCCAGGATATTTAAGCCATAGTTTCATATTAATAGTAATAGTAATGGTAGTAGTAATAAAAAAGAACTCTCTTGGATTTCGATCCACAAGCCCAAGCTGGCCATGAATATCGATATATTTGTATATGTCCCCGACAGTTGATGAGCTGGAGTCCACAGCCAGAAACAAGCATACCAACGATATTAAACAAATGTGGCTTCTCGTAGATAATCAAGATTACTTGCCAAACGTTCAGAAAGGATGGACGGTCTAGAAAGAAGTATAGTTTGCTTTAATTTTTGTTAACTCTAGGTTATTCATGTCAGGTTATTGATCCTACGTTAATGTTTTTTATTTGATTATTCTAAAAGTTCATCCGTGGGCCACCTCATCCGCCTATGGTTACCACTAATACCGGAAAGGGGAACACAGTGAATCACCTCAAAAGTGTGGCTCAATACTTGAGGAACACAGTGACCATTAAATGTTCCTTAGAAAGGAAAGGTGATTATTTACTGAAACCCCCCCAGCACATTGACTTGCTCCCAATGCCTGACTGAAAGTTATTTAGTGCTCTGAATACCCTTAAAGACGTGGTTGGTTATGAACCAGACGGAGCTCTGAGCCTGAAGAGAAAGAGCGTAATATTTCGGTTTCTAGCACATGCTGGAAGAAAGCAAGCACAAACTTATTGTCCATAAAGCGCAAACTTATTGTCCAAATAGCATAAATCTAAATGCACACAGGCTTGATCTTTCATCCTTGATGTAAAAAAAATATTCACAATCATCTGCTCTTTCCCCATTGCCATTCCCGTTTCCATTCTCAGGGAACCTTGTTTGACTGATTTTGTCTTGAAAAGCCATAAAATAGCTGCCAATCGCCACATGGACTGCTACTACTCATTCACGGGCAAGATAGACGCGTCGCGTGTAACTTTTGATTTCACGTGACAAATCAGCCTACTTAAAGTTTTTTTTTTTACAGCCAACTGAATACTTTACCGACCAACTAAATACTTTACTCTTTTCCCAACCAACAGAGTACTTCACTTTTCCCTTTCCCAACCAACTGAATTCGCATTTGCTCATTCAGAAAAGAAAATGCATTCCATCGTAAAACACAAAGAACACTCAGACAATTCTACTAGAGCATGACATTCAAGTGTCAAAGAAAACAACGAAATGAAAAGAATCAAGGACAAGAAGAAATAGAAGATAACCAGTATAGCATGGCAAGCTCGAACACAAATGTAACTACATCAGTGAAGTGGCTGCACCATTATCAACTGTTATGGCATCACACTCCGTTACCACCTCAGGACTTGTCCTCGTCACGTTATTATCAAAAAGACCCAACCAAATCCAATCAACAACAATATTGGTGGCAACAGCAGTGGAGCCAAGGATGATGCCACCAAAACCTTGGTAGCTTTTACTTCTGCATCAAGTGTCCCCCGTGCTAAAGATATTATGAAAAAGCTACACCCCAATGATGCCGCCGTTGCAATACAGCTAATGATGCGTCGTCGTCCTCGTCGTGGACACGATCATTTAAATATAACTACGGCAATCCCAACCGAATGCACAGAACATTTATATGTGATCCAGCAACTTCAAGCACTTTCATTTCATCTTATTGTCCTCTCCATCATCCAATGCTACCAAAATGGAAACAGTATGGAAACCTCAACCAGACATTGTGTCCCAGGCAAAAGATACCGAGGAAGCTGCAAATCGGATCGAAATGGCACGACTGTTATCCATATGCATTCTTCTCACGATACAACATGAACAGCCTTATTATCAACAGTGGTATCATCGACATCAGTTAAATCCACTGCTGACATGGAATAAAAAAACATCAAGAATTTGGCCCAAGGCTGTCACGCGCTTGACCGGTAAAATGTGATACAATATTAGATTGTGTTGTCAATATATTCATAGTTCTCGGTATATTAATGCTACATGCTGTTGAGGGCATCAATCTCGCCAGAATCATTCCCTCTCACATTAATTACCTTGGGAGCTATGCTAGACGGATGGGAGATTAGGAGGAAAAGGTCCTTGATGTCTGGGATATCCACGCTTACTTATAATCTCACCAAAAGTTCTGTGTCTTGCGTTCATAGGCGGTTAATCGCAGTTTGGTTTTCGTATGCCCCTTGAAGAACGTAAGCAAAAATGCCTTTATGTTTTATATTTGATACTCATCAATTTACCCTTTTTACTTGTCCGAAGGTAGAATGACGCCTAGCCAATGGATGCTATTGCAAGTGTGTCCACAAGTCCTTGGAGAAGTTCATTGAGGAAACTCGGTTCCATCCAGGACAGATTTATTCCTAGCGCTCTTCACAAAAGTAGCAGAATTACTTGGTGGAGTTGGCTTTAATTGCCTTGACAAGCTCCTGCAAGATTGGTTCGACAATCTAATCGGGTCCTTTCGGAGCGGCATCAAAGCAACTCTATGTTTTTGGTTATTTTGACGAGACGCAGGATATGGAGAGGGGAGGCTAAATACCAGTGTATTAATAACGACAACACTAAGCGACCAATACTATCAGCATTCTTTCATGGATTGGAGAGTTTATCAGAGGATTTACCACGAATTTGCATAGTTCCTTGCGGGATAGGCTTTTGTATTTATGATCTTGCTTGGGTTAAGAGAACTGGCAAAGCTTCAAGGAATATCGAGAAGTTCTCGATGACTCGAGATTCAAGAGTGCAGTACCGTTTCCTAGATGGGATAATCAAGCAAAATTCCGGACATACTTCAAGACACTTGTACGATATTTGGAGAAATAAGTTTCTCAAGCTCTGCATCAAAGCTGAGAGGCCATTTTAATGATCAAGCAATCGAAATGCTATATGCTTGGTCCTATGGTCGTCTCCGTCCAATGATCACTATAATAGAGAACGTCATTGGGCGTGCCGATGCAGGCCTTTGGAAGCAAGAAATCAAGGGCCTGGTGTGGTCGCTCACTGATCCAGGATATAAAGAATCTGGTAACCTATGCCATGAGTAATCTAGGATTCTGAAGCGTATTAACAAAGGGGATGCAGCAATTAAAACCAGTGCCGACATCAGGGAAACCTTCGGTCGAGCCGTAAAGAATAGATTACTATATAGTAAAGACTTGATATTGGAGTACAATGAGCCTGTTCCGGTCGAGGCTTCGTTTGCTCGAATTGTCGTTAATCAAAGGAAGAAGGAGTTTACGATTGTCGTTGAGCCAATAGCATTTAACTTATTTGAAGTGGATGACCCTGGATTGGTTAAATTGGTTAATAGTGTGTTGCTAGACGCCCCTATGTCTGGCACAAAGGGCACACATTTTGAGTATTTCAGTCCCGCTTTGTTAACTTCAATCTTCCAGAATTATAACAACGAACGAATTCTTGGATACTCACTGTAATAAAGACTCAATACATGAATTCAAGTTAATCTCGCTTTTTTTTGTTTCCAAAAGAGAACCCGTCTGGACCAGATATCGTCTTTGTATTAGAATCGGAGGGTAAATACTATCCTGTTTCCGTACAGTCAAAAATCGGCGATAAGGTCAAGAATTAGGGATGCCCACAATACAACTTGCCATAATTGCATCAAGGAACATCTCTCATCACCGTCCTCTCTACCCGGTTTTTGCTCGAATGACATATTCTTGTTCCTGTTGTTTAGGCCTTATTTATCACATTGCCTTATCATGTTGTCTTATTATGTTGTCTTATCACGAACAGGGTGATTATTCAGTAGCTAAAGTCATAGAAGCCCCTGTCATCAAAGACAAACGAATAGAAACGACGTGCTCAATATTAGCTTGCTGAACTTCCTTGAAAGTGCAAGGGAATCCCTCAGGAAGTCAGAATTGACTCGAGTTGTGGAGGATGAGGGAGAAGGAAGCAAGCCCAAAGAACCACGGGCAAGGAGCACATCAAAGAGAATTGTCGATAAAGCTCAAGCTATGGAAAATAAGAGAGAGCTGAGCAAACCCAGCGGATCAAATAAAAGAAAAAGTGCATGCGGAGGACGACAAGCCAATAGGTCAGGCAGGGATAAGAGGCCAAGGAAAAAGTGGCGATCGTTTCTTTTACTTCTTTTTACTTGCCATTGTTTATGACAATGGCACAGACACAATTTTGTAATATAACACTAATAGATAAATTAAATATCGCTATTCAACAAACCTGAGCAAGGAGAAGTGAACACACCAAGCTGATTGCCGCAGCTGCATTATCGGAATTTTCTTAAGTAAGTGGCAAGTTGTTTCTACTGTCTATTCCTATCTTTCTACCCATTGGTTTTGTGTTGGGGCCCGACACGCCATTCCAGGTCACATCAGAGGAGCATCCGATCAAGCAAGCATCATTCAAGGAGATAATCGATAATAATACTGGATCCTGCTTGAAGAGAAACCGATCAAACTTCGGAGAAAAGTGACAATATCACATTCCTCTGTTTCATGGTCCCAGGCGGCATACACGTCAAGCTTAAGATTCAGAAGCTCGTTATCAACAATGGTCAGAATGTTAAAGCAACACCTAGATATTTAAAACATGCGGGACAGTATGTCATAAAAACTCACATCAATACCGCATATGCAGGAGGATCGCCGAGGTTCAAGCATGAAGAAAAGAGTCGAATGTCAATCAAGTGAAAGGAATTTTGTCTTGTAATGAAAATACCATATCTATTGAGTATTTTTTACAATCGTTCATCCTTTATGAACGAAGCCATCGCTATCCGCTTACCCTTTTGACAAACGGGATGGCGCTTTTTAATCGGTCCTACACACACACCCAAATCACTAGCCTCATTTTTACCAATCATCTCTTGCCCCATCATCTGCATTGCCATCTATTAGTCTAACATTTTATTATTCTAACATTTGAATCTACTCAACAATTCTCGTTTCCATCTCTCTGACCTTATTAAGCACACTATCTTAATTAAAGGTAATTAATTGATTAATTAGAGCATGATGACTCTTTTTACGCGAAGTATACCATCCTTTTTTCTCATTCCTCGTTCGTTCTCAATCAAATCAATATTCTAGTCTGGACTTAGAAAAAAAAAAAAGCCATTTTCTGCGGCGAGAATGGCAGAAAAAAGAGAGCCTTTCCCGCAGTGTGTCCGACTTGGGAATTTTTTCAAATTTAAAAAAGAGACCTCCAGCCAAAATGTCAACTTTGGTCCCAGCCTGAGAGAGAAGTGTCCGCAAGAGCAAGCCAGATTTGCCTTTCAGTACATGCATGTGCACATGAACTTCGTCCTCAGGCTGGTGACGAGCCTAGTGAACCGAGATCCAGGATCAATTTTATAGTGCTTTGCGGCTTGAACAACAACAATATTATTAAGTCCATTCTCAATACGTGCGTCTTCAAAGACTAGAGTTAACGTACAAATGTCCAGCTTTTTCTTTATTATATACTCTCAAGCAATGAACTAGACTTTATGGGGCAACTAATGTAATTGCAACACTTGCTTTGAAATCAAATTCATGGCCAGCCAGGATATCTACTTGATCATTATCGCCATCTTCTCTTTCTTCACTGTCATCCTCTCTATCCTTACTAGAGTTTGACGCGTCAAGGGCTTTTCTCTAAAGCATAATTTTGCTTAGATATCATCAAGAAAAGCATTGATACAAAAATTATTATTATATATAATATTATTCGTGTTTGAACACTTAGAATATCTTCAAATCCACCAATCAATATCTTTTCAATTTGATTGATGGCGAGAACATCATTGATAGGAGCATCAGTAACAGCTCCTTGTTCTTGGAATGAGGTGTTAGACATGTTCATAGTGGGATGAATGTGTGGTGAAAACAGAGGTGAGATGATGTATTAAAACAATACATGTTACGTCACACTTAGGGACCAATTTAATCTTTAATCGCATGGCATCAAGAAAAAAAGTTTTCTCACACACAGCCCAACCTTGAAATAAAAGAACAAATTTATCCTTTCTTCCTCTTCCTTTTCTTCCTTTATCCTTTTTTCACTTTTTTCTTATTTCCCTCCATTTTTGCTCCCTTCACACATCTTCTTCTCTTCCTTTTTCATTTATTCTAAGCCTTCATTCATTGCCTTTCCTTTCTTTTCCTTTCCTTTCCTTTTTTTTTGTCTTACACATTTTTTCATTTTTGTTTTCATACAGTGACCACGGGTAAGAGTAGAGAATAAACCTTTGCCTATTTAACCATCATTCTCCCTGCATTTCAACCACACTCACACTCAGTCCCACTCATCTTAATTTTCAATGGCCACCACAAGGAGCTCAACACAAAAAAACATGGCTGCAAATAATTCCACAGGGAGCCAAGCACAAAAAAACATGGCTGCAAATAAGCCTGAAGATGTCTCCACACTCAATAAACGAAAAAGAGTAAACCAGCACCCACAACGAAAAAAGCGCGCCATCCCACTGCTGCTGCAGCTGAACTGCGTTGTTGAGGGAGAAGCAACGTCGTTCCCAGTAGGGATTTCCTCCGATAAATCGGTCGGGATACTCAAGGAGGTCATCAAAGCAAAGAAAGCCAATGCATTTAAGGATATCGACGCTGACCAACTCACCCTCTACAAGGTTTCCATCCCTGACGAAGACAAGACTGTGGTAGAGTCAGAAATCGAGTCGAAAGAGGCTCTCGCACCCGCGTCAAGGAAGCTTGGGGACATATTTAATTCCAAACTTCCAGAGGAAACTATCCATGTTTTTGTCAAGCCACCACAGCGAGGTATATCTTTGGCTCTTGATGGACTGATTGTTGATATTTTCAGCTGATGAAGCTTGGTTTATATCTTAAACGGCCATGTGCATGATATCACCATTTGGTTTGTGCCTTGATAACTCAACGTTCTTTCTAATTATTTGCTTTTGATACTTAGCTCAGAAAAGAAAACAAGATGGAGTTTCTGGTGAGTGTTTTTGGCTGAGAACCTGGTTATTGATCATTTTAGAGTGATGTGCAATAAATCAAAAATATTAATTTTGATCACTTTATCTCTTTTATCAGAGTCACCCTCTAAAAAAGCTCGTCCAAGCATGGGAAACACAGGCCACTCTGGTGATCTTATGGATGCGATTAGAGAAGCAGGGCTTGCAACGAAAGGGATAGTGAATGGTGAACCTACCGTCTCGCCTCTCAACTCGAAAGAGAGGGTCAAGGTGCTTTCGTACATGGGGGGGCTACCAGTAGATGATCCTTACAAAGGCATTATTAGCGTGGCTCGCGAGCTCCGAAATTCTGGTGGTATCAAGGATTCCAAAATATTGACTGCCCCTGAGGGTTGTATCTTCCCTGTTGCCAGAACAAGGCATCTTTATATCAGAAAAGAATATAAAGAGCTTTATGACCATATTACATCCAGGTTAAGTACCCCTCATAAAACTGGTTTGAACCGAATGTTTGTCACTGGAACACCTGGAATTGGCAAGTCAGCCTTTCTGGTCTATTTTGCCATCCGCCTCCTTGCCGAACACGATGAGGAAAATCCACCGATTATTATTTTCCAAGAGAAGCAGGGTACCGAATGTCATGTTTATGGAGGAACAACTTGCCGACGTTCTGGGGATATAAAAACATTCCGAGATTTCCTTGCTCGGCCTGAAACGTGGTACTTAGTTGATAGTAGTGAGAAACCTCTACCAGATCAAGCCAGGACGATATTTGCGGCATCACCAAAAACTCTCAATGAGCAGTACGGTGAATTCGCCAAGGAAACTGCACGCTTTAGCTACTATCACATGTCACTCTGGAGTTTGGACGAGCTTAAAGAATGTGGAGCCAATGTAGAGTATTATCATCTAGTGGATGAAGAATTTTTGGAGGAGCTTTTTTACGACTTGGGGGGAGTACCAAGACATGTCCTACAGACCCCAGCCTATTCACTATCCATGAATCAAGAAAATATTGAGAGTGCTAGAGACTCTGCGTTTTCCCGCGTCAATGAGGCCATTAAATCACTCCAGAATCCAGCAGATCTTGTAAGCCTCTTTGCACGAGGAAAAGATGCGAGTGCATTTAGTGGTCGTTTACTCCATAGAGTCCCCACTTCTGACCATCTCGACTTCTACCTGGTGTGGGCATCTCGTTGGGTCGAATCACAGATTATGGAGAAATTAAAAGATAACACTTGGGTCGATGTGTTGGCGAACCTTGTCAAAGGCGGAGAGGATATAGCTAAAGGCCCGGTATTTGAAGTCTATGCTCATCACTTATTTCGACGTGGTGATATTAGATTTCCCTTTAGGGATCTCCAGTCAGGCGAAACAGGATTTCTTGATTTTCCAGCAATTCCAGAAGAGGTGTTTATCCGGACTTCAGAGGAATTATCAGGGCTCACTCAAGCAGCTGGCAAGTTGTTTGTACCAGCACATTCTAAATTCCCGTGCATTGATTTTGCATTGGGACCCAACAAGCTATTTCAGGTCGCAGTATCAGAGGAACATCCGATCAAGCAAGCACCATTCAAGGAGATAATTGATTATATTACCGGACCCTGCTCGAAGGGAAACCGATCAAAGTTGAAGGGAAGTGATGATACCATTTTCCTCTATTTTGTGGTACCAGGTTACATATATGATAATTTTAAGGTTCAGAAGTTTGTTATTAACGATAGTCAGGATGCCAAGGCAATACCTGGATACTTGAAACATGTAAGACAGCGTGTCATAAAAATCGACATCGAAGCTGCATATTCAGGAGGATCAGCCGGTACGAATCTGAAGAATTAAATCGAATACCAATCAAGTGGATGAAAATTTGTCCTGTAAAAGAAAAGCATTATACCTGTTCCTTGAGGATTTTTTACAATGGTTCATCCTTTATAAATGAAGCCATCATTATCCACTTACCTTTTAGACGAATAGATAGAGCGGTTTAATCCGTCCTCCCTTCTACTGGGGCATATAGAACTTTATAAAGCCTGTGATCATCATGCGATCTTGTGTGCAAGAAAGGGCAGATTTTTGTGATACTATTATCAAAGAGTTTTGTAAAAACGGATAGAGTTGAAGAATCCTGTGGAGAACCCAGTGAGAGTCTGATGATGAGACCCAAAACCATATTATTATCACCAGGACAGCTGGCATAGGAAATTGTCCTTTCTCGTATGCTTTGTCATCTGGATGCTTGCCACTTGCGAAAGACCCATCAATTATCATCATCCAAGGCGCCAGAACGTTTAACCAGGAGCTAGGATGACAGCTCCGCTCTAAAGACATAAATGTCGTTTTAGCCCCATGGTGCGTACACGGGATGGCAACCTGTGATCAATGAGATCATATTTGTTGTATGTTCGGCCAATAGTGTCAGTATGTGAAGGCGGCGCGTCTTGAATCTCTAGGCGTCCAGGGACATGGAATAAAAAAACATCAAGAATTTGGCCAAGGCTGCCACGCGCTTGACCGGTAAAATGTGATACAACATTGGATTGTGTCGTCAGTATATTAATAGTTCTCGGTATATTAATGCTACATGCTGTTGAGGGCATCAATCTCGCCAGAATCATTCCCTCTCACATCAATTACCTTGGGAGCTATGCTAAATGGATGGGAGATTAGGAGGAAAAGGTCCTTGATGTCTGGGATATCCACGCTTACTTATAATCTCACCAAAAGTTCTGTGTCTTGCGTTCATAGGCGGTTAATCGCAGTTTGGTTTTCGTATGCCCCTTGAAGAACGTAAGCAAAAATGCCTTTATGTTTTATATTTGATACTCATCAATTTACCCTTTTTACTTGTCCGAAGGTAGAATGACGCCTAGCCAATGGATGCTATTGCAAGTGTGTCCACAAGTCCTTGGAGAAGTTCATTGAGGAAACTCGGTTCCATCCAGGACAGATTTATTCCTAGCGCTCTTCACAAAAGTAGCAGAATTACTTGGTGGAGTTGGCTTTAATTGCCTTGACAAGCTCCTGCAAGATTGGTTCGACAATCTAATCGGGTCCTTTCGGAGCGGCATCAAAGCAACTCTATGTTTTTGGTTATTTTGACGAGACGCAGGATATGGAGAGGGGAGGCTAAATACCAGTGTATTAATAACGACAACACTAAGCGACCAATACTATCAGCATTCTTTCATGGATTGGAGAGTTTATCAGAGGATTTACCACGAATTTGCATAGTTCCTTGCGGGATAGGCTTTTGTATTTATGATCTTGCTTGGGTTAAGAGAACTGGCAAAGCTTCAAGGAATATCGAGAAGTTCTCGATGACTCGAGATTCAAGAGTGCAGTACCGTTTCCTAGATGGGATAATCAAGCAAAATTCCGGACATACTTCAAGACACTTGTACGATATTTGGAGAAATAAGTTTCTCAAGCTCTGCATCAAAGCTGAGAGGCCATTTTAATGATCAAGCAATCGAAATGCTATATGCTTGGTCCTATGGTCGTCTCCGTCCAATGATCACTATAATAGAGAACGTCATTGGGCGTGCCGATGCAGGCCTTTGGAAGCAAGAAATCAAGGGCCTGGTGTGGTCGCTCACTGATCCAGGATATAAAGAATCTGGTAACCTATGCCATGAGTAATCTAGGATTCTGAAGCGTATTAACAAAGGGGATGCAGCAATTAAAACCAGTGCCGACATCAGGGAAACCTTCGGTCGAGCCGTAAAGAATAGATTACTATATAGTAAAGACTTGATATTGGAGTACAATGAGCCTGTTCCGGTCGAGGCTTCGTTTGCTCGAATTGTCGTTAATCAAAGGAAGAAGGAGTTTACGATTGTCGTTGAGCCAATAGCATTTAACTTATTTGAAGTGGATGACCCTGGATTGGTTAAATTGGTTAATAGTGTGTTGCTAGACGCCCCTATGTCTGGCACAAAGGGCACACATTTTGAGTATTTCAGTCCCGCTTTGTTAACTTCAATCTTCCAGAATTATAACAACGAACGAATTCTTGGATACTCACTGTAATAAAGACTCAATACATGAATTCAAGTTAATCTCGCTTTTTTTTGTTTCCAAAAGAGAACCCGTCTGGACCAGATATCGTCTTTGTATTAGAATCGGAGGGTAAATACTATCCTGTTTCCGTACAGTCAAAAATCGGCGATAAGGTCAAGAATTAGGGATGCCCACAATACAACTTGCCATAATTGCATCAAGGAACATCTCTCATCACCGTCCTCTCTACCCGGTTTTTGCTCGAATGACATATTCTTGTTCCTGTTGTTTAGGCCTTATTTATCACATTGCCTTATCATGTTGTCTTATTATGTTGTCTTATCACGAACAGGGTGATTATTCAGTAGCTAAAGTCATAGAAGCCCCTGTCATCAAAGACAAACGAATAGAAACGATGTGCTCAATATTAGCTTGTTGAACTTCCTTGAAAGTGCAAGGGAATCCCTCAGGAAGTCAGAATTGACTCGAGTTGTGGAGGATGAGGGAGAAGGAAGCAAGCCCAAAGAACCACGGGCAAGGAGCACATCAAAGAGAATTGTCGATAAAGCTCAAGCTATGGAAAATAAGAGAGAGCTGAGCAAACCCAGCGGATCAAATAAAAGAAAAGGTGCATGCGGAGGACGACAAGCCAATAGGTCAGGCAGGGATTAGAGACCAAGGAAAAAGTGGCCATTGTTTATGACAATGGCACAGACACATTTTGTAATATAACACTAATAGATAAATTAAATATCGCTATTCAACAAACCTGAGCAAGGAGAAGTGAACACACCAAGCTGATTGCCGCAGCTGCATTATCGGAATTTTCTTAAGTAAGTAGCAAGTTGTTTCTACTGTCTATTCCTATCTTTCTACCCATTGGTTTTGTGTTGGGGCCCGACAAGCCATTCCAGGTCACATCAGAGGAACATCCGATCAAGCAATCATCATTCAAGGAGATAATCGATAATAATACTGGATCCTGCTTGAAGAGAAACCGATCAAACTTCGGAGAAAAGTGACAATATCACATTCCTCTGTTTCATGGTCCCAGGCGGCATACACGTCAAGCTTAAGATTCAGAAGCTCGTTATCAACAATGGTCAGAATGTTAAAGCAACACCTAGATATTTAAAACATGCGGGACAGTATGTCATAAAAACTCACATCAATACCGCATATGCAGGAGGATCGCCGAGGTTCAAGCATGAAGAAAAGAGTCGAATGTCAATCAAGTGAAAGGAATTTTGTCTTGTAATGAAAATACCATATCTATTGAGTATTTTTTACAATCGTTCATCCTTTATGAACGAAGCCATCGCTATCCGCTTACCCTTTTGACAAACGGGATGGCGCTTTTTAATCGGTCCTACACACACACCCAAATCACTAGCCTCATTTTTACCAATCATCTCTTGCCCCATCATCTGCATTGCCATCTATTAGTCTAACATTTTATTATTCTAACATTTGAATCTACTCAACAATTCTCGTTTCCATCTCTCTGACCTTATTAAGCACACTATCTTAATTAAAGGTAATTAATTGATTAATTAGAGCATGATGACTCTTTTTACGCGAAGTATACCATCCTTTTTTCTCATTCCTCGTTCGTTCTCAATCAAATCAATATTCTAGTCTGGACTTAGAAAAAAAAAAAAAGCCATTTTCTGCGGCGAGAATGGCAGAAAAAAGAGAGCCTTTCCCGCAGTGTGTCCGACTTGGGAATTTTTTCAAATTTAAAAAAGAGACCTCCAGCCAAAATGTCAACTTTGGTCCCAGCCTGAGAGAGAAGTGTCCGCAAGAGCAAGCCAGATTTGCCTTTCAGTACATGCATGTGCACATGAACTTCGTCCTCAGGCTGGTGACGAGCCTAGAAAAATCATAGTTTATTAAAACGAGCCACGGTCGGCTCTTGCCTTGTTAGAAAATCTAATGCTTTACCTGAGCAATATTCAAGACTAAATACGTAACTCTGGTTGAAAAAAAACAGTAAACTATAATTTTGCATAGACAGGAACAGTTGTTGCATACTTTACAAAAACCCCATCGCATAAAAGATTAAAGAAAATACTTGTGCTTATGGACACACATCTTGTATTAATGGACGTACATCTTTTACTTTTTCTTAGATACATCTGCCAGGAAGCATTTACCTTGGATACACTCTGTCTATGTTACTCGTACACAGATGTAGCTATGCTTTTGATATGCTCTGATGAATACGATAAAAACTTCAATAAATACCCCATGGGTGTGGTATGTCGACCTACATCATATTCTCACTTATTCTACTCTCCATCTTCTTTTCTGCCAAAAACTTTTCACCAATGGATACATGGACAGTTCTGGCTCGGTATGTAGGAACCGGTTTTGAAACAGAAGTTGATTAAATCCTTGTCATAGCAACAACAAAAGAAAAGTCTTTCTTCTTTTTTTATTAGAGAATGTATTCAGATGCCGCTCTTTGTTTTAAAAGCTCCGTACATTTGCGTTAAAGCAGAGACATTCGTTGACTCACAAGTACCGGCATCAATGGAGGAGGTAGGAGTGGCATTATTGATTGTACTTACTGCTTAGAGTGAAAGCTATTTAATCACTCTCTTCTTGCTGGGCGGTGAACTTGTGAGCGAGAGAGAGAGGGCAAATTTTTGATGTGTGCGTGAATTGCATACAGAAAGGCATGACTTACGAAATTACAACAACAGAAGCGAGATAAAAAAAATATCGACGCGTTTGGGTCCCTTTCCTACGGATTTGCTATGGTCGTAGCGAAGGCGAGGATTGGTGTCTGCATGATTGTGGAGTGGCTACCAAAATGAAGTCTATTCATTTCTTTTGGAGGTTCATTTGGAAAATGCTTGTATTTTGGTTCCCATTTGATTCGAATTATCCAGGAAAAAAAAAAAAAAAAAAAAAAAAAAGAGTTTTACTTGCACAGTGAGATGCCTTATGCTTCTACATGTACAGAAAGCAAAGAAACTTCAACTGTTTGCTCAACGGTCCTTGTGCATGTTCGTGTCACTAATAAAAAAGGAAAAAATTTCTCGTCCCGTTCCTTGATTGCCAAGACGTATGAACCGCCAAATTTTTTAGACAACAGAAGTATATAATTGTTTGAGCGCGTTCTACTCTTGTTTGCTCGCATACTGTACACATGTTCGCACTCATTTATTGTGCACATTCCTGCAGCCCATAGATTGGGTGCCGTGCCTGTTGACTCAATCAACGGTTGGTTACTCATACAGCTCATTTATATTTGTGGGGTGGAATATTTATATACTGTGGCAAATACCCAATAAGAACCGGAGGAAGCGACATTGAGTTGAGGGTGCTATGAGTTATGTTACATTAAAGCTCTCTTTGTTTTAGAACAAGGCAGAATTACTACAAGGACAGGAAGTGGGAGTACAGGTAAATACTGAGAACGCTTCAAGTCGCCCTTATCAACCAAGCCGGGCCTCCTGTAGTAAGGAACAAATACCTTAGAGTATGCTTGTTAGAAGGGATAGGATGATCAATTTCCCTCTGTGGTTTATAGCGCGATTCTCAACTCCATTTTTACGGACCCTGTGGGCCTTGGGTCACAAATTTCCGATACCATAAACACAGCAGCACGGTATTGCTCCCAGTTTAGATTACTATCATTTCTAACTCTCACAAGCACACTTCTCCTAATCAATTATGAAAGGATTTTCTAACTTCAAAGAACTTACACAATGTGGTACCAATGCAAACGCAAGTATATATCAATAATATTGCATACATATGGATATATAAAGGAACTACTAACAATATCTTAATAGTCTCTTATGTAATGCCAGAAATATAATTCAGCAAACCCTAATAGCAAAAAAGAAAAGTGGGACATTGCCTCCAACTGCTCTGCTGAAGAAACAAATGAAAGTTGGTCGTTTATATGTCCATATTGTTAACTTCCCTAGCATTTCCTACAGACTTTGGACCCCATTACAGACGTAAGAAATTAATGATCCTATCGAGCGACAGCGGCAAGCAAGCATCAATGTAAGGTCAAGAAAGGAAGGCTCGTCTCTGCTGTAATTCCATGCATGCCCTACGTACGACTTGAGGCTGTAGTCGTCCCATGGGTACCCTGCAGCGCCATATAAGTAAAATCATTATGGAGCTTAAGGTACTCAAGCTGCCATTGATTCAGGATAGTTTAAAGAGCAGTTGAAGACATCATCGAGTCATACCCGTATAAATGATGGAGGTCTTCTTTTCTCACGCCGTTTTCGTTTCTAGTAGTTAGTCACTTCAACATTCTACGCCTTCTTGGTTGCTGTATAATGGATCCATTAGCGCTTCCGCGAGCTAATTTCAGGCTTAGCTCAGTAAAATATCGATATTCTGACATTGTGACGAGTAGAAGTAACTCACAAAGTGATAGAATAACTATCATTGAAAATCATGAGTCAGTCACACACCATTCAAACCGTCTCCTTTAAGGGGCCGTGAATGTCCAGGCCGGTAAACCTCTCTTTCCCGGCAATACAAGATAGTCTAGCGCCGGTGAAAGATGAAATGTAATTCTTTCGGATTAAGCACCCATTGCATCACGAGAAAAGGTCCCCAGTAGACGGGCTTTTTCCTCTACCACTGTGTTACACAGGGATTCGTGTCGCGTTATTTTGAAGGTTGTTGGTTGATATTGATCATACATACAAATAAAATTCCTCAACCTGACAAGCTTTATTTCCCCGCCAATCCGAATATCATCCACAATGAGCAGGTCCAAAGATCACCAGGGCATGGCCTCTTTGGCTAGTTCCAATAAACAAACCTTCTTTTATGTTAAACTACAATAGGGCTTAGCTTTTTACGCGTGATTATCTTGTTATATTATGTAGAGCCAAATAAGCTTCATGTCGATCCTGCTTTGTTACATAATCAAAAGTTGAGTTATAGTTTATGCTGTGTCCATTTGTCCGTTTGATTGAGGGTGCACTGAAAGCTCTAGCCCTAACACTATAATTGTCTCTAGATTCACGACATGTTCTCGTCCTTTCATAGCTGACGTAGGACGCTAGCAATTGAATTCATCTATGTTCGCTACCTCTCGTTGACCTTTTTTTCTTTTTGAACTAGCATTGCATCACTGGATTTTTCATACCCGCTGCTATGGTATTAGCATGTGTGCCTCACTTAGAAAACACATTCGCTGGGCTTTTTTCCTTTCCCGATATGCATACTGGCCGACCTTCTCTTACTTCCAAAATACCCAAGAGGCTATAGTTTGCCAGCTGTCTGAATAATCAACGCTTTTGTATGCTCTATAACCTTAGTAGCCTGAGATATTCTAGGCTCTAGAAAATAGACAATATTGAGATGGTCTACGGCAGCAGTATATGAGGACAATGGCTGTTAACACATTCGAAAGATCTTCTTCACAGTAGTGACGTCTACTAACCCATTCTTAGATTCTATACCAAATGTTGTGCTTACTATTAAGCCTTTTAATTTATGTTTTCAAGGCTGGATAGCTTGTAGCGAATCTATGTGCAAGCCATTCTCAGATACTTCTATTAGAGATATGCATCGTTTCTGAACAAGGAAACACGCCAGCCTTCCTGCGTATAAAAAGGCTTCAATGACCCATTATTTATTTATCAAAAAGATCTTTAATCTTTGCACTCAAAAGGCAAAAAAAAAAAAAAAAAAAATGCATCGCAGCAACGCATGGACATGCACACCTTTAGACTCCCTCAGGACCCGTCTTTCCACTGACCAAGTGGATACAATTAATGTTCAAGGAGTGGTTGTTAATGATGCTCGCCCGACCTTTAATGAAATCTATCAAGGTAATAGCCAGTATATCAGTGTCTCACGTCTCCTTAAAGTTTTTTTTTTTTTCCTCATAAAAATAATTGTATTGTTACTCGTGTTAGATTATGAACTAGAATTCACGATCAGAGACAAGGATACTGGTGTCGAAAAGGACGTTTGGCTCCTTTCTGGTCACCAGGGCTACTTGTTTGTCATCAAGGCAGGTTGGACCGTCAGGATTACTCATGCATTCGTAAGACAAGGATCTATAATTTGACTTCGTTATCGGTTTACACACTCTTTTTTCTAATGTTTCTTGTTGTATACTTTTTTTTTTTTTTTTTTGCCAAAGTACATCGATGCTTCCCCGCTCCCGCCAGTGATCGCCGCAAGTGCCGCAAAGGGCTCACTTTGGACCTTTTTCGTCTCATAAAATAGACCTGACTCCCAAAGATCAGAGTAGTAAACACAACCTTATTAAAGTTTCCGCTACCACAACATAAAGTGCCCTCCGATGAGTATTTGAGCATTATTATTTTAATTTAATCACGTCTGGCAAGCTTAATTTGCCACCTCCTTTGGCTGCTATAACAGCTTCAACCCTCTTGTTCCTTGAACTAATGAACCATCTAAAATTACCGAACAACAAGTTACCTCATCCCTCTTGTAAAGCAGCAACCACTTCCTGATGGGAAGAGTTAGTTGGTCAAATAATTTTTTTTTAGATACCTTTCTTTTCACACCATGCAGCTGCTCGCTTGCCTGTGTGAACAGGCGCATTAACCTCCTTTGGAATGGAATGAACCACTTTGTTCATTTGCCTTTTAAGTTTGACAAGGGTTATGGACGGGCCATGTTTTTTGTAATGATCATGTTCGTCATCAGCATATCGAAAGTATAGTTAGCTAATAGAGGGCCTTGCTTTGACATCCTTTCTCTCTCACTCCCATTTCGCATTTTTTTTTTTTTTTTTTTTTTTGGCTTTATAGACACCCTGATAAGCATCCCCATCGTGCTTTGGATCGTTTCTTTATCCTTTGGATAACTGTACTTCTGGTATTTAGCTCAATGAGATTTGACTTTACAACCATGAAAATGTCTCTCTGTATCTGTTTCTAATTCGATTTATTCACAAATAAAATATAGATCGCAAATAACACTACTTACAGAAGCGAGAAAATTAAGTAGTCGGGAAGTGGCAGAGAATAATAAAAGTTGGAAAAGTTGGAGAAAAATGAAAAAGTGGTCTATACACATTAAACAATATTCACAACAGGGTTGTGATAAATAAATGCTTTAAAAAAATTGAGCAAGCATCAACATCAATCACCATCTGCGCCGTCCACTGCCTCCATTTCCTCCTTCAAGGCTCGATCCTGATACTGATTTGGATCCACCGCCGTTACCATTGTTTCCATTGTTATTGCTGCTATTATTGTTTCCACTCCCAAATGAGTTCCCTTTCCATCGCTCCACCATGAAGGCCACCTTCTGACCGTATTTAGATCCACGCAGGCTAACCATGTGTCGTTTGATTAGTGTTGCACAAGTCTCTCGATGATGCGGTGCCGCATTCGTTAGGATATACTGAATGATATAATTTCCATACTGGTCTGCTGCAATATCAATCAAGGGGATTCGTGGGTGGCCTTGGACACCGTTGCAAACAATTTGAATGTATTGATTCATGACTTCTTCCTGTGTTAATCGGATTGTTATCGAGCCGTGGACCGTGAGTGTTGGAGAAGGAGAAGTAGCGGCAGCAATACTCCCCACATCTTCATCGCTCTTCTCTTGGTTATCATTGTTATTGGTACTGCTATCGGCATTGCCCCTGTCCAAACTGGCGCTATTAGTAGTAGCAGTCGTCATGGAAGCAGAAAGTTTAGATAGCGAACTAGCCCCAGCCATTCGGAGCATCTTCTCCACAACTTTGGACGCATATTGGTCCAATGACAAAGCCACTGCATCCTCCAAGATCCTTTGTGTCACCGTCGCGCGATCTTGAGGTATACCATGTTCAAGGATATGCTGAATCACCCAGTTGCCCCACTGCCCTTTGGCAATAGTATTGACTGATTGAAGGATCTCGGTCAGAACAGGCCGCTAAACACCAAGATATACAAAAAACAAACAAACGAAAGTAACGAAAGGTTAATTTTGATATGGCCCACTTTTTGAACCGTTATTATTAGTGGAGGTGATTCATTTTTTCCCTTATCATCTTACCTTATCATGTTCGGCACAATTTTCAAAAATATTTTGAACTACCAAACTTCCAGTCTCATCTACAGCTACAGAGGCCCATCGCCCAGCCACTGCATTGTTCACATAAGTCATCGCTGCTGGTGGAGCATCTGTCCATCGGATTTCAAAGATCTTTTGCCAAACGTGGCATGCATACCGATGAACGATGGTCTCTCGTATCCTTCGGAACATTTCGGTCACAATCCGGGCTTTACAATCTTCCTCCACATAATCAAGTGCTTTCTGGACCACATGACACCCAAAAGCATCACAGGCCAACGTCAAGATATTACCTCGCATTGCCTGTGCAAGCGCATCAATTTGCTGAGGCGTTCCAAACTCAAAACACCTTTGGATCAAGAAATTACCAAACCGATTCGACATCAATGCATATGCCTGATGCAAAATCACGTCAATGATTTGGACTTTTTGCTCTGGAGCCGAGGTCTTGAGCTTTTGTTGGAGATGAATCGATGCCTGTTGGTCTGTTGCCTGGAGGATACGATCAACACATATCTATTTTCATAGCCAAAAATAATAGCAATCATAAAAACAAAAATCAAAACATTACCTATTCAAAGCAAATCAGGAAAAAAAAAAAAAAAAAAAAAATTCTTTTACCTGGTAGTCCAGGTGCACAGACTTATCACTTTGGCGTCGGTAACCGTTTCGATGGGGTGGTAAGCCTTGGTGTTGCTGTGCTGAAGACTGCTGTTGATGCTGGTATTGATATTGGTGCTGCTGTTGCTGTTGGTTGATAAAGTTAGGATCGTATCCACCGCCACCATGACCTATATTAGCATGCTGATATGATCCTGGCGAATGCACGTTACTATCGTATCCGTAACCTATGGCAAGCTAATGAAGGGAGGTTGATAACTATATGTATAAGCATTACACATCTTAAAAAGACACTTGCAAAAAAAAAAAAAAAAAAAAAAAAGAAATAGAGAGGACGTACATCGTCAACCCATGATTGAGAATGGCTCAAGCCACTGGGCGCATTCCATGGGTATGGCGATGGCTGCTCAAGCACTGGTGAATCATAAGCGCTTTCTGTCCCTCCACCACCGCGGACTGAGGACGTAGTTGAGAAAGTGCCAGAGCTACGATGATTCAATGAGGGAAAGCCCACCCCACTTTGAGGGTTAAATCCATGTGAAGAGGAGGAAGATCCAAGGCCTCTTCCCGCCCCAACGCCGCTATTGAATGAGTCCTGTGCTGTAAGCTCTGTTGTAGGAGAATCAATCATATCCATCAATCCATGATACTGTTGTCGCTGCTGGTGCTGCTGTTGATAATATGGTTGACTATTTTGAGATACAGTTATAGAGGAGTTAACCTTAAGACCAAGGCTCTGCAGATGTGACTGAGACTGGATGCTAGTGACCGAATTGGAACGCGACGACAGCGAAAGAGGATGAATGGATGAATCACTAGCAGAGACGGGAACAGCATTTTGATCATACATCTCATAAAGATCATCGCTGAAGGTGCTGTTGCTACCGTTCATATAATCATTGAAAGACGACATGGGAGCAGGCGATGGCAGTGATGATCCTACTGAGCCTGTGATCTGTCCAATAAGAAGATGATGGCTTGCTGTTTTGATATTTGCGAGCCGAGCTGCTTTGGTCCCTATTGCCGTCGAAGATGATGATGAAGATAATGACGGGATTATGTCGAATCCAGTGGCTATATTAGTTGATTGTATCGATTTGTGTTCCTGTTGTTTCGTCAACTCTTCAATCTCTCGATCGCGTTGACGGAGCTTGCGTCTATCCTCTTCGGCTTCAAGCAACATCTTGGTTACCATTTCCTTCAGTTGGTCAATCTCTGCAGATTGACGCAAGCAAGTTCGCTGAAGTGTCTCCACATCAAGCTGGTGAAGCATATCCTTACTGCTACCACTGCCGCCATTAATTTTTGCAGTGGATATGGCGCTGATAGCGTTCGACCCTTCTTGGCTCTTGTTGACACTGTCTTTAGACATCAACTAATAAAGCAAAAGTAAAAGAGATGCCGCTTTTTATTTGTTAGTATGGCAATAAGCATTTATTGAGGACAATAATAATGGCAATGAGGAATAACAAAAAAAAAGGGGGGGGACTCTATGATTCCGAATCCTCCTAACCATTGGGATGGACAGGAAACATTTCCCAATAAGCCTATGTGTTTCCACTCCCATTAAAGGGGGACATCAATAAAATATTGAAAATCTATGCCTTAGGTGCCATCCGTACCTCATTGCTGTTGTTCTTGGCTCGCTTACGGATTAGGAATTGGCGGATCGCACGCTGAATGACTACAACTGCTTCGAGCGAATTTGCAGTCAGGCTGACATGGATAGTATCTGATTCTGATGACATAGTTTGCTCAGCCTGCAACTGCACTTGAATAGGACAAGTACCAGTAGTGGCGGTCTTTGTGGAAGCAGATGTAGAGCTATTCTCCTTTCCATATCGAACTGTACTACCGTCGACATCACAGAATGGATTATGATGAAGGAGGCGATCCTCACGGGAGTTTCTCCAGAATGAACCCGCGTTATTGCTTCTATCATTATTATTGACAGCTACAGTACTGCTAGCTCCAAAGGCTGAGAACTCTTCAACACAAGACTGAGTATGAAGTCTTTTTGTTGCAACAGTAGCAGTATTAGTTACAGCAGCTGGAACAGCATGAGACAAAGCATCTAGCTCAGGTGACCTCAACTCTGGAAACTGCTCAGCAAAGGATGATCTTCTCTCCCCGAACGCGCTAGCACTAGGCAAACGTGAAATTCGTGGAAATGATTGCTGTTGGTGTTGATGTTGCTGCGGTGTTTCCTGCCACTGAGTATGAGTAGAATTGCGTGCTGCAGAGTTAGACTCCAAAGCAGGAGCTGCAGAAGTCAACGCAGATACAGAGGAAAGTTTAGCATCGCTGCATGCGCTGCTACTATCGTTGCTGTTATCTTTTTCCAGTTTGGTTTGAAGAAGAGTATGTTTCAATGGACTGCCCAAGTTAGAGGTAGTAATAGGCTCATTGTCCTCAGAAAGTTGAAGGCATTGAATGAGCTGGAGAGAATCCGCAGTGCTAGTAGAATTGGTGGTAGATGTGGTCGTAGAGGGATTGGGAGCGGAAGGCGATTGCTTAGATATGTTCAGTAAGAGTGGCCCAATGCTATTCTGAGCATTTGCAAGGCGCTCCTTGTATCCGTTTCCCAGCATTTTCAAGCAAAAAATGCTGATAAGAAGTGAGTGAATGAGTAATGGAAGGAATAAGAAAGGACGGCAGAATAAAGGGGCTGGAAGAGAGTAAGAAAGATAGAGGATAGGCGTAGATTATGTTAGGTGCACACGTTTAGAAGAAGAAAAAAGGCACCAAATCATATGCCTGTTGAAGTAGTAGGATGAATGTAAGAACAAATGGACGGGGCCTTTATTCTTCACCTAGGACATGTAGCCAAGGGAATATCAGGGATCCCGGATGACCGTTGACGTATTAGGCAGGTCTGAGGCTATCAAATAGATGTGAGGGCAGAAGGAGAGTGGAGATATAAAGTGAAAACGAAACTGGAACAGACACACAGCATATCCCCACAAGAATTTGGAAGAATACGTGCAAGATAGACTCAACAAAAAATTGTTTTTGAAAGACAGAAAGGTAAGAGAGAAGATAAAAAAAAGGAGTATTTACGAATCCTTTGGGGAAACAGGGAATGCCATTTTCTTTTTCGATGCATAGCGATGATATATAGGACATGGAAATAGAGAAACAAGTTGACCTTCATAATGATGCTATGCTCCTTATCCTCGAAATAAGGTGAAAGGTTTGTATTTCTATATACACTTTTTTCTAGTAAAATCAGTTCAAGTGGTAAGGGTCAAAAAAAAAAAAAAAAAAAAAAAAAGGACTTCTGACAAGATTCCAAACATTCCTGACGCAGAGGCATTGACGCACAATAAAAAAATTCCCTGCAATGTATTCTACAACATAGTGGCCAAGATGTCTCTAGTGCATAGCACAATTTTCACACCGAAGTGGTTTTTTATGTGACATGGTGAGCTATTTAGGAGCGTCTATATGAATCTTTGCTAAAATGCACAGCATGGTCCTTACAAAACTTGGACAAGGGGAAAGACTTTTGTTCGGCTACACCAACTAGTACAATGATAGATCTGATGGGGATAGGGTATGAAGTTTCAAGAGTTGTCATGAATCTATATTTCAGTCATGTATATATATATATATATATATATATTATGTTGTCTTAAATGACATTATAGAAAGTCCGTCCAGCGTACTCTGTCTTAGATACCACGGCGTCTAATCAATGAAAGGAATTCTTCTCTTGTCTTTGCATTGTCGCGGAAAACTCCAAACATGGAGCTAGTGATTGTTTGGCTGCCAGGTTTCTGAACTCCACGCATCACCATGCAGAAATGGCTTGGGTTTCAAAAAGAAAAAAAAAAAAAAAAAAAAAAATCAGCATCGGTACTGTTAACATTGGTAGATGGTTTTTTGAGGCGGAGTATTCGTATACCTGGCCTCCATGACGACAGCAACCCCTTGAGGGCTCAAGAGTTGCTGCAAGGCCACTGCGACCTGCTTGGTCAGACGTTCCTGCACCTGAAGACGACGACTGAACATCTCGGCTAAGCGAGCAATCTTGCTCAATCCAACGACTTTACCATTCTCAGGGATATATCCAATGTGAATCTAATGCAGATAATGCAAGGCGTTTAGTCAATACCAGCATTTTAGGCACTTTGTTGAGCAATATAAGTTAACTCTGAATAAATATTAGACTGTTGCCTACCTTTCCAGTGAATGGAACCATATGATGTTCACAAAGGGAAAATACATCGATGTCTTTGACGATCACCATCTCGTCATGATCTGTCAAAGAAAGCGAATAATGCAAATGTAAGCTTAATTTGAAGCTTTTTCTTCGTTTGATTGCATGCAACGCTAATACCTGGATATTCAATATCCTCATAGAATCAACATTACAACAATACCTTCTTGGAAAAGAGCCTTGTTCATGAGATCTAATATAAAAATAGAAATTTACAAACGATGCAGGTATGAAATGTCAGTCAGCAAGAAGAAGGTCAATCTTTGATGGCTATCTTATAATTAGGTACAAGTGTGGATCGGTTCAGATATCCTACGAGTAACGCTCTCTTCATAGCCCTTCGAGAAGAACATGAGCGCCTTTGCATAGCGCTCCGGGGTCTTAAGGAGACCCTCACGGTATGGATCCTCCCCAATGCATTCTAGGATTGTGCGCACAGCTCCAGCAATTTTCTCGATCCTGAGTGCACGCGACTCTTCTGTATCTTCTCGACGCTCACGTGCACCAATACCTATTAAAAAAAAATAATAATAATAATAATAAACAAAAAGTAATCAATGATTTGACTTGTTGAAAAGGTACACAGACAACTGCGCAAAATAAAATGATTTGTAAACATACTGGGAAAGCTAAGTCCATCAAAATCGATAGGCGAAGGCTTGCGAGCATGGGGCGACTCTGCTTCCACATAACTTCGTCCGAGACTAAAAGAATGTCCTGTCAAGGCATGGCTCACGATCGCTGGCCTAGGATGGGAAATTCTATGTGAAAGAGTTCCATCAGTCAAATTTAATTCAATATGATTCAAATTAAGCAGCTATAAATGTGTGGTTTGTCGTCAGACCGTGGGAACACTGCCTTTTTGAAAAACTGATCCGTGGGTTCCAGATCAAACAAAAATAGAATGGAATCGCATGTCATGCCACTGATCCCTGAACATAATACCATGAACAAATGTGATCATGGAATTCGAGCATGGTCAAAATGCAAGTTCATGTCGACATTGATCTACTCTTTGGCATTTGCTCCTCCGACAACGGAGAACGAACAGTCTGGAAATTATGCTTTATGTGGGAAAGAGCAGAGAAGCAAAAAAAAAAAAAAAAAAAAAAAAAAAACAATGGGTAATTTTTCTTACTGGACATGATCAGTTGCTGCGTCGACTTCGAGGCCGTCAAGGTCGTTGTCATTGTTAAGATGGTAAGCCATTTGATAAAACTGCAGTTGAATAAAGTGATGAAGGCGAAAGATAAAAGAAGGTCGAGAGAATACAGAGAGGGAAAAAATAAAATAAAAACAACAGAAATGAGGAGTAGGAACCTAAAAAACAAAAACAAATTCAGGTGTAGGCGAGCACGGGACAGTGACGACTCATCATTTTAATCTTCCTAGACAAGTTTCATCCGTCAACTGGTGTTCTTGGGAATTTATCCTACGTTTATCATTTGGAGGATAAACAAGCGGGAAAAAATTGCTGACTTCTTCCTTTTTATGTCACAAGCCAAATAAAGAAGATAGTTGTCATCAGATCAAGCCAGAAGGTGCCCATACGATTGACCTTCCACTAAAACTTGGAAAATAAATTTTCGGCAAGCAAAGAAATGTGTGGGGATGTAAAAGTTTCTGTGGAATAAGCTGGGTGGCTGTGTAATCAATTGATTGGTGATGTTGCACCAGCATTTTTGCTACTCCTCGAATACAGTGCACGTTGATTTTTGCTTCAGGAGCAGGAACCTTTAATAATGAATGTTTTGTATTGGATTGAATAATAATCTCCTTTTGTATGCAAGGGCATGCAACTCATCCTCATTCATTATTAAACGGCAATCAATGTCTGTTTCCGGATTGGATAGAATGAAACTTGGGCTGAGCTCTCAACGCTTTGCTCTTTTTTTTTTTTTTTTTTTTTTTTTTTTAATGGGCTAATCCGTTGACAAAGCAGAATGTCCTGGTGACACATGCAATGATGGATGCCAAATATAATTTTGTTGCGAGCAATTCTGAGTGGTTTGAATGCGAGAGCCTTGTTGATAGTTACTGGCTTTCCCCATCCATCTCTAAATCTCTGGTTTTGTCTGTTTAGAGCTGGCTTGTAAAATGGCGACTATGATCCGACCATCATTTCTTTTTTTTAGTAAGTTTGTTCCTGCATCATAAACATTTGAGTCGCTCACTTTTGGACACTTTTTTTACCACTTTTTACCGCCTGTTGTTGTTTTCAGTCATCCTTTCCCCTTTTTTGCCTCTTTCTTCTTCTTTCCATTCACTTCACTTGCTTTGTCATTTCACTCTACTTCCACTCTTCTCATTTATGAATTGCAGGAGCTCTTTGAATTCTCAATTGGAACTGACATCTCAAAACACATTTACGGCCGGCTCTCATTCATATAAATAGCTATAGAGTCTTAGTGCTTTCATTCTGGTCGCGTTCACTTTTTGTGTTGAATCCACCTTGCTACGTCCCCTTTGTTGCTTTCATTCATTCCCTCCAGTAATCTTCGCTCCAGTGCACAGACAGGTACACACATTTACACATATAGACAATGTCCACAGTGCGCCACAAAGAGGAGTCATCGCTCCAATACCAAGATACCACAACCACCTCCACCTCTACAAATTTATCACTGTCTCCTATACATAAACATCAACCCGATTACTCGTTAGACCAAAGCAACATCGAAGACGACTTCGGAAACGACTCTTTGCAGGCAGATAGCTCAAGCATGTCTCAGCAAGATGCAGAGGCGACATCACCTCTCACACCTACCACGACTTGTTCTTTGTCCTCCTCGGCTTCATTATCTTCGGCTTCTTCTTTATCAAACTACAGACGCGCTGCATCGAGATTGAGTACTTCGACTGCCATGTCACTGTTTAATCATACAACAACAGGAGAAGGTGGCGATCGAGCTTTTGGATATCCTTATCACCACTATCGAACGTCATTCATTTCTAGGAGACATCAGCAGGCTCGCACTCTCTCCGAAGAGCTATCGACGGCTGTAAGACAAGATCCCGAAGACAACTACTCTTCCCCCAGTACTCCCTCAGGCCTTTTACCTAATCCCGCTGACCTGTCCACGCTTTCCTCTTCTCCTACTTTGTCATCATCATCATTGTCATCATCAACAACAACACTCGTATCGTCTACCTCTGAACACTTTCCACTGTTCAAGCCGTCCAGGTCTTCTAGTCAGCAGAATGGATACATCTCACCTGACCAGAAACCAAAACCATCCCCTCTGGCCTTGCACAATAACTATAAGTCGCAAGGCCAAGGGCACATAGTAGCAACAGGACGTGGAAGCCCCACATTTTCTCCTCGTCCTGGTAGCCCCACCTCCGCAGTCTCGCACGACTGCATTACAGCCACAGACATCGCGGGATCTCCGCGCACAGCCTCTGCTGCCGTAGCTGCCAATTTAAGTGTTTCATCCTCAACTCGATCGAGCTTTTATCTTAGTCGTGGTTCTCTGTCGTCTTCCTCTGTCTCGTCTTCCGGCTCGTCCTCGCCACGTAGCTCGATAGCTCCATGCTCGGCGTTATGCCTTCAATCCAGTGATAAGCGCTATTCCTATAATGGTTACCAACAGATTCTGAATGAGAATCATCATTCAACTTGCCAGTACTATAACGATATACAACGAACCATGTCTCCATCTCCACGACTACAGGTCGAGACACGCAAATCTAAATCTGGGCGTGCAACCAAAGGTAAGCAACATTTGTTTTAATAGTAGTGGCAGTGATAATGGCAATAGTAGATTTAGATAAGGGGCCAAGATGAGCGTGATGAAAGCACGGGAACACCACATGTAACTAGCTGCCTAATAGTAACGCAGTTGAGGTGGCGAGCTTTTGCCCTATCAGCAAACCAATTGCCGACAGTCAACGAAAAAGGACTATCTATTAATCACTCTATACCATCCTTTCCATCTTCATTTACATATGAATCATTATTATTGGACTATATTATTTTAAATATAGCTGGTAAGAAGCACGGAGCTGCCAAGACCTTGGAAGAAGAAGACCCAATGAATAAATTAACTTTAGTAAGTCCATGTCGCTTTTGTTTTGTTTTTTAACATGTCGAGTTTATTATTGTTATTACTATTATGATGTGATCAATGAAAACACATTCCGGTCATAATGAACATTAGGAGAGCCTGTTGCTCATGACTTCGGATAAAAGGGTTAAATACAAGGCTCATGTTTTGCTAACAATTTGGTCAATTACACTTCTCATATTATAGCAACTTGAATCAACTCCACTGGATAGTCCCAGCTCTCGTCCATCGCGTCCCCTATCTTTCTCCGGCTCAGTCCATAGTTCTAGCAGGCCTTCGCCAAGGATAACTGGTTACTATAAGGCTAAAACTGCGCGTCCCTATCGATCGTCTCGTCAATCATACTGTGGTTCAGGAGGATTATCTTCTCTTTATAACATGGGACATCCACGGAGCCCATCGATGCCTGGACAGCTTGATGCTGATAGCACAGACGCGGCATTCTTGAGAATGGAAGCACAGCTGAATAACTTAATTGCCGAAGGCAAACGAGCACTAGGTAGTCAAATCGAGGTTTGGGATGAGGAATAGTCCGACTATCATCATTATGCTAGTCATATAGTTTTTTTTGTTTGCTCTTGATACCTCTTTCTTTGTCCCTTAATAGAAACATCGCGGATGAAATTATATACTGCATTAGAGTGCATAGCATTGTCATCGACACATTAAATAAATATAAAAAAAAGGAATTGTTCTTACTCTGCAAGTGTCTAACTAATATGCAAGCATCAGCTATGACTTAGTTTTGTGCCAATATTGTTTTACTTTTTTTATATATATCTTTGGCAATCATCAGACAGGACATTTAGAAAGACCAGATGATCAGTTGCATGTAGCTCTATGTCATGCCATTCTTTTTTTTTTTCCTTTTCTACCAATCTTTTCCCTGCACATGCTAGATGCTACTATGATGATTCAAAAAGAAGGACTAGATGTCTTGTTTTTCTGTGTAGTCTCTTGGATATAAAACTGATACAGACGAAAGAGACGGTATCCAACCAAGAATGCAGCCAGATAGATCAAGAGTGACAATTTTCCACTCCAGAAATGTTTCTTGCGTGTAGCCTGAAGTGCATTATTGTAAGGGCGAAAGGTACGCTGACCACGTCGAGGCTGTTGTTGCTGAGATTGCTGTTGTTGTTGTTGATGTATTCCTCGTTGTACGCCTGATCGAGCCAGTCGCCTTGGTTGCTGTATCATTCTCTCTGAAAGTAATGAAATGCATGAATACATGAGCAAAAAAAAAGGCATCTGCAAACTTAATTGTTCGACGTCACACATGCTGTTTCTTAACCCCTTTTTCCTTCACTTGCTCTTTCGATTCCCAACTATCTTCCACCTTTCTAACGACTAAGGAAAAGAAAGAGTTCTTCCCAATCATCTTTAACATACAATACATATATAAGAAAGAGAAAACAACATGAAGCTTCTGACTTTATCTTTGTCGACATTGTTCTCGACTTTAGCTTACAGCTCAACATTAACAGGAATAGAAGCAGCAGCAGGGGCAGGAGCAGGAGCAACAGAAGCACCAGCAACTGTGTATTTCTTCACTCATGGAAGTTCCATTTCATACAATAGCAATAAGGACCATTGTGATGTGCCTTTGTTGGACTTGAAGGAAACCCGTGCCACATTAGCTCATTGGTTGAACTTAGGACCACTCTCCAAGAGTCATGAGGAAAAGGATACATTTGTCAACATTCATGGTCCGATCCAACAGGTGTTGAATAATCAACCTGGCATGGTTAGGAAGGATATGTTTGAAACTATTGATGCAAACCTGATGATGGTCATTGAAGGAGTAAATGACTCTCAAGGTAAGAAAAAAAAAATAAAAAAAAGAAATAGGCATATGTCTACTAAATGAAATACGCGCGTCTTTTTTTTTTTTTTTTTTTTTTTTTTATTTTACCCTTTGAATTGGACATCATAATTCAGGACACAACTACTTGACTGATCCCATTGTTATTATCGCCTTCTTTAACTACCAATATGTAGATCTACTTCCTTTGCTTGATCCTGTCTTCAAGATTGATACTAGTGAAGGTATCCAAGATATCATCACAGAACTGGGCAACACCATCCCTGAGGGAAATAGACATCTCTTCAACACTGTATGTGTTTTCGTTCTCTCCCCTTTGATCTAATTTCTCCCAAAAGGCGGTCAGCCTCCACATGATCTCATGAATCTCACGCGCTATCCTGTGCTCTTTTTTTTTTTTTTTTTTTTTTACTCCTATATTATTTTTTTTAGCACAAGTCTTCAAAATCAGGAAATGCGCTGGCAAATGCGCACCTTCTTGAGGAGCATCATACCAATATCGATATCAATGTCTTTGATCTTGACAAGAGGGTAAATACTCCTTATTTACACTTTTTCGCAAAAGTCAAGTTGGGTTATTATTCCTTTTTATCACTAATCCTTTATTATAATTATTATAAATGTTGTTACCCTTAACTGTTAGGCTGATGCGTTGTTCCTGGAGGAATCTGTGTCGCTACGCAATTACTTGGACCAATACCGCACCCAGTATGGAAATGACAACTCCGATTTCTTCCGCGTCACAATCAAAGGTCTAGCTGCTCTTGCATCTGAACATGGCGTTGATTCTGTTCAGTACAAGACTGCTCAACAAGTCTTGAAGGAGTTTTTGGCGGATGTAAGTCATAAAAAAAGAAAAGAAAAAAAAAAAGGTCAAACAGGCATGGGGCATAGTAGAAATGACCTTTTTTATTCTATGCGATATATACTAATCATCAGATGGTACATTTCTTTGTTCTCAGACCCTTATCCCCAAATTCGGACAAATCCACAAGAAGTTCACTGCTACCATTATCACAGTTGCACCTTTGGCCCATCATGAGTTTGAATCATCTTCATCCTTCAATGAAAACCCTCTGTTGAAAGCCTCAGCTCCTTCTAACCGATTGAAGAAACGCGCTTTGCCTCAGAATGGACACTGTTTTGAGACTGAAGCAGATTGCCAGACGAATACGAATGGTTGTAACGAGCATGGATCCTGTGTGTTCAGTATTGCAGCCAACTGCTTTACTTGCAAGTGTAGCCGCGTCAACAATACCCAGTATGGAGGCAAGACTTGCGACAAGATTGATGTGTCGGTCGAATTCCATTTATTCTTCTGGCTAGGTCTGGGCTTGATCTTGACCGTTGCCGTGGCTGTGGGCATGATCGTTCAAATGGGTAACCATTCTCAAGGAGGTGTGCCCGTTGGTCCTACGAGGGCGCAACTGAAGCGGGATTAAAAAAGAAATAATCTCTAGTCAGTAGTGGAGAGAACAAGACAAAATATATATCAAAGTTGGTTTATAAGTGAATAGTGTGAATAAAAGGAAACAAAACTGGAAAACACTCCTTGAAGTGATATGAATGAATGCGATGCTTTATAATGTTTTTATTATATATTCTATATATCATGATGCCTATTTTGACTTTTTTTTTTTTTTTTTTTTTTTTTTTGGAGTCTAATTACAGAGGTGGTGGGACATATCCGTCATTACTGGCTTTCTTATTGTTGTCGACACTACTGTTATTATCATTGTTTTCAATTATCACCTGTGGAGCGCGCGCGCCTGGCGATGGACTCTGTTGTACTGGATACATCGTTGTAGCAGGCCACGTTGTAGAAGAGGCTTGATAACCCTGTTGATAGAAAGGATCATACGGGGAGACGTGGCTGCTATTGTAATGACTGGAAGGTGGTGGATGGTGATAGTATTCAGTTGCAGTTGCTTTGACAGCTACAGAGGCAGAACTGGCCATAAACGGATTAGGGCTTGGTGAGGGCATATTTTGGTGATACCCAGGACCGGAATGGAACTCATCAGGTGACACGAATGGGTTTGAGTCATTCGCATGACTCTGATACACTGTTGGAGGAGATTGCACTCCACTGGCGGCAACGCTACCACCATAATGTGTCGCTGGAGAACTCATCATGTAAGGGCTAGAATGAGCACCATACGGGCTACCATCGCCCATATACTTTTCAGATCCATATCCACCTACGGGAGCATTGTGTGCAACCATAGGTGTATGGTAATACTGATGCTGTTGGGGATCGACTGGAATGTTAGGACTATGATAGCCTTCCATCTTGTTAAGCGGGTATTCATTGTTAGCATAACAGCCATGGTAGCCACCATCACCCATTCCATCGATTGCTGCTGGTGCCGCTGGAGTATGAGGACTACTAGCTACTGTAGATGAGGACACCTGTACTTTAATATTAGAATCATCTTCTGAACTTGCTGCCGCAACGAAAGCATCTGGTCGATAAGCGGTCCCATTTGCCTCTCTTTTTTTCCGTCTCCATCGGACGACCAAGAAAGCTCCTAGACCAACAAGTGCACAAAACGCTACTAATGCTCCGATGATGGTTCCAGTGCTGGATGATTCTTTCTTTTCGCCCACACTATATTCGTCTGTCCATTTATCTTGATTCAGATTATAGACGATAGGTAAACTGTTGAGCATGGTGCTTCGGGCCGATCCACTGGATCCACCCCAGGCAATGAATTGATGCGAATGAAGTGCACAGGCCATCCTCGTTCGAGCTACAGGGGCTGGTTGTCCTTGTCTCCATTTCCCACTTTTGACGTCCAAAATGTAAATCGTGTTGTAAAAAAGATTATTGTCCGCCGCGCCTCCAAATACAACAACCGTGGAACCGTCCTCCGCTATAAATGTTTGAGGAAAAGAAAAGGAGGGGGGAAGGGCAAATGTGAGTGATGTAGGACTATAAGCAAACAAGAAAAAGGTAAAAGCATGTTATGTAAATGTCTGTGCTTAGATGCAAGACTTACAAGCAGCCATGCAATGATCCAACCGAGCAGGAGGTTTGTCTCCAGATGTGGACTAATGAGAATTAAAAAACGGATGAGATTTTTTCCTTCAACAGCCAATCGCGTTCTTCAAACACGAGGATCCACAGACCTCTTCTTTTTTTTTTTTTTTTTTTTTTTTTTTGTCTTTAGTCTTTGTAAAAGACTTACCATTGTCTTCCAAGTCCTTGAGGCAATATCATATTCGTTGAACTCTTCAGATTCCAATGCAGCCACACTCGCTGGAGGAGCTCTTGTTCCTCCAAGAGTGATGATTGAATTTCGAGAACTGATAAAGGCTGCTGTCAAATCTGTCACACTCGAATCTGCTGAGGCAGATTGTTGAGTAACCAACTTTCCTGATTTAGGGTCATAGACTGAGAATTGATTATAAGTCGTGTTGGAATTGGTGCGGCCAAAGCCCCCGATGATATAAATCAATCCTGTATTAGGATCTGATACAGCAGCATGACCTTCTAGTTCCGGATAAGGGGGTTTAACAGTGGACTGAAGATTCCAGGTACTGGAATCGATATCAAATGTAGTGAAAAATTCCGTATTTTTACCCACTCCTCCAATGGCTAAAATCGTACCCTTGGGTCCTCCATTGGAAGCTGAACTGATGGGTGCCAATGCTAAATGGGTACTTGATTGTCCATCAGGGAGTTTAGTCCAAGAAGCAGAGGATGTAGTCCAGGAAGTTGAGAGATCCAGAGAGATGAATTGACTGGATGCTTCCTGGTCGTATCCTCCTTGAATATACAATGCATCGTTGATCGTGGCGAATCCAATACGACGGGTTCCGACAGGTTGAAAAGATTGAGCATCCGAGACTGAAATCAAACAGCTCAGAGTGAGCGTGATCAACGAGAGAGTGATGGTGATGCGAGAAGAAGTAGATGAAGATGAAAGATGGTGGCACTTCTGTGAGGACAAAAGTCCTTTGTGCTGACAGCTGTGACAGCTATGACAGTAATGCATCCTGATTAATTTAAAATGTATGTATCTTGAACGGTGGCAGTGGTGATAAATTAAGTTGAAACGGGGGAAGAGTTGTGGTTATGGTGGTGTCGTGATCCAAATGCTGGAGAAAAAAAAAAAAGTACTTTATTGCTGTTGTTACAATAGCACTGAATTGAATGAAGATTGGAAGAAGGATTAAAGAACAAAGAAAAATATTAGAAGAGGAAGAGGAAGAAGAAGAGGAAGAAGAAGAAGAAGAAGAAGAAGAAGGAAAAAAAGACTGGATTAGAGTGGACAAAGTCAATTGAAAGACTAAGCAATGACTGATGCGACAGGTGGGTTGCAGGCCAAATTGGATGGTATCCAGTAGAGGAAGGGAAGGGAACGGAAAGGAGCAGGAATAGGATCGTTTCGTTTTAGAAGAAGGAAGAAGGAAGAGGAAAGGAGGAAGGAAAAAGAAGAGAGAGAAGGAGGGCGCTCGGAGGCAGGAGGATGAAATAGATGAATGAGAAACAATAAGGAAGAAAGAAAGGAAAAGAGGGGGACAAAAGACGAGAGAGAATATCAGAAATGAATGAATGAGAGAGGCTGTGGTTTAAAAAAGAGCAAACACGCACACACAAATGGTTATTAAGAAATATACAATATGTTACAGTGGGATAGATTGATAGAAAGATTGAGGGGGATGATGTGCATGCTATTCTCGGTAAATCTTCTATGTTAAGAACAATAGACGCAAACAAACAAACAACATAAAAAATAAAAAATAAAAAAAAATCACTGGCTTGATGAAGAGGATCTTCGTTTTGAGAATTTATCCAACCCTTGCTTCTTTTGAAGGAAAAAAGAAAAAAAAAAAAAAAAAGTCAAGGAATGAATGAATGAATGGCGGGGAAAGTAGAGCAAAAAAAAAAATAAACCTGTTGATATACATCTTTGCTCTGTTCCACTCTGCTTCTGTTTATGTTCACAATAATAATAGTGACCATAGAAACCCAACGTTAAAAGGCTTTTTTTTTTTTTTTTTTTTTTTTTTTTGCAAGGATGTAATGTGCACTACCCTTCCTGTTTTATCTGCAGTCTCTCCGTTAACTTGCACACCACCCATTGCCCGCCCACCTCGTCGTCCGAAGCGAATGGCCCGTGGAACGCATTTCTGAGATTCGAATGTGTTTGTGTTAATTAAAAGAATGGTTTTTTTTAGAGTTCGGTGTGGACAATAAAAATCAAACACTGGACAATGGATGAATATTTATGAATGGCGGGATCAAAGGATGGATGTGTGGTGTGTTTGTGTGTGTTGTGAGCGATTTTAATCTGGCTACACAAAACATCTTTTAGTCTGACCCCTCCCCTCCCCCATGGCTCCCATTTCACGTCCCCTTCATGCTCTTTTCACTTCCTCCTCTTCCAGGCTGTCAGCAATTGAATGTTTATGATGAAATACCAAATTATTCGCCATAAAAAAAGAATCAATGAATGGCACATGAAGAAATGAAAAATAGAAAAAATTTTGATCCATGCTCTTTCTTTTTTTTTTTTATGTTTGCCAATAAGCTACTTGCGAGCACATAAACACTCAGCAAGGAACAACTACATGTATATATTATACAGTGGAATCTCGATAATTGTACACTTTTGTACAAATTTCAAATTTGATATATTTCTAGGCCATTGGTTGGCTAAGAGCCTTACTCTTTTAAAAAAAAGTATTCTAAAAAACCCACACTCAACTGGAGTAGAGGAATCAGCAGAGGATTTTTAGAATAGTTTTTCATGAATTGTGGGCTTCTTAGCCAATCAATAACCGAGAAATATAGCAAATTCGAAAATTGTACAAAAGTGTACAATTATCGAGATTCCACTGTATCTCATTTCATTTCACTTCTCCCTTTATTTCCAGTCTGGAGTTAATACTTTATCGGTTTCATTGGCCAGCCACCAGGACCTTATTTATTTTTTATTTTTTTTTTTTAGTTCAAATCTTCTTTCATCATTGGATTAGCAATCTTTTTTATTGACAAGACACTTAAACAACAGAAAAAAAGAAATTAGCACTAAAATAATCTTGAAGAGATTAGCATTTCTTCTCAGCATTCCTCGAAAATCTTTCCTCCCCGTTGTCTAATCATCTTCAGTGTTGCTAGAAGAGAAGAACTGTGGAGTATGGAGGTAAAAATAATAATAATACGAATGTCTCACGCGTCATGACATTTTGGGCGTTATATACTAATTTAATTCTGCACTAAATGTCTTTTCAAGATATGGGCGTTAAGAGAAAAAAAAAAAACGGCAGTTCATTCCTGTGAAACACAATGCTTGTAAGAGCGAAAGGCTTTTCTAACACTCATGCAACCATCTTCCCCTTTCTATTTTGTCTTACATTGCAACATGTCCAATTGCTTGTGCATAAAGCTTTTGGAGGATTTTTCTTTTTCTTTTCTTTTTTTTTTTTTTTTTTTTTTTTTTTTTGTGCGAATCGTGTCGTGCGTCATTGAGATCCAATACGCTTTTGTGTCTTCACCACCTCATACAACGATTTCTCCTTCGATGCTCCTTTTTACTTCAGTATGAATATCCTTCTGTCCTTCGGGCAAAAGGATCATAATAAAAAAATTTAAAAAAAAGGTGATGGAGCCCAAATGTGGGAGCTATTTTTGGTCTTTCGGTATCTTCGGTACTCATAACCTTTTTTATTTATTATTTTGTAAAGTCTCAGAAGTTGCATGCATGCATGCACTGTAGAAAACAAACTGCTCTACCAGCTCGCCTCTCTCTAATCCTCTTCATTCCGTTGAAAACCTTTCAAAACCAGCTTTTTTTATTTTTTTATTTCAAATAATAAAAATAAAGAATAAACCTTGATCTCGATGATAACTCACGGTTATAAAGTCATATTAACAAAACCTCTGTCGCTCTTTTATGTTGATGATCTGACCCCTGTAAACTGATAATAAATATTTGATCCTTTGATCCCAACAGCCTAGAGAGGTTCAACTGTCTTTTCGTACATGCGGGAACATTATAGTTTTCTATTTTCTCTGGTACTCCGATCATGCGCATTTTTTTTTATACGCATACATACATACACCCTTCAAGTATATCATGAAGGCAATCAAAGACGATGTTCATGAAAATATATACATCACAATATCCCGGGATCTGGGAGAAACAGAAGGAAAAGAAAAAAAAAATCAGACGATGTGTGATCCCAAAGGAGTACAGCTTTTCTTGTGAATATTTCAGGTAACCCTTGTGGACTTGATCAAACAGAACACGCTTGCTATCACCAATGCTTTTTGGTATTCGCATCATCTGCGTGTTACAGCTTGCAGCAGCTACTGTATGATGTGAAGGAAGGCTAGGAACAGTCTGTTATACGTCCAAGAGATGACTTGCTGGGATCCGTAGGAACATTATACTTCATACCAACACTTATAAATGACTCCGCACAAGGCTGCTTCTTGTTGATCTGCTCAATAGCCTCGCTTAACGTTTCCCGATTGGCCTTACCACGAGGATATTCTCTTGCGATTTCCTAGTTCAATCTTCATTCTGCTTTTGCTGTTACGGATTGCTATAGGGTTCCTCAAACACTTCATGAACGTCAGCAATACCGGATATTTTTCCCATTAGGCCTTAAGCTAGTTGTTGCATCTGTCATTTCATAGAGGAGACAAATTATGCTCCATTGGTGTGATCCTCCCTGTCGTAAAAAGTGAAAATATTCTTTGATTTACTTGATTGCTGAGAGGACCGGATTCTTGTCCTTCCTCATCTTGGATGCAGCTATAGAATGCGAAATATTGTACACATCATCATACATGATAAAATCGCCTAGTGAGGGACTTCCACCCTCGTACAGAATCTGAGATTAACATTTCATGCACCCACCCTTCCTTTTGTCCTCTCTCTCGTACTCCTTTCTAGTGCTCTGACACTGACAGAATATTGTCTGTCTGCCACTCGTTACTTGGGCCAATTGACTTGTACGGACTACGCATCGCCGTGGAATTTGTAAAGATGCAGATCTGATACTGCTGCCTCTTTTCTTTTTTAAAGAATCAGGCATAAGGTAGAATTTAGTACAGCTAAATTTCTATAACCATATCACTGGAAAAAAAAAAAAAAAAAAAAAAAAAAAAATCCTTTGTGGTGTCCATGATATATTGGTCTACCTCATATACCTCTTCACTGGAAGCACCAATAGCTTGAGTGACTATTTTAAGTTGGCTTGGGGCATAGTTACGAGCTAGTTTCGGGTTAAGTGGCGTCTGGCAGAGTGTAAGCACCATTTTCGGTATGAGTTATAGGCTTTGTATAAACCTTGGTATTTGGGTATAAGTTTACCCGTTGTGGCAATTCTTCCTTCGCCATGACAAACTCTCCAGGTAGAAAAAGAAGGATTGTAGATATCCTATTGAGCTACTCGATCTTTTTTTTTTTTTTTTTTTTTTTTTTGCATATCAGCACTCACTCTTATCAGCAACAGCAGAGAAAGCTAATTCAGTTAAATGTCCCAATTTGTTCAGTAGTCCTCCGTCAGACAGGAGATACGACTCAGCAGAGGGAAAAGACTGCTAGTCGCGCAAAGGAGTGTCCATAGAATAATGACAATAGTATGGGATGATGTAAACTCGCGACTCTAGTGTCCGTTTGAAGCTGTATCATCATCATCGGAAGGTCAGTGTCTCAATAGCCTTGTTTAGCTTCGAGCTGCTTCTGGAGGATGTCTTTAAACGTGCGGACGAAATCTCTCTGCTATACCATTCGAGCGTGAATGATAGGGGCTTGAGAGTCTGTACTCTAGCTGTGACTTTTGCGTCATAGGTCATGAAACATCATTGAAAAATTCAGTGCTACTACCATGTTAGATAATCTTAGGGAATCCAATAAAACAGAGTAACTTGCGCTTGCAGCCGTAACGACTCCTTTATCAGACAAAGGTTCCAAGGATACAAATCTTGTGCAGATATCAAACGCTGCTAAAGCGTAGTTATTGCATTGAGCACTGGTTTCAAAGGGAACCAAAGTCAGATGCTATATGTTCTCCTAGAAGTCTGACATGTATGGTAGTTAAAAGATGATACCCTTTTCTTGATGTTAAATATTTTGTATGGCCCACATTTGCTAATTCGTTTGAGCCAGTCGTCCCTCAATTTAGGTCAAGTAAAGCCCTTGGCATGTATATCTGTAGCCATTGTATCACCTTACACCAGGTTGTCCAAATTCATGTGCTAAGGGGGAAGTATTGATGCTTTTTTCATTAGCGTGCTGAATGATTTGCCTCCAATCGAAGCTGAGGAGTGTTGGGTGCGGTTATGATAATAACCAGGAGATTAGAAGGCAGCAACAGTGAATCAGATGACTACGGAGCTGAATGAGCTTTTTTTCGGTAGTCTCTACTCCAGTTGTGACTTGTCATTCTTGAGGAAACTTCCGGAATTCTTCAGGAAATGCGCGGGATAATGGATAAAGACATTCAAAATCACAATAGAGCAAAGTGGCCTTTCCAGTTCAGGATTTTTTGTGGCAACTCTTCCTGTTCATTGCCTTGCTTCAACAAGCCTTGGGAAGTATCCTCATGGAAGGCAAAGCCCACAATTGTTGGAACGTGGAGGGAGAGAGGGAAACTACAAGTCCAAAAGTTAAAGAACCTTGAGGGTCAATGGCAGTTTTGCAAATAAAAACTTTAGCTGTTGTCGCTGGCAACATGGAACTCTAAGATTATTTCCCACTGCCAAGTCCCTGAAATCCTTGATACTGAAGATCTAAAGGATCTAACATTCGTTATCTACAAGCTTGAGCTGAGGGAGAGACAGTGGTTTGGTGCTGGTAAGGTAAACATTGTTAATTTTCTATGTTAACATCGACGTTTTAATTGCGGCAGTTTTTTTTTTTTTTTTTATTTTTATTTTTTTTTATTTTGGCTATTTACGCAAAAGACTCTCAAGGGGGCTGGTGGCCTTGCTCTTAAGTTGTAGCTCTTACTTTGAGGATATGCCATTTTACAAACGGCATGCACGCGAGCGAAAAAGGAGGGAGGGAATTAATTCGTGCACGGACCATGCTCGCGTCTCCTTGCGAAAAAAAAAAAAAAAAAGAAAAAAAAAATTATAGTCATATTAATAATATGCAGATAAGCTAATAGAAAAATACTTGTTAACATTGCTTTAATGCTTTTTAGTTTACTGGGGAAGTATTGGAATATTGAAGATGTCTTCTTTCTCTGGCAAAAAAAAAAAAGAGGAACCCTCTGCTAATTTATTATCTGAAGTTTTGTAACAGTGGTTCCAGAAAGGTAGGTGTGATTGCTGCGGTAGCCACGTGATAACTGAACAGAAGCTGCGGGGGTGGAGTCATTCATTCATTCATTCATTCGTTCATTGTTCATTCCGTTTGTTCTTTCCTCTTTTTTTCCTTTTCTTTTCTTTTCTCACTTGTTTCTTCAATTTCTTCTTTTTCGACGATGAGTTCCCGTACAACGACTGTTCGTCCTACACGAACCACTACAAAAGCCGATCAAAACCAATCGACTTCACAACAACAGGAATCAACTCCACCTCCATCTCAAGACCGTTGTGCTCATTGTAAAAAGTTTTTGCCTGCTGTCAAAGCAGAATGTCGTTATTGTCATTTAATCTTTTGTATGGAACACAGGTAAAAAAAAAAAAAAAAAAAAAAAAAAAAAAGGAAATATTATTACTTGTTAATCTTTTTAATAATTATAATAATTACAATTGTAATTTCTAATTTCTAATTTCTATTGTCTATTGTCTATTGCCTAATTTCTAATGTCTAACGATTGTTTTAGACATCCAGAAACTCACTCCACCGGATGTGCTCAAAAAGCTCGAGAACAAACTCGACAACAATTTCAACGCGATTCAGGACACATTCTCGCTGCAGAAGCTCATGATCGTGGCTCGACTCATCGTCCTGGTTGGAATATCGAAGCTTCTCGTCAAGAATTACATCAACGTCTAAATCAACGTGTTCAAACCCTTAAAGAATCTTCGGGACGATCTGGATCTGGATCTTCTTCTTCCAACTCTAACACAGGAGCATCATCTAATACAAGTGGCACTGGAAGCTCAAAGAAAGGAAAAGGGTCTTCAGCAAAGAAATCCAATAACAAACCAAAGACTTGGGGATCAGGTGGTGTTCGGTTGGGAGGCGTACCTGGCTCTGGAGCCGGGGCTGGGACTGGAACTGGAACTGGAACTGGAACTGGAAGTGGAGCTTGAGGATCATCAAGAGATGGAAAACAGGCTCAATAACTTGAGCTTCACTTTAAGCCTTTTTGATTAGCTTTCCAATCATGTATACGTATATACCCATAGTTGAACCATTAAACTTTTGTATTGACTAAATTACGATACATCGCCAATTTGTTTATTAAGTATTGTTTTTTTTATAAATGTGCCTCTTTTTTTCTCTTTCTTTGTTGTTTTTGTTACTATTGTTGTTAGTGGTGTTTGTACATGAATTAAGTGTCCCAAATAGATATTTTTGAAAGAAAAAGAAAAAAGAAGAAAAAAAAAAAAAAAAAAAGAATAAAAAGCTAAATCTGCAAGAAAGTTAATATGATCAGAAAACCCTAAAAGACTCCATCTTCTCAAATATTGTCACTACCGGTGGCGGACAGGGATAGGTGCAGAGTGGAAGCGTCGGTCATCCACAGAGGGCGAGATATGGTGACCATTTCCATTGCTGTGATAGGATGACTGCTGACTGTGATATCCTCCATGGGATCCTTGTGGTGAAGGTAGGTTCTGGTAATATGATGAAGAAGAGGGTGAAGATGAAAAGCGGTGGTGGCCAGACTGGGGAGAGTGCTGTGACGAAGATGAGGGCTGTTGTTGACGATGATCCAAGTTTGAGAAGCTCGAGTATGATTGCGTGAATGGGCCGGGACTGCCTCTAGAAGAGTTAGAGAATGATCCAGAATGCGAGTGTTGATGTTGAGGATGGTGCGAGGGTCCTTCACTATAGCCGCGATTATGCGTTGGCTCATATCCATGATGACCATTGGATGGGGATGACGATGACAAAGGTGCACGATTGTAATCCTGTGAAAGCTGTTGACGATGATGCGATGACTGATGAAGGGAGCTAGAGAAGCGATCGCCGTTCGAGTGATGAGCAAATGAAAGCGAGGGCTGAGGCTGATGTGATCCATGGGAAGGAAGCGAAGGCAATGAGGAGGACATCGTTACATCCATTGGTTCTGATTTCGGACTTGAACTGTCTGTACGACCATTATTGTTAGGGTTGGTGTTGTTGGTGTTGTGGCCGTTCGAATGGGGTTCCCAACGCAAAGGTCTTGACTGAGATGAATGCATATGGAAGTGGGAGGGTAAAGACGAAGACATTTCGTGTTGGCCGTTCTCTGAATAATAGTGCTGATGGCCTGGACTACCTTGTGGGTAGTGATGATATCCATTAGCCCCGCTATGGTCGCCACTGTAGCTGTGATGGTGCATATGGCGAGGAAGATTAGCTCCGTCTCCAGTATAAGAGGAAGAATGAAAGTTGGGTGGTGAAGGTCGCTGAAAGGAATTAGGCGAGCCAGCGCCATAATACTTTGAGGCTGCTGGACCAACCGAGCGTGAGCCATGAGGTGATGTGCCATAGCGATCCTGGGTTAGGTGAGGCATAAATCCATTTGTATGACCATGACCAGTAGGACTTGGTGAAGGTGGTGACGAGTTTGAGACAGAATGCGACTGTGATCTCTGCAGATGAGGACGGTTAGGAGGAATAGGGACTTTGCCATTGTAGTTGAGTGATTCCAGCACTCCTGCTGCGGCCAACTGTTCCCTGTTTTCACTATTGTTGGATAGGGGTGTGAAGGAAGGAAAAAAAAAGGAAATAATATAGTGGGTTTAGTGTGATTGATTGATGGACGGTAACAGATGAATTCTAACGATTTACTGGATTTGGATACAATCATAACTAGAACAAAATAAAATAAAAAAAAAAGTTTGTTTTTGTTTTGTGGACTTACCTAATAAAGCTCTTAATGTCAGGCTCGTGACCCTTCTGATGTCGAGTCAATGTAGTGCGTCGAGTGAATGTTTTGCCACAGCCTGGATGCTCGCATACATATGGTCGCTTACCAGTATGTGTTCTTCGATGGCGGGCCAGGGATGAGGACTACGTCAGTTATCATTAGAAATAAAAAGGCCCAATAGTTAGACATCTAATAATTCTTTTTTTTTTTTTTTTTTTTTTTTTTTTTTTTTGATTCGCTAACGTCTTTATGGTGTGTGCATGTTTCGTCATTATTTTCAGCCAGTGGAAGAAGGTCGAGTCGCACTCTGAATCCAGAAAGTCAGAAAGTTGCTCATATGAACACCGCTTTGTGTGGTGTCTGCGCACAAGCAACAAAAAAAAAGGAAATCAGGGGTTTGTGCTTCTCTTTGTTTTCCCTCCACCCACGAAGCATGGCTCCATTTTCTGTGCCTTTGTGTTTCTGTTTAGCAATCTTGTGTTCAAAAACATAAAAAGCGATGTTCTTTTTTTTTTTTTTTTTTTTTTTGGGTCCTTGCTGCAACGCGTGTTGAATGGGATCTTTGTTGGTTGTGGTTAAACAAAGACGGCTACCAAAGCACATGTGTGTTTTGAACGTGCGCACAAGATATGTGTGACGAAGTATGTCAAGAAAAATGTGCAAAACAGCATTGGAAGAAAAGGAAAAATGCCAAGAGGTGATCCCTTTCACGATACAAAAGGCAAGTATACAGTAAACAATACAGCACAAACATAAAGTATTTGACTTACATCGCTAAAAGATTTCTGGCAGGATTCGTATTCACAGACATGAGGACGTTCTCCAGTATGAGTACGATAGTGGACGGTAAGAGCAGAACGTTGAATAAATTGCTTTCCACAGCCAGCCCAGTCACATTGGTAAGGTCTGTAAATGAAAAGTCAAAAGGAGCGAGGAAAAAAAAAAAAAAGAGAATTTGTTAACATGATGACAACATGTGTTCACAAGTTCCAGAACGCGCCACGGAAGGTAGTAACATCACAAGTGATTTAAAGACAACCCTTTTTGGCCCAACCGCAAGTACAAAAAAAAAAAAAAAAAAACGAAGAAGCATGACCCGGAAATGGGGATGGAAAAAAAAAAAAAAAGAAGTGAACCACAGTCGTATGCACCGATGTGATCACACACACACTATTTTGACTCCCTATTCATCCATCGTGGTCATTTTTTTAAGCTTTTGTCATTCCTTTAGTCTCTCAATCTTTCTTTCTTTCTTCCTTTCATTCTCTTTCACCCTCCCCTCCCCTAAAGGAAGAGGATAGAGAAAAGATAAAGCATCAAGGATCACTCCTTCTGATCATCTTTTTCTTCTCCTTTGTCGAGCATTAGAGAGAAGAAAAATGAAGAAACAAGAAAAAAAAAAAATCTATATACTTTTTGAGAAAGCCACCAAAAAGGTGAGCAATCAAATGACCCTGTGGTTCATCTTTTTTTTTTTTTTTTACCTTTCACCAGTGTGGATGCGGCGATGTCGAGCTAGATCAGATCGTCGTGAAAAGGATTTTGAGCAGTCAGCCCAGGTGCATTCGTATGGACGTTCGGTTGAGACAGTGCCCTCGGCTTCGGAGGAGCTACCGCTTTCTTTGGTATCGTCCATATCATTGTCATTTTCATCCTCCTCCACATTGTCGTCCAGATCGATGTCGAGGTCGATATCGACATCATCGCCATTTTCATTCTCATCTCGCTTGCGTTGCTGCTTTTGTGAATCCTGTGATGATTCTGGCTTGGTTTGCTGGGCCTCGGAGCCTGAGTTGAGCATGCTGCGAATATCCATGCGGGCCAAGTAAAAGAATGACGCTGAGAAGAAGAAGGAGAAAAAAAAAAAAAAAAAAAAAGGAGAGAAGGATTGCCCGAGGAAAAAGGAGGGAAAAAAATAAAAAAAAAAAAAAGGGACAGGTGGCAAATCAGACTAATCAGGCTTTTATAATTTTTTTTTTTTTTTGCTGGCTCAAGACAATAATAAAATAAAATTGAAAGAATATGTGCACGGGACAAGAGAAATTTTTTTTATATTATAAATGTATAAATGTGTGATAGATTCAAAGTCGAGCCACACAGTGATTACACCGAACCACAAAGACTGATGCAGACTTGATGAATCTGAATCAGTGACTGAATCAAAAGAATGAGTGAATTAATGAATAATCGAATATGAATATGAATGTAGTTGTAGTTGTAGTTGTAAATGTGAATGTGAATGTGTGTAAATGTAAATGTAAAAGTAAAAGTAAAAGTAAAAGTAAAAGTGAATATGAAAGAAAGTGATGGGTGAATCAGGAAGAAGAGATTTGATTAGTGTAAGGGCTGTAAGGGATGGATGATTCTGATTCAGATTTAGAAACAGAAAAGGAAAGAGAGAGAGAAAGGGAAGGGGAAAGGGAAGAAGAAAAGAAAGAAGAAAGACAAAATGACGGCTTGAAGGAAAGGAGGAGGGGTGGTGACTTTAAGGTGCGATGAAGTACAGTAAAAGAGAAAAAGAGGGGTGGTCAGTGGTAGTGGTAGTTTGTGGCAGTGGAGAATGAATGAATGAATGAATGAATAGCAAGTAAGTATATAAGGGTGAGGCTGGGCTATGACAGCAAGGTTGTTGTGTGTGTGCGTTTAAGGAAATGGGAGGGAGAAGGTTAAAAAAACGTGGTGATGGAAAGACGCACAAACTGTGTGTGCGTGTATGTGTAGTATAAATCTGTATGTGTGAGTTGTGTTGTGTGAGTGTGAGAGAACGGAGAGAGCACGAGCAACAATGACATGAATATAAAAATACTATTCAATCCATCATTCTTTTATTTATATACAAATGAATATACTTATGTATATATTATATTATATATATATATATATATATATACATAAATGTAGAATATTGTATCTATTGACTTGAGTATAATATATATATATATATATATATATATATTTTATACACTTTGAACACATTCACACAGCCTGGTCGGTTTCTTTTTTTTTTTTTTTTTTTTTTTTTTTTTGCCCTCGTCTTTGTGGATCAAGTGGAGAGAGCATACTGATATTCCCTCAACAAGCTCAAGCAGACCAGGGAAAAAATAAATGGTTGAATCTTTTTTTTTTTTTTTTTTTTTTTTTTTTCAAATCAAAATCAAATCAAATCAAATCAAATCAAATGCCTAATCAAATGCCTAATCAGAATGAATCCATTCAAAACCAGAGGAAATGGAATCAGATGAACCAAAGTAACTGAGTTTGTCTCCAGAGAGAAAGAGTGTGTGGGATTCAAGCCTGTTTAGGACACCATCCAGCAAGTTATTATACCCAATAGCTATTAGCTGTATGTATATGACAAACAACATATTTAACCAGAGTATTCAATCCTATTAAATGCACGCCTGCTTTAATATTTGTTTGTCAGTGGAAGTTTTGTCCGACACATAAAAAAAAAAAAAAAAAGACTGTGAGCAAGAGCATGAGTAAGAGCATGCACCAAGGGAGAGGCAGCACACCTTAGCCAGCGAATCCCAACGTGGCAAGAGCTACTTGTATCGAACTACATCTCTCTCTCTCTTTATCTCGATTTGTTGGCTGATTGATTGTTTGTTGATCAAGAGCATAAAAGGGACCAAGCGTTTTCTTTACTTCTTCATTAACATCTCCCTCTCCCCTTTCTCATTCTCTCTTCTACAAAAGACCAACCATTCGCACCACGTCTAATTATCCAACAATAAAAGATTAATTTGGGTCCAATTTTTAATAATTAGAAAGTCATTTTCATTTACATGCAACTTTTATTAAAAACCCTAAAAAAAAATATCCTACTAAAATTAAGACATCCCACCTTCCTGTTATCCTTGTCATCATCAGCATCGCTCATCATTTCCTTATAGATCCTTTTCAAGACTTGGAGGGTCCTTTTATCTCTGAGGAACATTATTTTATTGACATTGAAGTTGGTTGTTTTTGAGGTACTACGCTGGGACCAGCTACGGCAGTAGCTTAAAATATCCATGTAGCTCATTCTGTTTAGGATCGTGATCCCATTTAGTATATATATTTATATTTATATTTATATTTATATTTACAATGTACATGTATATCTTGTAGGTAAAAAGATCAGCCAGCAAAATGATTCAATAGTTCAAAGGAGTATGTATGCAAAATGTATATAGTACATGTATGCCGGTCGCGACCCAACTGAACCGGGACAATATATATATATATATATATATGCATAGTCCATGATTTTTAGAATTAAAAAACCTGGCTCAGACGCACGACTTTTTTGGTACATGTATACTCCAGTGATTGATTGCAGCAACTGTAAACAATCTGCAATGGAACGAACCAAATTGATCGCTTGGCTGGTTCCTGGATTGGCACAAAAATAATAAAACAATGTTGCTGACAAAACACTAAAACACACGACGTATGTAATAATTATAAAGAAGGAAAAAGAAAAGACCCCCCCTCAAGTCCCTCAATTCCCTGCTCATCCATCTCTCGCCTTTTAGGTGACCTGTGCACTTCATTTAGGAAAAATATGAAAAATAAATATGGTGGCTCATATCGATTATGGCCAGATCAATCTTTAATCAAATACCGTATTAATATAATATATATATTTATATATGACATACATCCATCAATAAAGATGGTGACCATGTTGCATTAAAAAAAAAAAAAAAAAAAAAGTCAATTGCAAGAACTCGGAAGCACAAATCATTAATACATGTACACATGTATATAATATGACGATTTAAATGAGCTCTAGTTTATTAAAGCCTCACAATGCATCACACTTCTATTCTTTCTTTCAGTCTAAGTCTAGAGTGAATTAATACAAACGCGTTTTTTTTTTTTTTTTTTTTTTTTTTTTTTTGGATCAAAATACAGGGAATGCAGAGAGATTGCGTAAAAAGATAGGAGGTTAAAGAGAAGAGGATCAACCTTCGATTTTAAAAAGAAACCCATAGCCTGTACATACTCAGCATCATTTCTCACGATTATTTTTTTTTTTATTTTATTTTTTATTTTTCCGACTGATGAGATGCCCGAAATTGAAGAGATGACGGGAGGGCACAGTTGGAGAGAGGTATCACGAATGATCTTGCAAATAAACAGGTATGCATAGTCATATCAGAGATTGCTATATAAATATATTTCATGTTCCCTTGTTCTTGGTTCATCTCTATCTTTCTCAATCTGACCACTGCCTTTGCATCATGCACATTCGATTATACTTTAGAACAAGGTCATTGGATTATTCCCCTTGTCCTCTATCATCTCATTGGCAAAGTCATCCAAGAATTAAAAGAAAAAAAATAAAAAAAATAAAAAAATAAATCATACCCATCATGATCATAAAAAAAAAAAAAAAAAAAAAAAAAAAGAATCCAGTAAATCCTATGCTGCATATGCATGCACAATTGTTGTTGGTGCACAAAAATATTTGATACTGACTTGGCTCGTTTGGTGTTGATGATGGTCCGAGAGGGATGGGATAATGGTCTGTTTGACCTCGTGCTCAATTTTCTGCTTTCTCTTTTTCATGCGTCCTCTTCCCCCCTTCCTTCGCAGAATCTTTTTGCCTTGTCAATTAGGACCAAACCAACAATAAGAAAAACAAATAACTGATGATCTTCTTTCCTTTCCAATTTCATGAGCAAAAAAAAGAGAGACACAATAATAAAGTAAAGCAAGTTGTAGGGGTACAGAGGATCTTGGGCTTGGGCCACTTTTTTTTTTTTTTTTTTTTTTTTTTTCTTTCTTGCATTTACGGAAAGGAAAAGCCAATAGTCCAAGCCATGTATTAATGTTATCGCTTATGAAATATCCCTTGCCAATATTGACAATACAGGATTTTACATGTCCATCTTGATATTGGATAATGTCAGGAACCGTTTTACAAAAAACAAACAAAAGATTATGGATTCTCTTGATGCTATTGATAAACACCTTAGTGATTTGTTATACCTATAGTTTTGTAGCACAGGGCCCTTCAAGCATGGAACAAGTCAATAGACTTTTTTTTTTTTTTTTTTTTTTCCTTGCTGTTGGATAATAAAATGAAACATCATGAACAAAAAAAGAGTTCCCCTTCCCCTGAGGTACAAATCAGAACGATCACCAAGGGAATTTTATTTCAGCATCGGATGTCCGGATCTTTGCTTACCGAGAAACCAGAAATTTTGCGGGGAATACAGAGGACCATGCACATGCACGCTCCACTATTTTTTTGGCTGGTGCATGGAAAACAAAAAAAAAAAAAGCTGCTATAATAAATTATACATAATATATATATATATATATATATATATATCGTAATTATTATTATTTACTGTTGCCTGTGCATTAGCACGAGCATTCTATCCCACGATTTCCGCAAAAAAAAAAAAAAAAAAAAAAAAAAAGTATGCGATCGATCTGAAAGGAATTGATCGTTCTTCCAAAACATTGGCATTGGAATATCTATATGTATATATATGTATACAGTAATACTCTTTTTTTTTTTTCTTTAAACATTAATATACGCCACATTCATACTCAAAAGATATTTCCATCATTGGAAGTGCATAAAGGCATATCTATTTTTTTTTTTTCTGTTTTTTTGTCGATCAATTCTTTGTACATTTTTTTTTTCTACCCACACTATTTTACATATGCATGTATATATATCTTACTTTTTTTTACAGGGATGGGTCTTCTAGTTTCTTGTTTGTTGTTGTTTGTTCGAAAATGTGTATATAAAGTGTTGTGTGTGTATCTGTTTTTTTTTTTTTTTTTTTGCCTTTAGCACACAATCCATCATTAAACTCATTTTAATGTTACGTTCTTCATTTAAAATAAAAAACAGCTGACCATGTTGTGTTTCATTACGCATGGACACTTTTTTTCTTTTTTTTTTTTTTAGCACTACATGTATATATATTCATTGATATGTGTCTACAGTATGGACAACATGTACAACGGGCATTATTTTTCTTGTTGAATGAAAAAATGGCGCACAAGGGGCTCAATCAAATATGACATGACATGACATGAGATGCAAGGGATAATGTTGATGAACATTGGAACATTAAACCGAGACAAGATTCATCTCTTTATACATCTTTCTTTATACATGTATTATATTTGTATACATCTTTACATAGAAAGAACTAAAATGAAAAGAATATGAACAAGAAAAAAAGAAAAAGAAAAAGAAAAAGAGATAGTGCAACGTGTGTCGTAATGTATGAGAGCACATGAACCACACTTTCGCGCGCCTTGTGGATTTGAACAACAAAGAAGCAAGTAATAAAACACAAAAAGACCAGATGGACAGATTTTTTTAATGAATGAATGGTAACACTAAAGAGATAAGTCTAATTCATCTAAAAAGCGACGATGGCGATGATATATATATAATGATGGAGACCAAAGGAAATAAATAAATAAATAAAAAAAAACTCATCATCTACACAGTAACAGTTCCCATAGGATCTGGAGAATGTGTGATTTGTGAGCCTCCATTGAGGTTTATACATCTCAATAAGGTAGAGGTTGGAGGAAAGAGTTAACGCGTAACCCAACGAACATGCACCCCATGTATTCATCCAATGTTAATTCATGCAATTAGTTTTTTTAGAAGTAAAAAAAAAAAAAAAAAATCACCGGCCTCACTTGTCTTAGTCTTTGCATCGTCTATATTTTACGGCGACTTTTTTAGCTAAGGGCAATGAGTATACAAACCGGAAAGTGTCTGTGCCAAATGGCGATGCTCCAGTCAAAAAACCAACAGTAACTGTTCCTGCCTCTAGGTTTAATCAATGCCTTGGTTTGTTTTTGTTTGTGTGTGTGTGTGTGTTTTTTTTTTTTTTTTGCTCAACAAATTGCTCTCTCGCGTGCCTTTTTCTTCTTCTGCATCAGAGTTTTTTTTTTTACCCGCGTGGCACGTTTTCTCTCTCGACTTCCCCACCCTCTCCTTCCTTTCTTTCTTAAAAGTCCCGCAATTGACCTTTGGTTTTGTTTTTTGTTTATTTGTAACATACTTCGTTATCCGTTGTAGCCATCATCAACACCCACACAAAGTCCTTATTTCTGTATTTGAATAGGGTTGTTCTTTATTTGTAATTGAACGTGCTTTTTTTTTTTTTTTTTTATTTCTTTTGTATATTTGATACGAATTTATATAGATTTATGTATAATTTAATCTTCATCTTTGGTCACCTTGATCTGTGGAGTCAAAAAAGTCAAGAGAATAAAAAAAAAAAAAAAAAAAAAGAAAAAGAAAAAAGAGAGCCCAAAGAATAAGAGAAGCAACGCATGCTTTTATAGAAAGGTGCTCTCTTTCTCTCTTTCTCTTTCTCTTTTGTGTAAAAGTTTTAAAAAACGTATGACCTTTCATGTGTCGTGTTCCCCCACTCCATTGACAACAATTGGGCTGAGGTATATCTCTGTACAGAGGTACAGAGAGATCAAGAAATGCCAGATGACATCACATTCCAAAAACGCCTTGTTTAGATGTTATAAAGCTCCCATGCACTCCTGCAGCGTGCGTGGTTTTTTTTTTTTTTTTTTTTTTTTTTCTTGTAACCAACCCCATCCCATCCATATCCCATCACTACAAAGTAAGAGAGGGCGAGACAAATAAATAAATAATATTTATATAAATATACTATATTATATATAATTAGTTACTTAACTCTTTACAACTTACCACACTAAAATGCATTTACCACAACAAGGTTATTCATCGATTTATAGACACATGGGAAGCAAGGGCACTTGGTGTATTATATATACCTTAATGATCCACAACCCACTATTATTTTAGTCCCAGGCACCCACACGGCTCTGGAGACTATCTTTCATTGCCAATTTAAAAAAATAAAAATAAAAAAGCTCATTTCACAACATATCGCGTGTCCGTGTACGTGTTGCATTATCATATCACTACGGTTCACAAGAAGCATTGACCTCCTCTCCCTTCCTTCCCCCCGACCCAACCCTGTTTTTTTTTCTTTTTTTTCGTACTTTTCGCATTTTTCGCATTATTATTATTTTTTTTTTCTTAGACAATTCGTTTGGATATAAAAAAGAAAAAAAAAAAAAAAAAAAAAAAAAAAAAAATTAGGGCGCACCATGCAGCCATTTCATTCAGAAACAAATGAAAAACTTTTAATAAAAGTTGGTCTATCTTTTTTTTTATTATTATTATTACTTTTTTTTATGCAGGTTAGGTAAAGACGGCGTTCATGACCATGACCATGTCCATGTCCATGTCCATGTCCATGTCCATGTCCTTGTCCTTGTCCATATTCATTGTTTATTATCCATGTTCATGCCCATGTTCATGTTAATGTTTTACTTTTTGTGAACGCAAAAGGGCAAAGGGCGTAGAATCAATTTCCTCCTCCTTTCTTCCTTCCTCCTCTCTCTCTCTGATCCTCCTCTCTCTCTGATCCTCCTCTCTCTCTGATCATGTTTTTTCAATATTTTGTCAAGGACTGAAAGTTGGAACGGGGATTGGTGTCTGGACAATCCTTACTTTATGATACACATCGAATCTTGGTCTTCCCTTGCTCTGGGGCGTATTGTAAAATTCCTCCTTTTTATTTGTTTATTTCATTCATTTTCCTATCCACCCGAAAAATGGACAAATCAATCCCTTGATTTATTTCTTTTTAGAAATGATAAAGTAAGAAAGAAAGAAAAAAAAAAAAAAAAAATACCCGTTCCATTTCATAGATATGTGTCTGTATGGGGTACGAGACTTTTTTTTTTTCCTCTTTGAAAGCATTTTAGCAATAGAGTTTTTTTTTTATTCGTCTGACCGTTATTCGGACAAAAGAACAGACGCGTCATTTTTTGAAATCTTGTAAAACAAACAAATAAAAAAAAATAAAAAAAAAATTCGAGCCGTAAAAACGCCCAAAGAAAACTTGTTTCTCGAGTAACGGCTTTATTTTTTTTTTCTTTGTAAGTGCCAAAAAAAAAAAAAAAAAAAAAAAAAAAAGGGACAACAACTCACGAAATCATAAGAAATATATTTATATAATATAATTTGCAAACATATTAACCTATTGACCCACTCCAAGATCCAAGAATAAACATGTATATATATATATATATATATAAAATAATACTTGCAAAGGAAAGAGTTATTTAGACGGTTTTTGACTAAAGCACCAGTTCCCTTGTCCTCACCTTCAACTCTTCTTCTTCTCCTCAAACCTATTTTTTTTTTTTCTTTACTTTCCTGTCCATACTCCCGATAAAATAAAGAAAAAAACATTGAGCAAAAAAAAAAAAAAAAAAAAAAAAAAAAAGGAAGTAATCATGGATCCAATTTGTTTATCCATTAAAAGCGTTGATCTTTGCACGTTGATATTTGCACGTTGATATATACTCGTGTTTTTTTTTTTTTTTTTTTTTTTTTTTTTTTTTTGTTCCGCAAAGGACAATGTGGTCAAAAGATCAAAAAAAAAAAAAAAAAAAAAAAAAACATCGCCTCCGATTTGTAATCTCAAATACCATCTCTTTCTCTCTCTCTCCTTCAATCAAGAAGATGGAGAGAAAAGATTGGTGGGTTTGGTGAGACCCTCCTTTATTTCAAGTCCAACCTTACAGCTTTCTTTCTTTTTCTTTTCTTTTCTTTTTTTTTTTTTTTAACGTAAGAACGGGAAAACAAATAAAAAAAAAAAAAAAAAAAAAAAAAAAAAAGGATGCGAAATACCAGTTTAAGAGTACCTAAAACCCATTTCATGTGTCAATTGATCCAGACCAAGCCTTGTGGCGTAAGAAAAAAAAAAAAAAAAAAAAAAAAAAAAGGGCTCCGTGCACATCAACAACACCCTTGAATCGATACAATTTATTCAGCATCAGCATATGAGAAGCGGTATATTACCTTGCACTTAAAGGAACGTAAGACGCAGTACACAGCAAAAAAAAAAAAAAAAAAAAAAAAAAAAAAAAACTTTTCCTTTTTGACATCCCGAGATAACGGTGGGGGGACAGGGCCACGCGAGATGTGCTGGGGCAGACAAGGACCATGCGTTATTCTTTCAGGGGTTGGAAAAAAAAAATTGCATGAAATGGTAAAAAAAACGAGGGAAAAAAAAAAAAAAAAAGGTGAGGGGTACAAAAGCCTAGGTGCTTTGTTTTTTGTCACGCGTTTCTCGACATTCAGTCTATAGTAAAAATTTGTGGCTGCTTAACACGGTCAATACTTGGTGGCAATGGTGGCGCAAACAGTTAAAAAAAAAAATTGATAAATACAATTCCAGAAATCATCAATTATGTATATAATACAAATATATTTATTTAGTTATTTTCATTACTTAGTGTTGCTTGATGAACTTGATCAAATATCAATCAGGACTCCCATGCAGCAACTGCAATGCTGAATATCCCACTTTTCGGAACCACAGATAGGAGGATAATTAGAATGTGCTTGTGTATGTGCCTGTGTGTATGCATTTGTGTGGATAGGATGGGTATATTTTGTATTAATCGCTGCCTTGTGGTTCTCCACTTGGTTGGATGCTTGTTGTTGTTGCTGTTGCTGTTGCAGCGAATTGCCAAATCGCTCATCACGTGTTAATTCAGGGTTCGGTCGAATGACATGAGCTTGAATACGAGTCTTTTCATTTTTTTCTTCTTCAACACGGTTTTGCTTTTCGTTGGCAAGAGTGGTAGTAATAGCAGCTGTTGTTGGCGTTAGTGCTGCTACTGCTACTGCCGTTCCTGTATCATCACCACCATTACTATTATCATCGCTGCTATCGTTTAATTCTATTAAAACTCCCTGTTTCTCAGTTGAAGGCTGGATTACTGGTGGCAGCAATAGACCTTTTGTAGCTGTTGGGAACGTCAGATCCTTATTGCGCTTTTGGTGTAAAATCAGCTGATGCTGAAGAAACTGATGTTGTCTTTGCATCATCTCCAACTGAAGTTCCACCGTTGCCTTTTCCTGTCTTAGTTTATCATATCCTCGCTGAAGTACTGTGATCTGATCCATCAAGAACTCGCATTTTCGTTGTTCGATAGTCAAAGGCGCCTCTTGGTGAAATGTCGTGTTCAGTGTAAATCGGCGTTTCGGTTTCGATCGGCGAAAGTGAGAATTGACAGCCACTGACGATACCATAGAAGCAAGCGCTTCATCATTCAACGAATAGGGGCTTTTTTCTGGTCGTTGGTACTGTTGTTGTTGTTGCTGCTGCTGTTGTTGTTGCTGTGGAAAGTGTTGTCTTCCTCCTTTGATCCTCAATAAGCTATCAGATTCTGTCAAAGCAGTCGCACTAGGTGACCTCCCATGCTCAATGGCCAAGAGCTGGTTTTCCTGCCCTTCTTCTTCTTCTTCTTCTTCTTCCTGCTGCATCCTCAGTTGTTGTGCTTGAGCTTTTTCTTGAAGGTACGCCAGCTGGGTCTGGACCTGAACATGTTTATGTCCCATGGCTAGGACCAGGTCCTGTAACCTTTCAACCTCATTCTTGTATCTCGCTACTACCCTCTCCAACTCCAGTGTCGTCTGTGCTGCCCGATATCGTTCACGATCCAGATGATCCTTGATCTGATGCTTCTCATCTGTGACTTGCGCCACTTTGGCTCGCAACTCTCGGAGCTGATCAATCAGATACCGGTTCTCTTCCTGCAGCTGATCAACCTTCTCGGTTGACATCCGTAACCGTTTCAAGAACTTTGCATTATCTGAATGACATTCTGTCATTTCCAATGACAAGGAGTCTCGATCCATGGTCACCTCTTTAAGTTCTCTGCTCAACTGCTGGACTTGACTCTTCAACTGCTGGATCTCCTTCTCTTTTGTCTCATTTTGGGTACGAAGCTGAGAAGCTTCTGATTGTACTTTAGATAGTTGAACGATCGTCATTTCATGCTGTTGTTTCAAAGTATAAAGGGACTGTTGAGTGTTTGATGATTGCTGTTGAACTTGTGAAAGTCGCTTTTCTGACAGGCTAGAGGAACGTTCAGAATGTTGCAATCGGTTCTGGACTTGTGATAATTCAAATTCAAGTGCTTCACAACGCTCTTGAAGAACTGATGATGGTAAGGAAGGATCCACAGGTGATGAGATGGCTGCTGGTAAGGATGTTGCATGTAAAGATGATGATGAACGGGTAGGCGAAGACGAAGACGAAGACGAAGACAAAGAGTAAGAAGAAGAAGAGGAGGAGGAGGAAGGGAAGTTGAGACTCTGTGATAATGTCGATAATGGCAAAGAGCGACGAGAAGTGAGTGGCGGTAAGGGCAGTGCTGATGTTTGATACTGATTTTTATTAGTGTTATTAATAAAGTTATTTTTATTGCTGTTGTTGTCGTCGTTATTGAGACCGAGTGGAGGAGGGCTCTGTGTTTTATCCAAACTGGTCAAGGCTGCAGAGTTATTGCCATCATTGTTGGTTATTTTCTGACCTCTACGAGGAACAGAGGCTGTAGAGTTGACGTTTAGTGCTAGCATTGTTTTTGTCTGGTGTTGATCAGATTGCGCCAAGGTCGATGACAATTCAAATGTCATTGCTAAAAGACAGAATGAACTGAATGTCAGTTTATTGAGACCACATTAATCGTTTAGACTTTGCAAATCGGCTAGGAACGAATAGTGTGGTTTATAAAAAAATGAAAAAAAAAAAAAAAAAAATAAAAATAAAAAACGGCAAAGAAGTGGAATGAGTTTGTAAAAGTCTTGTTGTCTTCAATTGAAGTTCAATGAATGAACAAGAAGGAAAATAGACGTCGTTTAGTTGTATTGCATGCAGTTGCACAGATTACAAACAAAACGGAACAAATAAACTGCGCCGTCGACAGATGAATGAAATGGAAATAGTGCACCCGTGTGAGCAATTTATAAAGAACCTTTGGCAGAAGAAAGATTCGCATGTGTCTAGACTCTATACTATATACTAACAAGCCATCTTTTTTTTTTCTTCTTTACTGCGCATGCTTTATAGCGTCATTCTCGGCTCAGAAGTGAAAAAAGAAGTAGAAGGAAGAGTCGATCTCTTTAGAGTATATTTATACAAGCGTATGTGTATGTAGAGGTGGTTTTTTTTTTTTTTTTTTTTTTTTTTCAAGATGATGTGGGAAAGCATGCATGTCATATCTGAAATTATCATCATTCAATTTTTTTTTTTTCTGTTTTACAGGTACATGATAACTCTTGCTTTTCATTCTTTATTCCTCCTTCCATTTCAACTTTTACTACATCAGGCAGCGAGGTATAAAAACATGCACGCTCTCATCCCAAGCACAAGTAGCTACTTCTCGGTCTCTATACAAGTTGAAGTCAACTCCCAGGACAAACTCTGTGTGTGCATCATGAATTTCAATCATGTCGCTGGTCGAGATATCCCACATACGCATAGTCATGTCATACGATGTCGATGCAATCAATGTGCCTGAATGAGGTGAGCATTTGACTTTACGGACAGCATACTCATGTCCTCGCAAGCAATTGATCTCCCGATCGGGTCGACGCATATCCCATACTTTGATCGTATGATCTACTGACCCTGTTACCACCGTGTGGTCCTGATACTTGTTCCAATCCAGCGTCAACACTTCGTTACCATGTGCAAGGATCGTCTGAATAGGTGACGGTGAGTTGGTATCCCAGAGTTTGACTGTATGATCTCCAGAGCAAGATGCAAACAATGTGGGTGAGTGAGGGGACCACATAGCAGAATAAACACAATGAGAATGACCCTTGAAGGTCTGTAATGATCGTGGACTATTTTGGTTCCACTAATGTTCCGATCCATAAAACATAAAAAAAAAAAAATAGTTAGTTGCTAGCTCATATTCTCCAGATGGTTGCAACCTACAAACTATAGTAGTTATTACCAGTTTGATAGTGTTATCCCATGATGAGCTCAAAAATGTATCCTTGGTCACCAAGTTCCAGTTAACAGAAAAGACTTCCCTCTGGTGCTCATGCCAATTTTGAATTGGAAAATCCTGCGTCCAAAAAAAAAAAAAAAAAAAGAACATCACACAATAACGGTTAGTCATCTGTTTAGGTAAGGAAATAAATAAAATTAAAAACGAATTTGTACTTACTGCCAATGTAGTATCCCACAGCTTTATGGATCCATCGCCGCTAGCAGTAACCAATTGGTTTTCATTGACCTCACTCCAGCAGACATCGAACAGGCCATCCTGGGTATCGAAACTATTGAATGAAACCCAGTCATATTTAGTGAAATACTCAACTATTCGGTTCATCGGTCGATATCTGGTTTTTTTTTTCTCTTCTTGTTCCTGAAAGTGTATATGTTGGACTTCCTTGATAGATATTGTCTTATATGTTTGTATACTATAAAAGATTCCTTTAGGTGGTGATAATCCCAATTGGTTCACTTTGTCCGGAAATTATTTAGCTGAGCCGATCGGTCACTGAACAGATCAAAATATTCACCCATTTTTCCCCTCCACGCGAAGAAGGAGGAAAAGTAAAAAAACAAAAAAAAAAAAAATCGTTCCCATGAACTCTTGACAGTTGCCTTTGCTTCTCAATTGACTTACACTCGTTCAACCTCAATGACTCCTGCTGCTGGTCCTGCTCCAACGTTAAGAATATGAAGTCTTCCGTTTCCGACTAAACCAAAGTTAGCAGCCGTCGCTACAGCCAATTTGTGTTCAAAAAACGGACTCCATTGGACCTGTGTTCATCCGTGTCCCCCGACAAGCATAGCATCATACAAAGAAATATATATATAAAGGGTTGTTGTACATATTTAGCTTAAGCATAGTAAGAAAAGTAGTTATCGAAGTCAAGAGAAAGTCCCTCAAAGTGAGAGGTGACTTACAGCATATCCGTTGTATCCTGCGGTACGATATTTTGTAAACATGGGAAATTAAAGTAGATGTAGATCGTCAATAAGGCGTTTACTCCCAATTGTACACAGGGTTGAGGGGAGGAATTTTTTCTTTAATGAAGAGAAAAAAATAGGTTGAAATGAGAATGAATGAACAAAGTGAGTGAATGTGACACCGAGATTGGTAGTTTTCTGATTCGCACGTGTTGGTGCACGTGACATGATCGAAAAACGACTGAGTGTGCCATTCCCCACAGCGTGAACGCCAACAACTTAAGCTCTTAGCCAGTGCATCGATCATCGGGAAGTTTTACATACAAGCATTTTCAGAGACAGAACCACTGGACGCAAGGGTTATATTACATACTATATATTTGAATGTGAGCTCAACTCTTTTTTTTTTTTGTTTGGTGAAGTCTATTTTGAAAATGTGATAACTTTTGATCGTTAATCTCTATATGGTTTTATGGATTGGTGATTAAGTGGTGCTAAGGGTTCTGCATATTCTGGATTGATATCCCATGAACCACCATCTTGGCGTGACACGCGGATCAACTGTCCGTCAGGCTCTTGCGTTGAAAACTTGGGAGAGATAAAAAAAAAAAAAAAAAAAGGTTAACACTCTGTTCAAATATAAGCAAGTACAATGATATATGATAATGAATTGATGCTGTAGCACTGTTATTACCGAGGCATTCGTTAAATGGATCACATCATCTTCTTTGAGCTCTGGAAGCTCTGCAGGATTACTGGCATAAATGTGAACGAACCGTAATTGGTCATGCTCAAAGGTCTCACAGAGCACATCCAAACATGAAAATCGGATCCAGTGTTCTACAAAAACATTTCCATCGAGCGTTACAAAACAAACAACAAACAAATGACAACAACAATACCAACAATATCAGTAACGGAGCGGACAAGCAGGAATATAAATTATCGGTGTCAACATTGTGATTTGCTCTAGTGGAGTAAACGACCACACTATAGTTACTTACCTTCTCTTGTGTAATCATATCCACAATCCCCACTTGCGTGAATGACCCGAACGTGGAGATTAAGGTCCTTTAGACAGCTTCCAAAGGTTAATGATCCAAGGGGAGTCAAGGTCTACGAAACACAAAGACAAAAACAAAATTTTTAATCGTTACAACTATTTTCTAGGTTGTACTTTTTGTAGATGTGAATATGCTTACCTTATCTGTAGATGTAATTTTTCCTGTCATTTTCGCCTTTATGCTTTGTTCTATGTATTTTCTATTGTCCTTTGTTCTTTATTTCTTTTTTTTTTCTTTACAAGTTTATGAATTATAGTGAAATGATGTGATGAAAGAGAATGTTTTTCTTCATGGTGTATAAAGCCATCATTTATATATATTTTCATTCTTGACTTCGATCCTTTCTTTGTACATGTACTATTTTTTATTTTTCTCGGCATAAACGGTTGAGCAAATCCAAATCCACATTGAACTCACGGACCTAAAAGAATCGCTTTTTTTTTTTACTCTCCTTTTTAATAATCCATCCATCCCGGAAAAAATAAAACATCCACATGAGCCCACGCGATCTATTCGGTTTTTTGAACACCGAGATAATTCTTAAGAAACATGTGGGGGACTCTTAAAGAACAAAGAAAGATAAAAGAAAAAAAAAAAAAGGCAAGGGTCGACAGATTATATTCTAAAATGTGGCCAAAAACCGTGGTAGTACTCATTACCTTGGATGAAGGCGAAGTCAAATAGTTTTGGCGCAGTTTTATTGTATCTTGTTTTATATATTTTATTTTATTTTATTTGATAAAAAGATAAGAGGATAACGAGGTCACATCATTTTGGCGAAGTTATTCCTTTGCAAAAAACAATAAAACAAAGAAGGGTAATAATAGTCATGATAGTATATATACAACAAAGGGTATTGCATGAAGAAAAAAAAACGTTGCCACATTTGATCAGGGGCCTGCATATGTTTTATTCATCATATTTGCTACTTTGAATAAAGAAAAGGAACATCACAGGATGGAATGTGGTTGTTGCTTTTTTTTTTTTTCTTTTTTTTTCCTTTTTACTCCTTTAGAAACGGTGCGTTGGTTCTATTCTTGCAAGGCTGGATTTGGGACGAATCAACCATGTACTGTTCATGTCGTGCGAGGCTTGGATCGTGAAGCCACCATGCCTATCCGACAATTTAAACTGTTTGGGTCATGTTAATATTGTAATATTGCGATATTGCGGCACCGAATATGTCTATGCATTATGAACTAAATTTCCTTTCATTCTTTTCTATTGATTTTTTTTTTTTTTTTTTTTTTTTAAAAAATATTTACAGAGGCGTTTAAGATCGTAATGTCGTCGCCGACCTTCAAAATGGGAAGGCCACTTTTGTGAGATGAAAAAATATAGACCATCTGAAGAGCGTTCGTATGGTCCTTTAGCAAGAAACGTGTACTATGATCTAACAGGGACAGCCGTTAGAAAGTATTTTTAATGTGTTTCAACGTTGATCCTTTTTTTATATATATTTGTATACATGTATACTTGTCTTTACCTTTGCTTTTCTCATCGTAAAAGATCAAAGAGCTCACAGCGGTCACCTCGCCATGCACGTTGAATCCAAACATGGGCTCATCTGGAGTCAACGTATTTAATCCTGTAACAATCTAATGCAAATAACAAGAAAGAGAGCGAGCTATTTTTCGTAATTGATCCCTTCTTTTTTTTTTTATTTTTTATTTTTATTTTTTCCTTTAAAATAAAATAAAAAAGTCATTAAAGCGATACTGTTTCCAAGTATACGAACCATGTTACTCCTTGTTTAATGCTAAAGAGGTATACTAGAGGTACTTGAGTAAAGAATTTATAGCCTGGAAGTTTAAAAAAAAAAAAAAAAAAAAACGCTGCTAAAGAGCAAAAAAAATAATATTCTAGCTCCTGTAACACCAGCAGCAATAGGAACAACAATAGCAGCAGTAATAATAAAGGAAAAGCCATTATGCTCATCTACAAGAAGGCTTTTTAATAGCTTGCCTTTTGCCTTACTTTGCAAGAACGACCAGTAACATGGATGTTCTATTTTTTTTTTTTTTTTTTTTTTTTTTTTTAAACATCACAGAAATACAAATGTTTCAGGAGAAAGCCAAAAATAAAAATAAAAATAAAAAAAGCTGATATTTGGTAACTTTGGATTTATCGATTTTTTTTTTTTTTTATTTTTATTTCGATCGTCATTTAAGAAATGATCAAAAGGAAAAAAAAAAAAAAAAAAAAAAAAAAAAAAAAAAAAAAAGAAGAATAGTAGAGTAGTTGAATTCACGGATTACAACCTCTAAGGCTGTGGGGAATTACGACGCGAGCTATTAGAGATGTATTCGAGGTCCAATTCAGGACCACAGATGATGCGTCCTTCAGTTTCGGACGTCCCTTCGTACTAGCGTCAAGGGAAAAATAAATAAATAAATAAGAATTAACCAAATAAATTTAAAATATAGTGCGCGGGTTCAGAAAAAATTCAATATTCTAAACTAATTATTACCTTGACATCAGTGAAAGTGAGCCAATGACCCTGTTGCACGATGTACATACCATCAGGGTCCTCCAAATAAAGGAGCACCTCCTTCTCGATAAGGCTTTGGGGGTCCATGAGAACAAAGTACAGATCCCAAGCTTCCCAAAGGGATAGTAAAAAAGCGTGAAAAAAAATATAAAAAAAACATTAAACTTCTAATTCTAATGGACCTATTCATTGCAATTGGTGCTGTAGCTTACTGTTAGGGTAATCCTTGGATGGAAACGCGCCAATGACGCGGACGACTACGCCTTGAACGTTGATATCGTGCATCGTGCAGATACCGCGCAACATGTTAAAGGGTGTGTAGACCTAAAAAAAAAAACATCAAATAATCGTTATTGTAAAAATCTTACTATTTTTTTTTATTATATCTTCCCTACTTTATCCTCAGGCCGTTGAGGCCCGCTTTCCTTGACTTACAATGCCCTCAAGCTGTTCGTTTGTGGTTCTTGTGATCATTTTTTTCTTTTGTTTTAACACGCTCAATGAATGATTGATTGTTAAAGATAAAAAAAAAAAAGAAATTTGAGCCTTTGATCACCTCTTTTTATACTCGTTCGACTACTCATAATGCTGAGTTGTGGCAAAGGTTCCATGGCGGGGAAAGCTCATCTCAAAGCCGTTACAGGAGATAGAAAAAGCCATTGGAATATGATCCTTCGACCTATCTACAACAGTCAGTTCTCAGCGGAGTTTCAAGGCCAAAGCGTCTTTGGGAAACACGCTCTGAAAAAATTAACTATGCAAATATGACACGCGACACGCGACGCGCGATAATTTTCCCACGCGGAGGACTCTTTTTTTTTTTTTTTTTAAAAAAAAAAAAAAAAAAAAAAAAAGGAAATACATGCAATCCTTCTACCATTCAATTCATTCCACATTTCATGAATTGCAGATGATTTCTAGCTCATTTCTAGTTCTTCTTTTTGCCTTCTTTGTCGGCATCGCCACTCCAGCGAAAGCAGGATCTTTGTTATTTCAGCCCGATGTGAAGAAACAAACTGTAATGGATAATAACATTTTTTCAACCTCCGTCAGTAGCAGTCACCACGGACGCGACCAGCTACAGATAGGCGTAGACTTTAATTGGCAGGTAAAAATAAAAAAATGGCTTTTCAAGACAAGGCATATTAAGCATATAAACAGAGAATCATGCTTAGCATATTAAAGAAGAAACGATTCAAACATCAATCAATAGCTCTTGGGACCATTTCCGACAGGGATGCGCGAACAAGACTTTGGCGCTGATCCATTGGAAGCCTTTGGTAAAGATAAGAAGTATAAAAAAATAATAGGAAAAAAAAAAAGTTATTTGGACTCTAGGTTTCAATAAAAACAAAGCTACCAACAAACTCATTTTGAAATAAATAAAAAAAAAAAAAAATCAAAATTGTTTTACTTCTTAGGTGGATTCCGAGAGCTCAAATATGATGAAGATGCAAAGTATCCTTCAGAACTAGCCAGAGATGGTGTTGTACGCTGGCAAACTACCCAGATGGACCGTGAAGGATGGATCAATATCAGTTATCCAGAGATCGAGTAATGAAAGTGACCCAGGGCTTTTTTTTGTTTTATTTTGTCTTCATTTTATTTTTTTCATTCTGCTAAAAGTTAAACGCAATCCGTTTGCCTTTGCGTCTCTCTCCCTCTCTCTCTTTCTCTGAAGCTGGAAGTTCAATCAGCAATTCTTGGGCTGGGCTTTCAATCAATTTCAAGCTTGGGCAAGATCTACGTTTACTATACCTTCGCATATTGGTGATGGTGATGGACTTTGTCCCGTCATAATCCAATGTGAAAACGTCGGAGACTTTTATGTGGATGACCAACGTCTTTCAGGGGACTGGTATGGATACGGTTTGACGAGGCATACTTTAAGGTTAAAACCTGGTATTCAACACATATTGTCTGTTCGGGTCGTCCATGAGGTGCGCATTTTCGGTGGCGTGATTACACCTCCACCTTCCAAATTCAAGTGCGAATTGAAGATACCCTTCGCCACATGGTCTAAAGATTTAGAGCCGCAGTACCAGCATCACCGTCGCCATCAAGGCATGACGGTTCAAGTAATCAAAGAAGGGTATGGAGGGCTTGTGCTTATGGACTTGGTTGATGATGCGCTAGCAGGGAAGTACATCAGCGTCGCCTTAAGGAACGTGGACACCGAGAAGGTCCTTGTTCAGTCTGTTAAGGTCCTACAAGGATCCGACCGATTCAAGGCAGAATTAAAGGATGTATCGACTGGTATCCGCCTAACTCCATCCAGTCATCGCCCGATCGTCATTCGCCTTGAGGAAACGGGGGCGAAGGCAAGTAATGGTGCACTTGCCCCGACATTCACACTGGAATTTCAGCTGAAGTGGCTCACACCTGCACCTGTACGTAATGGGGATTCAAAAGTTGAAACGCTAGAAACCGACCCGATCACTTTAAAGCAGCGCAAGTGGGGTGAAGTATATCATTACACATTTTTAGATTTCGATAACACGGTTCAGTATGCTGCTGCGATCCCTCCAAGCGATCCTTCATCACAACCAAAGGGCTTTAACTCTGTGCCTGTTATCGTAGCTCTTCATGGCGCAGGTATTCTACTCTAACTTTATATACTTGTTACATATACTGATCATTTGAAAAGGATTGAATCTGACGCTAGAGTTTTCACTTTCTGCCTTCTAGGAGTTGAGGTGTCACAAAAGTCGTTTTGGTTAACAGAGTACAAAAGGCGCGAGCACAGTTGGGTAACACTTCTGAGCCGGTTTTCCTTGCTTCCAAAAATTGGGTTTTATTACAAGCTAAAGATTTATTGTGTTCTCTTTTTCTTTTCAGGTCGTTTTACCAACGGGGCGTTCTCCATGGTTAGGAAAAAAAAAAAAAAAAAAAAAAAAAAAAAAGCCTTGCATTAACTTCGCTGGAATAGCATTGGAGTAGAAGCTTTTTTCCAGCCTCGGCAAACTTAGTCTAACTTTTCCTTTTTAATTAGGGGATACGATTGGCATGGAGCAAGTATCAAAAATGTCATGAGTGCTATTCAGAGCCTTTCAGACTCATTGCCTGGTGTACCAAAACATCTTCGAGGCCTTCCTGGAATAAAGCCAGATCCCGAGAGGCTCTTGATGGCTGGGCATAGTAACGGTGGTCAAGGAGCATGGTACTTTGTAACCCATTTTCCAGACAAAGCAATCGCGGGTAAGTTTTTATTTTTATATTCATTTTTTCTTCAAAAAAAAAAAAAAAAAAAAAAAAAAGAAGGATCTGTTACATTTATTGTAGATAGAATCTTTGCCATTTTCACTTCGGTTAAAGGGTATCGAGGCTTGATCGGCCGCTAATGCCTTCGCTCTTCTTCCCCTTTCTTTTTAATGACAGCTACACCTGCTGCTGGGTATGTAAATATCAAGCAGTATGTCCCATATCTCGGGTGGCAAAGCGATTCTTATACCGATTCACACTTGCGTGGGGTAAGGTTGAAAAGTGGGGTTGGTAAAAAAAAAAAAAAAAAAAAAATGGGGAGACATTATGCTGATAATTACTTTCGGATAGCTTTTAGAAGCATCAATCATAGAGTTTGATAACAACCTTCACATGTCCAACACAGTAAGTCTCTCCAACTATGAGCTCTTTCTTTATATTCTGGTATTATGAATGTATGGTAGCATTTTATAGTTATTATTGTTTACTAATGGTGCATTTTATATAATATATACTCAGGTCGGGGTTCCTATTCTAGCAAGGACAGGAAGCGAAGACGACAATGTTCCGCCTTTCAACTCCAGGAAGATGGTGCGACTCGGGCAAGAGAACGCACATGACCTCTCTGCAATCAGGTACAGTTTTAACTACAATAGAAAAAAAAATGTCCAACGACACAGGAGGAAGTGTCCTAACATCTACGCTTGTTGTATACAACTGCTTAGACTATCAGAAGTCTCAGGAGAGGGACATTGGTTTACGGGAGCACTTCATGACGAAACTATGCAGAAGTTCTTGAAGGGCCATTTATTCGACAACATTACTTCAGGAGCAGTTGAAGCATCTATAAGTCACCCTTTTGAGGATTTTGGAAGCTATCGAGATAATAGGACTGGCGCTAAAGCAGTGACCCTTCCTCCATTCCCCAAATCATTCGAAATCACTGTCATCAACCCTGCAGGGATGGGATCGAGAGGTGGCATTCAGGTTGAACAGCTTCATATCCCTTTTCGGTAAAATTATGATAAAAAAAAGAAGAAAAAAAATCTAGCGACCATAATAGTCCCAACCCAAAAGGAATGATTTAGTAATACAGATACTGATTTCTCTTGAGTCCATCTGCTTCCTATTAATTTAGGAAAGGAACTATTCGAGTACAAGCTCGAGAAGAAGCTTCAGGTGTCCAGGATGGCGCTGTTGAGATTACATGGGAGCTACGGACGACAAATATTCGTCGCTTTCAATTTTTGGATTCATCTTTGCTTCAACAAAGACGTGGTGGTCGCCTCACAAAATTAATTGTGGATGGAGTGACATTTTATCTGGGTGATGACGACAACAGCTGCAATAACAGAGGAGCTACGGTCTCCAACGTGGCCCAAGTCACATTTGTACGAGATCATTTATCCAAGACTCGTCAGCATTCATGGCAGGTAAAGAAAGTATAAAAAAAAAGGTGAATAATAAACGCATGCCGTGGCATATGATGTTTATTTGCTCGCACCACCTCTCTTTTTTATACACTATCTTAGTTCATGACCTCTAGCGAATGGTCCCATATTGAGCGCAATCGTGACACATATGGCCCAGCAATCCAAGTCTTAGAAAAACGTCTAGTCGTGATTGTCGGCACCAACTTCTCTGGCAATGGCATTCCTCCAGATCTCGTTGGTACAGCTGACAGGATTTCGAAACTAATTGCTCATGATATCTATCTCTACGGAAGAGGTGATGTGGAGGTTATGGATGATGAAGAATATATGACAAAGCTTCATAGGAATAGAGTCAGTGGAGATACCAGTACTGAGAAAACGAACCTTGTTCTGATTGGTGATGCTCATCAAAACAGCGCCACAAAACATGTCCTCGCACAGACATTTCAAGAAGGTAAAGAAGAAGAAACTCACATGCGCACAAACAAAATCATGGGCAAAAGGCATGCTTCCTAAACTTAACATTCACCTCGCCCTCCATGCATCTATTGTAGTGACCATTGAGGCTCAAAGGGGTTGTGTGTCCATTGACCCTAGACCAGAGACTGCTGCTGTGCCAAGTGAATTTTGTGGGCCAGGGATTGGATTACTGATGATACGGCCATGGGGATCTTCGAACTTGGCAATGGTGATTGCGGGTGTTGACAGCCAGGGGTTGGAAACCGCTGCACGTCTCTTCCCAAAACGGACCGGTCTTTTAGTTCCTGACTGGAGTAAGCGAGAATGAGAAAATGAATATGCTTATCCGCTTTCAAAATAACCTCATTCTTACTGTTTTTTTTTTTTTTTTTTTTTACCTACTACTATTGTTATCGCCGTTTTTTCTGCTGAAAAAAAGTCGTGACAGGACCAGAGATGGGGTGGAAGGGAGCAGGAGGAATCCTCGCAGCTGGGTAAAACCAAAAAAAAAAAAAAAAAAAAAAAAAAATGGCTCATATTGGTAATACGATTGTACACTCGTCATTGATTTGTTTGATTAGATTTTAAATATTCTCTTTGCTTTCTTCTTTTTTATTTTTGGTAGATTTTGGGGCAACCACTGGGAATATCTTCCAACGATGTCAGCATGACCTGAATTAATTCTCGGATGCCATACTAATAAGAGTTCTCACCAGAAAGTTGTCGACAAATATTTTTGAAATGAATAAACTATTTTTCATTTTTCGACAAATAATCGGCCACCAAATCACTCCCAATTGATCGTTTTGATTGAAGTTTATTGAACGTAAAGCGCTTTTTTTTTTTTTTTTTTTTTTTTTCTCTTGCGAAGATTCTATGGGGAATTCTTTCAATCTTCGACTTTTCGATCTCCAAGTCACATTATGAAAAAAAGAACATTCCAGTGTAATGAACTCCAAAGAAAAAAAGAACATTCTAATGTAATGAGCTCCAAAGAAAAAAAAAAAAATGAACAATGGATGTGAGAATCACATTTCTCTTTTTGTACGACGTGCATTTCCATGAAACAATCTTAAAATGCGGGCTGAGCAGACTAGAAGCGTGTGAAGAAAAAAAGGTAATGGGCGACGTTGGGCTTTTGGAGTAGAGGCAAGGGATGAGCATGATAACATGATCAAGAATAACAATCATGCTTGCCATTTGGATCGAGGTGAAAGAAGAAACTTTTAACAGAGTATAGAAACCTTTCCTGATTTTCCTATATAAATAACGACTCGATTGCACTAGAAAAAAAATTTTGTCAATATTCCTTCCTTATCCTTTCTCATTCAGGTATCAAGTAAAAAAGAAAGCGTGTAGCTTATTCATACTGCCATATCAGGGTTTCTAATAACATAAAATTTACGTTCTAGACATGAAGACATCTTTGAAGACGTTCCTATTCGCCAGTTTGGCTTGTTTACAGTATCTGTCCGGCACAGATGCTCAGGCAGCATCCCCTACAACTCCTGTTGCCACCGTCTCATTCCTACCAGGACCATCACAAACACCGATCCATACTCCAGGCCTGAATATCCCTGGGTTTTATACCGGAATACCGATTCTTCAGAATTCAGTTAAATACATCGTAGTTCGATTAGACAAGGGACCGATAAGTAAGTTCATCTTCCCTTCGTAGAGCTGAAAGAGAACTGGCGAGAAAGGAAAGAGAGTATCTGCTTTACCACTTTATTCAAACAACATTAAGGGAAGGATATTGACTCTTGTGCCTTTCCATTTTTTTTTTTTTTTTTTTTTTTTTTTTTTAAAAAAAAGGTTCCGTCTACTTAACGGCCACCAAGAAGGGTGAATCTTCCAAAATCATAATCAAAGATTATAAAGACGAGATCGAAAATGGTACGGGCCTAGAATGGGAAGTCGATCCGAAGCTGTATCCAGCAGGTGATTACTTGCTCAACATGACCGTCACTTCCAACAGAGTTAAGGCAATCCCCAATCCGCAGGCCTCATCCTCGAGTGCCCCTCCAGCATCTAGAACAACCAGTATGGCCTCAAGCCCATCTCCCTCCGGCACTCCAGACGTAGAGCTTGCTGTTTATAACTGGCAAGTAGAAATCGAGATTGTTGAGCATCCAGGCTTTGTTCCTAGCTCGGCCATGTTATCAAATGTGCCTGGTGGCAGTATATGGTATCTTTATAGTATGATGACAGTTGCAGGAACCATATCTCTAGGAGCAATCCTTGCGCTTTGATAAAAAAAAAAAAAAAAAAAAAAAAAGTATAAGCAGCAGCAGGAGCCCTGTCCATACTAGGCAGGTCATTGTTTTGTCACCCGGGGGCATTTCTATGCCCAAAGTATTTAGTATGTTTGCACTCTCCTTAATAAACACAGATAAAATTGTAAAATTGCGTGACACTTCCAGTAGCCTAGAAAGGAAATAAAGTCAAGCCCTCAACCGCCGCCATTTCTTCAAAGAGCTGACTCTCGGCATCGGAGCCTTGAAGATACAGTGGTTATAAGTGTCCTTATATGGATCATACTTGGCATCATAATGCTGTATAGATTGGAGTATCAACTAGGTCAGGGATCTCACCGCATGCTATCTCGAGATATGAAGGGTCTATCAACTTTCGCAAGGATTAGCAGTGTTACGAGACAATGCTCAAGAACTTGACTTTCAAGATGGTCATACTGACATTTTTTTTTTTTTTTTTCAGAGAAGGAACATCGCTATCAGCAATAGCGCCAAGTGGATCATTAAAATCAACTTATTTAAATAGTGTGTGCAGGTCCCGCGACGAAGAAATATCCAGAAGCGGCATGCCATTATACATAACCGTGTTACATTGTCATGTGCATGAAGAGTAAGGAGTCTTCTGGTAGTCGGACGAAATATTTTTATTTTAACTCAACCAAGATTTATTTTAGCACCTTGTAATGTAAGAGAATAAATAACGAACGAAGAATGCATTTGGTATCTTTTTCCGTAGTAAGATACATTTTGTTGCCAACTGTACATGTACACATGTCTTTTGGGTGAATAAAATGACATTGCTAATATGTGCCAAGGAGATGTGCACTGGTCAATGCCAATATGTTTTCCAGTCCAACTTGAGAGTTGAGTTGAGAGCATTGTTGTTTTTGTAAATGGATATGCACAGGCTCTTCTTGTGCGACGCGTTTTTCTATGAAGTGGGAGGCGGCGTTTTGGAGTGAACAATAATCATGTGCATGGGGAAGGAGCTCTTGTGCTACTTGTATTTTTGAATGCTCAGTTCAAGTGTTGCAAATAAGTACAGATACAGTTCTTTTTTTTTTCTTCTTCAGGCACATAACCTCCTCTTCCTCCCCCAGTATCCCAGCATTGGACACCTCCTTCTTTCCCTACAGAAAATAACGACTCAATTGCCCCTTTTTATCTTTTTTTTTTTTAAAGCTTGTCTTTCAGTGTGTTCATCGACAATCTCATTCATCTCCATCCTTTTCTCATTCAGGTACCAAAAAAAAAATAAAATAAAATAAAATAAAGTGTGCGAATTGTCTGTTATCACATCAGGATTTCTGATAATATGGCCTTTTCCTTCTAGACATGAAGACATCTTTGAAAACGCTCCTAGTCGTCGGTTTGACTTGTTTGCAATATCTGTCCGGCATAGATGCTCAAGCAGCAACCCCTACAACCCCTGTTCGAGGGACCGTCAGTGCAACCACCACTACAGTCCCAACGCCATCACAACCATCGTTTGTCAACACTCCAGGCCTGCAAATCTCTTCAGTCTACAATGGAATGACGATTATTCAGGATACAGTCTTATCCATCATGATTAGTCTGTCAGACCAGCGACCAATAAGTAAGTCCATCTTTCCTCCACAGAAGTGGGGAATAAACTTCTTTTTTGTTATTATATGAGAGCTCTGCGCGTGCCACGCTGGGAGAGGAAAGACGGGAAAGAGAGTATTTACGTTTATTTGTCATTTCAATCTAAAATATTGAGGGCGTTTGTTGTTGACTATTGTGTTTCTCTCTCTTTCTTTTTTTTTTTTTTTTTTTTTTTAAAAAAAGGCTCAATCAACTTTTCGGTCGCCAAGAAGGATGGCTCTTCCAACACAACGATTTCCACTGTCTCATCAGGCGCAACTATTCGTTCGAGACAACTATGGAATGTCACCTCGGAACAGTATCCACTAGGCGAATACTTGCTCAATATAATCATCACCCCTAACAATACAGTTGGCGCAGGCACCAACCCACCAGCATCGTCCTCGAGCGCTCCTCCAGAACCCAAGCCAACCGAAGCCCCCAGTACCCCAAGTGTAGGACCAGCTGTTTATTACTGGCAAATGACTGTTAAAGTCGTTCAACGCTCAAGCCCCCTTCCTAGTAGCTCCGCCATGTCACTAAATGTGCTTGGAGGTGGCAGCAGCATGGGATATCTCTATAGCATGATGGTGGCTGTAGGAGTCATTTCTCTTGGAGCAATGCTTGGGCTTTAATAGAATAACGGTATAAATGTTGGAACAGGCGGCTTGACGGTCCCGAAAGTCTATACGATTATAATAGACAAATAAAAGTAGCGCTATACGAAGACACGGTAATTATTCCTCTCTATTCTATCTGCCCATCATAGCTTTGGGGTTTACTTTTTGATATTATGACTTTATATTGTCCTCCCTCCCATTCCTTTGTTTATATTGAACTAAGTTGGCAGGAAGCAGTTCATAACAGTGTAAGGAAAAGACTTTTCTTGAAGCCACTGATAAAGCCGCTGCACAGGCAAGTATCATGACAGACCCACAGTCCATACTGATCCAACAAAGAATATTGCGTCGCACATACACAAGTTGGTCTGTATTGCTCTTGATGGCGGCTTCAGTGGGTTCGTTAGACAAATTGCTGAGCCATCAGATGTATTATCCAATGATCCAATGAGAACCTCTCAGATCAGGAATTGCATCAACTGTACAATAACAAGCATTGAAAGGTTTTGAAAATATGCAGTCCACACTTTCAAAGTTCACACACGATGCTTCCATCCGTTTCTCAGACACGAAGACGTTTGACCTCCAGTTTAAGCTGTGTTGACTGATTATGCATATCAAGGAAGGCGTGTCCATTCATAGCATCGCTACTCAAACTCATCACATATTCTGGATGCAAGATACATTTGACTACCCAGACAGCAATGAATACTAGGCTGCTTATGAGAAGCTCCTCAGTATCAAAGTCAAACTAAACCATGGTTGAAAGTTTATTGGAACTGCAAGAGGCATTCTATCTACAGCGATTTTGCAGCCAAGGATATTACTTCCTGTTGTGATTAGCAGTTATTTATATGGGTTTTTACTATAACTAAGATTTTTACCCTTTTTATTTAACGAAGATCCCTGGATCATAATAAAAACATCTTTCTTTCGTGCTCGTTACTTATTATGATCCTGGCATATTTCAATAACACTATCTACATATGTTTGCAAAGAGCACGTCCTTGAGATCTTTGAAGCTTACATGTGCCACATCAGCTAACTCTTTAACGAGGCTACCGTGATCCTTCAGTTTGACATCTCCGCCACAAATGTAGACGATCCAGAACCCAGGAACAACCTCTTAAAGGTCTGTCGTTGAATCTGTTTTGGTGACATCAAACTTACCCTCGGCATTAGTTTCGACTCTATGCTCTCCACCATACAGTTCATCCAAGTAGCACTTAATCTAATTCCTATTGCCATAAACTTTGCCGAACATATCCTTGTAGGGTCGTTCAAACGCTTTCCTTATACCCTTTGATTCTTTGTTGTGGTCTCTAAACTCACTAATAGACACCTGAATGAACACTGGTCCAATCATGAAATCGAATCGAGGATATCCTGGATAGCCACGGGCCAAAAAACCATCTTTCCCTGGGCCAAGAGAATGTTCTGACCTGCTAGTAACTCTGTAGTCATCGAATTTCAATACGATTGAGGTCTCATTGCCACTATTGATGTCTGTTGCCTTGAGTACTTGGCTGCACAGCACAAATAAGTGCATGCAATAGTGCCTCTTCAAAATCATATCCAGGATTCCCAGCTTTGAGTCGTCGTACGACGCTTGATGGTAGAGATAATGACTTGAACACTCTCATGAATGCTTTTTAGTACCGAATCACATAAAGGACGGAACAGCGTTTTGCAAACTTCATTTATACGATACAAAAGCCCCAGGTCCAAAATTCCCACTGGAAGAACTCTTTGACAGAGCCATGCAGGAAAGCTTGAGCAAGGCCTTGGTAGAAATTGCTACGTTCCCAATCACCCCCTGATTAGCTGGTAGTAGCCGTTGACAATTTCAAAGAACTCGTCTGTTCGATTGTTTTCAAAGTCTGAAATAGCTGAACCAATGGAAGTTATATTTCCCTTGAGAATGGCACACAGTTTCATGAGCTCTCGTGGTGCACGGTACGTGATCCTCGTTATTTCCACGACATTCTCCGGACTGAGGTTGATATCTTTGGCAGTGGAAGGTTATCTTTGAAGAGGCTTCCATGTTCATCAACAACTGTTAGAGTCCTCTTCTCCTTATCCCTTTGCATAAGAAGATTCTCAAAGATTACTACTACCGTCAAGTCATCGTCAATGCCAAGATATGCCTCAGTAAGCATTTTTAAATCGTTGGAAGTCAAAATATCCTCGTTGAGCGCTAGAAAACGTTTGATTGTTTCAAATTCCGATTTTGACTGGGTCAGAGCGTCCAAACATTTCGCGTCAGCAACGGAGAGGATAATCCATCAGATAATAAGACAAAGAAGATTTGCCGATGCCCATTGAACAGGTAGGATTCGTCGTTATGCCAAACGTTGTTCTCCTTGTATCTCATTCCAAAGCTCAATCATCTGTTCCGTGACAAGTAAACTGCCAGAGCTGTATAAATCAAAATCCTTTGGAGTCTGGTTTATGGATGATGAAATAATAGTGTTGTCGCCAGGCCGATGATTGGCTTTGAGGTGGGCAAATTGTTCGCGTGGAGCGGGTTTGAGATCACTGTTCTCTAGGAAATTAACCCAAGGTGGCAGCTCCACAATATTACCAGCTCCACAATATTACCGTCGAATCATGGGGCTAAAACGACATTTATGTCTTTAGAGCGGAGCTGTCATCCTAGCTCCTGGTTAAACGTTCTGGCGCCTTGGATGATGATAATTGATGGGTCTTCCGCAAGTGGCAAGCATCCAGATGACAAAGCATATGAGAAAGGATAATTTCCTATGCCAGCTGTCCTGGTGATAATAATATGGTTTTGGGTCTCATCATCAGACTCTCACTGGGTTCTCCACAGGATTCTTCATCTCTATCCGTTTTTACAAAACTCTTTGATAATAGTATCACAAAAATCTGCCCTTTCTTGCACACAAGATCGCATGATGATCACAGGCTTTATAAAGTTCTATATGCCCCAGTAGAAGGGAGGACGGATTAAACCGCTCTATCTATTCGTCTAAAAGGTAAGTGGATAATGATGGCTTCATTTATAAAGGATGAACCATTGTAAAAAATCCTCAAGGAACAGGTATAATGCTTTTCTTTTACAGGACAAATTTTCATCCACTTGATTGGTATTCGATTTAATTCTTCAGATTCGTACCGGCTGCTCCTCCTGAATATGCAGCTTCGATGTCGATTTTTATGACACGCTGTCTTACATGTTTTAAGCATACATATGGATTCTTGACGACCGTATCTTTGGTGGTAAGAAAGTTCTGAACTTTAAAATCGTTATATACGTCTCCTGGCACCACAAAATAGAAGAAAATGGTATCGTCACTTCCATTCGGCTTTGATTGCTCTCCAGTAATATATTCAATTATCTCCTTGAATGGTGCTTGCTTGATCGGATGTTCCTCTGATACTGTGACCTGAAATAGCTTGTTGGGTCCCAATGCAAAATCAATGCACGGAAATTTAGAATGTACTGGTACAAACAACTTGCCAGCTGCTTGAGTGAGCCCTGATAATTCCTCTGAAGTCCGGATAAACACCTCTTCTGGATTTGCTGGAAAATCAAGAAATCCTGTTTCGCCTGACTGGAGATCCTTAAAGGGAAATCTAATATCACCACGTCGAAATAAGTGATGAGCATAGACTTCAAATACCGGGCCTTTAGCTATATCCTCTCCGCCTTTGACAAGGTTCGCCAACACATCGACCCAAGTGTTATCTTTTAATTTCTCCATAATCTGTGATTCGACCCAACGAGATGCCCACACCAGGTAGAAGTCGAGATGGTCAGAAGTGGGGACTCTATGGAGTAAACGACCACTAAATGCACTCGCATCTTTTCCTCGTGCAAAGAGGCTTACAAGATCTGCTGGATTCTGGAGTGATTTAATGGCCTCTTTGACGCGGGAAAACGCAGAGTCTCTAGCACTCTCAATATTTTCTTGATTCATGGATAGTGAATAGGCTGGGGTCTGTAGGACATGTCTTGGTACTCCCCCCAAGTCGTAAAAAAGCTCCTCCAAAAATTCTTCATCCACTAGATGATAATACTCTACATTGGCTCTACATTCTTTAAGCTCGTCCAAACTCCAGAGTGACATGTGATAGTAGCTAAAGCGTGCAGTTTCCTTGGCGAATTCACCGTACTGCTCATTGAGAGTTTTTGGTGATGCCGCAAATATCGTCCTGGCTTGATCTGGTAGAGGTTTCTCACTACTATCAACTAAGTACCACGTTTCAGGCCGAGCAAGGAAATCTCGGAATGTTTTTATATCCCCAGAACGTCGGCAAGTTGTTCCTCCATAAACATGACATTCGGTACCCTGCTTCTCTTGGAAAATAATAATCGGTGGATTTTCCTCATCGTGTTCGGCAAGGAGGCGGATGGCAAAATAGACCAGAAAGGCTGACTTCCCAATTCCAGGTGTTCCAGTGACAAACATTCGGTTCAAACCAGTTTTATGAGGGGTACTTAACCTGGATGTAATATGGTCATAAAGCTCTTTATATTCTTTTCTGATATAAAGATGCCTTGTTCTGGCAACAGGGAAGATACAACCCTCAGGGGCAGTCAATATTTTGGAATCCTTGATACCACCAGAATTTCGGAGCTCGCGAGCCACGCTAATAATGCCTTTGTAAGGATCATCTACTGGTAGCCCCCCCATGTACGAAAGCACCTTGACCCTCTCTTTCGAGTTGAGAGGCGAGACGGTAGGTTCACCATCCACTATCCCTTTCGTTACAAGCCCTGCTTCTGTAATCGCATCCATAAGATCACCTCTGCTACTCATGCTTGGACGAGCTTTTTTAGAGGGTGACTCTGATAAAAGAGATAGAGTAATCAAAATTAATATTTTTGATTTATTGCACATCACTCTAAATTGATCAATAACCAGCTTCTCGGCCAAAAGCACTCACCAGAATCTTCATCTTGTTTTCTTTTCTGAGCTAAGTATCAAAAGCGAATAATGAGAAAGAACGTTGAGTTATCAAGACACAAACCAAATGGTGATATCACGTGGTATTGGGCATGAAAATAAGCAAACAAGCTTCATCAATTGAAAATATCAACAACAACCATCAGTCCATCAAGAGCTAAATACATACCTCGCTGTGGTGGCTTGACAATAACATGAATAGTTTCCTCTGGAAGTTCGGAAATAAATATGTCCCCAAGCTTCCTTGATGCGACTGTAAGAGCCTCTTTCGACTCGATTTCTGACTCAAAGATGGCCTCGTCTTTGTCAGGGATGGAGACCTTGTAGAGGGTGAGCTGGTAAGCGTCGATGTCCTTAAATGCATTGGTATTCTCTGCTTTGATGGCTTGCTTGAGTTCGCCGACTGAACGATCAGAAGGAATATTTACAGGAAAACATGAAGCTTCTCCATCAACAATACAAAAAATCTTTAGCTCGGTTGGCTCGAGGATTTTAGGGTCATTGGTGCTTGAAGACTCTTCCTTCGCTTCCCCTTTTCTTTCTTTCTTTTCATACGGTTCAGTTCGAGGTGATGGGCATCGTGATGGTGTTCTGCTGCTTCCCATTGTGTTTTCAAACCTGTTTAAAAACAAGGGCGTAAATAGACGGAGGACAGAAAATAGGGAAAGGTTGATAAAAATGTTAAAGGATGATAATTCAGTAGCAGGATGGTTCAAAATTGTCTAGAGATGAAGTTGAGGGAGGAAAAGAAAAAAAAAAGGAAAGGAAAGGAAAGGAAAGGAAAGGAAAGGCAATGAATGAAGGCTTGGAATAAATAAAAGAGCAAAATTGATGGGAGCAAAACTGGGGTGAAATAAGAAAAAAGTGAAAAAAGGATAAAGGAAGAAAAGGAAGAGGAAAAAAGGATAAATTTGTTCTTTTATTTCAAGGTTGGGCTGTGTGTGAGAAAACTTTTTTTCTTGATGCCATGCGATTAAAGATTAAATTGGTCCCTAAGTGTGACGTAACATGTATTGTTTTAATACATCATCTCACCTCTGTTTTCACCACACATTCATCCCACTATGAACATGTCTAACACCTCATTCCAAGAACAAGGAGCTGTTACTGATGCTCCTATCAATGATGTTCTCGCCATCAATCAAATTGAAAAGATATTGATTGGTGGATTTGAAGATATTCTAAGTGTTCAAACACGAATAATATTATATATAATAATAATTTTTGTATCAATGCTTTTCTTGATGATATCTAAGCAAAATTATGCTTTAGAGAAAAGCCCTTGACGCGTCAAACTCTAGTAAGGATAGAGAGGATGACAGTGAAGAAAGAGAAGATGGCGATAATGATCAAGTAGATATCCTGGCTGGCCATGAATTTGATTTCAAAGCAAGTGTTGCAATTACATTAGTTGCCCCATAAAGTCTAGTTCATTGCTTGAGAGTATATAATAAAGAAAAAGCTGGACATTTGTACGTTAACTCTAGTCTTTGAAGACGCACGTATTGAGAATGGACTTAATAATATTGTTGTTGTTCAAGCCGCAAAGCACTATAAAATTGATCCTGGATCTCGGTTCACTAGGCTCGTCACCAGCCTGAAGACGAAGTTCATGTGCACATGCATGTACTGAAAGGCAAATCTGGCTTGCTCTTGCGGACACTTCTCTCTCAGGCTGGGACCAAAGTTGACATTTTGGCTGGAGGTCTCTTTTTTAAATTTGGCTCTTTTTTTATTTTTTTATAGATGAGAATGATGGAAGGTCAATTTCGTAGTGGTAATCGGATAAATAAGTGAGATTGTGAAATGAGAGCAAGAAAAACATTAGCATACTTCACACGTAGGTCATTTTTCTGTGATCTGTAGGACTTTGCTTGAAAAAAAAATGACTTAAAAAAAGAGCCTTTCCTGCGGAGAGAAGTGTCTGCGGGAGCAAACTACATTTGCCATTCAGCACGTGCATGTGCACGTGAACTTCGTCCTCAGGCTGGTGATGAGCCTATGATTTTTCCTCACGAAAAAGACTGCCACAGGCCCGCATTTGAGGTGGGCTTGTGTTGCAAGTGCGAGCGAAGCGAGAAGGAGGTGTGACCCTCCCTTTACCTTTCGTTTTATCTGTCTCATTCTCGTCTTTCGTCTCATTTCCTTTCATATTTAGTTTTACATTCCCATGGACACTTCACAGGGAAATGTCTTATTTGGTGCAGAACTCAAGGCAAGCAAACTTTGTTCGCATTGAACTTTTTTTTTTTTAAAATGGCCATTACCTTTGGTTTAATGAAGCTCATGTTAAGTTCTTTTTTTTTTTTATTTTTATTTTTTTATTTTATTTTAATAATAGGATCAAATACCTGTCATCAATCAACATATCGTCAATGGTATCGCATTCCTGAGTGAATTCAGAGACTTCTGCAAAGAACGCGCTAACATAGAGCGTGATTACGCGCACAGAATTGAGGCTCTCGTGCGCAAGTACCAACATAAAAAAGAAAAAAAGAACGCTCATAATGCTGGGGTCCCTCATTCCCCAATTGAACCGGATTTTGATACTGGATTTGATGAAACGTAAATATCTCATTATCTTTTTTTTTTTTTTTTTTTTTTTTTTTTTTGGTGACTTACAAAAACAAAAATACTCGTTTCTCCCTTTCTGGATCTGCATTTGATAGAACAACATCCAAGGCGTGGTCCGGAATTTTGAATGATACCGAGGCTTTGTCAAGGGATAGGCAGCTGTTTTCGGAGTCGATAATCTCCAAGGTGTATGATCCTCTCAAAGTTCTCGCCAATAAGAAAGATGAAGCTCGTAAAAAAGTACTGGTTACTTGTACAAGCCGGACCAAATGAATTTTTCGGAACCTTATGATCACTTCTTTTTGCAATACTCCTCAGCTTACGTTTACTGACCTATTGTTTTCCCTTTTTTTTTTTTTTTTCCTTAATTCATAGCATATCCAATTTGCTCAAAAATTACTTGCGGAAAGAGATAGATCTGCCCAGGAGCGTGACAAAGCCAAGTCTAAATATGATACCAGTTGTGAAGAGGTGGAAAGCGCAAAGCAGAAGCAGGAACGTGCCTATGATGAAAAGAATCAAGAGAGACTAAAGAGATCATATTATCAGGATATTTTGGATATGAACAATAACAAGGTATAAGCGACAGACTCATTTCAAAAAAAAAAAAAAAAAAAAAAAAAAATAGAGAGAAAGGGCTTCCAAGAGTTTTCATTTCATCGTCGTACTGACATATCAACTCTTACCTAGAATTCATACATCTTGGCGCTTCAAGTCCTTAACACTCACCGAAAGAAATATTACGAAGTTGACCTTCCAGAGTTGTCCAATGTAAGGGATATTTTATATATGTGCATCAGGATTATTAGCAAGCCAGATGGGCAGACATATAAGCATTTCGCATTTAATTATTCATCTTTTTTTTTTTTTTTTTTTTTTTATGCTTTAGAACATGCAACAATTGGATGAAAGTCGTATTAATGGATTAAAGGAGATCTGGGTAGAGTACATTGCTCTGGAGTCAAAAATGACAGCTGATGCTCAAAGGCATTTGGACTCGATGTTGACCTCGGTCCATGCCATAGACGCTTCTGTTGACTCTGCAGTGTTCGTTCGGACCAATAAAACACCATGGACACCTCCTGCTGATCTACCTTTTGAGTCGTCCCCCACGTTCAACGATACAGTAAGAGGCTTATTCATCTCTAAAAATGCTTACTGTCAATAATCTAAGTGATATTCACTCAGTTAATGAAAAATCAATCCACTCAATGCAAGTTTATATGTATTTATTTATCTTTTTTTTTTTTTTTTTTTTTTTTTTTTTCATTTAAAATTTCTAGGAAGAGCTTGTCGTGGACGAAAATGCCCAAGTGTTTTTGAGTAATAAGCTTATGAAGTTGAGACGCAAACAGGCACAGGCTACTGTTGATATTACCACTCGAATTAAGGATTTGGAGGGACTATATAATCTTAAAGAAGCTTATACGAACAACAAGGACCTTGGAAATCCTGATGATGTGAATGAAAATATTTTGGAATCTTCAAGGTCCGTCATGCTACTTCAAACACAGAATGCACTCTATGAGGCTGAAATCAATACAATTATCCAAGCAATAGGAGGTGAGGGGCACGTGTTTGTTGATTCTAGAAAACAAATCCACGCAGCAAACTCAACGAGATACTAATATCTTAATCTATATTATCATAGAAACCGACGTACAAAATCAACCACATGATTTTAAGGCGGCATCGTTCACCATTCCAACATCCTGCGATTATTGCCAATCTACTATCTGGGGAATTGCTAAACAAGGATTTACCTGTCGAGACTGTGGATATAATTGCCATTCTAAATGTGAGATGAAGGTTCCACCTAACTGTAGCAACGTCAAGGGAGGCGCTAAGGCTCAACGGACCTCCATTATCATACCCTCCTCCTCCACTGTCTCAAATCACAGCCCCATGTCTTCGCTTCCACCCGAGTATGCCCCCTCCGCCACACCCATTTCTGAACTCTCCCGTCATACATCCATGTCAGCGAAGCCAATTAAGGAAGCACAATCAACTTCATCCATTGACCAATTGCAAGCGCATGTTATTTATGACTATGAAGCCACCAATCCTGGAGAACTCACTATCAAAGCTGGCGATGTTCTCACGGTAGTTGAAGGCGACGGTATGTTTCTTTTTTTTTTTATTTACTTTATTATTTTCGATCTCAACTTCTCTCTCGAAGAGCCTACCTCATCCTTTCTAGATGCAATTTATTTCTAGTTCAATCTAACACTTTTTTTATGATAATTCGATGAAATAGATGGATCAGGCTGGGTTACCTGTTCTTTACGCGGCTCTCCACCTGGCCTGGTTCCTGCATCCTATATTGAATTGGAGCAATTCTACGAAGCATCAAGCGAAGAAGCCCCGGAGCAGAAAGGTTTTAAAAAAAAATGCTTTGCCTATTTTAGCATACAAGCTTTGTTAATTGTTCTTAAAACATGACCTTTTTTTTTTTTTTTTTTTTTTTTTTTACATTAGTTCGAGCTCTGTACGATTACGATGCCCAGTCTGATTTGGAGCTTACTATTCGGACAGGAGATATTATTGTTCTTACCAGCACAGAATGCTCGGAAGGCTGGTGGGAAGGTATCATTTTGGCAAAAAAAGTCGTCTCAATGTTTGTATGCCTCTCTTTAATGTATTGACATTTCCTTTTTTCCAACCCGATCCTAGGAACGTTACGAGGAATCACGGCTCAGTTTCCAGCAAGTTATGTGGAGCCAATATAAATCATAGTTGCGTCGAGAATAAATTAAAAAGGCCGTGTTTAGAGTAAATAATACCACAAAATATGTGATGGTTGCTCAACTGCCGAACTTAAAGCAGCAAAAGCTTTTTTTTATTACTTCTTGTCGAAGCGTATATACCATTGAGAAAAATTACGCGCTAGAATTATTGAAAGGGTTTTCACCTTATAGATTTGCCCAGTAAATATTTGTCAAGACAAAAAAGAAAGAAATAAATGAAAAAAAAAATGAAAAAAAAAAATTCTTTGATATTTCTAGTCGTCCTCATCCATGGTTGGAAGTTCAGATGGCTTGACCAATCCTGGAATCCTGAGCGCAGCTTCTCGATCTATCTTTTTCTTTGCTTCCTGCTCTGCTTCTCTCTCATCAAGGAATAGTTCGTTCTGCTCGGTCTCCGTTGCGCCAAACTCTGTCAGCTGGATCAAGAAGTCACGCACATGTAGCTTGAACTTGTTTGTGTCTCGATTGGTAGCAAACATCGCCAGGGTAAACGTCTCAACCTGAGATCTATTGAATATTTTATATTAACGTGTGATTTAAAAAAATAAGATAAAATAAAAAATAAAGGTGAGAAAACAGTATCTATCCTTCATGTTGACTATTGTTGACTTTTGATCATCAAATGAAACCCCAGTGACATACGGTTGTAAATGAGGGAAGGCATTTTGAAGAAGGTTCATCATATAATCCTTCAGGAATCGTTCGTTAGTCATATTGGGATCAGCAACCTGTGACATTGTAAACAACGGTGCCTGTACTGCTCCGGAATCCACCAAGTAAAACATACGAGCAAGGACTTGACATTGGAGCTTAAAGCCTATGAATGAATAGATTTTGTTCTAATAAGTCAATTCACATTATCTAACTCTTTTTTTTTCCTCTTCTTTTCTTTTCTTTTAGCATACCGCTTTTGTGATTGTTGTCTGTAAGCACGTAAAAAATATCATTAAGCAAGTTAAGGAAGTAGCTCTGATAAAAGTGGTTCGCAATGACTGGATCGCTGTTTGCAAAATTGTTGATCAAGTCCAGGCAAATACTCAAGCCCATATCTGCAATGTCACGCATCGTATGCTTGAATGCCCAAACAATACTATCCACTATGAGGCGTAACTGTACTGCAGGAAGACTCAAAATGGCTAGCAAGAGTTAACAACAGAAATAGCGTGGGTTAGGGAACCTAAAAACAGAAAATAACTTAACCAGACAAAGATTTGTAGGTTTATATAGCGCGCCACCAACCTGCAAAACAGTTTTGCATGATAGCCTGCAAAAGTTTGAAGAAGCCCACACGATGCTCTGGATACTCGCTGAAATCCTTGTTGATCATTTGAAGTGTCACGTCAAAGACTGCCTCAAGAATGAGAGGAATTTGGTCATTAAGTAAAGCCTACATTATGTAATGATCATAAAGATACAGAGCATTAGAAGCTGAGCAAGCCATAACATATTGTGCTTTTTGCCACAGGTCCTGATCAAACAGCATACCCCCAGCTTGTTCACAATCGCACTCATAACGCTTAACACTTCAGGCTCGCGAGCAGGCTCAACATTCCGTTGATAATCTCCTAACACCGCTTCCAAGACCCCGGGAATGATGTTTTTGGTTACTTCAACGAGATCCTCTGCTTTACTGACATAAGTCTCGATCAAACGGAGCACTTCCTTCTTAACAGTGCGCATTTGACGAACGCGTGGTGTACGCAGGGCGATAGGTCCTTGTACCACAACACTCTCAGAGATAAGTTGACTGACTGCCTTATATACAGCCAATAAATCCAGGTAAATCCGTCCGAGCTGTGAGTAAAATCCTGGGCCAATTGAACTGCAAGCTGAGACATTTGTTTTTAAAACGCTGGCCAAGACTTTGAGGTTTTCTGTTTGGTCCAAGTTGTTCACGTTCACTTTGGCCTGCTCCATGATGTTATCCCACTAAATTCGGAAAAATTATGTAAATAAGCTTGAATTCTCTATAGTAAAACAAAAAATTATAATTTTTATTATTTCAGAGTATGTCAGTGGGATACTTACATGTTGGTTGGGTGTCTGCATGGCCTTGGCTATCAAACGCTCTTGAGCCCCGCGATTGGGCTGAGCCGAAATCATATAGCCTATCGCCTCGTAAAATGTATGAAGCTAATGGATGCTGATCGTGAGTTGATTGTTATCTAGAAAGACAACATAATAAACAGTTGCCATTAGAAATATGATCCGTACCTGTGCAGGGGATAAATCGCTTGTTATCCGGTCGAGCGTATTGAGGATTTCATCAATGAAGGGCATCAATTCCTGAGATTGTTGCAAAACAAAATGCCGTCTACACTTTTGAGCGATCTTAATAAAAGTATCACAAGCCATGTCCTGAACTCCATCATGCGACTCATGCATAAACTCAAATAGTTTGTTGACAACTGTTTTTAGGAATTTCCAATGGGCCTTTAGGAATCGAGGATATTGTCCGACAATGTACATGATATTGGATGCAACAACAGCCTTATTATCCTTGCCAGGCTTAACAGCACACAACTCTAAAAGATCTTTGATAACAGTGACCAAAAATCGTTTCTCGGTTTCTTCGCCTACAGATTAAAAAAAGAAGAAAAGAAACAACATCTCTACTCAGTACCTTTGCCTAGTAAAATACTGATTAACATCTGCAATAGCAAGGCTTACTCATGGCTCCTGAAATTGATCCGACCGCCCAGCACAGTTGATTGAGTTTTGCCCAACCCCACTCAGAGCCATCCATTTGCCTCATTAATTTCTCCGTCATGATCTGTTCTGTATTGGCACAGTCCAAATGCGTCAGATAGACAAGGACCTCACGCATACTCTTATAGAGAGTAATGGTGTCACTCTCCTTCAAGACTTCACGGACAATCTCTCCTTCGTCATTCTCAACAACCAAAACCTAAAAACGTACAAGACAGGTTATTTCCTAATTGGCGATCAACTGACCCACAAAATAACAGTATTGCTAATAGGCATGGTGCATAAACTATACCTCTTCAGGCTTAACCATGTGCTCGATCATGACAACGCGCAATCGTGGCAAAATGGTACTATAGTATGTCCGGCTGCGGTCTTCTCCCTTTAACAGCATGCCTGGCCTACCCATGTTCAACAAAGGTGTATCCACTGCTGGTAGTTGTTGAAGCTCCTCATAAAGGTCCGCTACCAGCTTAGCCCAGTATTCAAGGCAGATCTTGAAGATCTCTCGTTCTTCTACTTCCGAGATTTTGAGTAGGTATACATGGGCAACGCGTAGCACTTCTTTGTTTTGAGGATTCTCTACCAACTATCACACAATAAAAACAAAATTTTAGCTTGCTTCTATCAAAAACTATAATGATTATCATGACGCATGACCTTCTTATATTACCTTAAGATGGACGCTAAGGAAGCCATTTAAGAACATGGCAACATTTTTGATATAAAACTGTTCATCGTCGGAGGCATTCTCGTACATTTCAGCAATATCTAAATTTCAAATGATGTATTAGAATCCACCATGGTTAACTCATATAAACCCAGATATTGAACACCGACAAAGGGCCTCTATAAACTTACTCCCTGACATCGGAATAGTCTTGACAACCGAAGTCATCACAATGTTGAAAAGAGCGACAAACTTGTCGTTATATTCAGGTGTTACGGATAAATTACCGATCTCGGTAAGGCAGCGTAGGGTCACATTTCGGAATTGAGGAACATCCAGGAACTGAGAATAAAGGGTCAATAAGGAAATTAATTAGTACTCATCAATGATTACAATGATTCCATATTCCCTTTCCAATGATAATATTATATGCTAGACTCACCCTGGCACGGAGGTTCTCGACGAGATTGGTCTCAAAGATATAGCCAAGCGGAATCCAATTAAGGAACCTCAATAACGTATCGAGCGTCGCCCTAATCAAACTAGGCTTGTTGGCCTTCTCCAAAACCTCACTACAGAGCTGGAAGATTTCTGAAAACTCTCCACACATAGAGTTTTTAAGATTCTTGGTTTTGACTTGCGTCATTTGCTCCGCTGAAAAGTCAAAGATTTCTTCGCTAATGCATTCGAGTGATGTATATGTAAATATATACAATATAGACAGAAGCTTATTGATATCTTCGATCCAAATGTAAGAAAATGCGGCACTGCGCTTTGATGGGCTGGTTTGAGACTTACCTCAAAAGCTTCAAAATGACCATGTTGTTCTCACAGAGTGATAAATTAGATTTACTAGAGCTGACAATCTCTGGGATAAAGCTGGGCCAGGCATGCGGCCATTCCTGCTTCAAAATCTACAAATTGTAAAGGACGAGTTGATAGTGAGATATCAAGCTGGTACGACTCAATCTGTCCAGATCCGCGCAATTGAACGGATATTATGAGCTGCATATATACCTGAACTAATACTAGATTCAATCGATGAAGGAGAATCTTTTCGCGCACAAGGTTGGCTTCATCTGATGAAAGCTTGACAATCAATCCAACAGTGAAATTGCGAATTCCTATATTAAGATCAGCTCCAGATTCATTAGAAGCTGATATGTGGATTCAACTGATAGATAAGAGGATTGTGATATTACAAACTATGGTCTCACCTTGACGCTGCTCAGGAGGCAGCAGTTTCCACCGTGTTTGAACCAGCTTGGCCAGGATTTGAAGCGCAAAGAACTAAAATTACCAAAGTATTAATACGATGCTCGTCAATAAAATAAAATAAAATAGATAAAAAAAGTTCATGGCTTATTTCCTAGGGCTATAACTGTAAAGTCCTTACGTCGTACCTTTGTATTTGAGTCCTTTGAGTTTTCAAGAATAGTGTCCACACGTCTCCAAGCATCAGGATTTTCCTGGAATTGTGTCATGACCTGTTCAGCCATTTTGTGCTAAAATATATAACAATTTTTTTTTAGTAAACTTGGATCTCCAAATCGAGATGTTGGGCCGAACAGAGCAAAATGAGCCATGGCACTCGGTGACGCCAATTGTACACTCTCACTACCACGAGCAATTGAACAAGAATCTACATGGGTGCCCAGATATGAAAACTGGTGAAATCGGCGGTCACTTACGTCAGGTCCGGTGCTACTGTAGAAGGTCTGCACTACCTTGTCCAGTAAGCCCACATCAAGCTCACGGTTAAAGTCAAGAACGACCTGTCGCAATCATGAATAGAAGGAAAAAAACCTTTAGTAACGGAATGAACTAGTGACAAGTGAGTTATGACATGAATTGAGTAACAATGTAGCCAATACCTCCATGTTCAATTGTTATGGTTGAGATTGATTCCGAGAATTATTTGTGCTAAAAGTACTACGATCTTATTGCTGCTGGTTTACTATCAGATGTGCCCTTTTCTATATCACTGAGTCTGCTGCTTATATTTGCATATATGGGTTTTTATATGTTTTTTTTTTTTGTCTCTTGCGGTATTTTTGCTGTCACAAAGCCGAATGACGATTGACAGTCGAAACGCGAGAGCGGCGTCCAGAACAGAAGAGAAGGGAACTTGAGAAATGTGAGAGAATTGAAATTACAGTGCAGTGCAATGCAAAGAGTGTTCTGTTGAAGGAGGAAAGACAAAAAGACGGCAAGGCGAATTTTCTGGAAAGGAGCAAAATAACGTGTAGTGGGAAAGATCCGTTGGCTGAAATCAAAGCCTGTGCTTTGTGATTCAGCAAGCTACTCTGATCGATATGAGGGCAAAAAAAATCATTCATCTCACTTGTTTTGGCTTCCAGTCCAAAAAGCCGTCAATTCTAACACTCATATTGCACGCTTGATCACCTCTATCACACAAATAATTCATAGAAACTACATAGCTACCTTCTTTTCTTTTTTCTCCCCATAGGTTATGCGCGGACGGCTGCCAGAAGCATTTCCTACACCGTCCTTGCTTCAGGAGCTGACGGCTATTAACATTCATACAAATCCATCAAAGCACAGTGCTGACGAGTTTGATGGAATTTACGAAGAGCAAGTTCTTCTTCAGACACTCGTTCGCGAAATTACTGACGAAGCTCATAGCTGCCTATCGGCGTCAGGCATCAAAATTAGACCGTATATCTTGAACCAGCGTGAACATATCGCCTTGCTTGGTATTGCCCATTTGGTCCAGCAAGACATGCGAGCGCTTCAATACGAACTATGTAAAGAGCCTTTTTTTTTTTTTTTTTTTTTTTTTTTTCGCCCAAAGAAAAGGCTTAGGAAGCCCTGTGAATGGAGCGATAATGATAAATCTTATTAATATTAGCGCGCGCCGGTCGGCCACCTGATCAACGAGACGGGGAGTATAAACCGGCACCTGATTGGGATGAAGACTATCTAAATAAGCTACTGGCTGATTGGAATGAACCCGTGGTTCTGGAAGCAGATTATTACCTGCTGCGATCCATGTGTCTATACGACCTGGGCACATCAATCCAAGTCAAAGTGCTTGGTCCAGATCGGGTTGAAAAGTACATGAACATGGCGCTGAAGCTGGCGAAGAAAGGCTCCAATATACTTCAAAGTGTATTGGCGGAGGCTGACAAATCGATGGATGAATACTGGAGATATCCAACAATAATCAGCTATATCCATCAATACCAGGTTTGTAGCTACTCTATTGGAAAAGCCATTCACCAAAGGTTGGGGATATTCTGTAGTATTTTATTCATAATTCTTAATGCCTTGGCTTTATTGAATTCTTAAAAAAAAAAAAAAAAAAAAAAAAAGACGACGATGACGATCTCAGAAATTAGGAAGTTTGAAACAGTAGTCAAGTTACCGGCCTCTGAACAGCTTTTGGAGAAAGCTAGACAGCAGGCAACTCTAGCATTGCAATCGTTCTATCTTGGCATTCGACGATATCCAAGCATATCTAATTCATCTAACGAGTCATTCAGGGACCAAGAATGGAGCAACATGGCTAAAACAGCTGAACTATACATACCTCTAGCAAACGACTTCCTCGAGCGCCAAATATGGACACAGCATGTAGTCAAGCTCCTCAGCGGCGCGATTCTTGAGAAAAAAACACGACGCGATGATCTGCTCATAAGGATTTCAAAAATATATCTTGACTTTGCTCTTTCGATCCACGAGCTGCCTGAGAAATCTCTTGTCTATCCGCGAGTCAGTCCAATGTTTCATGAGATGCAACGTGCAGCACTTTCGGGTAAGATATACATAAAATGACCGGACGATTTTTTCTGTGATCCTCGTAAGGGGTTTTCCAATCAGTAATGATTTAGTTTTTGTTTTGCCAATGATGCTATCCTATCTGTAGCTCTTGTGTATGCCAAGCATGCTATGGAAAATGCACGTTTAGAGGATCTTCAGCCAGAACATTATTCGCAGGTAGGTGCCTTTGTATTCTAAGTTGTACTCACTCATATGCCCACCATCCTTTCAATCTAAAGATCGTGTATTTGAGTCGGATATTAGATAATAGACAGTTTATACATGATGTCGCTAGTGTGTGTGGATCCACGACTGATCCATTTTTACAGCCGAAAGGCGACTCAATGGGTCGGGCAGCTCATATTGACTTTTCGTCATCATCATGTTGACCCTGGGTATCTTCACTCAGCCAAACTCATGGCTGCCAAGGATAAAGCCATGCAATTAATTGCACAAAGACGTCGAGAGAAATAAAATATGCCCAACAAGTTGCGGTCTTTTTTTTTCAGCAATAAACATTTATATTTTAAAGTCACACACTCCAGACCTGACATCAATGCGCTTACACAGAGCATAATTGCCACCAAAATTTACCACGCGTGGTTTTCAAAAAAAAAAAAAAAAAAAAAAAAAAAAAAACACAAGTCAACGCCACCATCACACCATCGCCTGTCGTTTCATTACAGAAGTCCTTCTCTAGATACAAAACGGAAAGAAATCATCAGCCCTTGCCTAATATTGCAATAGGAGCGCAAGGCATCATGGGCAATTTTGAACTGGATGAGGAACTTAGCAATGTGCAACAGGACTCGATCCACATTCCAGGGGAAATCACTATTGAGGGAGAAAATCACAAAACTCTGGAGCGAATTCTGAATGGTAGTTTTACGAATATTGAGACAGGAACTTCCCAACATTAAACTTTCCAAAGCAATCACCACTCATCCAATATTGTGTGTTTCACTATTACAAATAGAAATTGTCGATACACTGCATGATGCTTCAGGCAATATCACCGACAACGAAATTTTTGATAAAATCAGAAGTTTTATCAAGTATGTCATTTGTCCATAAGCGGCGATTCTTGAGAGAAACATGAAAGTGGATCCTCAGCAACAAACTAACACCGGCCCTGTCCATTTTGCGCTATATAGACACTTCAACACCCTTAAAAAGTCAACAGCCACAAAAGTTTGGGATATTGTTCTCTCTGGTAACGACAGATCCGTGCTTTTTTTTATCTTTTTTTTCTTCCAAACATTAGAGTACAATAATGTCAAATGCCCTTCTCAGACTTACTCAATTCTTGAATCCCAATATATTGCCTCACTGGAATGAATGTAATTTTTTTTAGGCTTCGCCTCAGAAATCGCTTCAACAGCTCAGGACTTGGAGATCAACGACCAAGATGTTTACATGCAACATCGTGAAGCATTGGAGATGTACGGGTTCCTGATTTTTTGGACCATTGGAATTACAGAACAGAAAGCAACCTCCCGTGCGGCAGTGTCTGAAAAGGCTGGAAAAGCAACGGTCAGTCTTGTGCTGAAACGGCCTCGATTTGAATTTAGCTGATTGTACTCGTTTTTTCTTCCCAATCTGACTGCTTTTTTCCCCTCATCTGGAAAATAGCGTGCAAAAGGGGCACGATCTGGCAAAGATAATGATGAAGCGGTTGAAGGAACCTCCACATGGACTACTGAGAAGCAGAAGGCACTGAGCTTAATGAGCAAATGTTTAGAACTGCATCTTTCCAGGATATGGACTGCAACGCATGAGAAAGAAACATTTGTTAGCTTGTTCTTCAAACCCGCCTATCAGATCCTCGAGAACAAAGAAAACATTAAGATTGTAGCGCTTAAACAAAGAGTTTACAAGGTTCTTTGTATTTGTATAAAGCGGCATAATCACGAATTTGGTAAGATATGATTTAACACCTTGTTGCTGAAACTGATGGAGGCTAAATCAAAGACCACTAAGGGCTCATTGATTGTTTTGGTTGTCATAGGTGCACGGACGACCATCCTACAAAATCTTCAGTATTGGGAACACACACCAGAGCCTATGGCAGAACTGTTAGAGATGCTAATCAACGAATATGACTATTCACAACTCACTGACAGTATCCTCAGAGATATCAGTTCAAAGGAATTTGATGAGGCCTACAAGGATGTTAGCGTGCCGAAAGCATTTTCAAAATTCCTAACCAAGCTTTCAGAAGTTGCACCTAAAGTGGTCCTCAAACAGATGGGCCTTTTAATTGATCATCTGGATGGGGAGGTACCGTATTTTATCCAGAGTTGCTTTTCCGACATCGAAAAGATTATTAGACCAAGACTATTCTGCTAACCCATATTCTTCTCATGCTTGTACCACCCATAGTCGTACATCATGAGACAAGCAATTGTCGAAGTTATTGGGAACTTGATTGCATATCTTTCTGAAGTCGAGCAAACGGATCAAGTAAAGAATCAGATTGACGGATTTTTCGATATCTTGGAAGAACGATTTATGGACAATAACTCATATGTACGCACTAAGCTCTTGCAAATTACCAGTCAATTGTGTGATCTTCGCGTCAAATTTCCCAAACGTCGTCAGCGTCTGGCAGAGCTTGTCATTGGACGATTATCGGATAAGAGTTTCTGGTCCCGTAAACAGGCAATCAAAACTCTTGTACGCATGATCGAAACTCATCCTTACTCGATGCATGGAGGAGAGCTTAATTTGGAAGACTGGGAGATTCAATATACAGAAGTTACAGATGAACTCAAGGCGATGATTACGAAACCATCTAGGAGGAAAGCAGCTTTACAGGGCAACAGTGAGAGTGAAGATGCGTTGGAAACTGATAGGATGGACCAGGAAGAAGATGGAGAAAGCGATAAGGATATCGCTCTTCCTACAGACGAGGAGTTGCTTGCATTACAGTCATCCAAGGAATATGTCACTAAAACTTTACAACAGCGATATTATGCCGATGCAATTCGCTTCATCCATCTCATCCATCGTGCAGTACCAGTTATGTGCGAATTATTGGCATCAACTATGAAGCTGGAAGTCATTGAAGCCATGGATTTTTTTGTAACAATTCACCGCTATAAAGTTCAAGTTGCAACCGTAAGGTCCATAATGCTAGACTCGCGGGACAGAACATTATGAAAATTTAGAAAGCTAACAAGCGCTTAAATCATCTTTTTGCTTTAGGAGGGGATCCGTAAGATGGTTCACCTGGTATGGATGAAAGATAATGGTGATGAAGCCAAAAGCGTGCGTAGTCGGCTCATGGAATGCTATTGGCAGATATACCTGGCTCCTGATGATACTTTAACCGAGAAGGAAAATACGGCGGTAATTGCAAGGAACCTTGTCAGGTAAAAAAAAAAAAAAAAAAAACCTTGTAATCTAGATATAATAGGGCGTTAATAAGAGTATTTTAATTGAAAGTGGCTTCTCCCTAATCTGGCACATTCTCCTCTCAGTCTAACATATGATAGTACTTTGGCCGAATTAACGTCGCTAGAGCAACTACTCAGCACAATTGTTGTGGACTCGATAGCTCATTCAAGTGATATCACCATTTCAGACGAAGTCGTTGAGAAGCTATGGCAGGTCTATAGCCATCATAAAGACATTCCAAATGTTCAGCGTCGAGGAGCTATTATTATTTTGAGCATGCTCGCTAAAGCGAAGCCAGGCATTGTCTCTCAAAAGATAGAGACTATTCTCAAAATTGGGCTTGGTAAACATGGTAAATCAGATCCTGCACTGGCTCGCTATTCGTGCATTGCCCTTCAGCGCATTGCTGGGGAGAGGAAAAAACAGAAAGGCGCTATTGGACAAAACACCGTTAGACTGCCTATGGATCATCCTATTTTTATTAAGCTTGGTCATTTGATTGATCATCCTACGACATCCAAAAAATGGTATGACAATGAAGTTGAGTTATTATTATGGTCATTATTATTTTTTAAAAAAGACTTACATGGTTTCTGTTACTTATAGGTTCGCGGTGGTAGAGCAGGCAATAAACACAATTTATTTACTAGGTGAACATCCGGATGCCTTGTGTGGTGATATCATCAAAGCAAGATGCAAGTCGATTTTTAATCTGCAAGAACCAAGCGATTCACCTGGCGACCAAATGTCTATTGACGCTCCTCTGAGTTCTTTAGGTGAGGATGTCACCATGAGCCAAGAAAACGCATTTATGGTTGATTCCTGGCAACTCAGTCAGCTTCTAATGATTGTTGGACACGTTGCGATTAAACATATCGTCCACATCGAGGTGATTGAAGAAGAGTTCAAACGTCGAAAGGCAGCTGCAGGGGATGAGAAGAAGAAGGGCAAAGACAACGCAGTGAATGATGAGTTGGACCAAGTTGTTGGAACCACGGAAGATGAGTTCGGTGATGCTATGGCACATATTCGGGAGAGGGAGCTACTCTTTGGTGAAGAAAGTCTGCTTCAAGTATTTGGACCTTTAATCATCACTATTTGCGGCAATAATACTCTTTATTCGGTATGTTCCAATTTCAACTATGGAGAACTTTTTTCAGTGTTAAAATGATGGAAATGCTTATTACTATGTCTTGTTTTTCTTTTCCTTTGTTAGGACAAAACATTACAAAGTTCCGCCACGCTTGCTCTTTGCAAGTTGATGTGCGTTTCATCCGAATTTTGTGAACATAATCTTCAGCTCCTATTTACAATCCTTGAAAAAACAACCGATCCCACGATTCGGTCCAATATTATCATCGCTCTCGGAGATATGGCTGTATGCTTCAACAATCTCATCGATGCTAACATTACTTATCTTTATAAGCGACTTTCGGACTCGGATGCCGCCGTGAAGAAGAACACATTGATGGTGCTCACTCATTTGATCCTGAATGGAATGGTCAAGGTCAAAGGTCAACTCGGTGAGATGGCTATCTGTCTTGTAGATGAAGATTCACGAATTAGCGACCTTGCCCGGCTTTTCTTTACAGAGCTTACTAGCAAGGATAATGCTGTTTATAACAATATGCCGGATATTATCAGCCACATGTCAAATGCGAATATCGATGAAGAGTCATACCATAAGATCATGCGCTTCTTATTTGAGCTCCTCAAGGAAAAGAACATGGAATCAATGACTGAGAAGTTGTGTCAGCGCTTTAAGAATACAGATGAACCCAGGGGATGGAGAGATATTGCTTTCTGTCTGTCCATGCTACCATTTAAAACTGAGAAAAGCTTTAAGAGGTTGCTGGAAGGATTTCCAAACTACCAAGACAAGGTTCATGAGGAGCAGGTGTTCAAATATCTTTCGGATATCATTGCAAAGGTAATTATTAAACGTTGTGGACTGCAACTAAATCGTTGTGCTCTGTTTAGTATTTGGTCTCGGTTTTTCAATAATCGGTTCTCCATTAACACTATGGTTCTTGATATTGCATATAGGGCCGTGCCATCAAGCCTCCCAAACCTGAGATGAAGCCCATCATTGATGAGTTTGAGAATAAGCTTAAGGAATTCAAAGCTAAAGGTGATGAGGTTCAAGAGACTGAGGCCAAGGCTATTTCGGCTGTAAAGAAAGGTAACCGGAAGGGAGGACGCAAGGCTGGAAGCTCACTGGCTGGACTAAAAGTCAAAGGAGTTCCAGAGCAAACAACCATGCCATCAGTTACGGAGAAGAGGAGAACCAGAAGCAGGAGAATCGAAGATGATGATGAATACGAAAATGACGATTGAAAAGGCCGAATCAAAAAAAAAAAAAAAAAAAAAAAAAAAAAAGCAACTTGTATAATTAATATCAAAATAATAAACATTTAGTGGCAAAGTGTCAAAGTGTCAAATGAGATCGCATTTGCTTCTGCCTGTCAAATAGTGAAAGTGAAACAAATCTCAAAAGATATTCCCTCATCCTGATTACTCCATCCTTCCTTTCTGCAAAAGTAGCACAGCAAAGAATTTCTATCTCTATTGTCGTTATTAAATGTTGCTGTTATTATTCACTTCTGTCCCAATGGATATCAACGATGATTTGGTGTTTGACTTTGATGTGTCAATAGAAGAGCTTTCACAAGTAGCCGGAATGGACCCTCCTCAATCACGGGTGTCACAGTTGGGGCCTTGGACTTGCTCTGTGACTTTGGAAGATGGATTATCTGAACTTTGTCTCGTGGTCTCTATCCGATTTCAACCTCTAGGCATGATGATGGTAGATGACGATCTGCAACAACAAGACCAAGTACAACAGTCGCAACATCAACCATTAGAAGAATGGGAAAAGGACAATATGCGTTATTCTCGGCTACAGATCTATTCACTGGCCGGAATGGATGATACTCAATCGCTTATTTTAGAGTCGCCTATACAGCAGTCTGAAACGCTTACTTTTCAAGGTATGCAAGGTAAAGTGTCATCCTTACTTTATTTTATTATTTAGCGGCTTTATTAATGGCCACTTGTTCAGAAATATTCTAATATTCTCAAGGAGACAATCTCATTCGTCAACAATTGGTAGCTACAATTGAACCAGACTTTGTCCGACACCATGGCCGTTTTGTATTTCGGGTACTTCTCAGCTGTGGCTACAGTAATGTCAACGGCAGCAACAGCAACAACTTCAATGATGGTGATGCCGCACTCAACCCTGAATATCACATACGAAAATTTAAAACCTTTCCCCATCCCCCTCCTTCCTCCTTATTTTCGAGAAATAACTACTTTTCAATGGAATCGCAGCTCCATCTGAAGGGGATACTAGAGCGACCTGTGAATTCAGATATCCAACTTTCGTTCCCTCATAACTCTTATCCATTCTATCAGAGATCATCAACGTCAATAGCCCTGAACAATGGTAACGCTACCCAAGAGCCTAATGCTACAAGAAGGACATGGAGCAATCAAGGAGAAAGTGGCCAGCAAAAAGAAGAGCATCTCGTATTACGTGCTCATTCATGTGTTCTCAAAACAGTAAAGTCATCATCGATAAATCGATTATTGAGTACTTGCCCCCCTTGCGAGCAACAACAACAGGCTGAGCGACAGCAACCTCGCAGTATCACCTCTACAACCACTATTCCCCATCATAACCCCCCGTTGTTGCCGTCCATTTCGAGCAACACTGACGACATCACCAACATTGGTGCTAATAGTGGTCATCACAATGAGACATCTGCAATGAGAGCCCCTCTTTTAGAGCCCATTCGCGAGATCAGATTCGAAGATTCACCACCAGGAGCGGTGGAGGCTGTGCTGCGCTACATTTATCTAAGGCAATGGCCAGTGCTGGAGCCACTATGTGGGTATACCGTCAAGGACCTGATGGCCCTTGCAACATATCTACAACTTGAGAGTCTTCAGGAGCTCTGTATTGATTTGGTGTTGGGTAGGATCAAATGTAACGATCACCATGATGGCCATATTGTCTATAACAACAATAGAAGAGCCCTTGTGAATGACAATAGCGTAAGCTATATCGGCAGACAAGCCAACAGCAGACGGTTTTGTTCCAGGAGGTTTCTATCGTGCTGGTCCTCCCCTTTCTCTTCCTCGCCTTTAACTTCCTCTTTCTCCTCCTCCTCCTCCTTGTCGCTTCGGCGACCGATTGGCTCTCGGCTTCGGCTCAATTGTAACTATGACAGTAACAACAATGTCTGGATAGCTGCTCAAGATTGCTCAACACAGCAACAGACTCGTCCAAGGTATCATCCATACGAACGGAGTATGAATGAAGGATGCTTAAGAGCGTCCAAAGAGCTACACCATGACCCCAATCATACTAGGTTACCCTGTCAAACTTTGCAAACAGTGACTAGACATAATGGGCCCAGATCCGCAACGGTACCGAGGCTTTCACGATATCAACTGTATCAGACCAATGCTGCACAATGTACAGCCAGCCTCGAGAATCTGTTGCAAGTGCTCTTTAGTTGGGGTTACAAATTTCCAAAAATGCGTACAGAACTTGTTCGGGCCTTGGCTCATACTCATGGAAGACAGCTCTTTTTGGAGCAAGCAGGCGGAGAAGTCCACAATAATGACAATTATAGTGAGGCAGCCTGCAGCACCCACCACCAGTGGACAACAGCAATTGCAACAACGAGCTCGTCCTCAACTTCGGTCTTGACTCCAACCTCAGCAACAGTTTTCAGAAGAAATGGGGGGCTAGAGAGGTTTCGGGAACATGAAGCTTATAGAGAGATAATACATGAATTGGTAATTGAGCATTTAATGGTCACAGCTTTCCACTCTGAATAAATTGTACAAAAAAATGATGACAATGACAATGTTAACTCGTGTAAGTCCATAAAGAAAAAGAGCAATAAAGGAAGAGATCTGGGCTTTGAATGTCAATCTTCAATTGCAGAATGCTCTACAGTAGTAAAAAAAGCCTTGATCTAGATCTGGAATTGAAAAAAAAAAAAAAAAAAAAAAAAAAAAAAGCATGGTTTGCACAAGCAGAATAAAGTATTACACGTCGTAATGTATATTTATATCTTCATGTCGTAGATACTCCTTGAAGTTGTCAAAGATGGACGATGTTAGCAGAAAGCACTGTAATAAGCATTAAAGCACAATAATCTTTTTTAGCATGCATTATGCAAGAATTAAAAAAAGAGTAATGCAATATAACCTTTGCATGTTTCTTTTTTTTCTTTTTTCTTTTGGGGTCACACACCAAGTTGATTTCTATGAGAACAAAACAACAAATAAAGGTATAAACTGATATAAATCAACATCAACATCGAATTCGTTCTTGATTGCTTTGTACAAGTATGAATATTAATCTTTGTTTATGTTTTGTATCTCCTGCACCTGTGTTTATATTTGTATTTGTATTTGTATTTGTATTTGTATTTGTATTTTGTATTTGTTGATGAAGATGAAAAGAAAATAAATATTAACCTTGCAGATAGCCAATCCATTCGAATGCACAACGCGCGAGCAAAAAAAAAAGTGGAATCCCAACAAAGGAAAAGGATCTTTTTCGCTGTGAGCACCCAATCTTGTGTTCACTGGCACATTTTACCAGTAACGAGATGGTGACAATTTCATCTCTGCCAATCCAATAGTCAGTTGTTGACTTACAATTTGTACAGAACTCGAAGGTGGTGTTGAGGAAGAAATGAACCTATGGTTAGAACTGGGAACTAGGACTAGGATTGTGGTTATGATCGGGACTGAGATTAGGTTTGGTAATAGCATAGGGATTGGAGCTGGAATTGGAGCTGGGGTAGAGGGTAAGGGATACATGCAGGGGAGAAAGAATAAGATGAGAGCCGAACTGGGACCAAAGCAGGGCATATTTAACATATGACGCTGATTGTAAGAGCACAGAGGAAGCACGCTAGACTACAGCACGCAACATTTGAGAGATGCTCTTCAAATCACTAAATAAAAAAAAAATAAAAAAAAAAAAAATCAGACAAAATAAAAAACATGCAGACTATGCACCACTGCTATGCACACCTTGCACACCTTGCACACATTGAAGTTAAATCAACATTATAAATATATAGCATTGGGGTTTCCATTCTTGTTACTTTTAGAAAAAGGACAGTATATACTGTCTATTCTGTCTAACTTGTTGCTCCGCACACACATTTGTCGCAACAACAAAAAGGATCGCGCAAAAAAAAAAGAGGGTGAGAGCTTGAGGGAATAGGAGGGTATGGAAATGAGAGAATAGCGCTAAGAAGCCATATGCTCACTTCATTTCGAATACTTCAAATATTTCGTATACGAGCTATTTGAAAGTGAGTTATTCGGTATACAATATAAACAAACACTTGTTCGCAAGAGGCTCTCACTCTTACTCCTGCTGTACAATATTGCTGCACATCAATGAGTAGCTGAGTCGAAGCACGTTGGGGAGGAGGAGCTGCATAAGAGTGAGAGGAGAGGAGGCCAAATAGCTTTTTATTTATTTATTTATTTATTATTACATGGTAAGTTGAATAAATTATAAAAAGATACAAGGCGGAGGGGGGCATGTCAAAGACGTTTATTATTAACATGTTCATATAATTATAACTAATAAACACTATAATTATATATAATATTAAAATTCAAATATCTTATTCTATTTACACCTTGCACAATAAACATGACAGAACAAACACCATTGGGCAAGAGAGCGATGCGATTGGGAAAGATGACAGAATAGGAAGACAGGCACACACTTTCTCTTTTTTTTTTTTGGTGTACTGGTGTACTTGCAATCTTTGCAATCTCACAAACATAGCAAATCCAATGGTGCTTGCATGCATGTCTTGGTATGCTTTGTCTAATTTCGCTTCGTTTCTTCACTTTATTCTCTCTCTCTCCCTTCTTTTCTAATTTCCTTTTCTCACTTTCGATTCATCTCTTGGAATCATTCCTCATTTCACATCACTTTTTCTGATCGCGTGTAATTCAGGGACAACCATTCCTTCTGTCTCAGTTTTGCACACCTCGGCTCAGGAACATCAATCGCTATCAGCACTCTCATTCCCAATCGTGTATTCTCTTTCCCCCCTTTCCATTCCCTCGTTCACACTCTTTACACTCTTCACACTCTTCACAACGTTTTATATACCTTCAGACTCTCAATCTCTTCCTCTTCACTTGAACGCTCTTATTCTTCTCCGACGTGATGTTCTCATACTCATAAACAGTTTAACCATTCTCTCTCTTCCCTGCTTCTCTCCCCCCTCTTTTTACGAACAAATTATCTGCTCTGATTTCACCACATCCAACACGTTGCATCTATTTTTTTCTCAAATTACACTAATATAGCGTGGACGCTTTAAAAGATAGGAGACGCATCGTATTATCCAAAACAAACAACAAATCAACTTTCTTTTTTTTTTTTTTTTTCCCTCCTTCCTTTCCCTTCTGCATCGATCCTATCCAAAGCAATATACCAACGCTGGCTCCCGAGAAATCAAAATAGGAAAAAAAAAAAATCACCTTCTCTCTTCCTTTTCCCTCTCATTCTCTCATTCTCTCTTCTTCTCTTCCCTCTTCCTTCCTCCTCTTCCTCTCATAACGTAGCAAGATTTAAAAAAAAATCCTTTAAATATACATTCCAAAAAGAGAGAAAGAAATAATGGCGCCTCCTCAGTTCAAGGTCATCATTGCTGGTGGTGGCATTGTTGGGTTGGCATTAGGTGTGATGCTTGAAAGGGCAGGTATCGACTATTTGATCCTCGAAGCTGTCAATGAGGTTCGTCCTCTGGGTGCAGTCCTCTATGTGGGTCCGGCCGTCCTCCGAGCATTTGAACAACTTGGACTACTAGATGATATGGTTCGTCACTCCAATATTATGACAGGTGTTACTTTGCTGGACCAAAAGTTGAACCAGATCTGTCGTATTGGCACAGCTTACGCTAGAGACAGGTAAATGAAGCTTTTATTAATATTGTTTGCTACAATCTATAACTATCACACCACAAATGAAAAATATATATTTATATATATAAAGAGGAAGGGAGAAGGGGAACAAACGGTTCGGAAATGATTCTTTTTCAAGAAAGTGAAATATCTGCAATGATGCAGATTGTTTTAAAAAGGCATCTCATCGAGACTTCATGTGTATATCGTTGAGCAAAGGCCAACACGCACAAACTTACCAGACAGAAGGATAGAAGATTATAGAGAGTTCTGTTGGTGTGTGTTTGCGATAGAGAAATATCTCGAGAGCTGCATTGCGTTCCAGACAACCAAACAGCAAACAGAATGGTTCTTCCAGACGGAAACCATTGAGTCTTACCCATTTGTATTTTTAAAATACTGTCTCCCAATTGAAGAAACAAAGTTTACACATGTATTTCCGCGAATCAACCAGTCACATTCCACTTTGAGTAACAACTGCAAACTCTGTTTTGTGGATGGATTCAGATGTTTGCATGTTCTTGTCGGTTGTCTGCCGCATGTAAAAAAAAGGAGAAAGGCAACGTTGAAAGGCTCTCACTTTTTTTTTTTTTTTTTTTTTTTTTCCTTCTTTCGAGTGTTCTTCCATTCTCCACATGGTGTCGTTTATCTTTTTTTTTTTTTCTTTTTTTTTTTTTCTCTCTTTTCGTGGGATGAAGCAACCCAATCTATCCCGTTACCCATGCATTTGTCCAATTTCGCCCATTTGCTCTTTTTCTTCCCTTTCCACCTCCCCTTTTTACGACTTTTTTGTAAATTGTCTATTTATTGGCTTTTTAGTATGCTCTGCTCTCTTACATGTGTTGTAGAGTTGCATGCATGCACCATGCAACATTGCTTGGGAGACCCGGAAATCTGATCTCCAAGTGGCCGTTGCAATCAAAATTAGTCCTAAACTTACTGCACATGGAGACAGAATGCATTGATGGCTAATAATATTAACCACAATAATTGCTTCCCGTCCCTTCATTCCTTTGCTCAAACCATTGATCAGATATGGCTATGATACTATAACAATTGTCCGACCCAAACTCTATGACATCCTGCTCTCCCGCATTCCAGCTTACAAGATTCTGTTTAACAAGCGTGTAAGGGCCACGGCTCAGAATAGTGAGGGTGTTAAAGTTCGCTGTGAGGATGGCTCAACATACAATGGTGACATTCTTGTTGCCGCAGATGGTGGATCATCATCGATTCGCAAGGCCATCTATGAAGAGATCCGCAAACGCTCCAAGAAGGTGTCTCATCCAGTAGATTATGCACGTCCCAAGCTGGATCAGAGATGCATCGTCGGTGTCTCTGAACCATTATCCGTCAAACAGTATCCAGTTCTTGCATCAAAGAATTGTGAGCTTATGCTTATCATGCCCAAAGATTCAAACTGCACGGTAAATACAGACAAAATTAGAAAATACCATTAATCTGGTCCGTGAGGTACATTCGGTGTGGATGTACACTAAACCTTTACTGTGGTCAATGCGCAGAGGGAAGGGGTGCAAACTACCTGGTATTTATACGAGTACCTGAAACGCTAATCATAATTGGGGGTCCTTCTATTGCCTCTTTTTCTTTTTTCTTTTTTTTTTTTGCTTCCCCTTTTGATGTCTCCTAGATTTGGTTTGTCCCAATGGCTGAAAGGCGCTTCGGTTGGGGCATCACGTCGCCTCTACCCTGCACAGACCCTGATGCTCAACCGACCTCATCTTCAAAATCAAAGAGCAACTTGGAGAACTACCCTACCTTTGATTCAGATTCATTTGAAGCCCCTAATTCGCCCTCATCTATCCACGAGGCGAGCCGATCATTCTCTGCTCTTTCAAATACATCCTACAGCCCACCTTCTATAACCTCCTCATCGTCTGGCCAACAGGTTTATGGCGAAAACGACTACAATTTCAGCACCAGTACCAACAATGTTTCCAGCATTAGCAATATTAACAATAATAACAATAGTATCAGTAGTGACAACCTCAACTCCAATAATTACTTCACACCCCAGTCTGTCAGAAAAAGACAGTCCTTCGGCCGACTCTCTAAGCATTCGACCAGCTCCAATGGATCTCAGACAAGGTCGGAATATACCTCCGTAATACAGCTAAATGACTCTAGTGCACTCGACCTAAAAGATCTTCCTCGAGACAGAATATGGGGTAAATTAGATGAACAGTACCATATCGAGGAGGCAATCCGAGAACAGGCCAGTCCCTTCGGAGGCACACTCGGTGATATCATTGACGCGACCTCAAGAAAAATGATCTCGATGGTCGTTGTAGAAGAGAAATTTTATCATACTTGGCATTTTGGTCGCACAGTTCTCTTGGGTGATGGTAAGTAAAAAAAAAAAAAAAAAAAAAAGCATTTGCCACATAGTTTATAATAATGTTCGTCTAAACAAATTCTTTCTTTTGCTTCTGGCTTTAATTCTCCGCTTATCTCACTAATTCTTCTCGCCACAGCATGCCACAAAGTAAGCAAATTATGTCAATCATGCCAAACGTGCCAAGTGTGCTGTGCATTGCTATGCTTTTAATCCCTACTTTTACGTACTCGCGTTATTTAACAATATCTCCTATTTCTTATCTCCTACCAATAGTTACTTCCATCTTCAGGCCATGCTACAACACAAGGCATCTTGGACGCTATCAGTCTTGCCTCGCTCTTGGCGGAGTTACCCAGCAACACTCCTAATGATATCAATGCTCTCTTCCGCGTTCATTACCAGCGACGTGGACCAAGTGCAAAGGCAGCGGTTGTTGTATCTCAACAACAAGCACAAATGTTATTTAATAGAGTATGTTTTTATTTTTATTTTTTCTTTAAGCGACGGATCGTCGGGTATTTTGTTTTTTTATAGAGTGTTTGGACCTTATCTCTTTTTTATTAACACTATGCTATTTGGTTGTCACCATCGTTTATCCATTCACATATTGTAATAGAAATTGACGGGCAAGATCATGCGCAAGATGGCTTCGAATTGGATCTCTGACTGGTTCAAAATCAAGCTGACGGATCGTCTATTCGAGTCGCGTCCCATGCTTCCATACTTGAAACCTATTCCTGATCGTGGATCGCACAAGGATAAGGATAAATCTGTACCATTATTACAAGATAAGCGGTTTGAGATGGCTCGGAGGAAATCTGTTTCATCAGGGTACTTGAGTGCTACTTCTATGATCGGAGAAGGACGGGACGGAGGATTTGGTGGGGATGGTGTTGAGCTAGACTTTGCGATGTCTCCCTTCTCAACATCAATGCCGTCGATTGTTATGCAGTCATCACCGTTGCCACCCCCTGTAAGTGGAATAATAGAAGACGACATGTATGGTTCTTCCTCAAGGTCTGGTGAGAAGGAGGCGATAAGCCGTTGGCGGTTGTACCGTAATTAGAGAGAGAGCAACATACGCATATTTATGCACACATATATTTCGCCATAGAATCAATAACACTCCATCCTTAGTATAAATTTAAATATCTGTGAACAAAAGATTTTAGTATTGTTTAATTGCTTGCGATGAACGTCAAGATGGAAAGGGACGCAAGGAAGGGGATGATCTTGGCGGTATTACAGCTCCCTCGGAAAGAGAGTGATGAATAAATGTCCAGCCTTGCGCCGAAGTTGTATGTTGTCTTGGGATTTAGCTTTAAATATGTATAATGCGCACGGGTGCAATATTCCTTCAGCATTCCCACATGTTACACTTGTTCATACCAAACTGACAGACATACTCCTTGGTTTTTGTTTTCCTTCCTCAATCATCTCTTTCTCATCGTTCTACTCCTTCATTACTCATTCCAATGCAAGCTCATACTTCTCTAGTGTCCCTTCCGTGGCAGCTGCAGCATAATTCGCCTGATAACGCCCGAGGCACATCTGGTTCTCGTTCTTGTTCTCTCTCTTTTCGCTCCTCAACCATGTCATCATCATGGTCTTCTGGTACCTATCCCTCACCTATGCTACTCCCAGAGATCATTACCCTCATCTGTTCCTACCTTAGCCGTCCAGACCTTGCAGTTGCAGCTCGATTCAATCGGACTTGGTCAAAGATCTGTCTGCCCTTATTATACCGCGAGATTTCGCTCAATGGGCGTAGGTTCAAGATAGACAGTCTTGAGTTAGGTATTCGACGTAGTGGTCATTTCTGTTTGCGGTTACAAGCTGCTCGCGACGTAGTAAGTAGACAGAGCCGAATTTCTCTTAGAAGCGGCGTATTGCTCAACTTTACTAATCTTTTTTTTTTTTTTTTTTTTTTTTTTTTTAGAATCATTGGTGTTCCAGAATTGCGGGAATGCTGCGCTGTACGCCCAATCTAATAGATCTAGACGCCACCTGGATGAATGTCGACTTGCTCGAGTCCTTGGTGTTTCTCCAGAAGCTGGAGCGGCTCGCGATCTCACGCCTCCAGGGATGCTATTCAGAAGATAGTCAGTTCTTTGAGCCTTTCTTTCAAGGATCTTCAAGAATCAGGGAGCTTAATATGGCAGACTCGAGTCAGATGACTGACTCCACCTTGGTGAGTATCATTAAGACCAGTCCACATATTCAGGCCTTAACAGTCTCAGGCAACCAATGCCTGACCCATCAAGGTTTGATTCGATGGTGTGAGCAGCTTTCAAAATCGTCATCGCCACCATTGTCATCGCCGTCCAAGTTAGATAGCATAGCTATGACCGAGTTGACAACTGTCAACTTCGCAAACTGTAATCGAATTCAGCCCTCGGGCTACCGAGCTTTATTCGAACATTCCCGAAACCTTCAGCATGTCAATCTTATGTCCACACGTGTGGACGATGACGCATTGCAAGTCTTGGCTAACCAAAACCAAGGTTTGGAGAACATCATCCTTAACTGTTGTCCAGCCATCTCAGATCATGGCCTACAGGCGATCCTTAGGGCTTGTCGCCAACTAAAGGCGATCTCACTTCTGTATTGCAATCGCATCTCTGCTCGAATATTCTTTCAGAGCCAGTGGAAGTGCCGCGGATTAGAGGAGTTGAGGTTTTCTTTGAACGGATGGCATCAAGATCTAATCGAACATGGACTAGAGGGGGGAAATGGTGGTGGCGGAGGTGATACACCTGCTCAAGACCCAGAGATGAACCCAAGCATCATTCAGCCGCATCTTCAAGAAGGTGCAGACCTTCAGTCAATGATCTATGAGCCGCAGCTTGAGTTTATGATTTTTGGTGAACCGGAATGGGAAGTTGCCGCTTTGTCAGAGGATGATGATGATGATGGGACCTATCTAGCCGATCAAGTACCTATACAGAGTACCACTACTACTGCCAACAATAGCAGTGATAGCCATGATAACGATATTTCTATTCATTATCATTCGATGGATATCGACCCGCCTCCCTCTTTCCAAGAGTACCGTCAGCGTCTTATCTTGACCCAGCTCTACCGTCAAATCGGACAATTCACGCGGCTTCAGACTCTAGTTATGCGTAGCATTAATCTTCCGCTAAACCTGAACGCAGGATTAAGTCGTCTCAGTCGATTAAAGGCTCTTCAGCGTATTGAATTGGCAGGACTCGAGCAACCATTTGGTCCATCTGAAGTCAATTGGTTAGCAGGAATCTCATTAGTAACGCCCATAAAGAGTGCACAAGAACAGAAACATGGGCCTGTAGCACAGCAGGTTGAACAGACAGCTTTTAGTGGGCTCAAGACAAGAGATGTCGTTTCTACAACTATAACAGTGTCACAGCCTTTGCCCATGTTGCGTGAGTTGGCGTTCATAGGTGGCTATAGCTTATCATCAGATCTATTAAGAAAGCTCAAAGAATATCGTCCGCAGTTGGATATTCAATTAACTCAAGTCAGGGATGCCGTCGCTTAGTGACAAATGGACAGTAGAGTATCTTTAATACAGTTTATAGAGAAATAATGTTATCGTAATAATAAAAAAAGCTAATTATGATTGGATAATCATGAAAGAATTCGTCAAGTCAACATGATTATCACGATCGATTGTCCTTTTCCCTTCCAGATGTCTTCTCCTGCAAAGATCTCGTACAATCAAGTGCCAAGAGTCTCTAGTCAACAAGACTCTACGTCCATACTCCCAGACCCTTTTCTGCATTTTCTGGTATTGTTCTTCAGGAATGGCACGCAAGATCTTGTCCAAGCGATGAGCATCATCACGTCTGATTTTGATACTGAAGCTAGCCCAGTCAATATCATCCTCAAAAGGTTCCACAATTCCGTCTGCAATGATCACAGGAACCACACCGAAAGCGATACACTCCCAGAGTCGGGTTGTGCCCAGCGTATGCCCCATAGGGACCAGGCCATAACGAGCTCTTGAAAGCAATTTAGCATATTTCTCTGGTCCCCATCCTGAAGCAATCACGTAATCTGCTTGACGATCAAATCCATTGAGTAAGAGAGATCGAATGCCTGCAGAGTAGACGTCATCGGGCTGAACATCTTTATATCGACCGCTAAAGAGCACAAAGATATCTCGTCGTTTGTGTTTTGGATGACCACTGCTGGTCAGATACTGTAATGGGTCAATCTTCACTAGGTTCAGGATAGTTGTAGCAGATGGGATTACAATATTTTTATATCGTCGGGATCCGACCACAGAAGGTGCCAGGGGTCTCAGATCTCCACTAGTAGTCAAGAAGGTGGCGTTCTGCATGATATCCTTTTGTTGATAGTAAAGAGACGTTCGGTCCATTGGATGTACCATTAGATGATCCTGACCCCAAGTCCTGTTCCAGTAAGGTAGTTCCTGTTGGATGTAGCGCATCATAGGTAGCACGTATTGTCCATCTACATCACAATCACCCTTTTCCCCGAGAATAAACCAACAATGATTCAGATATCGAGCTCCCAAAAAAGGGATATAAAAGAAATCGGCTTCTTCAGGGTTAGAGGTCACATAACTCTTGTAAGCACCTGAGGAGGGGTCTCTTAATTGTTCTAACAAGATATGTTCTGCAATATAAGGAGTGTGAACTGGAGGTACTCTTTTGTAGACTTCTTGAATGGCTGGCGGATCAGGATAGACATAAATCTTGGGTCTACAAAGCATTTCATCAATATTGGGTGGCCATCGGAGGTGAGGTGCAATGGGTGGGAGTGGCTTTAAAAGGATGGGAGTATGGCGTGTTGGATTTTTGTTAATCCCTCGACTGGATTTGTGGGCGGTCCGTGATCCTGCTAAGCGTCTCTCCAGGTCCGAATCCAGATCTGATATCATAATCATTATGATAGTTTAAAAAAAAAAAAGGGGGGGGAGGGGAATTATTTGTCAATGGAAAATGAAAGCGACCAAAGCTAACAATCAATAAATAAAAAGTTTTTTTTTACCATAAGGTGATCTAGTGAAGAAGGTGATGCGAACTAGGACATAGAGCCATGAGAAGAGACCTGCAGCGATGAAATATGTGATCTACCAAAAGGACATTCATCCTAGTAATTCAGTTGACTTCAAAACCTATTTTGGGTCTCTCCGCCACTCCTTTCCCCCTTTTTTTTAAATGAGGCATTCATGTTACATACCGTCCTGCGAGAAGAGATAATGCGTTTAAAAGTGAGGATCATATTACGTCTGTCATAGTTGGGGGGTGGTGGCCTGAATTGGCCTTTATAATAGTAGTTTGGCATTAGATGAAAGTCAGAAAGACAAAAGATGAGGAAATGAGAAAAAGGATGATGATGTTCGGGACAAATGAATTGATGATTCTTCCCGCACAGAACTTTTCTTTTCCTTTTCGCGTGCAACTTTAACTGTTGCCGGGGGACAAACGAGTTGCTTTCATTGGGTAGGATCAACTGACAACCCTTAAGTTGGGAAAAAAGAACAGAGACACAGCAAATTTTTTAATAAATAGCACAACTCAAGGTTCCACACTTCAAGGCACAAACAAACATGTGGCAGAACAGAGGTACCTCTTACTTCGAGTAAGCCCCACATGAAGATGAAGGAAGCATTCAAGAAAAAAAACAGATTTTCTGTGCTAAAAAAAACTTTTATTACATCTTCATAGAACAATCTAAATCTTTTTAGACAAGTTGCCTTGTCCTCCTTCAACTGCAAATAAGAGACAGGTCGCTTATCCGGAACCGCCAGAGTAGGCCTTGCCGAAGAAGATGATCTGGAGCTGATCGTAACCAGACAAGACACCAGCACCAGCAATGGCACGGAGGACGTTAGCACCAGCACCCTTGAAGAGGGACTTGTAACCCTCCTTGGAGACAATCTGCTTGAAGGCATCGAATGAGGAGCTGTACTTGACGGCCTCACCAGAGGTCATCATCATTCTTCTGCGGACAGTATCGACGGGGTAAGAAGCAAGACCAGCCAAGTTGGTAACACCGAAACCGAGAATGAAAGAGGCAATGAACGAGCCCTGGAGGGAAGCAGGCATCAAAGGCTTAACGGAATCGTAAAGACCGAAGTACAAACCACGGTAGATGATAATACCGAAAGCAGAGAGAGGGAAACCACGGTAGAGACCAGCAACACCATCAGTTGCAATGGTCTTCTTGTAGACATCAATGAGACCGTTGAACTGACGGGCTCCGCCACCCTTGCCCTTGGCGTCGTTAGCAAGACGAGTACGGGCATAGTCCAAAGAGTAGACGAAGAGGAGAGAGCAGGCACCAGCAGCACCACCGGAGGCGATGTTACCAGCGAACCACTTGGCATAACCATCCTTCTCCTTCTTGAAGTTGAACATGGCCTTGAAGTAATCCTTGAAGGCGAAGTTCAAAGCCTGGGTAGGGAAGTAACGGATGACGTTGGCAGTGTTACCTCTCCAGAGGGGGGAGATACCCTCATCAGCGACAACGCGACGGAAGCAGTCGGTGATGCCCTTGTAGGGGTGGGAGAGACGACCAGACTTGAGCATCTCATCCTGATTCTGGAGGAGAAGCTTGATACGCTCAATAGGGGCAGCAGCGGTCTTGGAGACAGCGGCAGAGACACCTCCCTAGAAATAAGATATTGGGAAATCAGGTAACCATGAGTCAGTCATCATTGGATTCATAAAGGTTGAAGTATTCTTCTAAAGTTATGAGAACTAGATGAACTCATCCGGATTGGTGAAAAAAGGATCATTAAACAACGATGAGATGAAACGAGATTGGAAACACTCGATCCATATAATTAAGAATAGTGGACAAGTTGTTGTCTGCTTCAGTTTTGATCACTTTATGATCTGAGATCACAGATCGGAAGTCGGACCATGCGGAAGAAAAAAAAAAAAAATACACTTGGATGATGACAATTGACGACGATGAAGGTGCTGATCAGGATGATGAGACTCGCTCTCTTTTCCTTTTGTTTGCAGGTATAAAGACAGGAACAGTTAGAGATATTCGTATCAGCATGGCACTCACCATGAGGAAATCGGCAGCGAAAGCCTTGGCGTCCTTCTTGGGCTTCTGAGGGGAAGACATGTTTATGAAGAGTGGGGAGAGAGAAAGAAAAGAGAAGGAGCAGACCTGTTCCGGGTGGATGATTGTATTTATGGACACCTGTCTCTTGGTGTAAACAACAAGTAGAAAGTCCGACAAACTAGTCTAAATCCCCTGTATTGCGATTTCGATGTCGTGCTGAGATCTTAAGCTGAAAAGCAAAAATTTTCAGCCAAGCCACTGATACTAGGTCATATCACGTGCCAGTCATATTTGGCAATAAAGCTGTTGTCCAATGATTTCCAGTTTTGTTTGTTGTAGACATTAAGAAAGCCAATGTTTTCGCTCATGTGAGTGTTTAAAATAACAGCCTCTTTCTCGTTTTGGTACCAGATTCATACCGCTATATACGCTATACCGGCATCCGATAACCATGGCCTCTTCAGACGCGGCAGAAACAACTGCAAATGCAGCTCTGTTAGAGGCTGCGCCACCTTCGCTTCTTGCGCTCCAGCAAACGACAAATGAGAATGTGAGGAATCTTAAGCGCAAAGTCATTAGTGTCACTAAGCTTATGGAAGTCTTTAAGAATAAGGAGAAAGGTAGCGCTTGATCTTAACCTCTACGTATTGTGTCCTCGTAGGGTTTGAAAGGGCATGGACTTTTTATAATCTAACTGTAATTTGTGGTAAACCTTTCTATAGAAACGGCATTATTGAAGCAGCAACTAGAAGATGCTCAAAAGGAGATCAAAGCGCTACAGGGGAAACCCAGCAGCGATACATCAACCGAAATGGAAACTGAGATGCTAGGCGGCTTTGCTGAAAAGCAAGCTCAGCTAACAGAGCAAGCAAAGATAGAGGTAGAACAGGCTAAAGCAAAACAGAAGCTAGCCGAGGAAAGTCTTGCGAGACAAACGCAGAAACTTCGAGCTATCGAGATGCTCAATACGCAATTGGAAGCAAAAGGAATTAATTTCGACAAGATTAAAGGAGAAATGACTGAGCTTCAAAAAAAACTAACCAGCGCACAAAAAGAATTAGAACAGGTTAGCCGGAGAAGGTAGATATAATTAATTCACGATGTTAATTTTATGAAACCTGTGTTGCATACGCAGCGATATAGCGAGTTACATGTTATTGACCGTTCAGTCGCTCATCCCATGATTACGTATAGCAAACAAGAGTCATCTGAACTTCGCGCGAAACTCATGAAAGCAGAAGCAGATATGGGGAATAGGCATGAGTGGCTTTCACAGCAAAAAGAGCGCTGGGAGAGAGAGGAGGAAAGTAAACGTGGTAACCAAACGAAGGAGTTGCAGCAGCGGATCAATGAGCTGGAGCAACAGCTAGAAGATAGCGGTACAGAACGCTATCTAGAAATAGAAATGGCAAAAGAAGAGCGAAAAAATTCCGAAGACAAGCTGAGGAATGCTAATGAAAAGCTGGATGATGCCAACTCAAAAATCAAATCCCTTCAACACACTATCATGGAACTTCGACTTAAGAATAGCACTCTCGAGCGCAAAATCGATACGTTAGAGCATGAAGTCAATACTCAAACACTTAATAACACAGAAGTAGAAGAGTTCGAAGAGATAGTCCCTGATTCAATATCCGCCCGAACCCCAGTGGCTAAAAAAGTAGATCGACCAACCATACATCCTACTATGCAATCAATGTCACTGAGCAATTTATCAAGAGATCGTCTGGACCATGCTTTGAGCGTCATTGATGACCTCAAGTCGCAGCTTACGCTCGTTCGTTTGTTTTCAGATGGTCAAAATCATAAGCAAGGATTGGTGGCCTTGACAGAGCAGGTCAAGATATTAACCAAAGAAAAGCAGGCGCTGCAGGACGAACTCACACGTCGACTTTTAGATTTTAACAATCAACGCTCTTCAGGGTCTTCTATCCAATCGGCCTCTGTGCTCTCTCACCAAATGACCAAACATCCCAGCAGGCTAGATGAAGCCAAGACGCCAACCTCTGCTGATACTATTGCTCGAACTAATTCTGCACTACCCAAAAAGACAGCTAGAAAGCGGAAACAAACAGAAAATATTACAAATTACGATACCCATCCAGCTGCAGACTCCTCTTTGAGTCCGATGGACCAAAACTTCAACATGGATGACATCGACACTATTACAGGTGGGGGCTCCCCAAGCTCTTCCTTGATAGATTCAAATATCAAGAAGAGAAGTCGGAGCTCTGAACCATCCGTTGTTCCTACATCCGGTACAAAGCCTAAGAAAGCAAGAGCGGGTAGAAAGGCCACGAAGACTACTTCAACTGACCTTTCTCACATTCAAATCAGAAACATCTCTGTCAACCCTGTGACACCATCCATCGCTGTACCTCGTCATTGTAAGTATCTGCTCCTAACAGCTTGAATATCTTTTACAAGAAGGCGTAGTAGAGATTATCTAAACTATATTTTTGTGTCATCTGACGCGCATAGATTTCTCGTTGCTGATGAACTCTGCTATCGTGGATGATAGCCAGCCTTATACTAAACTCGAAGCGATTGCAAGAATTCTACCAGAGAAATTAAGTGACTTTTTCGAAACCGTGCAGTCAAAAGCGAAGGATATAATCGCGACCGTCTCTGGGTATCGAAGAGAGCTTGATATCATGCAGGATTCAACCAGATCATGGGAGCTAGATGGCTTCGAGCCCATTGTGATAACAGAGTCTCTTCACCTATCAGAAGTATATATAGTCCAGCTAGTGTGTCTTCTTCAAGCTCGCTTTAGCGAGGTAAGTCTTTCAAAATATGTTATTAAATTGCAAAGACTATACTGAAAACTCACCGATATGCATAATCTTTTGAATATAATAGATAGATATTCTGCACAAATTTTTTATAACTATGGGTGAGTTCATCCTGAAAAGCGTACAGATCGATGAAGAAGCAGAGCGTATGAGGTATGCATAGTTTAACCTGGCATCAAAATGAATGCATTTTTTCAAGGGTGTACCATGCAGTAGTTTCTAATTTCGACTTTTTGTATTCCTAGCGTGCTAATTCGGATCGTTACAGGCGTCGCTAGGGCGCAGGACGATATCGAGTCAATACGAATTATTGCTTACGACATCTTGCGCGAGATACCCAAAGCTAGGCCCTCACTTGTACTCTGTGAGTCGATTGCAAGTGTCTGGCCATCCGTCTTTAAGCCTCCTCCTAACTCTAAAGAACATGGTAATGACTCTAACTAAATATGTAGCCCTCATTTCTGTTTCATTTGTGGAATTGAGTCATTAATTTTTTTATTTTTTTTTTTTAAAAAAAAAAAAAAAAAAAAAAAAAAAATTCGTAGACCTTGAATGGCTCATGTTAAAGGCTTTCCAAGCTGTTCTTGGTACACATCAAGAGGCCATAAAAAGCATAGAGGTAGATATTGAGCTTTTTGTATGGCATCTTTGTCGATTATGCTATTAGTATATCTGATCATGAGTATACTGCTTAACAATTGTTAGATACCTTTTGGATATGACACCTTCACGAGAAAGTGCAGCTGGCCTGCGCTTGCTGATGCTCCGTTTATTGATGAACTTGTGAATGCAATGATGAGTGAGCTAAAAGGACCAACATTTACTGAGAATTGTCGAGCATGTCCCAGGTACGAATTCTCGTTTAGAAAGGCTCTTGAATTGCTTCTTGTGCATGGGTACGAAGGAGTTGAAATTTTCAACGATTTTATCAAACCGTATTTCTTGAAGATGATGATCGATGAATCACTGCACACGTTTGCGATGCCACTTGTGGCTGCTTTATTGCATGAGGCACGGTTCGGGTCTCCGGAAGACAATCGGATGAATCCTGTTGTGGATGTGTCCTCTATACGAAACTTACTTGAGGCCATTTTAGTTTCCGAAGCTCAATTGAGCCACCAGTCACAGTCAGCCATGGCTATTATTGGGTTGAGTAGCGGACAAGAAGAGCATCTATCGAAAGCGAAGGCGTGGCACAATAACTTGAGCAAGGATGAGAGGGCAGGCCTTCCTCTTCTGCTTCAAGAAGTCTTACTGTAATAGTTTATTAAGTCAAATTCTAGTACGTCCATTAAAAGCCAAATAATGTTTCATAGTTTTACGTAGAGACATCGAGATAGGGAAAAATAAGTGAGCAAGCGTCAAGCGCTTTTTTTTTTTTTTTTTTTTTTTTTTTTTTTTTCCAGTTTTTCCTTTGAATAAGAGGAATGAGAGGAATGGGGAAATGAGTGCATGAAGAATTGAACAAATAGCAGTGTTAATCTGATCAGATCGCTTTTAGAGCGCGCCGCGCGCGTGTAACTGAAGATCTTTTTTTTACTTTTCAGTTAGATGGTTCCAGTTCGTGCCTGCTTCTTTTTTATTTATTTTATTATACATCATACATCATTGCCATTTATTACGATCACTACTACTTGCAACACTTACTCGTACTCACAAATATCTTCGCAACCTCCTCAATAATACAAAGCAGCCTATCAACATGCCCCGCGGAAATGCTATCGCTTCTTCATCTTCTGGCAATGCTGCCTCTTCATTAGCAAACGCAGGTCCAAGCGGCGCCTTCTTTGAATTTAGCGTGAAGCAAGGGAAAGAAGGAAGAAGCGGCTATACATGAAAGGCTAAGAAAGCCAGAGATGAAGGAGAAAAAAGGAGAGAGATCCATGAGGGCAAAAAAAGGGCCTGTTCTGTAGACGTCCATGATGTCGCCGATGAACAGACCCCTCGTAAGTAGGTCTATTCCCAAGACACGATGATCGGTGCAGCAACAGCTAGCTCTTCCAGCTATCTGAGGAAACAGCAGAACAGAGAAATACATAAATGTAAGAATATAATAGATGTTCTGCAACGCAAGAACTGCAGCGTTGATGCAAAGAAAATGCTAAAGTTTTTCGAGGAGGTTGCTTTCAAACGGACAGTTAAGAAATATATCGATCCAAACGCAGGATTCAGTGACGCCGTTGGAAAGGCTCCATCACAAGCAGCCAAGTCAGTGTTGCAGGGCAAGCTGACTCGTGAAAGCATGAGGAAACCGAAGGCTTGGAAAGCAGAAACAGAAGAGAGTACTTTTCAAGATGTCGTCCATGAGCTGGAGCAAAATCATAGTCAACATGATTCACAGCCTTATGGGACTTTGGTCTTTGAGGAGGTTGAGGAAGCCTTCCAAGATGACAAAGACGATGCAGGAAGCGAAGACGAGGAACACAATCATTCGCAACCGCCTGAAGAAGAGGCTCTCATGTCTGCTGAACCTCAAGCCCTAATGGTCTTCTCCATTGCGGAAAGAACACAAGATAAATCTAGTGTAACCAGTAACCATGTAACCAAAACAACCTTGTACAAAGCTGCAGTTCATTCCTTATTGGTAGTCTGACTCTTCATTTTAACCCAAATTTAGTTCTCCCGCATCTGCAAACTGATGAGACTGGCCGAAAATTCATCTATGCGCCTATCTCGATAGAGACGGTGGATTGTGCCAGGAAGGCGTTAATTTACCTCTTCAGGGAACAAGCGTCATTAAAGGTAGAATGGCCAAACCCTGCACCTCATCCGCGCAAGAATATTCCGCTGAAGGAGGCTATCGAAGAATGCGAGGGAAACCAGTGTATGACACCTCATACCAGGGGTCGACGTGCACTGATACCTGTTCCATTCGCGACCCCTATAATGAGAAGTAGTTCATTCGGATGGCCCTCCATACGTGGAGTATGAAGCTAATGCTGCGACTAAAAGGGAAGGTAGATTTCAGTATATGCGTGAGCGCCTTTGTATCTTGGCACGCCACCATATGCTGTTGCGAGATGAAGATATTCGCAATCTTAACCTGTCTGATGTGTCCAGTATTATGTCTTCTCACCCGGCAAGTGGATCCCAACCAGCTCTCGGACTTATGTTTTGCATATCTCGTGGCAAAACATATAAAAAAGGCGTTAAGCTTTATGCGACCGCCCTTCGCCATACTTATAATAGCTGGATAAGGGGGATGTCCCAAACTTCACCGATCCTGACGATCGGTACAACATAAAGCTTTTGGTCGCGGCCAGTACGATCGAGAGGCGCAACGCACGCCTTCGCAAGAATGCTGTTGCACCAAAGACTCAAATTGATGCCACAGCTTCTGTGATGCGAACCTGTGATGTCTATTCGACCAAGGTCACTCACGCCGGTCGACATGCAGGGACATCAGATGCGTACCGTCTGGGTTTAGGCTCGGAGCATATCCATCACCTTGGGCGTTGGGTGATAGGGCAGATGGAGAGTTTCTGTGCTTCAAAGAACCCCACCACGGGTGCGTTTTATATGTCTCATTTCAACAAAGAGCATTAGCCCTATACCCTTGAGCGTAACCTCATTATCCCTGACCTAGAGTTGCAGGGAAAAATTTTCCCTTAGATCGAAGGAAACTTTAACAGCAGCGCTAGAGAGAATGAGGAATGAGTTAAGGATTGTGACGATGCTATGACGGATGTAAACCCAGATCTCATCACGGAAGATGAGCTGCATTGGGGAGGCTGGCAGGAGCGTATGCGCCATTCGACAGCGGCTAGAGATCAGGATGAAGAAACTACGGGGAGCACCGCCGCAACGACCAATAGGCTCATGAATAGTGCAATGATTGATCGACGAGCTTTCCTACTATTACTGGTACGAATGAGGAGAGTTATCCTCCAAGACACTGTGCTGTACCTGAAGCCTGACAGTAAAGGAAGGACTTTGCGCAATAGACTTTTGGAATCACTTTCAAATATCTTTGAGAGTCAGCTGTTCCTAGACTTTCAGGCAGTACTCCTTCGCGCAATTGAAGTCCACCAGCAGAATGCCAATGTCGTCAATCCAATGGTCCCAGTTGCCAAACATGTGGTCTCCAACGCGCTAAACAACCTCAGCCACAAGAATGCATCTCTTGAAGCAGCAATTGCTCGACAAGGGGCGCAAATGGCACAGCAAGAGGCACAGCAAAGGATACAGTTGTCTGTCATGAGCTCAGAGCTTGCGACACTAAAGCAGCAAATGGAAATATTGATACATTTATTGTAAAACCCGTCAGCTCGTCAAGCTCCAACGCATCCCTTGAATCCAGCCGGTCTTCCTGGCCCATACCCTCATACTGTGCCAAGCTACCCTGCTCTGCATGGAGGCCCTCAACAGCAGTCGCTTGCAATGCGCCCCCCACAGGCACTTCAACAGCACTCACCACTGGCCCAGGCACCTTTACAATGCTTCCAAAGAGCGCCGGAGTCACCGCACCGTTCGTTCCCAGGCTCCGGCTCATCAAGCGCCACTTTCAAACTGAAAGCAGACCGTGGGAAGCTCACGGTGGCAGATGTATGGGAGGGGTTTCATGGACCTCTTGCGGCATTTAAGAGATTGAACCCGAGTTGGCCAATAAGTACATCAGACCAAAGGCCTACAATCGACGATATGAGCTGATTAGGCCGATCAACGAAGCAGCGTGAAGGGAGGCCGCAAGGCCGAATACATTGTTGCTAAGTGATCCAAAGCAAATGCCGGGGAGACTATTAACTCGTTGTTGATATCTATGAAAACTAAAGAGCATGAGGATCCTGAAGATGACCAAGAATAAATGACGATATATTTCCCAAGTAGGTAACTCATATAGAAGCATGTACGATAGTGACTCCAACATATATATATTAGAATAATAAAGGCTTTAATTGATTTGCAGAAAAAGAAAGTTGGTACGTTTGTGAGTCGCGCGTTTGTGATCCGTTTGTTGTTCGGTAACGGCTTCACGCGCTTTCTCCTCATTTCCGTCGAGAGAATAAATGGCGAATAGTAGTATAGAGTATAAAACAATGGAATATTAGATTAGACTAACTTGATTACATGTGTTCTGTAAAGAGTTAGATGTATATATACCAGAACAGAGGTAGCTGAAATATCAGTTATTGAAAAGGAAAGAACATACTAAATTTTACGCATTTTGCAGTTTCTATAGTTTAACTTTACGCACTTTGACTTAAATATACGCCAAATTGGTTACACAAACAAGGCAGAGAGCACCTGTCTTACACGCGCACGCGCCTGCCAATTACGCCCTTAAATAGCTGAAGCTTATTTTTATGTCTTAACTGTATGTGGGCCGAAGGACTGTGAACCATCATTGCTTGCTGTCCAACCATGTGTATAGTCCGGCTCTAGAAATAGTTGCATTCGCCAGCACTATATTCACTTGTATTAATGTACGCACCTTCTAGGAAAAAGTCCTTTCTGTAGACAGATGTGCAGTTATGTTTTTGATATGTCTAATAAATCTACATGCTCGTGGGTCCTTGTTTTCAACTTCAATAAATACCCCCATGGCTGTGGTGTGTGAACCCACAGCTTATTCTCATATACTGATTTTTTTTTTCTCATAATATGAGATGCAGTTTTGATATTATTTTTGCCAATGCCATTCTCTCTGGGGGTAGGGAGTGGTGGTCATTTGATTGACAAACTCTTTACCGGAATACATCAGATTGGATGTCACGGAAAAAATCTCTCCTTTCTCAATCTACTCCCACGCTCACACTCGTGCCCTCCTTTATATTAATCTCCACCATAATTACAACGCCGAATACTATTTAAAATGGAAGTCGTAGATGTGTTTCCGTTTTTCGAGGAAATGGAGGTGCCTACAACTGAGGTTGACATGTCTTACGTCTGGAGTGTTGAAGACGATATGCTTAATTTTTACTTCTCTTACGTCCGCTTGAGTCATATGTGGCTCACTTTTGCGAGCTTTCGTCGATCTCGAAATGAAAATCATCCTCTTGTACTCCAAACCCTGGCTAGCAAGATCCACAAGAAACTTCTAGAGACATTCTCCCAAGATACCAAGGCAGTTCTATATTTCGATAGCTCGTCCACAATCCAAAAGACAAAGGCGAGAAATGTAAGAATGGAGCGCAACCAAAAGACAAGCAAGCGTTCAAGGACTTATCTCAAAAGGTCTTTCATTTGCTGGAATCCAGAGGCGACAACCTGAATCAGAGGACCCGAAAACGCAAGCTTCTTCGGCTAAACCAATGCACTAAGAAAAGTTGGTCTGCAGCAAGAATAATCGATCCAGATATCAACCTAGACCCCTTTAGAGCTAAAACAATTGGGATGGACCATTTGCTGCTGATAGAGAGAAGCTGACGTTTGTATTGGCCGCAAGGCTGTACTGGATCCCGGTATGGTTGTTGCTGCATCTGCTGAGTTTGACTTGTTGTTTTATGATCTGAGAGCCCTCCTAAGGAAGAATCCAAGAAGGGCACCTATACGGAATTCAAGATAGACAACATACTGCAACCGCTTGATGCCAATCGACATCAATGGGTTGTGGTGGCTATGCAACAAATAAACGATTATACAAATCACGTCCCAGCCAAGTCATTTTCAAAAATTTGGCTGCAGTAAGAGAGTGCAAACATGTTGACGATCCATACAAAATATAATTCCAGTATTGCGCCCAATCAATTTTTTTTTTTTTTTTTTTTTTTTTTTTCGAGAGTCGAAAGCGAGATTGAGACGAAGAGGGTTATAGTTGCAAGCGCTACGAATAAAGTCACGACGGCTGACAATACATCAACGTTGGCAATCATCATGCCTATAAAGACTAAAACCTTTCGGACTTCTGGTAAAAGGCTTGTACCAGGGATTTTAATGCCCCAGAATTAATTCAAGTCCAAAAACCTGTGCCGGTTTCCAAGTTGAAGAAACGAAAGGTTAACATTTCAGAAGATAAAGGTGACTCAAACAAGATACAAAAGATTACTGATCAAAGACAACCGAAAAAGTCGAAGGCGGTTCAAAAATCGAGTACAAAGAAAGTTATGTGAAACAAGGCTTCAAGAATGGTATGTCAGCAGCAAGTTACCGAAGGCCAGAGCGCTGGAAACGCCAATGGCAAAAAGGGGTACTGAAGAATATAGTCGGAGACGTGATAAATAAGTATTTCAAGGCCGTTACCTTAAGCATCGGTACACTTACTCCATGTCCCCAGCGCTCTGCAGAATTTGTCCTTTTTCAAAGGTTGTCACAATCGGAACAGTCAACGACTGGCCACGATATTAAGGTACCAAAAGAAGCTCCAACAATTTGAGACGACTGAGGGTATAATGGGTATTGATGGTATACAAGCAAGAACTCCACAGACTCTGCCAACTCAAAGGAAGGGGGATTGAGTTAACAATTCAAAGTGCTCAAACATTCCTATAACAGCCATCTAATTCCCGTTGCCTCCATTGATGAACACCTAAGATCATTCTATGGGTTGTCAGAGTCTAAAGTCGAAAGGTACAGGAAGGATTAAGGAGAGAAGGCAGAAGATGGACGATCGATAGGTGGGATGTTGAAGGTCGTCCAAGGAAAAGCAAAAGTAGATAAGAGAGTGGTGATTTCAAGGGAAGAAAAGATGTGGGTGAAGGTGAAAAAGTTTATTTATTTATTTATTTATTATGGCTCAATTTGTTTACCTATATTCAAATTACTTCTATATCTAGGCTGCGGGCAAGGAATGTTTGTCTGCCATGTAGACAAGTTCAGGGCATCGGTAATTTGTTGCACTTGCCATAAAGGAATGAAGGCAAAAGGCCGATCTGTTATTTGCCCAAACGACACAAGTCCATGGCATGGCAAGAAAGGTTTTCAGCGCGATCGTGACGACAATGCTGGCCAGAATATGGCCAATGAAGCCTTTCAGTGGGTAAAAGAATCTCAATGGCTGATCGTGCTGAATCCAGAGCTTGCAAAAAGCAAGGAGTGTTATGTGGAATAACGCAAATCATTATGTCTCTGAAGCGAGTTCTCTCATTTTTTGTCCGATTCGAAGTACATGCATGTATCATACTGTTTTAAATATTAATTGGATGTAACCTTAATTCAAAGTCACAACGCGTTACAACCATTTTTAGTGGCGTGACTAAATGAACCGGACTTTGTGTCAAGCCTTACCTAGAATTGTCTACAAGACTGGTGGCAAAAATAAAAATGTTCTTCATGCTCTTCATCCTTTTCGTGCCATTCCCATTCCTTTACACTTCCACCCCCTCACATTATTATCCTTACTATTATCAACAGAGCAAGTTGCTGTGACCATGGCAGACAGCATCTACACCGCTGTCTATTCTGGAGTGCCTGTGTATGAGCTAATGTGCCGCGGCATTGCAGTCATGCGGCGTAAGGAAGACTCTTACTTGAATGCTACCCAGATTCTTAAGGTCGCTGGGATAGAGAAGGGAAAGCGTACGAAAATCCTAGAACGGGAAGTGCTCCCTGGCGAACATGAAAAAGTTCAAGGAGGTTACGGCAAGTACCAAGGAACCTGGTAAATAGAAAAACCACTTTTTTCTTATTATATCATAATTTTTAAATAGACAAAGAGCCTGGGCTTTCATTATACACCCAACCTTACACAACACGCGCTTTTTTGTGGTCTTTAGGGTGCCATTTAAGAGGGGAAAGGAGTTGGCAAAGCAATACCAAGTGGAACCCTATTTACGCGGATTGTTTGAATATGAAATTCCTCCTGGAGAATCTGACACAGTGACCCCTACAAAGGAGATGGTGCATGCGGCACAAAGGGCTAAGGACGGCCCAAAGCAGAAAAAGAATTCTGGATCACCTAGAATGAGTCCCGCAGTCAAACATAGTCGAAGCGGTTCAGCCATGCCCTCAGGATCAGCAGGGTCGCAAACATTCCATAATGGTCCTTCCATGACACCGTCTCCTCTGCATCCTTCTTTTAATGCACCCTCTCCTTCAATTCCACCCTCACCACAGTGGCACACGGAACATCCGCCCAGAAAAAGGCTACGAACAAATAACTCACCACCACCACTACACGAGTTTGATGATGAAGGGCCTTCCAAATCCACACCAAATCATTTCTTGTCGTTGGAGCAGCATTATCCTCATTCACAGCGGCAGTACCCGTCTAATCATCCCTATCGCCCCTATCATGGAGATCCATATAGTGAAATGGAATATGAGCGCCAAGAACGTGGATTGATACCTTATATAGATCATCCAGTTGACGAGATACCACTTGAAGGAACTGAAAAGTATCGAACGATTATGATGAGTATTTTTTTAAACGACGACCAAGATCAAATTCCGGACATCCTAGCAGACCCAATTTCACCACCAGATTTTGATATTAACCTGGTGATCGATGATCAAGGCCATACTGCACTGCATTGGGCTGCGGCGCTGGCGAGGATATCAATACTGGACCTTCTTGTGCGGAAGCAAGTGGATATACGTCGGGTCAACTATAATGGTGAATCAGCTTTGATCCGCGCAGTCTTGGTTACCAATAACTATGACAAACAATCGTTCCCTCATGTACTCAGCTTGCTGTATACAGCCATACCGCTAATTGATCGTAAAAATCGGACTATACTTCATCATATTGCTGTTCATGGAGGAATTCGTGGCAGGGAGGCGAGTGCTAGATATTACATGGGTTGCTTATTTGAATGGATTGCACGGCATGGAGGCGATTTCGCATCAATTGTCGACATCCAAGATAAAAATGGCGATACGGCGTTGACGATCGCTGCCAGAGTTGGGGATCGCTATCTGACCAAGATGTTGCTTGATGTTGGCGCTAACCGTGAGATAGAGAACAAGGTTGGACTGAGAGCAGGAGATTTTGGCATAGAGGAGCTGGTAAGTAGGCCCCTATGACGGCTATATGAAAGTATAGTATGTAGCTTTATGTTTCAGCCATATATATTATTATTCTTAATATGTAAATCATATACATTTACTAATCTTATTCAATTCTTAGTCGGAACTGTCCGGTCCACCGCCTCCAGCACGTCCCATCATTCCTGCTTCCGACATGGACACTGAAGAAAGTTCAAAGACTGGCAAGAGAGGCAGGGACTTAATGAATGGTGAGGAAGAGGAAGCGTAACATGGCCCAAATTCAGCGGATTTATTTACTTTTGTCTTTTAAATGCGAAGGCTAATCGTCCGTTCTTGTAAACTACTCGTAACTCGTATTTGTTAGTCGTTCAAAAGATGGTAGATGAGCTGGATCTGGAATTTTCGCATGAAATCATGACTAGACAAAGTCAGCTCCAAGATACTCAAACTCTTTTACGAAATGCGACGAGCGAGCTTTCGGAAATGAGGCGGACACTTAAGAATTGTAGAACCCAAGCACAACAATTGACGGAAGCGCAGCAAAAAATCAAAAATCTGGAGCTTTCATTAGAAGAGGAATCTCAAAAAACACGTAGTCAAAATGGATATTCGAGCGCATTGCGACAAAAAGATAACACTAGTGATGATATTGATCAGTATCTCTCAGTTCCCACGATATCAGCTTCCACTGCTGTTGACAAAGAAGAAAAAGAGGAAGATGCCTCTACGGGGGAAAAAAATTATGGATCGAATGACTACCAAGATAGAGAGGCGAAGGCGCGTGAAGAAGTACTCCAGTTGCGTGCTCGAATTTCGGCCTACGAGCAGAATGAAAAAGAGCTCGCGCAAGAACTGGAATCGATCAAGGATCAGTCGCTAGATAAGGAGCTTCAATGCCGCAAAGTCATTTCTGTGTGCTGTAACATTCCAATTGAAAAAGTGGATGAAATGCTTGTACCACTCACGTTAGCGGTTGAGAGCGATGGGGCAAGTTTAGATCTTTCGAGGGTTGCAGGATTTATGAGTAAAGCCAAGCAACAGGATGCAGTTGCCTTGGCTCAAAAGGCGTCAGGGACTACGGCACCCAAGCCATTGTAAATAGTCACCATCATTTCAACTAGCTTAACATTTAATAGTAATCATCATCATTATTCAACTTCCCACATGGTGGATCCAATACATATATTACTGCTGCCTCTTTTTTTTTTTTTTTTTTTTTTTTTTTTGGTTTCTGAAAATAAATATAACACTGTTTAGGTTACAAAATTGTGCATTGGTGCCAAAAATCTTTCCTTTTTGCTATCGCCTCATGCGCTTTTTAAAGCGTTCCATCACAAGATCATCTGTAGCCATGCCACGGCCAACGCCGCCTCTGTTGTGTTGACCATATGTGTTCTGGAAGCGATGATTTGCTCCTGTAGCAGAGTCCGAGTGGTTATTGTTGTTGTTCCTGCGATTGTTTTGCTGATGATGGGAGATGCGCTCGCGATCCGAAGGGATATAGGCAGGTTGTGAGAACTAATTTGGATTCATAAATTAGACATGGAGTTATATTATTATTATTATTATTATTATTATTGTTTTTAAAGACTTCTCCAATACGATCCGTAAGGAGTTAATTGACGTATGGGGAATTAGAACAAATCAGTTTTTATTACCCTCTCTGGATTGATAGATGTGGTTGTCCGTTCCTCATACAGCTTACGCTTCGCCTTCTCAGTCTCTTCAATGTTCTTAAGCCTTGACCTATTAATGAAATCATCCCAGAGTATAAATATTAATAAACCATTGTATAAAAATAGAATTGCTTTTAAAGGTGTTCGTTAATAAAATAAAACTGAAAAAAAAAAAAAAAAAAAAAAAAAAAAGAAATAAATACTCACTCCATGCCAAGGTCAACCTCAGGGATGGCTGTTAACATTGTGGTCGAGAGTTGAACATTTCCTTCCTGCTCAGGCTTAGGTGCAGCTTTCTGAAGCGGGGAAAAAAGAAATCTTGCCATTAGTCCAACGAGGTTTAGCAAAAACAAGGCAATATGGATCCAAGGTAAGTTAGAGATCTCCATTTATTTTATTTTTTTATTTTTTATTTTTACCTTAATACCAAGTTCATCCAAGATATCAGCGTCGCCATTATAAGTACGGTTTTGTTCTTCAGTATTTTCATCTAATGTTGCATTTTCGCCCTTGCGCCTCCTCATCTCTTCTTCAATGTATTTCATCATATGTTTATCAACATCCAGTGCATTGGTTTGCTTAGTAAAAGAATTTAAAATTCCTGTAGACTTTTGTTCACTAAGGTGAAATTAATGCCCACAAGAGTAAAAAAGAAAATAAAAACATAAAACTGCGGGTTAACATTTTTTTTTCCTTTTTATTTTTTCCTTTTTTTTTTTATTTTATTTATTTTATTAAAAGCAAGTAGAGCATATACTTACCTGTCGTCCTGGTGGTCAACTAAACGGCCAGTTGAAGAGAGCTTCCAAGGATCAGTAGCCACTATTTTATCCTTCTTCTTCTTCTTCTCTGTTGTATCGCCAATAAGAAGATCTGTTGCCGCAATTCCTGCTGGGCGTTGACGAAGTTTACGAAGCTCCAGTAACTCTTCCAACCTTTTGGTAGAAAGAAAGAAAGAAAAAAGAAAAATGGAGGAAGGAGGAAAAGGGAAAGAGGAAATAGCTCCTGATCAAAAACAATATTCCAAACCTCTGATTGACTATGACACTAAAGGGAAAACGTAGACCAACTGTACCCTTGAAACATACGTAAGTCCCTCTTTCTCAGCTTCCCTATTCGTCGCTGCGTCTCCTGTAGCGCCAGACGAAGAGGAAGAGGGGGAAGGGGCAAGACCCGATGAAGAATCTTTATCTGCTTCCTCCTCTGGCGTGGTCTCTCGTTTACGATAATTCCTTCTTTTAGTAACCTTGCTCATTATCGAATATTATGTCACTTGTCACTGTGTAAAGTTCCTTTGTTTCTTTTGCTTTTTTTTTTTATTGTTGATTTCCTGTGTTTTATTGTAAACTGATGTATATATGCGTTTTTGTGTCCAGATGAGTTAGAAGAGTGTAGAAAAAAAAAAAGGATGAGTTTTCTTGGCCCTGTGGCTTTGTATAGTTCACACATCCTTCTTTTGGTTTCTCTCCATCGTCCTTAAATTCTTCCAAATTAGCATTGAAAGTGACAGAAGATTTTAAGAGTTCGAAATGTCAGATTTCAATATAGCACAGGCCCCAGAGAGCGAAGGAAAACGACTGCCCAAAGCTGGTGGAGTTTATGTACCTCGCCACCGAAGAGGTACTGACGACAATGCAGAATCTGCTTGGGGATTGGAAGAGTCCAAACAAGGCCCACCCAATAACTATAACAGCTCGTCCTCACGCCAACGGTCTTATACCTATGGAAGCAATAATACCAGAAATCAAAGAAGCAATAGTTATAACAATAGTAGTTTTAGAGGGGAGCCATCAAATGATGACAATTATTCATCTTCCTGGCGTTCTGGAGGCTCAACAAATAGTAGCAACGAAGTTCAACGACGTGGACGAGGAAGATTTATGGGGCCTGGAGGGAACGAGCCCTCTCCATCAATAAACAGTGGGAACTTGAAAGGTACCCGAGATTGGGATCGAGATCGAAAGGCCAGAAGTGGTAGCGGCAATAGAGCTTACAACAATAGCAGCAACAGCAATTATATTAGCCAAAGTAGCAGTGCTAATGACCTACCATCGCAACAGTCGCAGCAACAGCAACAGCAACAACAGACAACAGGATCAAGGCCCTCAAAGGGACGAGATTTTGATGCGACAGTATTGAGACGTTATAATGGCGATGAAATTAGATCTACAAGCTTTTCTCGATCTGGTAGTTATAATTCAAGTCGATCAAGCAGCAGTGCCAGCAGCAACTACAACAGCAATACCAGTCAGAGCCACTTTTTTTTCAGTTCGTCTTCAGGCTCAAGACCATCCAATACTTTCAGCAAGAGACCAGATCGAACAGAAGAGAGTTCATGGAGGAGAGACGAAATAAGGAAGCCAGGAGATCAAAATCAACAAGAGCAATTAAATCATAGCCCTATTGATGATTCAGATACAGGACTCTCTGATATGTTGGATCGGATACGGATTAACGCAGACGAGGACAAGAAAAAGGACGCTGATGCTGACATCAATAAGAATAATGATAATGACAGCGATAATGATAAGAAAAAGGACAGGGATATAGACAGAGACAAGGATAAGGCTAAGAGCACTGGCAACGAGAGCTCAGAGGAACTGGAAGATTGGGAATTAGCACTCCAAGATTCGGATGAAGATGCTATTCCTATTCCACGGATAGATAATACCAAGGACATTACAAGTACAAAGCCATCAAAACCTCGCCCTGCAGGACATCTCAGCTCCACGTTCTCTAAGAATGAGCCAAAAGCTGGCGGTTGGTCTGAAGGTGCGCGACATCATTAATGCGCTTTTTTTTTTTTTTTTTTTTTTTTTTTTTGCCCACGTATTTCTCTATTCAGTAGTGTTTCTTTGCCCTGTAATTCTCAACGTTCTTTTCTTTTCTTTTCTTTTCACAGCTTCCTGTGATGATATGTATATTCTTGAACTGTACGACTTTTCGCCATCGATTAAAACAGTGCATATCACAGAAATGTTTTCAGCATTTGAAAACCGGTCAGGAGGATTCCAGATAAAGTGGCTTGATGATACGAAAGCTCTAGTAATATTCGAGTCCGCTGCTATTGGTAGGTGTCGTTGGAGTCGTCAAGTAAGGAAAAAATCAGGTAATCTTCTACCTGACGTACTAACCATCTTTTCCATTATTATACTCCTCATAATGTACATAAATATACATGTATTATGCAGCCAAACAAGCATACATTGCCAATCTCACAAATCAAATAGCAAAAATTAAGCCATACACTGGAGCGGATAAAGAGAGCCTTCGTAATCCAGGAGGACCATCTAGTGGTTCCTTTAATGGCGTGAGACCTGCTAAAACTGACTCTGTAGCCCGGCGTCTAGTTCAGGGAGCACTTGGTCTGCGGGTGAGGAGAACACCAGAACAAATTGCAGAGGAAAAGGCCCTTGTACAGGCTGCTAAAGGTAAGGTCTTAAATACCATATTCATACCCAAGTCAAAGTCTAACATCGATTAATGGTTTGTAGTCGAGGCTTTCGTCTGACTGATACATTTGTTGTCGCTTAATGTCAAAATTGAAATAATAATATCTAACAGAGGCTCGCGAAGCACAGCGTCTGGAGCAGCAACGACAGCGGCAGGAGATGGATGCGATCTTTAACTCTTAAGAAAAAATAAGCTTAGCTTGGCTTGAATAGTTCAACTGTAATCAATTCCACTATTTCAATCATATATATCATCATTATTGCCCAACATGATGCCCATGGTAACCATTACTGCCTTCTAATTTACTTCATCTGGTGAATTGAGTGAATCTAGCTGATGAATTAGCTCTATAGATGGATATGTCTTGGTATAGGTCGCCTGCAGAACAAACATTTAATAATAAAGCCGATTAGTCTGCGCCTGAACATGCAGCAAATAGCAGTAATAATAATGGCTTATGTAGCAGCATATACTTACTGTAGCGACATGTTTATAGGTATAAGTGTTCTCAGTTGCATTCCATACAACTTTCCATTTGGGAGGTGCAGCAGCTTTCTCAATAGTGTACATATACTCAAGCATTTCACCAACGATCCCTCCGTAAGGAGGAGGATTTGTGATTTCAGTACTCTTACCCTTGCTTACTCCCTCAGCATGGTCCTCATCCTCGTCATCATCACTATCTACATCCATTTTTGAATCATTAGCCGTCTTCTGTGCCATATATTTAGCTCTATCCTCTCCTACAAAATATTCTGGCTTCATTCCTCCTTGCTCCCAATCTAGAATCCGAATCGCAAACTCAATGAGCCGGTTTTCCATACTTTGTTGATCGATCGTGAGACTTGAAAGAAGTGAGAGCTGATATATCCTGCTATAAATGGATTGTACTGTTTGTGTCCGCTGCCATTGCTCCTCCAACTCTATCTCTCTAAGTGAAGAATGAGTGGCATCGGCAGCTATGGTAGGATCTGACGACGAGTCGAGGGAGAGAGGTTCTAAAGTGACTCCCGGTGGATAGGATTGATCTTTGTCTGTTAAAGGTATATCATCAATCTCGCGGAGGAATGCGTCAAAGATGAACTGTTGTTCAGTTGTTAGCACTACCGTCCTTGTAAGCTTTGGTGATGGGAGACTTTCCTGATCTTTCGATAATGCTGATACTACCGCTGTCCCTGCATCTTCCTGAATCTCAGAATCCTCCGGGTTGCTACCACCAGCTACTACACTTTTTGAGGAAGCTGAAGAAGTTTCTATTATAGTTTCGGGAGAAAGAGGATCTTGTGGTTGAGCTTGACCTTGACCTAGAGCTTGAGCTTGAACTTGGGTTTGTAGTACCGCCGTATCGTCTTCAGATGTTGTGGGCTCCTGAATGTTGGCGGCAAAGCTCTGTAGATCTTTGAGTGCCACAGAAACATAGTCATCATCATCATCCCCGCTGCGATCGTTGCTGACAGCTTTGGCAGTAGTGTTGTCTTCAGTCGCCATAGAAATATTTGCATCATTGTTCTGTCCTGAAGTTGCTGCAATACCATTATTTTGTTTGTCTTTTGTGAAAGTCAAGGCGGCTGAAGTGGTGGAGGTGGAGGTGGAGGAAAGTCCTTTGGTAATGGCAGCATTGGAAGTATTGAGGATGGATCTTGATTCTAACTCGGATTCGGATTCGGATTCACTTGAGTACTGAACAAGGCTTTGCATTTTTTTTTTTTTTTGTTGTTGTTGTTGTTCGATTTACTTGAAAAAAATAAATAAATATAAACCCATACGTGCTGGAATAGATTATTTTGTTCATGGGCAAAGCTTCTTGTTTTATTGGTGCTCTTTATTTTATATTAATTGAAATCCTTGCCCATTGAATCGCATCTCAATTTTACTTGAAAAGCTTACTCGTTTACAACATCAGATTCCATCAGACTCACAAACTTCCTGTATTTTAATATTTTTCATTCTTCTAACAACACACATTCATTCATTCATTCAATCATTTTAAAAAAAGAAAGAATAAAAAAACTTCCATCTTGACGACTTGAAATCAATGGCCAAGACAATTGAAAAGATGAGCGCGGTTAAGATCCTGACCATCAGTAAAAAGTTGTTCTTTGGTGGATTTTGTCTCCTTCCATTCCTCTGGGTCTACAACATTCTTTACATTTGGCCTGTCAGGAACCGTAGCGACCTTAATCCAAAAGTGCGACAGTGTATGTGAGATGTGTCCCATTTTGAACCACGATGACACTCGCTGCCATCATTTTGCATGTTTTTAAATAGAAGCATCGCTAATTTTTTCTTTTTAAAAATGCTCTACACTTGTTATTCATGAACAAAGATCTATTAATGTCAGGAATTATGGCAGCAGTGCTCTTTGTTATATTTGCCGCTTGGTTTGGTGTCTTCGTAAACCATCGCCTGCAATGGGGTGAAACAGGAGACCTGCTGACAGTTGTTCTTGTCAAAGGTGTATGAAACGATCAGCAGCTATCAACTGATCACCCATCCATGTACAACAATCTTTTTATAATAAAAAGTTTATATATCATATTAGATTTAATATCTTCATTTCACTCTTCTTTGTATAATACATATATTTATTATATGTTGTGATACCTTCAGACTTGGTAAAGTCACTTAACAGCTGTTGTGGGATGCATAATATTATAAATATATATATATATAAATGTATATATATACTATAAAAAGTCTTGCAGGTATAAATTATGCTCTATGTTTAGTCGAAAACAAAAAAAGTTATAATTTAGTTACCAGAAATAAAGTACAGTCGCACTTTATACCCCTTCATATTTCCCAAGAAAGGCGGATTTGATCTGCCATGCAAGGGCTCACTTGGGCGAGCTTGCAGCTGTGTAAAGAATGGTGGGGATTCTTTTGAAGCAATTATATCCATCCCAAGGCACACTTGGTCACAAATTCTTCTGGAGCGAGGATGTAAATGTATTTTTCCAAGTGGAATTGTCGATAGCTTTGACATGGCCTGTGCGTTTGTGCGCCATGACTGGCATGGCAGTCCCTCGTCACGGTATTCTGATGAATCCGCATTTGGAAAGAGAAAAAGGGGGATTTTGTAGAGACACCAGCTTCAGGATTAGGGGTGTTTTACACAAATGATGCGCAGATCACATGCGGTCAAGAAATATTCCACAAAAGAAAAGTCATGAAACAGGCAAACACTTTATTCTTTTATGATTTTTTTTTTTTTTTTTTTTTTGATGGCCGAGATTATTCAGCAACAGAGAATGGAAAAGTGAGAAAGGTGAGGAAAAGAGGAGAAAGAATAATTACAAGAGCTTTTTTTTTTTTTTTTTGAGAAAGTGGCTTTTTTTTTTTTTTGCATCATCACATCATATCAGCAGAACAGTGCAGAAAAAAAGAGAGCAGACGCTGTGGAAGGCTTCAAAGCAAAAAAATAAGGCGTATCATCTTTTTTTGTCTCTTTCCTCCTCTTGCTCCCCCCCTCTCTTCTTTTTCCATTCACTCCTACACAAATCACAAAATATAGTCCAGTGTCTCCAATATTACAATTATCTCCTTGTTGCCCTTGCTTATTTTAGTAGCCTTCCTTGACTTGACATTGACCCTCATTGACTTTCTGACTGCGGTTGCAGTGCGCTGTCCTCTCTCCCTTGCAGCCCAAGCCAACACAGTCAGCTAATCTAGTTTCACCCACCCTCTCGGTTTTTTTTTTTCTCTTCTCCACAGTCCCAAAGTCCAAGTGTGTACTTCATCTCATCATAATCCCATCTTTACTTTTCTCTAGTGATCTTTCTTTCTTTCTATTCCTTATTCTGTATCCACATATACACACACTAGACACGCATACAATTCTCATCTGCTCTTATCACATTCACTTTCATTCTCAATCTCATTCTTCTTCCTTCATTCCTGTTCTTATCCCAACCTTATTTGTCCACCCACATTTTAATTCTTTTGTTTCCTGGTGACAAGCGTCATCTCTTTTTGGCCATCTTACATTAAATCCATCCAAATACTTGAAACACTTTTGTCTCTCTCCCTCTCTCTCTCTTTCTCTCTTGTCCTTTCCCGTTTCGGTAAGATTTCTTGATCAATTGTATATTTATAAAGAATGATTCTCTGCTCATTACTACAGCACATTCCGATCGGATAAGGGTTGGATGGGGAAGGCGGGATATTCAATTGTCCCGTTTAATATTTTTTGTTTTAAAATTTATCATTCATGCTGGAATACGCCTATTTCTTTCCTTTTTAATGTGTTTCTTCCCGTGCGTAATTCCATTTGTGGGTCTTTTTGTTCGTCTTTTGATGGAGGACGAAAGAAAAAGAAAAAAACATACGCCACCATTTTTAGCCACCTTTCTGAAGCTCTACATTTTCTTGCCTTCCTTTGCTCCTTTCGAAAGATATCATTTGCTAAATGATAAAAGGGGTAGTAGTCTTGCTGTATTGCAGTCATAATTATAACCAGAATCAATGTAATAATGAGTGAAGACGGAAAAAAAAGTTTGGAGGAAGGGAGCTTTGTTAGCCTCCTTGTGTGTTCGAAAGCGAGCAAAGTGGGTGTGTAGCATTGGGATCTTGGCTCAATACAAGGACCATGTACTTCTGTTTTTGCTCTTTTTATTTTTTTTTACAAGTTCTTCACTTCCAAGGACCAATTTCACCTAAAAGCAGTAGACCCTTGTACTCCTTCTAAATTTGTCATTCTTCCATAATAACTCTTCTTGAGATCACATTGAGGATGTGTTCCTGCAAAACTGCCATGGTACATCGGGGTATCCCAGATTAGTATCTCTTCACGCCAATTAACTGATATCTTCTTACATCCTCTGTCTTAGCTTTTTAAAAATTATTATTAATGGATCCCAGTCGGCTGCAGCGACCTCATAGCGTCCAATCTCCACCAACCCCACCTAGTCTTCCTCAGTCCTCCTCGACTACTACTTCTTCCTCCTCCACTTCTACCAGAGCAGCGCGTTCATCTCTTCATCGTCCGACATCTACTCATACCGATACCGAGATGACAGGGGGTAAACTTACCACAGAGCATATTGGTACCAATCATGGACGACACAACGACAGGCAACAACACTCCAGCCGCCGAACCTCGTATTCTTCTTCGGTGTCCACTGCGCCATCGCATCGCCGCCAACCCATCTCGACCACATTCTCATTGGCACCTACGACCACAACAACTGTCGTGACCACAACTACGACGACATCGACTGAATATCCTCCACTCTATTTCAGACCACCGCCTATACCCGCTCACCTCGATCCAAAGATTTTTCCTCTTGCAGAGACCCCAACCCCTCCTGCGCTGAAAAAGTTTTGCTTCGATCTGAATGGACAACCAACCTTCTTCAGAGAAAATCAGGAGAGCGAACAGACCATGGGACAGGTATGCAATCCTGGATCAAGTATTTTGGTTTATTGCTGCGCATATTACTTTTTTTTTTTTTTTTTTTTTTTTTGGTAGTGTGCTGGTACTAAAGTATGTCCTTATTCGTTTTTTTTTTTTTTTTTTTTTTTTTTTTTATATACTACAGCTTGAGGATGCTTTGTTCAATCTTAGTGCTTCTGCACATCAACGGGCGCTTCGGACTGCCTCGGAACATAGCTCCCATAAAGGAAACAGCAACCAAAAGACAGACCTTCATGATCAAACTAACTTTTCAATGACTCAGGAAGTTATTCGTGGCGACGGAAATGATAAATCAACAACCACCACCATCACGCGTAAATCCATTGAGCATCCCCAACGTGGTCTTACAGCTCATCCTGCTTGGCGTTCTCGTGAGCGTTGTCGCGCCAAGAAGCGACCCGCATCTCCGATCACACCTATCAATTCGATTGATGTATCGACACCTTCATCCACACATGCTGGTATTCCTTCTGTATCCCGCAAGATAGGTGATCGGGCCGATACTTCGTTTATTGGCCGATCTTCTCCCCCACATAAAAAGTCTAAGCGTCCATGGACTCATGCTTCGCCTCATGCACAAGGAGCAGATACGTCCGAGTCATTGTCTAGCTCTTCTAGTAAAAAGATGGCTACATCGTCATCAGCTCCATCGTTCGCCGAGTTTGCTACACCGGCTCTTCCAAGTCGCTCAACCATCACGGACCGCACCAGGGAACATCATGCACATACATCTCGCTTGACAGGAATTGTGGATCCATCTAGTCTACCTTCACCTTCACTTTCACCTACAGCAGCCACTCAAGGTGCCTTAGCAGGATCAGGTTCGACAATGTCTGCGGATGGCATGATCACACGAAGACGATTTAAAACTGCTCCAACTTCGTACCATCATGGACAAGAGAGCTCTGAACAAAGCGCGGTTACAACTGATGGTTTGGTGGATGAGGAAGAAATTTACATGAGTGATGGTGATGATGAAGAAGATGGGCAGGAAGAGATGGACGTAGAACGATCACTTCAACATGCAGGCATACATCATACGCCTACACTTCTTGATCTGCCTAACTTGGTTGCAACATTTGATGCTTTGCCTTCAGGCCTTCAGTCGTACATGCTTTTCCATCTTCTTCGACGATGCCCCGCCCCTACATTGCAGTTTGTAAGTTCTGTCATTCTTGCCACTATGAAGCAAGATTTTTTGGCTCTCTTGCCCGTAGAATTGAGTCGAAATATTCTCCGCTTCTTGGATGGGCGCAGTCTCTGCAAAGCAGCTCAGGTTAGCAAGCAATGGAGAGCAGTTGTTGACTCGGATGCTCATATTTGGATGCATCAATTCCAAAAAGAAGGCTTTGTGCTTGATGAGCACGAGGAAGAGGAGGCCTTTGCTCAAAGATTGGGGATCGATGGACATTACGGAGTACGTCCAAGCTATCACGAGAGGAAACAGATGGCCAAGAGAAGAGCTGCTAAGGGTAAGGGACGTCCCAGTACAGCTGTGGTGCGCCAGACCGATCTACCAGAATCTCCTCTGTACCCAAATGATGTAACAATGCTCGAAGAGGATGAAGTGGGAACTCCAATGGATGTGGTACCAGGACATCATGGATCGGGACACAAAGGTCATGGATGGGATAGTGATACAGCTGAAGAGGATGGTGATGGTAAAGAGGAGGAGACGTTCATGACCCCGGATGCTGTACCGCCTTCGCCCACCACTAGCCATACTGGCCGATTTAACGATGTTGATTCCGAAGACGAAATAATGGAACAGGATCCAGTTGATGGTCCTTTCGGCCCTATGCCTCCATCGACTGCACATCCATATAAGGCCCTCTTTCGTCGCCACTGGATTATTCGCCAAAACTGGGCCAAAGGCAGAGCCAAGTACATTCAGTTCACAGGACACAGTGATCGTGTGGTCACATGTTTGCAATTTGACTCTGAAAAGATTATTTCAGGTTACGATGATCAATCTATTCATGTCTATGACACGGTTACTGGTAATCGTCTCAAGAAGCTTGATGGTCACGAAGGAGGTGTGTGGGCACTTCAGTACCGTGGCAACACATTGGTCTCTGGAGCGACCGACAGGACCGTCAGAGTTTGGGACATTGAGAAGGGAATTTGCACGCACACATTCCGTGGCCATACTTCGACAGTGCGTTGCCTACAAATTGTCATGCCGGTTAATGTCAACAAGGATCCTCATGCTGTTCCAAAGTATGAGCCAGAATTTCCCGTGATTGTGACTGGATCCAGAGATTCGACCTTGCTCGTATGGCGCCTTCCAGACCCAGAGTTAAATGGCCACATTTCTCCAACGGATGGTTCATGGCTCTTGCATACTTTAGTCGGCCATACACAATCTGTCCGCGCTTTGGCCGCAGAAGGAAGCACATTAGTCTCGGGATCGTATGATTGTTCTGTCCGCGTTTGGAATATTTGTACTGGAGCCTTGGTGCATAGACTCCTAGGCCATACCCAAAAAGTATATTCTGTGGTCTTGGACACGGAACGCAATCAATGCATGAGCGGAAGTATGGACGCATTTGTTCGAATCTGGTCGCTCGAGGATGGCTCTTGTCTCCATGTTCTTGAAGGTATTTTTTTTTATAGTAAAGCAATTATGCTTTAAATCCCTATGCCTACTTTTCTGTTATATTTGACAATTGTCCGACTGATAATTATTCATTCTGTATACTCTGCTCTCAACCATTAGGCCACGGATCGCTCGTTGGTTTATTGGGACTGAACGCTAATCATCTTGTGTCAGCAGCCGCAGATTGCACTGTGCGGATCTGGGATCCTGCTCGTGGCGTTTGTCTGCGTGTCCTGGCCGCACATGCTGCAGCAATCACCTGTTTCCAGCATGATGGCAATAAAGTGATTTCTGGCTCGGATGGCAACCTTAAAATGTGGGACTTTAAGACTGGAAAATTCATTCGTAATCTTTTGACAGGGCTTGGAAGTGTCTGGCAAGTCAAGTTTGATGAGCGGCGATGTGTTGCTGCGGTACAAAGGGCTGGAACAGGTGGAGCTAATAACGGCGCTACCTACTTTGAAGTAAGTTTATTGTCATTAGTCTCTTGTTCGATATGATATCTGGAAGATTTACCTATTGTTAAAATTATTATTACTCTGATAACTAATTGGACAATTAATTGGACATGCGTCTATATTCTCTCTCGATATGAATAGGTCTTGGATTATGGAGTCTATGGTATTGAGGAACCACTCGAGAACGCTCCTCCATTGCTGGTTGATGAGAGTGCTGAAGCTGGGGCCCCTCGAACTGGAGCTGCTCCTGCTGGTGGAGCCGGGGCTGCAGGCACTGGTGCGGAAGGCGCGGGAGCTGGAGCTGGAGCTGGAGCGAACCCCAATGCCAACCCTGCAACAGTCGTAACAGGTCCAGCTACTTGATAAACATGTCGATAATGTTCTTTTTTTCGCGTTTAGCTATTCTAGTTTCTTTTATTGTTTCAGAGTAATTCTCTCTCTCTTTATTCCCTTGTATTATTGAACAACAACTGTTTATTTCTTTTGTATTTTTATATACACGTTGTTGCATTTTTTAATGTTTTAATGTTTAATGTTTAGCATTTCATGTTTGATTTTTTGTCCATTGGTGTATTGTTACTAGTCTTGGTGGTTATGGTAGGTGAGCTTGGGCTTATGAGGGCAGTGTAGAGAGCGACTGCACTCCAAATGGCAACAAGAATTAAATCTGTTACAATGACGACCCAGACATGTATGTCTGTGTAAAACGGACATGGTGTGTAATGAAACTCAATGTCTTGATGGTTCTCACTCCCGTCCATTGTCGACGACAGTATCTTGGCCTCGAATAGACCAGAATAACCTCCATACTCTGCCATCAGAGATCGTTGTGTTATCTCTCTTACACGAACTTGCTCTGACTTTGATTTTGGAAGGCTAGATGTGGTGAATGCTTTCCATTCAAAATCACCGTGTTGCTGTTCACGTTGTTCTTGTTCTAGTTGCATCTTCTGACGAACATGTGTGACATCGCATCCAAAGTGATCATGACCATTCAAGACAAAATCGGGTTTAATGTTATTCAGAATCCAATTAGTCGTATTGGGCGTCAACATTGTTTGTTCGATAATTGTGTTATCCCTAGAGTTTTTTTTTTTTTTTTTTTTTTTTTTTTTTTGAAAAAAAAAGGAGTCTGGGTTTGAGTTTGAGCTTAAAGTATAAAGGTTTAGCATAGCAATTTGAGGTTCGTTGACTTTACAAATGAACTTGGATATCAGGTGCATCCACACAGATGCCTTGTTCCTTATGGAAGGGAATATGAGTTAGAAGAACAATCTTGTCATTGGGATTCATGGTTTTGATCTTTGCAGCATCTTGCATGAACTGCCATGTTTGTGTCCGAAGATCCTAAAATAAACAAAGGAGTGTTATTAAATATAAACTTTTCAAAAGGAGCCCACAAAATCTTTTTTCTTACCTCATCTGAAGAAGGCCCGTCCAAGAGCATTGTGTTGACTACCAGCAGATGCAATTTACGTTGCTCTTGTTGGTTTAGTTGTTCTGTTGCCGAGGAAGAAAAAAATGAAGACGAAGGGATGACCACTGTAGAAATGAAATTGGACATTCCAAATGCTTTCTCCCATCGAATCAGTCGTGATTGCGAAATGTCGTTTCCGTATCCAATATCATGGTTCCCAGTAATGTTGATCAATACTGGGATATCTTCTTTCAGGTCTTGTATCTGATCCTGATCCTGATCCTGATCCTGGCCATAACTTTGGCCTTGGCTTCTTTCCTCTTTCCTCCACAATGATGGTGATGATGATGATGAAAATGAAGGAGACAGTCCAAATAACGATGATAAGAATGATGATGATGATGACGTGAAGAGAGCGGTTGGGTCCATAAAGATCGACTGATAACGTCCTAATCGAACATTGAACTCGGCATCATCGATCCATTGACTTGAAAATAAATCTCCTAAAACAACAGCATGCGTTGGTCGAGTTCCTTTCTTATGACGATTTCGTGAATTAGAAAAGAAGTTTATTGGAAGTATATCAAGTGGTGATGTCCAGCTGGGCGCCATCATGGATTTGTAGACATGGTGCATATATGCATCGTTGAAAGCCAGATCTACTATTGCTGTTCAAAGGTAAAAAAAAAATTGTTGTCAAAGGTCAGTTGCATGTAAAAAAAAAAAAAAAAAAAAAAAAAAAAGAATCCGTTTGTTGTCGCACAAGTTTTTTTTTTCTACCTCGCTTTCCAAGACGTTTAATCTTGGCATCACCTTCCATCTGCGGATCTGCAAAGACAACCATGCGAAGAAAGGATGAGTTTTCATGCTGTGCATTCCCATCCCTAGTTGGTGCCGTTGATGCTGCCGGTCCTGCTGTCGTAGTCAATGTGTCTTGGATGGAGTAGGATGCCCATCGCCAGTGACAAGAGATGCGAGCATAGTATTGGAACATCAGCGTTACCACCACAGCCGCTCCAGTCACCGCCCATAGAATAAGTAATATCGGTCGAGGGATCATGTAGTTCTAATGTATTATATATGTGACACGCAGGCAAAAAGAATGGAGGGAGAGGAGAGGAGAGGAGAGGGAGAGGAGAGGGAGAGAAGAGAGGTTGAAAGAGACGACGCTATCTGTTGAACAGGCTACGTGCGTCTTTTTATGGATTGGTGTGGAGGGAGAGAGGAAATTAGAGTAAAACGAGTTTCAGGTACAACAGTCGAGTGGGGGGGTTTTTTTTTTTATTCAACTGTTACAACCTTAAATAAATAAATATTTTACAATGTATCTCCATATAATTCTGCGTGCGTGCCTATCTTGACAATCCACCTGATGCAGGCTTAGCTAACGGTTGCCTGGTGGTAGCGTAGTAGGGGTTATAGAGTGGGTGTCAGTAGATCCAGACTTGTTGGCTAAACGACGTAAATTGTCCGATGCCCTTAAAAGTAGTGAATCCTGTTTACTGCTGACAGTTTTATTTCGAGACATATAGCGAAAAGGAGAGGAAGATGATAAAATGGAGGAGGGATAGAAAGACGAAGGTGTGAGGGATGCTGATGATGACGACGAATTAGAAGACCCCTCAATTGATCGACCTGTCGCAGGGAATTCATCCTGACTTTGCTGTGAGTCGAGTGTTCCTCCAGCTCCAACTTCAGTTCCAGCATGGATCGGCAGATGTGTCAATGAATTAGACGCGAGAGCCATACTCGGACGTGCTTTCGGAATTGTCGGGGCCGATGTCCGTATATGTTGAGGTACTATGATGGTGGAAGTAGAGGAAAGTGAGGACATAGATGAAGAGCCATCCATAGATGCCACTGCTGTTGTTGCTACTGGTTTTCGCGTTTTGGGCGTAGGATTGTGGCTGTGTTGCCCTAAAAGCGCTAGTCCAGAGGGTGTGGATATTGATCCTGATGATCCATCAATAGTAGATCCTCCAGTCAATTTTGTTGTTGATGAAGAGGGTGAGATCCATCCTTGTCCCTTTCCGTCCCCTGTCCTATGACTTGGTGTCTGATTGAGAAATCTATACAGATTTGGATACTTTTGTGGGGAGGGCTTGTTTGCAGGGCCTGACGCCTCTGCAGGCAAGTAATCAGAAATTACAACAATCTTGCTGAGTATTCCATGTAATAATGTCGTAGTTGTCTCTGCCTGCTTTTCAATCGCATGGACTTTAATGCATTGAGGAAATGGAGAAAAATCAGCCTTTTTTTTTTTTTTTTTTTTTTTTTTCAAACTTATGAAACTGTGAAACATAAATCATGAACGAATAGCTGGCAAAAAGCTTTCTTTTTACCAGACAAGAGCTGATCTGCGTGACTCTTGGCCTGATGATGAATGGATGCCAATCCCTGAACTGCGCTAGTTGTAAAATGGTCCAGAGCCTTCATTTTTTGAGCCAAACCTCGCTGATAATCCTGAATATCCTGAGCACACTTTTTGTGATGAGAGCTCATCTGTATCAGCATATCTACCAACGTGTTGTGGTTGAAAGCCATTTCTGCCGATTCTAGGTAAAGAAGTAGAAAAATGTAAACAATTTGTAATACCAAAAGACACATGGCTTATACTGAATAAAATGCTTGCCAGAATAAGTTTACCATTCTTTGAAGAGTCTGTGTATATGGAGAACGAGCCAAAGACATTGGCAAGTGAGAAATGGCTTGGCTGCTCTGGAACAACTAATGGTTCGAACTGGATACAACCAAGAAACAAGTAGTAAGTTGTCAGCAAAGGCATAGTTTAAAGGGCTAAGAACATCTCTCATGCTTCGTAGGTTTGGAAGAGACGCACGCACCCTCGGGAGCTCCCTAAGCGCCGCTAATGCTTCATCTTCCCGATCCAGCGACTGATCCACGACTGTGATAATACCCTATCATTTAATACACATATTTGAATACATTTTTGACATGTCATTGAGCATTTGGAGTGAGAGGGCAGTAAAAAAACTGGAGCCAAGCAGTATATGAGTCTGACAAAAGTTTTTTCTATCGACTGACTTTCACCTTGCTTTGCTCCATTGAAGACGCTGGGTGGCGAAATGGCAGAGAAAATGACATGCGGTTCATCTTAGTGTGGAGACTATATGCTAATGGTTGGGTTTATCCTGGTTTAAGGGGCCTCCCCAATATGGCAAAGCAATTACGGCTCATCCAATGACTTAACTTGATGCTCATTCCACAAGGATTCAAGTAAAGGACGAAGGTTGACAGACAGGAGTTGATCACACAGAGAAGAATAAAAAATAAATAAATAATAATGTCAAAGCAACTTTGTTCACCACCACCACCAGAGGAGGCCACTGATATTGCACCACCACCACCTGCCCCTCCTCCATTTCCTCCACCACCACCAGAGATTTCTGATATATTGCCTCCGTCTCCTCCACCACCTCCTCCTTCAGGCCCAGACGGCTTGAAGGAGGTGGAGCCCAATGTGGAAACTGAGGTGCTTTCAAATATCAAGACTTCAGAAGCGTTAGTGGATCCGCCACGAAGGAAGCGGAGATTTTCTCCTCCTGATCAGGACTCCTGTTCCATTAACTCAACAGACCATAATAACCCTTTGAAAGACAAGGAAGCTCACAGTGGCGGCTATCACAAGGCAGATATGCCTTCTTTATCTTCCAAACCTAAATCAGAACGGTCTATGGGGCCTGGATCAATCCAAAAAACAATACCAATACCACCCCTTTCAGCAAACCGATGGGAAAAGACGGCTTTCGTTGGAGACAAAAGTGGAGAAAAGCGGATTAAGTTTTTACGCCTGAGTAAAGCTGCGTCTACAATAATACTCAAAAAAAAAAAAAAAAAAAAAAATGCATACGACATTGCATAATCTATAATGAATGTTTTTGGTATTTATCGCTTTTTCTTTTCGCCTTTTATCCCTTTTATCCATCCAAACTTCCCTCGCATTACATGCGCCCAGTGGGGCTAGGAAAGACCACAGCGATCGAAGCTAAACCAGAGTGTCCGGAAGAAGCTGTATGTGACAATATTGTTCATAATGACGCGTATCTTTATAACTTCAAGCTTTTTTTTTTTATTAACGATCTGTTCTTCATTTTTTTTTTTTTTTTGGACTCCATATATTATAAAGTCAAGGGACGCGGCTGAACGACAGCAACAGATGGCAAACATGGAAAGACAATATGAGCAAGGACGTAGACGCCAGCACCGGTTTACCTAAGGCAATCCTATCAATGTACTTGATCGGATAGTCTTTTTTTTTTTTTTAGCGTCTAACCGTGTGACCAGTGATAACAATCAAATAAAAATGAGTTCGAAAATCCACTGAATATTTTAGTCAGGGTGATCAGTGCGCGCGTCACTCACCTCAAACATCTATAGTACATGTTTATCACCTAAACCTCTGAATCACAAGATGGTATACATCCATTCTCTATAGTAATGTAAATCAAGGCAGGGCCTGATCGCTTAAGCTTCTGGTACTATGATAATTAAGCGTGCCTGCGTAAATAAGGGGGCAATGATAGGGTAAGAAGATTTGGAAAGAATAAAATAAGTTAAAGTTGACAAAGAAAGCAAAAGAACAGAGAGTAGACATATAGCCCTAAAATTGACCAGTGCTATGAAGATCCGACAAGAAGAGGCGGAGCATTATGAATCAACTCAAGGAAGGAGCCTTCAGGAACCTAGATCTTAGAAGCAGAAACGAAACTAAGCAATAAAAGGACTAGGTCAGCTTGAACGTGGAAGTATGCTCTGTGAAGAGATTGATGTTTGTTAGTAAAAATCTTCTGATTCTTATACTCGCTGCCTGGATTAGTAGTTATATGTGACAGTCGTTGGTAAGGCCCTAGGTGTTTCAGGAGGATTCACCAATAAAAGATGAATGACTTTAGCATGAAAGAGATCTCTTAGCTGTGGATACTTTTATACTATTAATATAAAATTACGAAAGATAGTTATCCTAAGTAGCAATATGGTAATCAGCCACAATTCTGAGAATATTCTTTTCATTCAGTATTGTAAAAAAAAAACATATATCCCAAGCGTTTTCCGCACATGTGCCTGGAAACCCGACAACAATACAAAAAGATCACAAAGAAAACAGATGTAGTACGTAAAATAGTCCTTTTTATCGCTCAGAACAACCGCTGAAATGCTCACCCTTTCGACTGGCCTTGATCCATGCAGACTTGCAATATCTGGCCCTATAGTATGACCCATAATATAGCTAACAATGGTACGTCTTGTTGTCATCTCCCGGTGGATTAAAACAAACAAGAGTCCTTCAAAATGATAAGGGCTATACTACGAGACTAGTCCTGTAGCTTCGCTATCCTATTCCGAAGAGAAGTTGAAGGCCTCCCGACTGGTCTATCCATCAGGTTTTACTTATTATGACTAATAAGCGACATTGAAATGACTCAAAGAAGAGGTAGAGGTATCTTCTACTTCACTCACATTAAGCTACTAGAATGGAAACTTGGAATGCGATTACGTGAAACCAATGAGATGGACGTTATTTGAAAGGCCAATCACATGTTGGAATACGTGAGTTGGAATTAACATTAAAACTAAATCACCCAAAATATCAGGGTCAACCTACATGAGCGGAAAAATAAAAAAAAATTACGTCCGTGCTGACAATTGTTGACATGAGGCTGCCGTCATTTTTAAAAAAAAAAACTTCTATTTCCAATTTTTCAACTTCTTTCATCCTTTCCACCTTCACGTATCGCATAAAAAAAATGACACAACGACCAAAGGCTACACGCCAGGAAACCTCCGAACTGGAAACACCACCAACCACTTTGAGCAAGAGACAATTTCAACAGGTATGAAAAGCAAAAAAGTACATTTTTCTGATCTACTGCTGTTCAGTTCAGATCAATGCTCATAGCTTATTCCACTGTTTCAAGTACCTGTCTGACCGTCTCTTGATCGCAAATCAACCTTTAGGTCAAAAATCTTACGAGGGACGATGGGCACTTCAACCTTGTTAGGTAGGATCAATAATTGTTGCCAAAAAAAAAAAAAAAAAAAAAAAAAACATTTGATCAAACTGAGCTATGTTATGCGCTGTGTTGTTTCTATTAAACTGAATGCTAAAAAAAAAAAAAAAAAAAAAAAATCCTTTTTTTTTTTTTCATTCAATGAATGAACAGGAATTTCCATCTTGCAGATGTGATCACTCTCTGTAATGGAGCATGTGGTGTGTTCTCCATTTTTTCGAATTTGCGTTATCTTATTACCAAAGATTCATATTATCTTTGGTTCTCAATGTGGAGTATTGCAGCAGGCTTCACATTTGATATATTTGATGGTCGTGTTGCTCGTTGGCGAGAGACTCACTCCATTCTTGGCCAGGAAATGGACTCACTTGCAGATGTGGTACGTCATTTCTTTTGTTTGTTCAAAAAAAAAAAAAAAAAAAAAAAAAATACTTTTAGTGAATTAGGATAGAGGATAACCATAGGGTATCAATGAGAGAACAATTTCCATTTTCATAAACTCGTGTTCATCATTCTCTCGTGGAACTGTATCATTAAAAGGACTGGACAGCTCAATGCATCATAATGCGGAATCAAGGAACAAGGAAGAAAACGATCGCTTCACCGCCAGGAAACAGAGCCAATAAGTCTATTGCGATACTATTGTCATAACAAGACATGTTTTGTGGAATCAGGAGCAGGGACAAAAGAATTTTAGGCATTTTTTGACGTCATGCTCGCATAAACACCCTGATGCCCAGCTGGATTTTAATTTCAACAAACATTAACTCACATAGAACCGAATATTTACTAATTCTATCACCTTTTTTTTATACTTCTTTCTGAAAGATTTCTTTTGGCGTGGCACCAGCTGTTTTAGCGTTTGTTTTGGGCATGCAGAGCATTCTGGACAATGTGGTTTTGGCTTGTTTCGTTTGCTGTGGAATTGCGCGCCTAGCGCGCTATAACGCTACGATTGCTATTCTCCCCCATGACCAAAGTGGGAAAGTTTCCTACTTTGAAGGGACGCCTATCCCAACATCTCTTGCTCTCGTTGCAATCCTTGCATATCTTACGTATACTGGGCAGATAGGAGAACGCTTGCCAGGAGGTCTTGTTGAGATCATACCCGGATTTTCCTTTCATGCTATCGTGATCTTGTATGGTATCAGTGGCTCATTGATGGTCAGGTAAAGAATAATAACAGTGTAAATCTTAAAAAAAGAAGGCTTCACGTCTTTTTTTTGGCGTTAAATTCTGATGTTTTCTTCTTTTCTGTCCAAATAGCAAATCACTCAAGATTCCCAAAATGTGAAAATACAATGGAGTCCCAATTATTAAAATAAATTAATATAATTTAAAAAAGCATTTCTTCGCGTCTTTTCTTGGCCTTTTCATTACCACTGCGAAGTGTCTCGGTTATCGTGATCATAAATATCGTTCATGTTGACGTTTCAATGTTCCCTCACTAAGCCGTCGAAAATCGACGGCTTGTTGAAACCGAGCCTCTAGGTTGTGGCGATCTTCGAGGTGGAGTGGAGGGTGTGCCTGAAATCGTTTGGTCGATATTTCCTTTGCTATACCAACCGCCTAGGCCATTGTATGAGGGTAGGCTATTGATATCAAAAGGAAGTTGTCCATTTCTAGCAAATTCTAATATTTTTAATTAAAAACGACGATTGAATTGATTTGGTGACCACGGCATCCATTCATTCTATTCGAAAGTGTATGGGTTTCTGTCTTCGTACGTAATATTTTGTTTTTCAGATTCTAATTCAAATTAAGTATTTTAAAATATATCCAGTTTATGACTTTTTGGCGAGGACTAAATGTCTGGTACGGGCCGAGGTTTAAAAAATGTTGATTTAAATATATTTTTTGAATTGAAATAAATAGAGACTTGATTTCAACGTCGTCGATTTTCGACGGCTTAGTGAGGGAACACTGTAAATGAAAAGATCATAGTTTCATATGTTCGAGCAATACCATTCTTCTGCTCAACAAATCCACAACATTGTGTTTTCTGCATGGCTGCTGGGTATGTTAATAACTTACAAATCACTGGCCGTTAAGCTTGTCGCTCTTTGGTTAGACCTTTTCAAATATAAGTGGTTTACCTAACAAAATTCTTATAATTGAAAAGGACTAACCAAAAAGAATGCATTGCATAAAACTAAAACTTAACTGTGATGTCTGACGCGCCAGGAAGACATCTTGGTATATAGTGTTCATCGAGACATGGGTTCGTCTCGTCATGTCGTCTGGCGGTCATTGAGATGCATTTTGCATGTCCTTAGTGCGCCAGCTATTTTGCACTCGTTTGCTTGTGAGTGCCATTTAGTGTGGCGGCCGATCAGTAAGAGATTTGTTTGAACCTGTTTCATCGTGCAAGCAGCGGTGTTTACAGTCCTGCTTTAGGCGGGTGCGCGACATATCCTTATACCTGTCTTCTCTTAGCTTCTACTTATAGCACCTAATGAGCAATGGGTTTGCTTCCTCATGTTCCCGGGGGTCCCTGAGTGTTTTTCTTTCGATATTTCAGCTATTCGAAATGTCTTTAGAGCTTTCGTTAATACCGATAAAAGGTTTATTAATTGAAAGCATTATACTTATCGTATATAGCCTAAACATGGATTCCTGCAATAGCCATGACAAGGCAAAGACGACCACACATAAATGGCGCACAGAGATTGATCACGATCGTCCAGGCGCCGACTATTTCCTTTCACAGCCCGATCCAATCATATTTGACCCACTTGCTTACTTACAAAGGAGAAATAAAGACAGATACGTCAAAAAAGACGATTAAGGCAGAATGGATTCGATGGATCCTGTATTTTCGCGAGTGCCCAGTGCAAATAATCCGAGAAAGAGCTGCGACGGCACCCCCAATGGATTCATCAACAATCACTACGTATTTAGAACAGAAATTAAATAACGAGCGCGTTATTGATCTTTTGAAAATCAATAGTGAGCAGTTGTTACTTACCGGAAATGCACAAACGCGCTCTCTGAGGTCACAATGGGGCAACCAAGCCCAAACTGATGGAAAGAGGAAGCTCTCAGCATTTGGAGCGAAAGGTAAGCCTCAGGTTCTATTGAATGTTTGGAATCAACGTCCAGGCGCTATACACGTCGAAACTCACCATTATATGAATCCTTGGTGAAGCATCGACAACTAATGAGGCGACACTTGGCACATCTTCAGTATGCGTCAATACACCATCGTCCAGAGAGACTCTCGATCAGACTATCACTATCACAAAGGAATCATTTGACGATGAAGACAATGTCCATGAATTTTTTTTTCGTCACGCCCGTATCAAGCTGGACCGATATTGGAGCTTTTACCAACTATTTGTTGAGTCGTAATTTCCAGACATCTTGCAAAGCAGCATTCTTTACATACTACAATAGCCTCCGGTCAATTAGCAAGAATCCAAACATTGATCCTGCTGCAAGAGACGTTGCAAAAACTGCCATTGTCATTCGTGAATCGCGCTTCCGTACAGAGTTCTTCAAAGCCGAGGAAATCTTCGTCAAGGCAGCCGCTAACATAAATAATTCATCGGAAGTTACAGAAAGAAGTGAGTGAAGGAAAGTCTATAGTCAGAAAGCGCCACTATTTGGGCCTTCTGGATGATCTTCCTTCTTCTCAGGACTCTAGCGACAGTTTTTCTGGAAAGGAGAGTTTTTCGAGAAAGAAAAGCAACATAGAACGTGAAGAAGACCATACTGGCGAACTTCCCGAACCGATGAATGCTGATCGACTGGTTGGACCTGGTACAATTTCAAGCTCTTTGTCAAATGGCCCAGAAAGCCAGTTAGTTTGTACTGATGGATATAGTATATCTGAAGCACTAATGAGATACCGGAGAGTGAACGTGATTCAGAAGGTTGCAGCAACCGTTGAGGATATTTTGTAAGTGTCTAATTTTCTATTAAATAGATTGTTCATTAATGCTATTTGTCATAAATTGAAGGCTATCCAACTTTATTGTATCAAGGCCGCTCTTGTTGAAAGTGTTACCCATCTCAGTTGTACAGGAAATGTTCCCCATTCGCAACCCATTGAATTTGGATACTTCTGACATGGAGCTTGTTGTTCGTCTGACTACTCGTGCCTCAGTTGATTCGTTTGATGAGCTGCAAGACTGGCTGGCAACGGAGCCAAGGATGACTTCATCTGTAATATATCGTACGATCTCTATATTCTTGGCAGAAGCAGATCTCTGGGCCGGTAATAATTGGCACATAAAAGGTAGTGGCGATAATGAGGATACGTTTATAGACAACCTCCTCAAGCCTATTAGTGCCCTTCAAATATTAAATTAAAAAATGTCATGACTTTTCGACTGTTGCGTTCGCCTAAAAATGGCAAATTGCAAATTTTTGTTTTGATATTTGAAGGGCGCTATTTTGTCTGCAGCTTTTGGAAACTTTGCAGGATGTTCTTTCCGCTGCTAAGTTATTAAGGCTTTTTTTTTTTTTTTTTTTTTTTTTTTTTGAGAGTGGAATTGAAAATGCCTAATGTTCTCATGTTTACACAACGCATGTTGAATTGCTGTATAGGACTCGCAATAAGCTACGGGCTGTACCCGAAAATAATATGGATGCTAGATTAGAGTTGCCTGACTACCAAGTATGTTTGGTCGGCATAGTTTTATCTTGGGAGAATTCAAAACAGCCGTAGCTTCTCGTGAGCTGATGGAGGAAGATTTTATCAAGCTTGGAGTCATGGGTAAAAAAGCTGTTGATAGTCTTTTTAAGGCTGGCTATCCTCAACCTGTTGTTCTCATCCATGGACGCGGAATGGAGGTGGACATTTATACGCTGTCTTTACGCGCAGAGGCTCTCTACCAACTGGATCGCCTTGGAACATTTGGTTTAATAATAAATCCATATCAATTTCCGCTGTTGGCAAGCCTTGGACCATTGATATCTGCAAGAGTAAGGAAAAAAAGAAAAATAGAAAAATAGAAATGAATTCAGAAATTGAGTATGAAACTAACTAATATCATTCATTTAAGATCCACTTTCGAAGCAGTTAAAACTCGCAATAGGGTGCAAACAAATAAAGCATGGATGAGAGGAACCTTTGATGGGAAGCCTGTCAAGCTGCAATAGGGACCAGACCTTGAATAAAACCATATCCAGTCCTGAGTCCTTGCTCTAAGCCTCCCAAGTAGAACACACTTCAGTAAAGGGTTTGTTTTGCCCATTACAAAGGCCTTTTCTTTTTAATGGACTATTCAAATAGCATCAACAATTAAACTATTTCTAACCCGTACGCCAATGACCAATGGCGGCCATTGTTTCTTTGCATGAATAATGCACCACAACTCCATCAGGGAAAACCGCAAAGACACTATTTGTATGAGTTGGATAAGAAAAACAAAACATTTAACGCCTGTTTCAAAGGATCTCAATGTAGAAAATAGTAAAAAGGCGACTTTTTTTTTACCTGTTCCCAATACGCTTATTGCATTTTGGACACATTCTGTCCTCTGTTATCTTAACCCTTCGTGATCGGTAAAATGTGAGTTGCTCTTGTGTCTATTGAAAAATGAAATGCGTATATCAGCTCCAGAACCACTTTCCACCTTTACATGATAAAGATCTCTTTTGCTCTCGTAATTACAAGTTCAATAGTAAGGCGTGAAAAATCGGAAATAATAAAATAATAAATAACAAAAAAAGGAAATACCTGGAGTCTTTCGGCCTTAAGTAAATTTTTGACAATCATGTTCATATGTTTTGTCTTGTTACTTTCACGAATCGACTTCTCGAAAAACTTGTAAAGCTGATCCACGCGAGTTCCTGCTGGAAGCAAACGCAGAACCTGAACAATACATTATAGTAGTTATATAATCAGTCTCAAACGATCTTTTTTTTTTAAAAAAAAAATAAAATAAAATATAAAATAATAATAATAATAATAATAAAGGTAATTCTCTCCAGGTTTCTCTATTTAAAAACACAATAATAGAATAAATTTTCCTTACAGCGGCTGGATCGATATGGTTGCCATGTCGGGTGAGGATATCTAGAGCAGGTTCGAGCATCGGCTTCTCGCCTTTAGGAGGTATTAAGTATACTTCAAGTAGCATAAAATACACATTTTTGGTTGGATTATTGCTGTCAAAGTTTTTAATGCAATATCTATTGAGAAAAGAAACAAGGGTTAAGTCATGAACAAGTAAATATTGAAGAGAGTAGGGGGGGTTTTCTTAATAAAAACTCACTCTTCTGCTGCTTGGAAATTATGTAATTTGCGCACATAAATGTTCAATGCCTGATCATGTTGCCCAATACGACTTAGTAAAATAGCTCTCTCCTCAAAGCACCCTAGAATTTATCTCCTTATCAGTAATCATCATTTTTCAAATAAACATGCCAGAAACATAATGTTTTAAGAACTAACCATCCAATGGTAGGCGACTCAGAATGCGCTCGGCTTTATAAAATTTCGACTTGTCCAAGAATTGCAACAGTTTAACTCGTGTGTTCTTAACAGCTTCTATCATTTTTTTTTTTTTTTTTTTTTTTTTTGTGTTTGATAAGAAATGAGAATCATTCCACGACAATGTAGTCGATTGAAACATAGTACAATTGAATAATCTACAATCTACCTTCATTTCCAGATGCCGAGTCGCGTTGAACTTGGGAGAGATATGATACAACAAGTGTATTGTGGAACTCTGATGTTTGATCCGCAAGCTCATGAATAACATGCTCCAAATACATGGCACATAAATCCAAGGAGAGCCTTTCTAGGTAAGATATGACCTTGTACCTTGGCAGAGTATCAATCTCTGGCTCGTCATCAATGAAGATCTGTAGTAGTCCATTATCAAAACATAACGTAAGTGTACAATCCTTGATTGTTACATTGAACCCTTGTCATAGTCATAGTGTGGTAACCTGATAAAACAACATCACAAGGAAAAAAAAAAAAAAAAAAAAAAAATAGCACTAAAGTCAACTAACCTTCATTGCAACAACCGGGTCTGATTCTAAAATCCAGGTTCCAAACTCTAAGATGAGATTAAAGTGGTCCGCACCAAGTCTCTGCAGGTAGTGGACTGTTGGGAGTACGCCCTGCATCTCTCCAGTGGTTGTATGAATGGATTTAAGTAGCTCAAGTGCCTTGCGATGTTGTCCTTTGCCACGATAAAAGTCAACCAGCTCTTTATATTTCTGTATATTTTCAAGGAAAAAGCAGGTCAATCACGGTGAATCGGTAATTTGAACTTTTGCGATGCCCAGTCCTAATAATGTAATACAGTGCACAATATTCACCTTATGTTTTAGCAACAAGCTTTCAGTTTCTTCAAGATTACAGTGATTTGTAACTCTTAAGAGAGATCCTACCAATCTCTCATTAGTCATCATATAGGACTTAAGAAGAGCGGTATCTACAATTTCCAATACATGCAGCTTTGCTTCAATCTCCTTTTCCTGATCCTGATGGTTATATGAAAACGAGTCATTGTTTTGCTGCAACTTTTGAATTGATTTTTGAATCTTCTGGCGCTTATCAGCTAAGAATCTAATAAGGCAACCTACAGCCTCTTCGAGTTCTTTGGTGCCTACAATTAAAAAAGAAAAAAAAAATGGGAATACCTATTAACAAAAAAAAAAAAAAAGATATGCCGTCGCTTGGCGCCTTCCGCTCATAATTCTTCTTTTTGAGCTAAATGAGGTATTGCAATGCTACAACATACTCATAATGATGGGCGGGGTATTTTTGGCATTCAGTGAATTCGAGTCCGTCTCAGTTAGTGTGGCCGAAGTGATAGCCCCAGATTCTTTATCCTTTGGTGGCAAATGACCAGAAATAACTGCAGGGTAGAGTGCAATAACATCTACCGCAGGGACATCCAGCTCCAAAAAGAGGCCAAGGGCTTCCTCATACTGATGTGTCCGGAAAAGATGGTGCGCATACAGTTTCTTAATACGACCAAGAGTATCAACCTGAAGCAAAATCATAAAAGTTATGAACAGGTTAAACCAAAATATTATTCCAACAAAAACTTTCCATTAGAGCCTGATAGAATGTAGCTATAATAGCTCTACTTACGTTCTCATCTAACAAAACAGGATCAATCTGATTTATAAGACTAATAGCTTCTTGGTACTCTTCCTTTTGAACTAACTCGTCAATCTATTTGTTTATAAAATAATAATAATGATGTTAAACGAGTAAGCCTTCAACAAACTCTATTATGCTCTCAACTATTATCTCATACTTTGGGTAGTAGTCAGAATTGCGAAATAGCATTTTCAGTACCTGTTGAGGGAAGCTGTAAGGAATCAAACGCCAGACTTCGCTATGACTCGCGATATAGAGGAGCTTTCCTTGTGTAAGGAGGCGTGCATGCGGTAAGTCTGCACTTTGTACGAGGGCTCTGGTCTCGATGTTTCTGATCTCAATATGACGGGCCAGAATAGCAACAGCATAGGGATATGAGTATCCTAATTCCTCAGGTGTTCCTGACCACTCAATCCCATTTTTGCGTTTCGGCGTTCCGTCAATTCCAACAGATATGCTGGAATCTATCCAATAGGGAATCAGCATAAACAAATACCACCGAGAAACCAATGCACATGTTAAATACGTTAAATGTAAAGTTAATTGCATAATGTAATGCGGGGAAAACTTTTTTTTTTTTTTTCGCCAAATATTACGTTCTTTGCCAAGAAGAATTTCATCGTTTGGAAGACGTGTGATAAGCGGCTTCCCGGGTTTTGATCCGAAGCCCATGAGGCCCCCAGTAGCAATGGAACTGAAGCTATTCAATGTATTTAAGGTGCTCTCCAGAGTCGATCCGATAGCTCCTTGGTTAGATGCAGAGCTAGGTGAGAACAAGGTCGTCAGAGCGCTCGTTTTACAGTCCATGAGAGCGTACTCGTTATCGAATCCCATACAGAGGTTTTGAGTACCGACCCACTCCATTGTCCTGACTCTGTCTGGAATAGAGTACTCCTATAATCGCAATAGCAATAAAAGCAACAACCGCAAAAAAAAAAAATAAGGAATTAAAATCGACTCTGTTAAGAGGTACTGTAGGACAATAGAAAAAAAAAAAAGAAAGCTCTATACCTTAGTATCCATGAACTCACTATCCTGCCATGAAAAGACAATAATTTTCTTCCTGACCGCTACTGCGAGCCGTGTAATCACTTGTGGCACTGATCCATCCTGAAATTCGATTTTTGAAAACACAGAAAATAGATTGGCGCCTTTGGTTTTTCCAAGTTGCGTTCGCAATGCAAATGATTCCAGATCATGAAGATTCACATAGTTGTCTACGGTATACATGGTACATATCATTAAAACTTGTTTCGAGATAGATAGACACACATAAAAAAAACTACTGCATTGTTACCAGACAACGTAACCAGGACACCCACTGCCTTGATTATATCAATCTGTTCGATAGCCTTTTTTGAGAATGTTTTCAAGGTCTCCATGAGAGTAACCGATATGGCCTCATCCTTGCCTTGTAGAAATTTTAAAAAATAAAGATACTGGTGAGTAAAAAAAAAAAAAAAAAGCATGGATGGCTGACTTTCTTCAACTGGTAGCATACCTAATGGCTCTCTCACCGAGTAGACCAATAATGCACCATAGAATGTTCCCACATAGAGCTTGTCACCTGTATATGTTTATATGTCGAGATAAAAGTGAAATGTTAGGAACATGGAGTTATCTTGATATCAGCCTCAGTTAATTGTTAGAAAGTTCATTTGGTTATTGAATTACCTTGTGCAAAGATGGACTCAATCTTATGAGGAAGTTTCTCAATGACTGTATAGACTTTGAAAGCGTCGTGCATTGATTCTAATTTGCTTGTTTCTGTGATCTAATGCGTGAACTAATGGAAGAGTTGCTGGTATTGCTGAACTGGTTCCTGTCTAATATGGGGTCCCGTGTATTGTATACTCCCGCCTGTCACTATCCTGTTGCTCAACGATACCAAGAACGCCAGCCGCTCGTTGCAAAAAATTGGATTGCAAAAGGGATGTTAAAATGGACTCTGTGTTTGCCCTCAGCAGCACAGCATCTCCACATTCACGACAAACGCGCGCCGAAGGACTGTCATTTGATGTTCATGTGCTCAACTGCATTGACTATCTGACTATCACCATTGTAGAAGCGCTTGTGTAACACATGTTTCAATTACTGCATCCCATAAGCTAGCGTCTCCGGACCTTTGTGCCCATTACAGCGACTTTGTTTAAGGTTCATTACCATGAAATCTCACCGAAATACTATTCTACGCTTACAGTAGACTTATAGGTTGTTCTGTTCGCAGAAGGAAGAATTGTCCATTCAAAGACCTTTGGAACATTAGGCAGACATACTGGCTTTGTATCTCTGAGATATTCTGTAGACATAGATTAAATCAGAAAAGCATTAACTCTTACAATTGACAATCATTATGTTCTACAAGTTTTGGCTGTTAAAACCAATTCTTTTAACTGGATAGGTTCTACAAAAGATAATAAATATACGCTGAGTTAAACAAAGGTAAAGGATTTTCATATAGTGCCGTTCATCTAGTCACGAATAAAATTAGGGAAAAACCTTAATTTGTTGCGTTTTGGGGTCGTCGCAGCCACATTGTTTATGAAGTGCTAATGGCCACCAAGTTGGTGTACACCAATCATCACTTATACAACTGCAGCATATCGAAGATACAATGGGTGCTTTAAATAAAACAAAGAGACACTTGCGCGATGCTCGCAAAAAAAAAAAGCAAAGCGCAGAGCTATCGAAGCAGCACAGAATTTGCAGATGGAAATCGTAGATGACTCAGCTGTTGTAGAGCTTAGCAGCGTTGAACTCGGGGAGGATTTAGTCAAACCTCAGCATATTCAGGACTGGGATGATATAAAGAACGATCCAGGGACTGAGGGAGAGTCGGGGGATGAGACAGAAGAGGAAGATTGGATTATGAGGGTGTGCTCCAACAACGATTTCTGGCAGAAACTGCAGCCCCAGATGCAAGAAGCAGCCAAAGCAGTGAAGACCACAAAAGCATATGCAGGAACTTCTCGATCTGCAATTTTCCGCAAGAATCAAAGACTTAAAACGGCTGCCATGGGCACACCATCTCTCACTTCAATTGGCTTTATTGGGATATCAAAGGAGCCTGCAGAGAGTTCTACCAATAACCATAATCAGCAACAAAGTATGTATAAATCGTTTCAAATTTATCATTCTGAACTTTTTTTTATTTTTTTATTGGCGAATACAATCAAAAGCATAGATTTATTTGGTATTATTGAAGCAATATCTCTTTTCCCAAAGGCTTTAAGCTCAGTGGACATCATCACCATTCGAAAATACGCAAGGAAGTGCTTTCGATATATGGACGCATATCGAAAAAAATATGTCTGGCCAAGTTGCTGAGCAACAAGTGAAAAAATATAGGTCTCATCGACGTATCCCAGCAAATTGGGGATTTAAAATTACAGTCCACTGAATAGTTTTTATATGTATCACACCCTTTATTGATGTCATAGCAAATAAAGTTTAGCCAATCATATTTCGAGATTTATGTAGCGTTTTGCCCCTCACATATGAAAATGGTTCATTTTTTTTTGATGGTAGCTCAAGAAGAAGAAGTCATATCGACAAAAACCCTCTATTTTACCAAAGAGAAATGGCAAGTGAAGAAGAATTTAGAGCTACTTTTTACCTGAGATTGATAACTGGGGTGTTGCTCCTCTTCTCCCTCAGGCCAAATTTTTCTGAAAAAATTTTCGTGACTAGATGAACGGCACTGTATATAAAAAAAGGTTACCGTATGATATGCTCATACTCTGCAAGGCTGCCTTACACTTCTTAGTGGTATCTGGGACTTTTGCCTTTTTACCTTGCATTGGAAGAGTGGTTGGTTGCAGGGGTGAGAGCTTCATTCTGGAGAGAGTAACTCTGGAAGATTTGGCGAAGAACTCCCACTGAGGCATTCTCCTCTAAATAATTATTAACATCATACTCCGCTTCATCGTTTTGATCTCTATCGTCTACTCGTTACTCTTTTGTCATCCAAGCCAGTGAACAAAGACACTTTTATCAACAATATGGTCAAGCCGGGCATAGACGGACTGTTTGGGACTTACCACACATCACTACGCACTGGACAAGTGGTGAAATCAAGTGCGCGGACGGCTACAAGAATGAAGAGAAGCTATAACTCGATCTTCATATCTCGATCAAGAAGCATTCTATTGTATTCCTGGAGGCAAAGCCTTCAAGTGGAACCGCAACAGACTACATGAATGATCGATTGATGAAGACTCTTTGACGGGATGAAGTTGGCCGTTGACGGCCTCTTGTGACGCGGTATCTATAAAGTGGTAGTTGATATCAGGATTTCGAGTCGAGACTTTTGTGATGACACTGGAGTATAAGGTATCTTATCTACCAATCGGTATTGGGCCCTTTGATCTCATTGGATCGCGGTTCCAGGTTGGCAGTCCATTGACTGCTGCAAAATTCTTGCAATCAGCTCCAGATACTGTCAAATGGACATTGGAAGTGGTTTATGAAGCCTAAGGAGAGCCTGTGAAAAAACATGTGGGTCAGAGACTCTTACCACATAAAGCCCATCAAAATTAGCCCACGTCAGAAGTAGATTATTTCTCACTTGCTCCATCCAATCCTAGCCGCTTATCCCAGCGAAAAGCAATCCCCGCTGGGTGCTCCTGCCTGGTCTTGGGTTTTCGAACGTTTTTACTAGAAGCACCTTTCCCTTGTTATGATTCTTTCTATTGCATTAGAAAAAATAATATTTGTGTGCTCTCCTTTTGTAGTAGCGTCAACGAGCTTATTTGGACTGCTCGCAGACGCAACCCTCGTAGTGAGCCGCGTGTCCCAAGGAACCGTCTCTATCAGTGATCTCGAAAGCAGGATATCCACCTCTATGGGGTGAGGACGCTAGCATTGAAAGGTATCTCTTTAAACTGGAAAAAATAAAAGATCACCTTGAGCATTATAATGAGGAAAGGCTTGTTGCGAGACACCAATGGGCTCCAGAAGGGCTAGAGACGCTGAGTACAGTATCATTGCTGCTTGTCTTTTCAAGCTGGTTGGAAGATCAATTTGTAGAAAAGAGGCAAGTGCAATTAAGCTGTAATTGGGGCTGGACTTGGCCTGTTTGACTTTCATCTCTACATTAATCACTTGTATCATTTTTTTTTTTTGTGTTTATGTTAATTATCATTTATTGAGATAGGCTTGCTCTAACCACATCTGTATATTATTTTCTAGGCATTTCCCGTTGGATATATTGTTGTAGGCGTCAATGAGTACTCACACTACCTTTCCAAGAAGCGTGAGAAGTTTGTTGGGCAGGTTGAGATTCGACGACTTTACTGCTCGAACTGCAAGGCATTCATGCATCGTGACAATATCTACAACGTTGCTCGCGACTATCTGACCCATCAAGGGAGATCTCAGTATCTCCAGCCTGTTGACACTTAGGTGCAGCGTGACGTAGTTTCAGAGTTAATTGTCCTATCTCACACAAATAAAAAAAAAACAAAACATATCGCTTTGATCTGCAAAGACTGGACAGCGCATTTAACATTCCTCCTGTTCCTCCTCTTTCCCTCCTCATCTGAATCACTCGATTCGTATAATACATTAATACATAAAGCCATATCACATCATGGCACGATTTGATCTTAATAACCTACCCGAACATGAGGAGGATATCGATTTCTCTGATATTGAGGAAAGATTCCAGCTCTCATTCGAAGAGGGCTTCAACAACGTCGTCGTTGTTGACAACATCCCACTCGTCGATGAGACAAAAGAGGAGAAGCTGATTCAGTTTTTGCGCAAGATCTTTAAGAATGTTGGCGAGATCAGAGATAATCACTTTGTCATGCCTAAGGCTGTCAATGAAAAGGGCAAGCTTATGAGCAAGGGGTAAAAAAACTGCTGTTACCACTTTGAACTCGTGAAATCGATGGCGACAAAATTTGCTTGGCGACAGTTTATACTCAAGTTTGAACGCGTTTTATTCCTATTTTCTATGCAGATTCATGTTTATTGAGTTCGAGACTGACGAACAGGCTTCTCTTGCTGTCAAATTAATCGACGGATTCAAGATGGACAAATCCCACACTCTTGCTGTCAACCGCTTTACTGATGTTGAAAAATACACGAATGTTGAGGAAGAGTTTGTGCCTCCACCAGAAGAAGAGTTTGTTGAGAAGGTACGATGGATGATATTCTATATACTTTATTGAAGTCCAGGAAGAAGGCTTCAGGAAAGGTTTATAATTCTCTAAGCATTGAGTGGATGTCTGACTCTAGTGCTTGTATTCTCTATTCTCATTTTGGGACAAAAATGTACTGGATTTTTATTTAATAACATTTACAGGAGCACCTCAAGTCCTGGTTGGCAGATCCACTTGGACGTGATCAGATGGTCATTTACCGCCACAATGATGTTCAGGTTCTTTGGAACATGCAAAAGGAGCAGCCCCAGGTCGCTCACAGTAAATCGAATTGGACCGAGACCTATGTCCAATGGTCCCCACTTGGATCCTATCTCACTACTCTCCATGCCCCTGGTGTTGCTCTTTGGGGAGGCGAGTCCTGGAAGAAGATTATTCGCTTCAATCATCCTGGTGTTAAGCTTATTGATTATTCCCCTAATGAACGCTACCTTGTTACCTGGAGCAACGAGCCCATTGTTGTGCCTGAGGAAAACTATGATGGTCCATTCGGCCCTGAAGATGAGGGTAACCAGATTGTAATTTGGGATGTCAAGTCTGGCGCACTCCTCCGTTCCTTCCCCTCCATTGGACCTCAGGGTCCCAACAGCCGCCCTGCTGTCTCATGGCCTGTCTTTAAGTGGTCGCCCAGCGAGCGTTACTTTGCCCGCATCACTCCTGGGTCCCAGATCTCTGTCTATGAAGCCCCTAGCATGGGTCTTTTGAACAAGAAGAGTATCAAGGTTGATGGCGTTGTCGATTTTGAATGGGCTCCTTCTGCTGGAGCTGACAAGTCTGGTAAGCTTAGGGATGACATGCTCGCTTACTGGACTCCCGAAGTTGATAACCAGCCTGCTCGTGTCACACTTTTGAACATCCCCAGTCAGGAAATTGTGCGCACCAAGAACTTGTTCAACGTCACGGACTGTAAGCTTCATTGGCAGAATCAGGGTGATTTCCTTTGTGTCAAAGTTGATCGCCATACCAAGAATAAGAAGGTCACCTTCTCTAACTTGGAGATTTTCCGAGTTCGTGAGAAGGACATTCCAGTTGAAGTTGTTGAGGTGAAGGAATCCATCTTGGCCTTCGCCTGGGAGCCAAAGGGAGAGCGCTTCGCCATCATCACTACCAGTGATCCTAACTTTACGTCCGCTACCCCTGGATCTACCACACTGAAGACCTCGGCCAGCTTCTACTATTTGGACAAGGGTAAGGGCAAGGACACACTTCAGTCATTCAAGGTTATCAAGACTTTGACTGGCAAGTCATGCAACACTATCTTTTGGTCACCTAAGGGCCGTAATGTTGTTTTGGCAACCCTCCGCTCGCAGACTGTGTGGGACCTCGAGTTTTATGATCTTGATTTTGAACCTCTGGAGTCTGCTGCTGCCAAGGTGCCTACTGGAGGTGAAAAGGACCCTGCTGCATACTTGCAGCTTCTGGCTTCGGGTGAGCATTATGGTGTGACAGATATTGAGTGGGATCCTTCGGGTCGTTTTGTTGCTACGAGTGCCTCGGTTTGGAGACACACGATGGAGAACGGATATCAGCTCTGGGACTTCAAGGGTCAATTGTTGTTTAAAGAGACGCTCGAGAAGTTTAAACAGCTCTTGTGGCGCCCTAGGCCCAAGACTTTGTTGTCGAAGGAGCAGATCAAGAACATTCGCAAGAATTTGCGTGAATACAGTGCACGCTTCGATGAACAAGACATGGAGTCATCGTCTCAGGTATCAAGTGCTGAACGTCAGCGTCGCCGCCGACTGATAGAGGAGTGGGCTAACTGGCGCAAGCACGTTGAGGCAGAGCTCTCACAAGAGCAATCAGCAGCAGGTCAACAGGCATCTGCTGTCAATGCTGAAGATGAAGAAGCTGAGGAAGTGGATGAGTGGATCGAGACAGTTATTGATGAGAAAGAGGAAATTGTTGCCTAAACAAAAGGACCAAGATTGGGCATCTGAAGAAGAAAAATGAATATCATCGAATAGTAATTAAAGTAACAAAGAAAAAAAAAAAAAAAACATAGATTCGGTGAACCAATGGTGTTTGTGTAAAGAAATGTGACCAGGCGGCGGATAAAGCATCCCGTAAAAGAGAAATATGCAAAACTTGGTTCTGAAGATAACAGTGCCTGCTGCCTTTTTTCTTTCATTCTTCTTTGCCTTTTTTTTTGGGTTGGCAGCATCTGTCGACCCTTTTTTTCTTTAATTATCCCGATAGTTGTGGCGCCTTTTTGTCTGCACAAGCACAACTGCATTTGCTTTTTTTTTTTTTTTTTTTTTTTTTGCTCTTTCTTTTCAACTTTACTTCAATCCATTTGTTTTCTTAATTTGCAAAAAAAAAAAATATATATAAAAAAAATACGCGCGTGCGCTGTTGGATCCATTCGTTTTCTTGCACTATTCATTCAAAAGAGACCACTTTTTTTTCCTTTATCATCTCGTGATCTAAGACACAGTAATGATCCGCAAAAAGAGAAACTTCAAGAACTTAGCCCTGGATGAGGCTGCTAATGAGAATGCACCTCCTGGTGGAAGCGCTCATGTACACAACTTGCCAGTAGCTCGTGGGGCACCAATGCCAGCAAATGCATACTCACGAAGGGAGCCTCTACCTGACTTGGAACTTGGTGTTGAGTTCAAACTAGATCTCAGGAGCGAGGACTTGCAAACACTTGAGGAACTCGGGGCTGGTAATGGAGGCACTGTCAGTCGTGTAATTCATCTACCCACAAGAGCCATCATGGCACGAAAGGTGAGGATGACACTTTTACTTTTGCGAATTTCATTTCTTTCTTTCTTTTTCATCTCTATTTCTGTTACTTTCAGTCTAGATTTTTTTTTTTTTTTTTTTTTTTTTTTTTTTTTGGGCCATTGAGGTGATTTATTCTTCAGGGATAAACGAACTACAATTTACTTACCATGCACCTCCACACTTTTTTTTATCTGATAACAATGAACTTGGTATAACAGGTCATTCATATTGACGCTCAACCTGCCGTACGCAAGCAAATCTTGCGTGAACTCCAGATCATGCACGATTGCAACCATCCCAATATTGTCTCGTTTTATGGCGCATTCTTGCATGACAGTGAGATTTCTTACTGCATGGAATATATGGATGTAGGGTAAGAAGAAAGGAAAAGAAAGAGAAAGAAAGGACTATAATGATACCCAAGTTCATCCATATGTGTATTCAGTCGGGAAGCCTCTCCAAGATAGGGGATACGGGACACAGACATAGGGAATAAGATAATAAGATGCTAGGACAAAAGATGAAAGGCATGGAAAAGGAAATGGAGCTCAGGACATATGCTCCCGTACAGGGCTAGCTGATAGCAGGACAATAAGAGGACCGATAAGGACCAACAAAATTTATAGGTGAACATATCAAGTAGAAGAGCATCAAAGGAAGAAAGAAAGAAAAAAAAAAAAAAAAAAAAAAGCTAAAAGGACGTTGTGCAGTACGCTAGAAGGCGAGACTCATCGCTCCTATTTTTTTTTACTATCATTAGAGCATTGGATGGTATTTGTGCAAAGAATGGAGCCTTCCCCATGGATGTCATTGGGCTCATCACAGTCTCTGTACTTAAGGGACTGAGCTACCTTTACCATAACCACAAAATTGTTCATCGAGGTACATGATACTCCCTTTAACCTGCTTTTTGGTTTTATTATAATATCTCTATTTACGAATTGAACCAATGGCAATCGAAGAGAGTGGGGAGCACAGTCACTCTACTGGAACCGGAGACTTATTGATGATCTGTTTTTTTTTTTTTTTTTTTTTTTTTTTTTTAATTTATTTTATTTTGTTTTAATTTCCATATACAAGATCTCAAGCCTTCCAACATCCTTATCAATTCTACGGGAATGGTCAAGATTTGTGATTTTGGTGTCTCTGGACAACTTGTCAACTCAATTGCCAATACTTTTGTCGGAACCAGCAATTACATGTCGGTGAGTACATAGAAAGGATACTAAGCTACAGGAATTCTGCATCCAAATAATAGCAATAAGGAAGGAGGTTGACTCTATTTTGGCTCACGCTTTTTTTCCCTCTTTCTTTTTTTCTTTCTCTCTCTCTTACTTTTTTTTTTTTTTTTAAAAAAAAAAAAAAAAAAAAAAAAAAAGCCTGAGCGAATTCGTGGATGGAACTATGGTGTACAATCGGATGTTTGGTCGCTCGGCATTACCCTCATGGAGTTGGCTCTGGGACGTTTCCCCTTGGATGCTGAGTGTAAATCGTTGACAATCTTGGAACTGCTTCAGCATATTGTTAACGAGCCCCTACCTACCCTTCCTCGCGGTCAGTTCCCAGAAGACTTTTGCAATTTTGTCGACGTTTGGTAAGTTGGAGTCGAGGCAGTAAATGTCACGGATTACGAACAAAAGGAATAATGATTTACTTTTTTGTGGAGATGAGGACATTATTTCCTTTAGAACAAATGATCAGCTGATGAACATTTATGCTATCTAGTTTGGCGAAGAACGTTGAATCAAGACCCTCACCCGATATGCTGGCTGTAAGTCTTTCATTGTTAATTTGTCTTATTTATAGCGATACATATCTTTTTATTTTTCGATCTAACGATGTCATTTGTCACGCAATGTTGTGTAATCTTACTAGAATCATGCATATTACCGCCGTGCAGAACAGGCGCATGTGGACATGGAGAAATGGGTCAACAGTCTGGTCAAGAAGTAGTCACTGCTCTTATGTCCTTCTTGAATAGAGTGTACGCACCATTTAGGTCCCACCTATTTCTCTTCTTCTTGTTTTTTGCCTTTCCTTTTTTTTATTTTTTTTTTTTTTTACCTTTCAATCATTCACCTTTCAACTCCTTTTTTTTTTATACGCCCATCTCCCTTCTCATTATCACTTTTATCTTCCTTCCTTCTATCTGTTTATATTTCTATAGCCTGCCTTATGTTAAGAAAGAAAGAAACGAAAGAAAGAAACGAAAATTAAGAAAAGGCATCGTTTGTGTCCACAAGATTTAGAGCGTTTGCAATGCGAGTTAAAAACAAGTTGATAAAGGATATAATTCTAATGATTCATTTCAAAATAAAAAAAGAAAAAATATGATTGGCCAGACTAAAACGTCGGGAAACCCTCATAGATTTCGCAGCCACTTAAGTTTAATCGTTTCGGCCCTGGTTTCCTACGTCGTTTTACAAAACTCAAGCATTACTTTCCCATTGGACTCGCGCCCATGTCTATTTTTACAGACATGAAAGAATAGGGAATAGACTAAAGTATACTGCTTCCCTCCTCTACACAGCTCTTGAATCGCTTAGTTCTTGGTCCGCCTTTCATTTAAATACCTGTAATGGATGATGGTTTCTTGATGGTAGCTTTTGAACAATTCTTCGTGTATTTTTAAGTTGACGAAGAATGGCGGTGCTATAAGGCTATACCAAGGACTGTTATTAATAACCCTAACCTCACTACTGTTTGACAGATGGATTACTACTTTTTCGACAATCCTGGTTGTTCCGAGAAAGGGTACAGCAATTGTTATGATTGTGTATTCACAATTATGGCGAAAAGGCAATCTCTTCTCTTCTATTGAGCACCCAAATGGATTTGATCTTGAGCACGAAATGGGCTTTATCATTCTTGTCTCTCCTTCAGTATTCTTTCTTGCCCATATCTCATTCTCTCTTCATCCATAGTTTAGTCACATTGATTCTTGTCCATTTTTTTTTTTTTTTTTTTTTTTTTTTTTGGTTGACTAATAAGTGCTCTCTCTCTCTTTCTTTCTTTCTTGGTCAGAAAGTTTGGAAAAGTAATTTAACTTGTTTACTTGGATTTTTTTATTAAAAAGATTAAGTCGTCTTTGACCACGAGATTCCCCCCTTTTTTTTATCAAAACCAACATCAGCAAGAGCACTTCTGTTGAATGTGTTGTCCTCTTTCTTCATCTAAAGGCTCCATGATTAACAATATAAATGTAATAAATGTATACCTTTTAAAAAAAAAAAAAAAAAAAAAAAAAAAAGGTATCCAAAACGGACAGAAATAGATTCCAGTAACACCTGCCTGTGATTATCATCTGAGATGAATCCGTTTTTCCCTTCCCTCTGCCCCCCTCTCTCGCTGTACATTTATAAATGTATTTCTTTCTTTCTTTCCGGACCTGGAGACGTCTTCTTTTGAAAAAGAGGGATTGTTCTTGGACCCCATCATTCCTCAATAGAATATTTTAAGAAAGGATGAATAAGGATCAAACAGTGGCCTGTATCTTGAATGAGCACTTAGCCTGCGACAACCTTTTTTTTTTTTTTTTTTTTTTTTTTTTGTAGCGTTGCCCTTTCGGAACGTGAAACTATGCATTCCTTTCGCTTCTATAGTCCCATAATAAAACGTCTAAGGTAAGAACCTGCTGTTGATCTGGTAACGATACCGCCTTCTGACACTTGTGTTGGGCGTGCTGTATGCCCACTACGACCACGAACCACGGTCCCTTTTAATATCGACATTGTTTTTATGTTATCATTATCACCTTCATTGTCTGAGAGCGGCGTGGGCTCTGTCCCTAGAACCAACGTCTCATTGGCGTTATTATATTTATTAGTATCGTCGGCACCACTGTTATTATCGCGCTCTGTTAGCTGCTAAAACATTAGCGCACTTTCCTTTCATAGACCATCCATACTCGCCAATTAAATGCAGATTAAATGCTACCTCCTCAGCAAATCGCCTGCCGCAGGAAGTTTTCTAACTTCCTTGCTTTCTTTTACGTTTTTGCTTAAAACATCAGGGTCTTTCCTCTGGCCAGAAGCCTTCCGAGTATGTTTGATTGAGTATTCTTAACGTAGTCGCAAGCAGTTGTTAAAGATACTTGAGATATCCGGAGATTTGTCATGGAGAACACCTATGCTATGACCTTCCGCAAAGCTGACAGCGGCTTCTCATCCAAAAGTCCTCCAAGGACTTATAAATGCTCTGCGACAGATCTTCTACATCCATTGGAAAATTAAGAGTTTGAGTTCATCGGGCCGTTGTTTTGCTTTTGATTCTCATAACCTTGAATGGATTTTGCCAAAGCTAGAATCTCTACGGTCCACTTCTTTGATGACTCAGGCTTGAGTCATCATGCCCTAAACTCAAACCTAGAGCATCATGACGTTGTATTGCCTTGTTATATCTGAGGGGATCAATAATTAAACTCCTCATTAGTAGGTAGCTGTATCTTACTCACGGAAATGTCCTGGAGAAAATGTGGAGGATATATGCATCAGAACAATCATTCCAGTAACTCAAGAAGATTGCGATCCGGGGAAGGAGGAATGACACATTCAAAAACAACGCGTCTTCAAAAAAAAAAAAAAAAAAAAAAACGCGACGCGAAATCATAAACCAGTTCCTGGGGGTAATTGTTTTTTTGTTGGTTGTACAAATTGTACAAGAACAAGAACGCGTAGTCAATGTCACAATGTTTTTTGTGGTCAATACAATATCATATGACCAAGTGGATATTAATGTTGTATTTGGGAAAAAGATGAAGTTTATCAAGTAAGATATTACAGACATGGATGGTGGATTGATCAGCACTGATTTAAGGATTGCGAGCAAAAAAAAAAAAAAAAAAAAAGACGATGTTAACAGGTGACTCCTTCGGCCTCCTTTCATTATCCTTGACCTTTTTACATGTTCATCCTTGATTCGTTATTTTTATTTGGAGATGTATTCATCAGCCCAGGAGCCCATCAGACATCTCTTTGGTTGCGAAATGTCCATTGTCTGTTGTTCATTATCTATTTCTCTGACGCATTGTTTTTTCACTTCCCCTTTTTATCCTTTTATCAACTGTTTATTTACGAAATCTGTTTTTACTCGCAGTTTGTTGACAGACCATGCGACAATTTTTTTGAGACTTGGTAAAAAAAGACATTGGACATGAGACACTTTGAGTGCTGTGGTGTGATGATGGCTAATTGTGCACCTGAATGTTTACACAAAGCTATTCAATGTTGTCTATCACATCACTAATATAAAAATCATAGGATTGTATTCTATCTCTCTGACCCGGAAAAGAAAAAAAAAAAAAAAAAAAAAAAAAAAAACCAGCGTCCATCCATGCCATGCCCAAACTTATCAACGCTCCTGTTCTGTCATCAATGTCACATCCAAGTATCCGTCCCCATGCAACATGCAATACCATGCAGCTCTCTCTCTCTACACTCTTTCCTTTTTTCTTTCTTTCTTTTTTTTTTTTTTTTTATACTTTCTTTTCTTGTTCACCCCTACCCATCATCCTTCATATTCCTTCTCAATCCTTTGTTTAAATCTTCTCTTATACTGTCCTTCTTCCTCCCTCCATCCGTCCTTTTTGAAATATCCTCGGCTTCACTGTTGCTTGTTTGCTTCCAACCATGGGTCAAAGTAACTCCACGCCTTCGCGGACCAGCAGGCGCTCCCGCTCCCGTTCCTTGCCCCAAAGACAGCAACACTTACAGGAGCACCATGCTTACACTCACTCGGCTACTCCCACACAATCTACTATTCCTCGTGCTAATCGTGCTATGACTCTACCTCAGTCTCATGTCAATACCAGTTCACATGTAACTCCAACTAGAAACAATCGTAATTGTAGTAGCAATAGTCGCCATAATTGTAATAACAATAACAACAGCAACGATAATAGTAATTACAGCAATGACGGCGACCCATCCCTTTCACATCAGAACATTCAAAATCACATGCCCCAGTCATTGTCTCGATCTCATTCGTCACAACTACAACAGCAGACACACCAAGCACAACAGAACCAGAATCCTATGCAACCTTCACAACCCACCCACCCACTTCCTGCTGGCTCTTCAGGGACTTCAGCTACAGCAATAACGCCCGCACGAGTTGTGCGCTCAACCACCCGTCGACGGCGACTACTGGCAGCCTTCTATCCCTTGCTCTCTCGAAACAGAAACAGCAGAACCCCTAATGGCAATGACAGCAATAATGAGAATAGTAGTAGCAGTAACAGCAACAACAACAACAACAACAACAACAATAGTAGCAGCAGCAGGGGTAATAATGACAATCACAATAGAGGCAATAATAGTGCTGGCCATAGTATCAACAATGATAGGCGTAATCCTGGCATCAATAACGTCAACAGTAGCAATGGAGGCGCTAATGGCAGTTTTACCAACATTAGAACAACTCAAGATAACAGAACTGACACTCCTGGTGGTAGCAGCGTTGCCAACAACCGCCGACCTGCAGAGCCACGCACAGCCCAGTCCACTTCTCGCCATCGTCAGTCAGATCGTACGAGCCACACCCATTCGCCTCGACCAGCACAGACTCGTTCACAGACTCTCCAGGCCGTGTCTGGTACCCGTACACCCCGTGGTGTCTCTCGGGTGCGCCGGTACGACGAACAGTCCATTAGGAGTTTCCGCTCCTCATCTAGTCGATCGTCCAGTCTCCTTGCACTCTCTCCCTCCTCAACAACAACAGCCGCCTCTTTGCATCCGCATGTCTTTCTGCATCACACTCATCGTCCTTCCTCGGAGCCTATGGAGGTTGACCTCGAACCAACAGCCGTTTCATACGCTCAGGCTGAGGTCGACTCTGGGCCAAGAGAAAATCACCGGTCATCTGACTTGGAAACTATGCCACACAATGGAGCCACCTCCGTCTCGGGCTCCTCCGGCGTCATGGACATGGGATATCCTTCTAGATTAGATACCAGCCTGTTCGTCGCTCGGTCAAATCCTCGAGTAGGCACATCCATTTCCTCAAGTCTGCTCCCAATACGACCTGACTCTGAAGATGAGGACGATGATGGCTTTTTCTCCAGTGATGCTCATAGCCAACGTTGGAGGACAATGGAATATGAGCAGGCTCACAACTATGGACAGTTGAACACGTCGAGCGACACTGCCAGTTTACCAACACGCTATCGCCTCGACATTGCTGATCATGGGCTTGAAACAAATGAACCGACAGTTACAGCAACAAATGTGGGTTCAATTAGTCATAGAGAGAGACGACCACGCGCATCACGTCCTAGTCGATATCCACCACCAGAAATGGTCGCGGACCTGATTCAACATCAAATTGTACAAGGAATAGCTGAAGCAGCAGCAACAACAGCAGCAGCCGGAGAAAATACGAGGACTTTATCACCTCAGAGCCCCAATGATATGCTTAATACTGATGCTACTGCAGAGTTGATTCCATCATCCTCTCCTCCTACTGCCACGATGACTAGTAACAATAACAACAGCAACAGCAATAACACCCCCGACGCAAGTCTTGAAGAAGCAGCCCCGATTACAGAACGTAATGAGAATAACCTTCGTGCGGATATAACTTTGGGTGATGATGATTCGTTTGCTCATCGCAACTCAAGGGTCCACCGAAGACGACTTCGATCCTCAAGTCTTCGAGGATTACTTGGATTTCCACCTGCAGGCAGCTCTGGAAATAGCGAACGTGTGGTTGGTACGGGATTAGATCGAGGGTTTACACCTGTGCATCGTGAGCGAGCAGGAACTGGACGGTCTCTAGGTTCAGCAGGCTCTTCGGGATCGTTAGAGACATTGGACCAACGACGGCTTGTAGAGAGCCAGATTCCGTTCTTTGCGCGTCTCCTAGCGGAAATTGGGCGCAGTTTACGGGGACAGCAGGGCCAAGGTGATGATGGCGACCGTACTACGACAGATGGCAGTAGTGCACTTGACGGATCTGATGGTATGGCCACAGCAGCAACATCTGCAGGAGCCACGTTTACTGTGCAGGCGACAATCAGAGAGAGGTCTACACTATCCGAGGCTATGGGTATGTCACCTTTAACAAATGCTGAAGGCTCGGTCGGTCAGACAACAAATCCAGTTCGAGCAAGACAGGGGGCGACAGTTCGTTTCATTCAAATCGGTGGAAGTGGAGGGCTCGCTGCGTTCGGACAGAGACGACCGCGAAGCGAGTCTGTCACCTTAGGACAGGGTCAGGAACAGAGACAGGGTCAGGAACAGGAACAAGAACAGAGACAGGGGCAGGGGGAGGAGCAGGAGCAGGAACAAGGACAGGGACATGGACATGGACAGGGGCAGAGGTCGGGATTAGGAATAGGATTTGGTCTGGGATCAAGATCAAGGTCCGGGTCATCACGTAGTGAACCATCAGAACCGTCTATGAGGGGCAGACGGGACGAGTTCACAGAGGCGATCCTTATGTTTTTGAACGACCCAGCCTCAGGAGCTGGATCAGACAATGAGTCACCGGAAAGTCCAACAACAGAAGGCAGTAATAGTAATGCGCCAAGAACGCGATCTCGAAGATCGCCTTGGGTTGTTTTTACACTTTCAGGAGCCTGTAAGTCCACGTCCCGCTCTCCCCTCTCCCCCCTCCCCCTTTTTTTTTTAAAAAAAAAAAAGAAAAAAAAAAAAAAAAAAAAAAAAAAGTTGAGGTTGAAGTATGTAAAAAACTGAGTTTTTTTATTTATTTTATTTTATTTTTTTTCGGCTTTTATGATAGATCTCAGCAGCCTGCTGGCAGGCGGTATGGATGTTAACGATAGTGAAGGTCTAAGCTACGATGACTTGTGGATGCTGTCCAACTTGATAGGGCCAGCACGACCAGTCACAACGACACAAGAGGCTATTGATGATGCAGGGTTCCATGTGGGTCAATTTGAGAATGCAGCACAAGGAATGCGAGGGTTTGAGATGCTTGGCGATGGATCCAAATGTTTAGTATGCATGAGTGATTATGAAGAAGGAGAAGAGCTGCGTGCATTACGTTGTAAACATGGCTTCCATCAAGCATGTATTGACAAGGTATGATTTATTTATGGTTTTCGTTTATTTATTTATTTTTTTGTGCTAAAGTGCTAAAACCACCCGTAGGTCTGAGCCAGATAAGACTATTGTCAGTTGGTCCAACCTTTAGTCAGTTTTGATGTCATCTATTCTAACGATTCTCTTTCCTTTCTCTTGATTATCGTAGTGGCTAACTACGGGTGCCAACAAGTGTCCTGTGTGCCGTGCAGCGGCTGTTGAGCCTTCAACCACGAACACCCCCGTAGCAACAGCAGCAACTAGTGCAGGACATGACTCAGTTTTTGAATGAAGACAATAATCATTTTGTGTTTTTTTTTTTTTTTTTTTTTTTTTTTGAGGTGCCACGATGCTCTCAAATATTTTTATTAATTCAATTGGATGCCAGATGATTGCATAGTGGCCGCATGGGCGGGGTGTTTTTTTAATATTAATTTGTAGATGACAGTTTATGTTTGTGTGCACGTAATGCTACTACACATTGACGAGAGCTTGCAGTGATTGGCGTTAATAATGACATGATGGAAAAGAAGACATTTTGTACACTGGATGTGCATTTGTTGCAATAGTGAACCTCAATTAGGAGAAAGAGGCATTGACATATGTATTGTGTATCATTCACACGGTCCCAACTGTGTGAGGGAGTGGTTGAGTGGTACAGCTGTCCTTAATATTTTGCACACTGAAACCAGGGTAACTTGGTTAGATACTTCTTGTTCTTCATCCATTCCATTGTTCATTTTATTCCTTCATTCTTCATTAATCGTTTTGATCATCCATTTGTCTTGTGACCCAATCTAACTTAATCCATTCTATCAAGGGTGACCATGAGTCTCCCGCGCTTCCTCCGTGGGTTTCAAAGGAAATCCTCGTCTTCTACTGCCGTTACGAGCGCATCTGAAATTGATCCTCCTCGTCCAATCTCCACCGCTTCCACTTCCTCGTCTTCCTCGTATTGTGATGCCCTTGGATTTCCTATACCTGTCACTACGACCACATTCACTCTTCTCTCTTCGCTGTCATCTTCGCCTGCATTTGCACCTCTTCCTGTAAATCCACCTGTTTTATCATCAACGGTCCAAGCTCCCACAGGGATGTCGCTCTATCCAATGCCAATGGATATTGCTTTATCCTCTGCCTCTGCCTCTTCGTCTTCTACTTCCCTTTCCCCTTCACCTGCTCCTTCTCCCTCACAGCCAATCCTGATGAACAACCATATAAACATCACCGGCTCCCCTGTAGTCACAAGTCAGCCAACGTTTGGTTCTAGGACCAGGCGGACATCTCGTTCTTCCTCATATGTCTCTGCCGCTGAAGAAGATCCAGTGATGCTCTCTACATCCTGTCCTCTATTTACCTCTCCGATCCCTTTTAATACAAACGAACCAGTGCCTCCAGTGCCTGTACCAATTGTCAACATAACCTCTGCTGATTTCAGCAATATTAAGAACAATGATATAGCCACGACAAAAGTCGTTGGTTTTAAGATGATACCCATTGATCCGGTCTCTGGAGCAGAGACGCAGGATATGACAGACTCTAGAGTGATTGAGAGTCGACCGGTAGAAAAAGATGGGAGCACCATCCAGACTGAGTTAACTAAAAAGCCAAGTGAACAACCAAGTCAAGAACCTGTAGAGATAGCCGAAAATGAGGATGATACTCAACTCATGGGCCTGCAACAACAAAGACCATTATTAGTTGTATCGGTAGTCAACGACTCGTCCAAAAATAATCGGATCCATTCCGATGCTGCTACAGTTACGACTGCCACTGCCACTGCCACTACTACTACTACTACTACTACTACTACTACTACTAATACTAATACTAATACTATGGCTACCACTATTACATCTGATCCTACTACTGCTGATTCTGTTGGTTCAGAAAGCAGCAATGAGACAGCGCCTTCAAAGGTGATTCGTCCATCCTATCGTCACATGCAGGGACATGCCACCAGAACGGTTTCCACATCTGATATGCCGTCTTCCTCCAACACACAACCAATGAGACAACATCGACCACAGATTCCTTCTCCAACACGATCCAGATCCTTCTCCAATTCACATGTGGGGACTGGTTCCTCTTCATCTGTTGTCAAACCTGTGTCGATTCTCAAGAACAAACCAAAGTCCATTTTACGTACTCGTTCACGATCGGGGGGTAGTTATAGTAGTAGCAGTAGTAGTCCAGCATTCGTAGAGACATCAGGTGTTGGCGGTGCTCTTGCATATTCAAATACACATTTGCATGATATGTTTATCTCTGCATTTCCAGCACCGCCTAAGCACAGCACAAATAGTTACAACAACAGCAGCATAGCCATTCGTACGTCTATTTCTTCAGACACGTCGTCCATCTCACGATCATCACTGTATTTACTACAAGATCCTATGGCGACACCTCCTATGAGCATACCAACGTCTCCTCCTTTATCAGTGGTAACGACCTCTACGACATCAAACACAAGTGCGAATGCAGCAACGGGGACAGCGATGATAGGGGTAGGATTAGGCATCGATACAGAGCGACGAGAAGAGTCTGCCAAGGGCTTTTCAACAGAAGGTGTTTTAAAGACCAGCAGCAAGCCAACAATAATAACAAGCGGTCTCCATAGACAACGGCGGGTATCTGTCAAAGAAGTGGGTGGTCCTGTTTCAGGTAAGAAAAGAAAATAATATATATTTTTGAGTTTAGAGAGAGAGAGAGGAGGGAAGCACACAGACCACTCAGGACGCGTAAAAGGAAATGGTGGTACAAAAGAAAATCGCAAGAGAGACACGGGTATTTTTTTTTTTTTTTTCCTCCAGTCGAGTCAGTCCAGGAAAGAGAGAAGAAGAAAGGGACAAATATTCCATTCACATGAAAGAAAAAGAAAAGAAGAAAAGAAGGAAAAAAAAAAAAAAAAAAAAAAAAAGAGAGATGCGGAAAGAAATGAAAAAGCGTGCTAAAAGGAGAAAAATGCAGGTGTTGAGAAATCAATGAGCATTGAAGCTCTTTCGCTTTTTTATGGTCTGCATGGTAAATTAACAATTAAGGAGTTGCAAAAGAGACTTAGAAAGCACTAGGGGTTTGTTTTTTTGTTTTATAAGAGATTTTCTAATACAGATTTGTTTTGGAGTTTAAAATATTCATATTCATAATATGTCGAGTGAATGAGCATTGGGATGAGATGGGATGGGATGGGATGGTGTGCAACAGCACCGAACAGGGATTAGCGATTTGTAGCAGATTAAAAAAGATATGCATATGGCTCTTTTTTGAACAAGCCATTCTCTCTTCCGCAAGCTTACCCCGAAAGAAGATGATGGGGAGATAAAGAGAGAGAGAGAGAGAGAGAGAGAGAGAAGAGCATTGAAGTGAGCGAGCAAAAAAAAGTCCTTTCAGGTTTGAAAAAGTTAGTAGAAAAGGGATTGAAGGAGCAAAGAGCGAAAGAGCATTCATTGTTACACTGCCTTTAGGATAAGATGCCCTTTTTACTTTCTTCCCCCCTGCCATCATTACCTATTACCGATCACACCTATCACTACTCACTGCATGTCCTTAGCTCCGTTGTTTATGAGCAACGGTCAATGGCGATGGCAAATGTTTCCCCTTCACCCTCTTTTTTTTTTTTTTTTTTTTTTTTCCCTTCCCTTTTTCTTTTCTTTTTTCTTTTCTTTTTTTTTTTATCTGTTCAGCATTCACATCCCATCCGACGTTATCCACATTTGTATTTTTTTTTATTTTTATTTTACGACGTGACACGAACTCCTTCATAACGATTGACATCCCACACTCATGATCAAACGCCTCAACGACTAATTTATTTCATGACCTTTGGTAATCCATCGTACGCTTTCTATTCCAACGATATCAATCACTCCCTTTTCCTTACCATTCCATTGGATCTAGTTTTATTTTTATATTTATTTTTATTCTTATTTTTATCCAATATTTTGTGATTCAATACATTCCTAAAATAAACATTTTTTTCCCTGGCGACGATCAACGACCCTCTTTTTCTCTACACTTCGACTCTTTTCTTCACAACTTTCTTGTTTTATCCATTCTTCTCCTTCTCTATTCTATCCTATTCTATCCTCTATCCTCTTCTCTCTCTCTCTCTCTCTCTTCTCTTTCACTTTCTCACTCTCACTCTTTCACTTTCTCACTCTCCTTCACTCTCTTGCTTTCTTTTCTTTTCTTTTCTTTTCCTCTTTTTCTCTCTTCAAGTGTTGATACCTTTGCCTCAGATTATTATGTGAGATTCCCTTCCATCTCTCTCTCTTGCCATTCTTATCCTGTCATTACCTTTTTATTTATTTATTTATTTATTTATTATCCATTGAATGTCCTATCCACATCATTCTTATTAAACCATTGGTTCTTTGGATCGGCAACTGGGGAGACAACAATGCTGTGTACAGCATAATTCATAGACAACACGAGATATAAATTACCAGCGATTGTCATTTAGTCAGACCTGTGAATGTGTTGGTCCTTGCTTACTCTTCATAATGTGTATCTTAATGCTCAGCATCGGCGTTTTTTTTTTTTTTTTTTTTTTTTTCTTGGTTGGGTTGTTAATATGATGACATGATCCAAAAATCCCTTCTCTTTCTCCTTTTCTCCTTCCTGCGACGCGGCTGCTGGTGAAACTTTTGTCCATTGCATGTCCTTTTCTTGTTACAAGCGTCAATAGACAAAGAATTTCCGTCCATGACTTGCACAATGCTCTCTTTTCATTTGCTCTTATTCCTCTATCGCTATGGTGCATATCTTTAAACTTATCCTTGATCTTTGCCGACTGACCCAGCCCTCTCTCTCTCTCTTTTTTTTTAAACATCTCACAACTCTCCATCTCTCTATCTCTCTCTCTCTCTCTCTCTCTCTCTCTCTCTCTCTCTTTAGCCTCCACCTCTCCATCTGCCAGTCCTCTTTCTTACACACGACCGCGCATGCCATCCACTCCTAGTGCTTCACACGGTCCAGATGGCCTGGGACTCGAGGACGACGAATATTACCATGTCTCAACACCACAACCTCACTCAGAGTCATCCGTTACTGCACATAACCGTCTCTCCTTCCCCTCCCTAAACGATTACAAAATGCCCCCTACTTTCTCCCCTACACAACCACCAAGCCCTGCTACATTCATCCCCTCACAAAACTACACTCCACTCACGCTCAAGAGTGTACGTGCTGCAAAGTCAAGGAGCAAGCAACTCCAGGAACCCCAGATCGGTGTTGCTACTGGCATCCGTCGCAACTCATTTCCCAAATTATTTCACACCACTTCTGGCCTCATCAATGGACCTGTGCTTCCATCCATAACAGATCTCTCATCAACTACGACAATCGAACCTAGTGAGTCCCATCAGCCCTCTGAAGACCCCTCACTTTCAATACGTCGCCGAGAGCATTCAGCAGTCGCTAGAGCAGGCCACAGTGGAATTCAGGTAATGCCTCGACCAATCTTGAAAGATACTTCTTCCAGGGACAGGATATCAAGGGAGAGCTGGATGTCGGAACCAACTGGCATGACAATGTCCAATTCACATTTCTCAGGAGCAGGAGCCATCTCCAGACCTTCCAGCGCCATGTCTTTTACCCATTCCTCATCCTCACCCGCAGCACCACCCAAGAGCCTCGCCAGGACCAACAGTGCTAAACGACAGTCTAGATTAAGTCGGATGTCCTCTTCACAAGAGTACGATCAGGACACACTGAGTCCACGGGGGCGTCAGGGAAGCATCGGGTATGGTCTAGATCATAAACCTCGGAGACAAAGCGCTGGACCTGGCCATCTCCTGTACACATTTGATGCTATTGTAGGCTTTGAAAGTGAAGAGTATGAAGATAGTGATCTGGATGATCCAGAGCAGCATTCAAGGCGCTTGCAGGAACAATATGCTCTATTACAACAATCACATCGACAGTCCACAACGGATAGCCGTCCTGGTTCTCGTCTGACGATGACTGGAGTAGCTGATTTGTTGATTGCAGACGACAGGCCTTATCTCTCTAAACAGGGACAGCGCAAGTCTCTGGGAGATGAACTCAATGTGCCTCCTGTGCCCGAAAAGAGTGCACAAAGGAAGAGAGTCTCGACCATGGGTTCCGCCACACTACCAACCGTGTCACCAACTCTCAAAGCTGCCTATACGGCCCACAGCAGCACCAGCACCAGCACTAGCATCGTCACACCTATTCCCCAGATACCTGCTGACCAGAGACCTCACGGCTCCATTGACCCCCTCTCACTTTCATTCGAACCACTGTTTGCGCTTAAGGACTCTGGAATAAAAGCTATCAAGGTTGATGGATCTCAACCGTCAGCTTCCCAGGACTTGATTCCGAGCCGATTTTCTGCAGTCTCAGATTCAGACTGGAGCACCGCCATGTCAACAGTAGACCTGAATCAACAGGGTGTCTCCATCCTAGATCTTAGCAAGCGAGAAATGACTGAGATCCCTTCTGATCTTCCATCCAGTACGAGCTCTTTTTTTTTTTTTTTTTTTTTTTTTTTTTTTTTTTTTTTGCATTCACTTGATATTTTGATCATCATGAATATTTATGAAGATGATATATGAGTTTAATATTATCACTGATTTTTTTTTTTTCTTTTCTTTTTTTTTCTTTTTTTTTTTCCTTTCTTAGCTACGACACATCTTCGATTATCTTACAATATGATCAAAATATTTTCACCTATTACAAGTTTGACATGTCTCAATCATTTAGAAGTCCTTGATTTGTGCGATAACCAACTTGAGATCTTACCACCAGAGATTGGTCTGTTGACAAAGCTGAAGGAACTGTATCTGTCCAATAATAAACTTTGGAAGATTCCAGATACTATTCAAAAAATGGCTCGCTTGGAGGTTCTCGACATTCGCAATAACCAATTTTATCTCTTGAGTAAGTCTTTATTTTTTTTTTTTTTTAGTGTTAACGAAGCATGTGGAATTTGGTTTCTAACTGCTCCACTTGCTTACAAACCGTTTTTTTTTTTTTTTTTTTTTTTTTTAAACTATAGCCCCAGCCATTGGACGATTGAAGACATTAAGGCAACTAGATATTCGGAACAATCACCTCAAGTCACTACCAGCCCCAATGTGTATGCTTTCTCAGACGCTTTCGACGTTGTTAGTTGATGGAAACCAATTTGTTCAGCCCTTTTTGGATCTGCTCCAACCACTTATAATGGATGAAAAGTCTTCGTTTGGACAACAGAGTTTCCTTGGTGATGACCCCTATGGAGATCCCCGTAGTAAAAGCCCGGGATCATCGGCTAGCGGAAAGACATCCGTGGCGACATATGAGCCTTGGAGACGGTCCGTTACACCCAACTCGACAAGGCGCTCAGGTGCCGCATCAGGAGCATCCAACATGCTCAAGCGTCGATCCCATGGTGATTTGTTGACTTTGATAGGCATACAGAAGAAGGACGATGGATCGTTTGCAGAGGATATGGGCGCAGTGGATCTGTCACAAAAGTCTGCAGGAACACAAATCGCAGCTACGCTTGGCCCCGATACTAGCAGACCGAGAAGGGAGAGATCTGTGTCAACGTCAACAGTCACTACAGAAAAGACGACAGAGGTTCATACGGAGATTTCAGCCCCAATACCCACTTCATCTGCACACCCCCTGTCTCTCAACAAGTTGCTCAAATCAATCCGAAAGGGCAGCAAGTCTTCCAAGAAGGATAAGGAGAAACAGGATACCACCAGCAGCAAGCGTCATTCCCTTGGCAGTGAGACTGACCCAATAGCCGATACCGATTTAGATATCGCTCTAGAAAGCAATTCAAAGCCCAGTTCTAAAGGCTCGAGCGGAAAACGTTCCGGTAACGGAATCAATCAGTGGGTACGTGAGCGACTGCATAAGAGGACAAGCTCGGGCGAGCTTGGCGCAATGGCTGATAGTCATGGATCGACAGGTTCATTCAATAATGACAGTGCTGCTGATGGACTCGATGGATTCGCTGCTCGGGATTCTGGCTACGGGGCCATTAGCACAAATGGTGCTCCTCAGTTGAGCACGTCTCTTGGAAGTACTCCGGATCTCAGTCAGACATTGCCCCATGGAGGAAGAGGATCTGGTGTACTTGATCATCGCTTCCAGAATAAGAGCACTGGACATCTGCCTTATGGCTCGTCACACTCATCTCGGGATACCCATGATTCACCATCGTTTGATCCAACCCAACGTCAAGAGAAAAACTATCGACATAGCTATATGAGTGTTGAGAGCCAAGCAACGCAAGGAACAGAAAACGACTCGGATGTTGTGGATGCAGATGCAGCTATTGCACAACAACACCAACTTCAACAGCAGCAGCAGCAGCAGCAGCAGCAGCAACAACAACAGCATCGTTTGTCCTCGGTGCATTCACCTACAACTCCTTTACCATCGTCGCCTGTGATCAGTGGCATAAGCACGATAAGCAGTACAAGTACTAGTCCTTATAATTATATTTCTCGATATAACCAGAGTGCTGTCTATATCAAGCCGTTGATGCATTACCTTAAAGATCTTTATGATCTAGATCCTGACTCATCTGAATGGGAGGAAGTCTACGCATGGCGACGTGTCTGGAACGCGGAAAGGACCAGCGCCACGGCTGTAGGGGCGGGGGCGGGGCCAGGGGCAGGAGCAGAGGACAGTACAGGTGAGGTTGCTGAAGAAGAGGGCAATGAGCAGACAGAGAAGCGAGAAAAGGATGAGGAGATTAGGCTCGCCAAGCTTCAAACCCAAGCAGCGAGGAGACGTAGGATTGTGGATGAGATTGTGGCGACAGAGAAAACCTATGTCGAAGGCTTGAAGGGACTTGTGGAGATCTACCTTACACCGGCTCTCCAGGTCATGCCCCCTAGCGACCACAAGGCGGTGTTCTCGAATGCCCAGGCCATCTACACCTTCCACGCGAACCACTTCCTTCCTGAATTGGAGAAGGCACATCATCAAGCTAGGACTGGAGAAAATACCTTGAAGCAGCAGCAGCAGCAGCAGCAGCAGCAGCAGCGGCCTTCTGCCATGAGCCGTACCAGTTCCCTTCCAGCAAATATGAGCAATAAGCGTCCTTCTACTCCTTCTTCTATGGCTCCATCGGCGACTTTACATTCGATTTCTGATGAAGATCAGACAGATGATGTCTCTGCTATTAATGGTCAACAGGATAGTGACACTACTGTAGCTAGTAGCGGCAATGGCACAGATGGGAAAATTGAATCATCCAGCGCCACTATGGAATCGATCAAGCTGGCAGGGGAGGACCGTATCGGAAAGGTGTTTGCAGATCATGTGGCGTACATGAAGATGTACAGTTTCTACATCAATAACTTTGACAATGCGCTCCGAGTCCTTCAAACACAGCTGACACAGGCCAAGTATAAGAAGAAGATGAAGGAGTTTTTGAGACGATGCGCCAAACATCCAAACCACACTCAATTGGGACTCCAGGGCTACTTGCTTCTGCCTGTGCAACGTATTCCACGCTATAAATTGTTGCTGACAGACTTGTTGGAGAACACATGGCCAGATCATGTAGATTACCAGGATATTGCGTCTGCACTAGAGAAGATTTCGTCGCGTGCAGATGAGATGAATGAGCGGAAGCGGCAGTACGAGAATCATGAGAAGGTCCTCTTGATCCAGAATCGGATTATAGGACAGCATAAGGCGCCATTGGTACAACCTCATCGAAAGGTGGTACGCGAAGGAATGTTGCATCTGATCAGGATTGTGACCAGGAATGTGGCAATGGGGGTTGACAATAAGGTCGTGCCAGTAAATGCTCCAATAGTAACAAGCCGTAGCTTGAGCACTGCAGCAAACTTGGTGGATCTTCGTCAGACGACAGTAGCAGCAACTGGGGACCACACGATTCACTACTTGTCGGAAGAAACAGTTGAGAAATCTTTCTTGTTTATCCTGTTCAACGACATCTTGATTCAGTGTAATACTATTGCAGGCAAGAATGCTGGGGGGTCAGGATCAAGTGGTCAGAATGCGAACAATAGCAACAGTACGATCAATCAGAATGGAGGAGCAACATCCATCCATGGCTCTAGTTCCTCTATTGTGGGTGCGAACGCCAACGGAACAGGTGCAGCAGCTTCAGGTAGCTCGGATACAGCAGCCAAGAACTTGGAATTATGCAGAATCCTCCAGCTCGAGTCACGACTTCACCCGGCTGAAGTTATTGGACAAGATGGTAAGTTTTTTTTTAAGTTTTTTTTTTTTTTTTGTCTTGCAATGTCATGTATGCTCTCGGTTAATTTTTGAAACAAAGATCATCGGCCTAACATGCTATAAACTTTTGATTATATCTTTCCAAACGTAGTCCTACGTGTGGTGGATGATACGATGGTGCTTTACCTGACTGGTGATAAGGATGTTATTCAAGCATGGAAGGATGATATTAATTCGCGTTGGTAGACAGAGACAGCAGCCTTTTATTTTTTTCTTAATTTCTTGTATTTAGTGAAAATTATGCACAAAAACTTTTATATTTTTTTTTCTATATACCATCATGTTTTCAACTATTGTTTTTTTCTCTTTCTTAGAAATGTTTTTATTCTTTTTATTTTTTATTTTTTATATCATTAATATTCAATTTTTTTTTTTATTTTTTTTTTTTATTTTTTTTTAACTAAAGCAAATCTTGTGGCAATAATAAGCAATGAAATTTTACAAGAAAAGAGAAGAAAAAAAAAAAAAAACCCTTCATCTAATGTATTTTATCTAATAAATAAACAATAATGATCGATAATTTACATTACAGCTTGATCTTTATGTTTTTGATTTTGCTTTTGCTTTTAGGTGTATGCGCCGCCTCGTGTAAACGTCGTGTAAGATCAAAAAAAAATAAAAAAAAAATAAAAAAAAAAAAAAAAAAAAAAAAGGGCAAAGTTCTCGAATGTTTCTCTGAGATGGCCAGTAAAGCTCCCTCGGGAAGTCTGGGCTAGGAGACAAATATAATATACTGCTCTGAAAGACGCTTAGAGTAACATTCCCCCATTTGTATGACCACACTTCATAGACCTCCCTTTTACGCGTACACAAACAAAGTTATACGCGTCATTTACATCCTACAGCCTCTTTTCGTAATACTTCCCCCTCCCCCTCCCCCTCACCCTCTCCGCCCAACTACCACAAGCATTTATCATCATGTACATCACACGTAGTAGATCGTGTAGACTGGCCGCCCAGCAGAAAGGAGAAGCCAGGGAGGCCAGAGGTAACAACCAGGGATCGGAGACTGTCATCGGAAGAGCTCTGGGGAGGTTGCTGGAGCCTCTGCGCTGCTTACGCTCGGTTCTGGATCCCAGGAGAGACTTTGGAGCGCTGCATTTACCGCCAGGACCAAAGCCACTGTCGGCCTGGGGGGAACGGCAGCTATAAGCCATCAACGACAACGCAGAAGAATAGCTGACGTGATGAAGATAAAGATAAAGATAAAGATAAAGAGGATAGGCTGTCAAGGTGCGTTTGTTTATGCAAAACATGGTACCAACCCATTAAGCGTGGTCTATTCTTTTGGATATACAATAGAAACAAACCAAACCAAACCAAACCAAACCAATCCAAAAAAAAAAAAAAAAAAAAAAAAAAAGAAGAGAAACTTTATGATGTATAAATGTATATATATTATATATATAATAGAAACAAAGAAACTCCGGGGGAAGGGGGGGGAGGGGGGAGGGATTGTAAAGTATAATATATAGCATAAACCAAAAAAGCCTGTTCCAAAAGAGAAGGAGTAAAAGGGAAAAGAGAGCATAAAGCTGAGGTGATTAATGGGTCTTGGCCATGCATGCAAAGTATGGAACGCTTTTCTGGGTTGTGAAAGGTGGAAAGCTCTTTTATTGGCACAGACTGGACCAATGGCGTCAATAGGGTGAGGGCCCAAGAAGGTATATATGTAGCGCAGACACCTTCAACAGACCAACCACTAACGGTCGTGGACAGCCAACTCACCTCTTCCTTCATTCAGTAGTAATATCCACTGCTCCCAATGTAGAGATTTTATTTGACAACGTAATGGGTGCAGATATATAGATAGATATTATATTATATATGTTTATGCAATGCAAAAGAAACAAAACCAGCTTTGACTGGACTGGAGAGTCGAAATGTGGGAAAAAGAAAAGAGTGTTACTGCAAAATGATAAAAATAAAATGGCATTGCATCGCCTTTTTTTTTAAAAAAGTTAAACTTGTCTGGCTGGCTCTAAGAAAGTCAGGAAAGAGTCTTGACTTCTTGACTTTTTGACTTCTTTGGTGCAAAAAAAAAAAAAAAAAAAAAACAAAAAAAAAACTCTGGAAAGAGGATAGTATCCCCGTTCCCTTTGAGATGCCAGAGGTATCCAATTGAATAACTGTGAGGGGGGAGGGTAAATTGCGAGAGGTTTGGTTCGGAACAAATTTGTTTTTTCTATTTGCCGGTGTCTAGGCTGAAATGTCGGATGAATCAATGGTGTCGAATTAAATGATGCAGAGAAAGACTGTTAATCCAATCAGTATGCCCAATGTGTGGATTGTTTTACAATTATAATAATAATAATAACAATAATAATAATAATAATAACAATAATATATAATTTTATTATTACTTTAATCTCATTGTTATTACAGATATGTTAGACATGTATACATGTAGATATTATCTAAACATGCATAGTATAGTAGTACAAGTATGGATGTATAAAATGCCTAGACATCTCGATTTGTGGAGAACGAAACTTGGCTTTTGGCTCTTTGTTATGCTCCACTGAGACGGAGAACGGAGATTTCTTTTTTAGTCCGTGTATTATAAATATGGTGGAGATTTGTCGATCTCTTTTACTTGCTCATTCCAATCCTCTTATAGACTCTCTTGCTCATTCAAAACCCATTGGGGGAGGGGAGAGGTAATGAGCCATTGAGCCATGGGAGAAGGGGGCGGCGGGGGGGGGGGGGGGGGCAAATGATGACCAATTGTGGCACAAACATAGCGCAATGTCATTAGCCCACGGACATGGAAAAAAAAAAAAAAAAAAAAAAAAAAAAGAGTTTTACGCTCAGATTGGTTTTTGCCGCCATTTTGTCTTCAGGGGTTAAGAAAGCAAAAAGAAAAGGCAAAACATGAGAGGAAAGAAAATCAAACAAAGATGGGAAAAGAATAACAACAAATGACAAGAAAAAAAAAAACAATGACAGTAACGAGTAACAAAAAAAAAAAAAAAGGGGGAGGAGAGACCATCATAAGAACTAAACAAACAATCAAAACGAACGAACTATAACAACAACAATTGCAGCCAAGACGAAAGGCGGGTCGCAATAAATTCAATAAATAAATAAAAAAAAAAGCGGGAGAAATTGCAAAGGTAAGGTAGCTGATAATGATGGAAACAATTTCGTCCGATAGGATCGATAGGATTGAACATTACCTTCCCGGCGGAGCAAAAAAAAAAAAAAAAAAAAAAAAAAAAGCGAAATAAAGCATGGTGGATGATGATGAACCAATCTTTTTTTTTTTTTTTTTTTTCTTATTCGCTGCCTCTTCTTGCCTCTTGTTGCCTCTTCTTGCCTCTTCCGGCTTCTTAACTCTCTGTCTTATTATATAATACATATTTAGGTTTATAAACCTTGCTTTGTTGCTTTCTTTTTTTTTTTTTTTTTTTTTTTTATATGCAGTCTAAGCGTCAATGCAAATGGTATATACAAGAGTTTTTGGTTTTTCCCCAATTTATTCTGCCATTAGCAATATGGATCTTGCTCTCGCTCGCTCCATCTCTTTTTCTTTTTTCCGATTTTTTTTTTTTTCTTTCTTCTGAGCATACACTGCATCGCTCCTAGTCCCTATACAGTACGTGATGGTCCCATTATGGGGAGAAAAAAAAGATACTCAGTAAAACTAGTTTGGTTCTTATACGCGTATAGGCAAAGAAAGGCTCCTAGAAAAGAGAGAAAGAGAGAGAGAGAGAGAGAGATGTTTTTTGAACTTTGTTGTACATGCCAGGTCCATTTGGGTCACACAGATTTACATTCAGGCACACATTACACAAGGCTTTTAGGCTTGGACAACATCGTCATCATCATTGTGGTCACACCCGATGTATTTGTTTTTTTGTATACATGTACACATTGTATGCAACAGAGTTGTTGAGCGACAGAGACAAGAAAGAAGAAGAAAAAGAAAAAAAAAAAAAAAAAAAAGGAGTGAAGGGGAGGGGTGAGCCAGAAAAAAAAAAAAAAAAAAAAAAAAACGCGAATAACAAGAGTAATGGGAAGGAGAAGAGATGTTTCTTACCCCCCTTTTCTTTCTTTTTTTTTTTTTTTTTTTTTTTTTTTTGGGGGAGAGAGTAGGGATTGAATGTGCAGGATGATGTTTACAATATAAAAGTAGTATTTAATGAAGAGCATCCAGTATAGAATATAGTAATATAGTAATATAGTAATATAGTAATATAGTAATAATAAACAGTAAAATGATCCTCTGCATCTCCATATGAAATGAAAGACGCGCGCGGTTACGATAGAAAAGAGATGAAGAGAGCGAAGAAAGAGGCCTAGAAAACAAGTTTATGAAGAGCAAATAACAATGATGATAATAATAATAATAATAATGGTAATATAATATAAAAAAAAAAAAAAAAAAAGAAAAAGAATGAGCTTCACGGTGGAATGGGATTGGGTGGAATGGAATGAGAATATGGCGAAGGTCAATGGCATTGAGATTATGCTTGTCGTTGTTGTTGTTGTTGTTGTTGCTGTTGCTGTTGCTGTTGTTGCTGTTGCTGTTGCAGTTGTGGCTATGAATGGAGATGCACAATGGGTCTGCGCCTTTAATTCCCCTGTGATAATCACACCATATAAAAACCAAAAGCCTTTCCTTTTCCTCTTTTCCTCTTTTCCTTTCTCTCTTCTTTACCAATCTCTTTTCTGCCTCCTTTATATTTCTTAACGCGTCTTTATCTTCTTTGCCCGTTCACTAAAAGACAAACAAAAGGAAAAAGAAAAGATCAAAGATCTCCTACTTTCTTTACCTTCTTTTCGCTTCTTGACTCTTTCAGTCTAACGCACTTTTTTTATTTTTTTCGTCATCTCGCTTCTCAACTGCTATACTGCTTCATCCCAACAAAGGAAAAAGAAAATACTGACCCTTTTTTATTTTAATTTTTATTTTTTTTATTTTTTATTTTTATTTTATTTTATTTTTTTGGCTCTCTCTTACTCTTACTCTTACTCTTTTTACTCTTACTCTTTTTACTCTTTACTCTTTTCACTCTTACTCACTTCCAAATCCAAATTCAAATCCAATTTAAATACTCTCTTTTCCCCTTTCCTTTATTTCTTTTCTTTTTTTTTTTTTTTTTTTTTTCTTCTTTTCCTCTTTTTCTCTTTTTAAACAATGTTCACTCAACAACAGACACAGCATCAACCAAAGCTACAGTTCCCAACTCATTATCATCTTCAACAACAACAACTTCAACAACAACAACAACAACACCCCATGGCCATGTCCGTACCCTTCCCACATCATCTCAACAACCCTACCCCCAATAACTCATACGCCGGCACCATCGACCCCGGTCTACTCCAAATGACCATCAACCGCATGGACACATCCCAACTCCAAAACATCAACCCTCTCTTCGGAAACAACCTCAATCATAACCATAACCACAACCATAACCATAACCATAACCATAGCCATAGCCATAGCCATAGCCATAACCATAACCAAAACATCAACGGTCATTCCTCCGCAATGCGCTCCTCCCTTGGCGGAGGCAAACGAAACAGCTCACAGGCCAACATCAAGCAAGAGGCTGGCTCCCCCGACTTTCTAGCCTCCGAAATGGAATTTGGCGAACCCGGAAACATGCTCTCGCCCGGCTCCAGCTCTCCGCTGAACTCTCCCAGGAATGATTTTGACAGTCCCGATGATTTCAACAGTACATCTCATGTAAAGCCCTTGCCCATGAATATCCAACATCAAAACTCCTATGGCGACTCTCCCGGGAACGGTTCACTTTACTCCCCTGTCGAGTCCGATTTCTTCCCCGAGGGTGACTTTAGTCTGCCAACAAGCTCAAGGCCCCTTGATATGAAATTCGGTCGTCATATCCACCCTTCCCTCCCCACCTCCAATCCATTCCATAGCATGTCCATGCCCGTCCCTAGGTCAGACTGGTTCGGTGCCTCTGATGGTCATCCCGTCGGCTCATTCGAGAACCCATCTGGCCTTCAATTTGCTCCTGGCGAGATGCCTGGCATGATGAGCAGTCTCTTTGAAGATGATGCCGATCAAAAGTAAGTGATCTTTTTTTTTTTTTTTTTTTTATTTTTATTTTTATTTTTATTTTTATTTTATTTCATTTATTATTATTATCACTATCACTATCACTATCACTATCATCATTATCACTATCATCATTATTATTACTATTATTATTATTATTATATATATCACTATTTATTTATTTATTTATCATACTATTATGAAGAAAAAAAAAGAAAAAAAAAAAAAAAAAAAAAAAAAAAACGTGGGAGAGATGAAAAGGAAGGGCAAATGAGGAGATTATAGGGGGCAAGTGGATAGTCTTTCTACAACACACGTTTACTGTTTCGGCGAAAAGAAAAAAAAAAAAAAAAAAAAAAAAAAAGGTTTTGTCAATAATAGGGGGTGGTGTCTGTCAGAGAGAGAGAGCACAAACAAAAAATGATGTACGAGTGCATAAGTCAACTAGACTCCGTGCATGATCTTGGACTCCCCTTTATTTTTTGATACATCCAAAAAATGGCTACTTCGTCTACTCTAAAGACACTGACAAAGAAAAAGTGAGGAGTGTTCATGCAAGCTCATGCCCTGGTTTACATTTGTGAACCCCTTTTCAACCCCTTACTTTCTTATTGTTATTGTTTAACATCTTTGTTCCTGTCAAATTACTTTTTACACCCTGGGCTTCAACCATTTCTTTCTTTCGTTGGTGTTTTTATTATTATTTATATATATATAAAAGTGAGTGCGTGTTAGAGTTGAATCCAAACATCTGCTTTTTTCCTTTTTCTGTGGTGGTTTTGACAGCCATGGGTTATCTCCAAGGGTCTACAAACGAAAAAGTACTTTAAAAATTTCAAAAGCGCGCGCAAACAAAAAAAAAAAAAAAAACAAATTAGCAACAAACTGCATTATCAGCAGGATGACGCAAAAGCGCATTGATAATAAAAACAAACAAGAGCCACCGTGGGGTTTGCGCGAATGTAGTCGTGGAAAACAAACATCGTTCTAACGCATGCCTTTTTTTTTGTTTTTTTATTTTTCCTTTCAACTTCAGGGGTATTAGTCGAGCCATGCTCATGAACGAGAAACGACGGAGACGCCGTGAGAGTCACAATGCTGGTAAGGATTTTATCAACTACTAATGCTTTGCTTGAATGTCTGCGCTTTTTTTATTTTTTTTTATTTTTTTCATAATCGAATGCGGAGCTATTATTAAACCTGATATGTACTTCCCCCTATCTTTCTGTCTGCGCCGTTTTATATATATATTTATACATATTTACTTATTTTATTTATTTATTCATTTTTTTTTTTTTTTTTTCTTCTTTTTCCTTTCTCTTCCATCTAGTCGAACGACGAAGACGCGACAACATCAATGAAAAAATTCAGGAGCTCTCAACGCTATTGCCCGACATTTACGTGGACAGTGCCAATAAGCCCAACAAGGGTGTGATTCTACGAAAGTCTGTTGATTATATTCGTCACCTCCAGCAGTTGGTCTCTTCTCAAGCCACCCGGAATCAGGAACTCGAGGCTCAACTCCAAGCAAAGAATCAGTCTCAGTCCCCAACAAGTCAACCTACTACTGACGAAGCCAATAACTCCGGTCCTGGCCCACAGCTCCAGCAAGACTTTGGGATGATGAGGATTGTCGCAGGCAGCAACAGTGGCGGACAAAACTAGCACAACATACATCCTCATGTCAAAAAACAAACAAACAAACAAAAAAAAAAAAAAAAAAAAAAAAAAATACACACTGGCGCCATGATATCTTGTCTCTCTCTCTCTCTCTTTCTCTCGTGCGCGGAATAAATTAAAGGGTGGATGGTATGAGTAGAGGAGACAGAGGCGTTTGCTTGTTCATTTTGCTCGGTCTCGAGAGAAGAAGGGTCAAGAAAGACGATTGTACATACAAGCATGATGGACAGAGTGAAGCAACAAATATGGCATCCAAGCTCAAGTAATAGGCAGACAAACAACAGCAAAAAGAAAAAAGAAAAAAAAAAAAAAAAAAAAAGATAGATGACAGCAAGGAAGCACTCTTGGCGCTTATATGGCTACATCACAAGTTTACCTGTCTACTGGAATATGAGAATCGATACATATCATACCCGACTACGAAATCAAGATTAACAACCAACTTGTATATTTTTTTTTTTTTTTTTTTTCTTATCTTTTCTATTCATCTTTTCTTTTTTTTTTTTTTTTTCTTTCTTTTTTTCTTTTTTTCTTTCTTTCTTTCTTTCTTTCCTTTCTTATGACTGCAACACTATTTTTTTATGAGCTACATTTTTCTTCCCCTCTCTCTTCATCACCAGCATTTTTTTTTTTTTCCTTATTTTCTTCTTCTTCTTCTTCTTCATGAGCTATGCGTTCCTTAGGAGTGTAACATGGCATTTTTATATGCGTTGTGGCGTATCCTTTGTACAATTATTGTTTCCTTATCACTTTTTCTTCAATAAAAAAAAATAAAATAATATCCAAAAAAGAAAAAAAAAGAAAAAAAAAAAAAAAAAAAAAAAGCTTGTTGTTCAGTGTTAGTTGTAGCAATGAATCTTTATTGAACTTGTCTATTCATTCTAGTTGGATGCAATGATCGTTGTGCGTTGTCTTGTAGTTGTGGTGGTAGTAGTGATGGTGTGGCCGTTGTCATTGACTTGAACACTCTTCTTCACCAAAGAGTTTGAAAAGCCATCCAACTCTAAATCCTTCTTCTTCTTCATCATGTCCTTGTCAATAGCAGAAGCAGCAGCAGCAGCAGCAGCAGCCATCTTTTCCAATTTCTCTGCACGTTTCACATACGCCTCGAGACCGATGCCAGAAAAGACAACGGCGACCATCACCCATTGGAGAGGCTTCATTTCATGACCATAGGCCACAACAGACAACAGGATCGTAAACAGCTTCCGAGTGACGGTGACGGTGACGAGGGAGAGGGAGCCATAATGTTCAAGGGTATAAAAGATGAAGCATTGGCCGAGCGCACCACAGAGAGAGAACATGATGATATCCTTGATGATCGCCGGATGGGTCTGACAAAAGTTCAGGGCGTTGATCAACTCGGGATTCCAGGGGTTGAGGAGCCAAAGGCTCATGAAGGTGGACATGAACAGGTTCATGAAACACATCATCTGTTGTCCCGTGACCTTGAACTGATGAAAGATTTGATCCTGAGTCGAATTGGTGACACCGTCAAGGGTCAGGTTGATGGCGACCAAGAAGAGACCATATAGAGAACTGTTGACGGCGCCCTTCTTCTTTGCATGATGATCATCCACCGGAGCGAACAACATGAATCCGGAGACGCCGATGGTGATGAGGGCCACACAGATGTATTTGTAAAGGGGGAACTTGCGACGATAAAGAAGAATGTTCATCAACATGACCGGGATGAGTTTACAGGATTTGGTGAGGATCATGGTCGGATAATCAATATGTTTGAGGGCCGCATAAGAGAACGGGGCGGCGGTGACACCGATCAAGGCCACCTGCATATATTTGAGGACGAGGGGGCGAGAAGGTCTGGGAAGGGAATTCCCCTGGAGCTTGAGATAGATCAGAGCGATCAAGGAGGCAAAGAGAGATTGGATCAAGCCCAAGAAGATGAAGAATTTGAATTTAAGAGCATCTTGACCATAGGGTGTTGTCGACACCTTTTCTTGATAATAGCCCCATGTTAAAAAACATGAATAGATGCTGGAGAACACAAAAGAAAAAAAAAAAAAAAAAAAAAAAAAAGTGTGTCAAGTTATGCATCTTGGAATGCTGAAATGCTGAAATGGTGAAATGTTGAAATGTTTTTTTTTTTTTTTTTTTTTCCTCATTTTAGTTACCCTACTACACAGCCTGCTAACCGCAACATGTCTGTACAATTAGTTAATTAAATAAAATATATATATATGTATATAAAAAAACTAAAGTAAAAAAAAAAAAAAAAAAAAAAAAAAAAATAGAATAGAATAAAAAAAAAAGGGCAAAAGAATTTAGATGGAAAAAGAAGAGGATGAAGAGATGTGAATGCGAAGCAATGATGCAGATCTAGGAGAGAGGAAAAAAAAAGAAGACAGATAATAATGTGTTCCTTAATTTAGCTGCTTAGTGGCAACCAATGAAAGAGCACCAAGACAAGGCAGTCACTGGAATTACTCCATGAGGTGGCAGCTCATGGCTGGCTGGTGTAAACAAAATCAAACAAAATCAAACAAAATCAAACAAAATCAGACAAAATTAAAAAAGAAATGTGGAGAAGAGAGATAGGACAGGGGGATTCTTTTTTTTTTTTTTTTTTTTTTTTTTTTTGATTGATTGATTGACAGATATAGATATAAATATATATGAAGCACAAACATCTTTCTAGACTATTATGGCCGTCATCAAACAAAACATGGCTGGACCTGACTCTGAATTACAGTACTCTCTTTGACACCGGAATGAAGCTCCCTCTCTATTATATATACCATTGTACTTCTCCTTTCCCAGACCTTTGAGAGTTATTATTACAGTATTACTTTGTTACTTCGCCCAGCCACTGCTTGTGTACTGTACTGCTCTCCAATCCAAATGCCCAAGTCCCAAGTGGGTTTGACAGGATCAGCATGTGATGATACAGATATCGATTTTACTAAACCCATGTCATCATTTTTAAAATCTCTGTGGCGATCAATTCAGAGGAAAACATTATACGAAACTAGAGAAAAAAGAATCATGATGTGTCCTTTATGATACCCTATTATTATTATTATTATTATTATTATTATTATTATTATTATTATTATTATTATTATTATTATTATTATTATTATTATTATTGTTATTATTAATATTTGATGGGTTGATGGGTTGATGGGTAAAAAATATTCATGACGTTCACAACTCGAGATCGATTCCAATCCAGGGTCTACAAATTTGGTGCAAGGCTCAACAAATTTCGATCCAATGACCCCCTTTCGTCATACGTGGACCTAAAAAAAAAAAAAAAAAAAAAAAAAAAGCTTTCTCCCTACCCATCTTCCATCAACATTCTTTTCTCATGCCCATAAAAGTTAAAAATTCCATCTTATTCTTTTTTTTTTTTTTTACTTTTTATTCTTGTTCCTTGAGATCATAAAATAAAAATATAAAAAAAAAAAATCAGAGGATTCGCCTTAAATGGATATTTTACTGGGGAACAAGGGTGTTGACCAACTCAATGTACTCCTTCTCAGCTGCCTCCTTGGAGACACCCTTCTTCTGGTCCCAGGCATCCCACTTGGCCTTGCCCTTAATGTCAAACATACCCTAAAGTCACATTATCGTTATTTAAAATAAAAGTTAAAAATTAGTACCTCCATCGTCTTTTCAACCATCATGTACTACTTTGCTTAGTCACAAGAAGCGACTTCCTTACAGGGCGAGCTATGATTTTTAAGGAAAAGGGAAAGGAAAAAAGTAAAAAAAAAAAATGCGTTAGCTATCATCGCTTAAAACACAGACAAGCGAATGAGGTTCATAACACTTTGCTAATAAAAAAATATAAAAATATAAAAAACTAAAACAAATAGAATGGAATTTCAATTACTAGTGGTGTTGTCACCCTCGGTGGCCTGCTTGTAAAGACCATAGAGCTTGAGGAGAGTATCGTTGTCAGGGCTCGTGGTGAGAGTCTTGACTCTGGCAGCGGCAGCTTCGAACTCGGCAGAAGGCTATACCGTATTTCATGAGATGTAAACCTTTTTTTAGCTTACTTTTTTTTTTTTTTTTTTTTTTTTTTTTTGGTTAAAACTGCTGTCGTAGTTAATTCTCATCCAAACAAAGGGTTGGGTTTTCTTTTTTTTTTTTTTTTCCGTTTCCTTGAAACATATGCGTACATGCATACACGCATGCATTCTTAACGACATTAACTAGATTCATATTCCTCTCCTGCGTGCCCTCTTTTTTTTTTTTTTTTTTTTTTTTTTTTTTTGTTTTGTTGTTGTTGTTGTTGTTACTGTTATCATTATTTATCATAAATAACTAGGCATGTTTATGTTTAAGTATTATAAATGTTTGTCGCGTCATATTAATCAAGCTCATGATTGAAATGTTGTTTGATCGTGATAGAGAACATTGTCTTTTTTTTTTTTTTTTTTTTTTCCCCTCTCCTGTGTATTATGCTGTGTACTATGCTGTGTACTATGCTGTGTATGATTACAACATCAAATAAAAAGTACAACTTACCATGTTTGTTAGGAAATGGGAGAAGTGTTGAAGAGGAAAGTGATGAGAAATGGAATGTAAAAAAAAAAAAAAAAAAAAAAGAAGCTTGTGAGAGTTTTTTTTAAATAGGGGAACGGGAACCTCCCGGGGGGACAATTCTGTTTCACACGTGATTTTAACAAGCTCAAGCAAGCGCGCGTGAACGTGAAAAAAGAATTATGAATTTTAATTTATTTTTTGTGACCTCATACCTCATACATAGATTTGTATAATATATATATGCAAGATGTTGAGACCAAAGGCTGGTTCCTTTTTATTAACCCTATTGGCACATGGCAATCTTGGCAATCCTTTTTTTTTTTTTCTTTTCTTTTCTAATCCTATTATTAACCGCCAACTATCTAACTATCTATTCACGCGCGTCATCCCGATCACCCACCACCATTAGGTTTAAAAAAAAAAAAAAAACCCCTCTCACGCTCATACTCCTTCCTCTCACAAGCATTAATTATATAATTTCACTCCAATTTTTTTTTTTTTTTTTTTTTTTTTTTTTTGGAAAAATATCATTATATTAATTATTGTGAACCATGACGAACCATTGATCTCTCTTGGCCACTTTTCTTTTTTTAAATGTCTATGCTAAATATGCTTGCAAAAATCTAACTAACCGAACAATTTTTTTTTTTTTTTTTTTTTTTTTTTTTTTTACCGCAAGACACGCATAGCCATTTCAAATCCAAGGAAGGTGACAGCATTGGCTGGAGCAGCGCGAAGAATGCAAGGCGCGAACCCCTTAAAGAAGCCTGCAATGCCTTCCTTTGCCATCGTCTGACGGGCGCAATCAAATGCTGAAGAGTATTGACGAGTGGTTGAGGTGAATCCATCCGTCTGTAACTTGGACTTGATCACATCAATAGGGTACACAGTCGTCCTAGTAGTGAGAATAGTATCATCCATTAGTCTTTAAGAGCCACGAAATAAAACACAGAAAGAAAGAAAGAAAGAAACAAAGAAACAAAGAAAGAAAGAAATAAAGAAAAAAAAAAAAAAAAAGGCTTACCACATGGCATATCCAGCACAAGCACCGTATGCAACCACTTTAATAGTGCTCAACTCATTACGTGCCTTGTTCTCAAGACGCATGGCACGCTGAACCAAATATTCATATGCTGCAAAGTAAGCACCATAACCCTGGAACTCCCTCACCATCGTCACAGCCTGACCCTTATAAAGCCCACGGAGACCATACTGAGCATAGATCTTTTGTACAGCATCCACAGGTCCTGTGAAATAAAGTGCATTCTTAGTTGCGTTCGGAACAACCGCTGCTGATTCTGCTGCTGCAGTCTTGATAACTTGATTAGCTGCGGACGAGTTTCCGGCAGAGATAGCAGCAGCAGCAGCAGCAGCAGCAGCCTTCTCAGATGTAGCGCCTGTAATAGCCTTGACAGAAGCACCAGCAGATCCAGTCTGGACCTGAAGACGGGTACGGATATGTTCCACAGGACCAGAGACCACAGAATTGGTGATACCACTAGCAGCTCCTGCTAAATAGAGCTGTGAATTGCTGAGGAACCCATTGGCGTGAGGTCCATTCAAATCATGGTAATAACGCTTCATCGCCTCCAGAGTCACAAACTGGATCGAAACACAGGCACCTACTCCGACCAAAGGTGTCGTTGTTCCCTTGTAAAAGCCCCTGATCCCTTCCTTTGATAACGTCTTCTTCACACAGTCCAAAGTCCCCGAATAGAGTGGTGCCTGGCCAGGCATAGGAGCCGGCATTGTTTGCAGGCGCTTTGATAAAGAAGAGACGAAGAGATGAGTAAGAAAAGGGTTAGCTTGAAGAGAAAACGGAGGTATATGGAGAAAGGATAGCCCAATTGCCATAGTGATATAGTAATGACAACCATTAACCACATAAAAATAAAAATAAAAATAACTCCGTATCTACGTATACAATCTTTTTTCAGTCTTTTAAAAGAGTATGAAGAGTCATCGATGGCTCATTGAATGACCCTTGTCTGTGTAAATCGTATTGGCTTCCACTGCTGAGCAATCCCTTTATTTTTTATCTTATTTTTGTTGGGGAAAGGGCTTCATTGTCCTGAACTGGTATGTATCTGTCCACCATTGATTCCTTACCACTTTAACGGTATCGAAAGGCTATAGAAGATTTCAAATTGACAACAACAACAACAACAACAACAAAAAAAAAAAAAAAAAAAAAAAAATTAGTAAAGAAAAAAAGGTACTAGACATATATAGAAATCCAATCAGCAATGCGATGCACCACAATGGAAGCTCAAAGTCTGGCATGGAGTTTTCAACCTGGTCTCCATTTGTTCTTTCAGACCCAATAACCAGATTCTTCTTATTTTCCTCACCTGTCCTACAAAGACTTGAAGGAAACCTCCGATCGTACCGCTAGCACAATCCTTGACAGCTCGCATAGAATCGTTCGACATGTTGTGTTATATGAAATTTAAAATAAAATAAAGTTGGCAGAGGAAATAAGATAAAAATGAATGGTGTAATAACTCTACAAAAAAAAAAAAAAAAAAAAAAAAATAGAAAGAAAGAAAGAAAGAAAGAAAGGTGGAGTGGGGAGGAAGGGAAAAAGAGAACGGATGAGAGAATTAAAGAGAGATAAACCGACAGACCAAAAAAAAAAAAAAAAAAAAAAAAAAAAAAAAGAATAGAAAGTAAACGAACGGAAGATTAGGAATAAAAGTCGGACGATCCCTTTTTTTTTTTTTTTTTTTTTTTTTTTTGGCACGGTGGAACTGTGTGTTTTGGCCAGACACCAAACGTGACTCTTTCATTGTCCACACACCACACAACCAATCAAAATGATTTATCCAACACCATCCTGAGGTTCTGAGATTCAAAAAACACAAAAGAGCGGGCACTGGCATGGTTCATCAAAGCACGGATGTTGCTGTGGGCATTGTCATAGCATTTATATGTATATATAAATTCATATTTATATACAAACACATATACATGTATATATCTATATACATATTATATAATGATAAATGTATATGTTTCCACGGCTATTGTTCTAATGTTCGTAGTGCCCAAACTCTAAAATCGCACAGAAACAGGAGTTGACTAATGAAATTAACGATCACTCCAGAATATGAATACCACAAGCAGCAACCAACCCTCCATATCACACACTCGTATCCCCTCATCGTGTTCAGATCCCTCACAGTCTTCTGCTTGCTCTTCATTATGATTTTCATCATAATGGTCTTCATCATACCAATTGTTTTCAAACTCAAAATCCTCAGCTTGGACAATATTTTCATTTGTTGCCTCAATACTTCCCATCGCATCTCCGGATCCATCCTCCTCTTCTCCTTCCTTTTCTTCCTCTTCTTCTCCCACCTCCTCTTTGGCTCGCTCCTCTTCTGGCGTTCCTCCATTTCCTCTTTCAAACTGGGCATATTTCCTGATCACAAATTCAATGTTGATGATATGGGTTTGCGCTGTATGGGCAAATAGCCTGTGCCTGCTTTCTTCCAGCACGTGCTGTAAATCACGCCCTTTCTCTTCAGGCTTAGATCACGTCTCATCTCGGTCCGGTCCTTCCTTTTTCTACAGTGAACACCAACTCTCGCGCTTCAAACTTTCTTTCTTTCCCTTCCAAACTCAACACTCAACACTTCATACACATTTATTTCATCAAATCACATTTATCTAGGATGTCTCTCACTTTCACTGCTCAAGAACTTTCCCAGTACGACGGCACCAAAGCTGATGCCCCCATTTACGTCGCTGTCAAGGGAACTGTCTTCGATGTCTCTTCCAAGAAGGAAATGTATGCCCCTGGAGGAAAATACCACGTCTTTGCTGGAAAAGATGCATCCAAGGTACAAAAGAAAACAAAAAAAAAAAAAAAAGACCCATCTCCTTCCTCTTCTCAGCCAACTCAAAGATCGCATGAGTTTTTGAATTGAATCCTTTCGTCCTCATGCAACATCATGACGAGAATTGTCCTTTTTATTTATTTTACTTTATTTTTCATTCATAGGCCCTTGGGAAAAGCTCCGTCGATCCTGCAGACTGCACTGCAGACTACAGTGAATTGGATGAGAAGGAGGTAAAAAAAAAAAAAAAAACCATTATCAATATGATGTGTTGATCAATACGCCAACTTTTTTTCCTCCTCTTTTTCTTTTGCATTGTCTCCATAGCTCAAGGTTTTGAATGACTGGGTTGCTTTCTTCGAGAAGCGTTACCCTATTGTTGGCAAGACAGCGTAAACCATTCCATCACTCTACAACATAATCAGTAAATAAAGAAGAGAAAAAAAACTTTTCTGACTATTTTGTCCAATTTGAACTATCTAAAAGATGCCAAAGCCCTTCCTTTGTTCTTTTGTCCCGCAGAAAAGACGCGATTAGACATCACATGCCATACGCATAAAAAAAAAAAAAAAAAATTCTCAAGTTGTACAAACACATCTGCAGAAAGATTTCTGGATGAGGGATAGGCGTCTTGTGACGATGCTACGGCTTTCAACAACACCCCTTTACCATTCTTAAGGTGATTCATTAGGCATAACTGTGTCTCTTCATGATTTCATGATAAAAAAAAAATGTTTGGTTGAATATTTCTTTGTATCGGTATCTTTGCTCCCTAATCTGAGAATTTTTTTTTTTTTTTTTTTTTTTTTTTTTTTATTTTCCTTCGTGATAAACTAGCACAGACCTTGGCGTTATTAAATTTATATATGATTATGTACAAAGCTAAAAACAAAGTAAAAAAGCAACTCAACGATCGAAGAAGAAAAAAAAAAAAAAAAAAAAAAAAAAATACAAATGATTACATTGAGAAGAAGAAAATTAATGTCCAAAAAGAAATCCGTCCTCGAAATTATTTTGACTGCGTAGTTTTTGAGCATTCAATTTCCAGATCTGCTCCTTCTCTTTCTGCAATGCTAGTGATTGACGACGTGGCGACGCTGCTGGCGAAGATACATTGGAGATAGGAGAAGACATCTCTGCATCGTCTGCAGTAGTTGTTGATGGTGATGAAGATGATAATGATAGAAGAGCCTCAAATGGGTCAACAAGCAATTCCGATAAATCTTCTTCAGGATCCTTGGCTCCTGTCAGGAACTTGATTTGAGCCCTGCTTCGACTTCTTATACTATTGGCATGCTCAATGGAGGACACCGGCTTGGTAATGACTGAGGCTGGGTCTTCTTCTGTTAAGGATGGTGACATTGGCGATGAAGGTGATGGTATAGAGGACGAGCGTGGATGATCTGGTTTTACTTGTGATTGAGGTTGAGGCTGGGATTGGATAGTATCTGAAGGCGAAGGGGTGAAATAAGTCTCTTTAGTTGAATGCAGCGCAGGGGGACTAGATGGTGGTGTGACCAACACGTTGGCGAAGGAAGAAGGCGCAGTAATGTTGCTGTTATTAATATTGCTGCCATTATCTGACACAATTGTGGTAGGGCCATTTCTTGACGCATTACTCTCAGCTTTGGTGCTACTATAATTGTTGCTGTTGCTGTTGCTATTGTTATTGCTGTAATGGCTGTTATTGATATTGCTAGTCCTTTGGACCTGATATGGCTGACTTTCACTTCTAGTTCTACTGGTTTGCTGTGTTGACGCTGCTGAGGCAAAATCCGAGATAGATGACGATTGCTGCTGCTGCAATGGCGATGGTGGCGACAGAGACGGTGTTGAAAACAATGAAGGCATAGTATGGCGCTTGGCTCTGTTGTTTTTCCTGCTAGAGGAAGATGGTAGCGAAAACATACCGGGACTGATCGTGGACTCTGTGGACAACAAAGCCTTCACTTTTTCGGGTGGAGTATTGATGATCGTATCAAAATAATCCTCATTCGTATCCTTCAAATCATCATTAAGGCTTTTCTCGAGAGGCGTTGGTGGCAAAAACATGCCTGTTTCGTTAACAGTGCTCAACGGAAAGATTTGTTTAGCCTGCTCCTTCCAATCCCTCTCTGCTGCCTTACTCATGGATGACCGCCGCCTTGAGCTGGCAGTAGGGAAGAGAGAAACAACGCTTGACGAGGATAGGAGCAAGGATGAAGAAGAAGAAGAAAGCGATGATGATGGTGCTCTAGAAGTGCTGATATCATTCCTTGCTGTGCCACTGTTGCTAACCGGGACTGCAACACGGAAGTTCGGCGATGAGATCTGAGCAATACTATGTCTCTTCAAAGAAGTAGACGTAAAAATGGTTCTTATGGATGACAATCCACCCCGTGAGTTCGTAGCCGAGTCTACCATTGGTGACGGAGCAACGACTTGTGCAGTCGACATGGGTATTTATATGAATCTGAGTAGATATGGATGTATTGCTGTGTATGTGCTTTTATGCAAAATATAAAATAAGAAGGGAAAAAAAGCAAGCAAGGATCAAAAAGATAAAAGACGGTTAGATCAAAGGAAAAAAAAAAAAAAAAAAAAAAAAAAAAAAGAAAGAAAAGAAAAGAAATGAGTAGCAGTTGAGATGGTTATATCTTATTTATGTCATATTCTTCTGCAAAGGCGCATTGTGGCAGAGAATTTTAAAGAGATGTGGTCAAGAAAAAAAGGGGGAGGGCCAAGAGACAGGCGCGATTTGGTTCGGGGGGCAAAAAAAAATGAAATAAAAAACGTCGTGAGGTAATTCCAAAGAAAGTGCTAAAGGCCTGATCTACATCTTGAGAGATAGGGGAGGTGAGAGCAGCTGTTACTGAATTGAATGATGAAAGGAAAAAAGGGGTAGAATAAAAGTGCTCGTGGGCAAAGGTCAGCAGACAATGAATGAATGAATGATACGAACAAACCCATGAAGGAAGAGAGCAAGGAGCAAGAATGGAATGTTTACAAACAAGGGAGAAGCGTGGCAGTTTATACGCGTTTTTTTTTTTTTTTTTTTTTTTGAAAAGAAAAAATATCCTTCTTCAGAGGTTTCTATACTTCGTTGTTATTGATCCCTTCAATTGATGAAAAGAAAAGTGTGTTCTAACGGGTTCTAGCAAACTAAACTTTACATTTGTTGCAATAAACAATGACGACCAATTTGAAAAAGAAGGTTGAACTGAGCGGGTGAATGGTGCATGCACAACGCCTCTCTGCATAAAACTAATTGAATACATGACGAGTATGGAGATAAAATATTGACCTCATTCATTTCCAATGGTTTCCCTGTGGCCATGTCTGTCCTGCCATTGCGCCCCCCGTTATAATTTCAAACAACGCATCACGATAAAAGGAAAAGAAAGAGTCCCTGATGTATACCTTAAGATTATCCATCTCAAAAGTAGAAAAAGTCCTCATCAACCTCTTTTCGGGCCGAAGAGTGTTTGTAACAAATGTAAATTCATATTTGGCCCCACGTTCTCACCGTTTGCATTGTCACTAGTATAAAGAAGAGCTGCGTCTTTTTTTTTCTGGCGCAAAAGATCTCGTGTGTGACACATCCTTGCTCGTTCAGATGTGAGTCCAGGATCGTGCTTGAGATTTAGATCCTTTGCATTCATCTTCATTTGCATGTCAATCGCCAGTCTTTGCAGCGTCACTCCGACTCAATCAAAATAATGCTTCCACTTTGTGGCAGAAAGGGCTTGGAGCAACCACGCCAGCTATAATTCTTCAAGTATCAATTCGCTTTATGGTTCGCAAGCTCTTGCCCATATGCACAGACCTCTCTCAATCTAACTCTAATTGTGGCAGGGTACATTAACCTGTCAAGTCATTGCGTTTGAAGAGAGGCTTTTCTCTTTTTTCCTTTCGCGATAGCTGCGTTAGATCCGAGCCACATCAAGTGTGGTTGTCAAGGAGGCAAGCGAGTCTCGTCTCTGTTGACGGGAGAAAGTTGGTTGCTATTTTGCTTATCATTTTAGCAATCGTAGAGCATGGCGAACTGTCTGTGGGATCTTCAATATGCTTATAATACGTGATGAACTAATATTATTTTAATTATCGTCATGGCTAAATGAATAGTAATAATGTCGATGCCTGTGTGGACTACGGGATCCAAACTATCTTCACGAGTGCCCTCGCATACTGGTGTGCTTTCTCTACTTCGACGTGGTCCGTAGAACAACATCTCAATAAATCGAGGCCACAGTAGTAGTATTACAGCATTTTATTATGTAAAGATAAAGGATGAGAGTATCTATATCGTCTCGTCTCTCGTGACCACGAGCCTCGAAGGATTATTCTAGGGTACCATTGTAGGAGTGCTTAAAATTCATCCAGTGGAGTAAACGGTACGGATGAAAGGTTCCCCCTTTTATTGGTTGAGCTTCCAAAGCAAAACACTGGCCCAGAAGTCGTGTCAGGCGGCATTAGTTTGATTTGGGTCTCGGCGGCGAATATGAATGGAGGGAATGAGGCCTCTCTACTGTTGACTATAACTCCAAAATAGTGATGCCTCATTGTTTGAGCCCTCAGTCCGACGAAGTATCGACAACGGAACAGTCTGACGAATAGGGTCCCGGGGCAGATCTTTTCCGATCAGTTTGGCACGGTCATTCGCTTAGGATGCCGATGGTTTGCTAGCAAATGTTTGGATTGAGTCTCGGCTTTGAAGGGAGAGCAATCCTTCACTGATACTGGAGCCCACTCGATACTGGACGATGATGGCAATGACGCCTTTCTCTATGTTTAGGTGGATGGAGAGACTTGTTGTTCCTCTAGCTCTTTAAACCGTGGGCCGAAGAAGCGTGTCGGTTCTTGTTTTTGCCCAAAGATATTGGTATTATATTTAGTTGCAAAGTTCCTGTGCAAACATGTCCGTTATTTTCTACCTCAAAGGAGACTTAATAATGTGTACAGAATGAAAGAGCAATAGCCCTGTTTTGACAACCCTCATCAACACGAAAATGATCCGAAACCCAAAAGCTTGCAGCATTTGGAACAAAGGTTGTGGATCGCTGCCAAATCTGGGGTTGTCAAATAGGTTCTCCTTCGTTAAGGGCTGGTTTTCTAGTCATCAAGCAGGCAGTAGGTGCCTGTCGCATCACTTTTTATCAGCTTCTAGTTTGCTGACACCGAACGCCACCATCACCTTTCTTGTTGTTTCTGTTCCTCCGGTCGCCACTCTCACTCCCCTGCTTGCTCATAACTGCCTCATAATCTTCGACTCTTATTCTCCAAACCTAAAGGCTATCAGCGGGTGAATTACACCGAGCTGTCTTGTATTTTCACGAGCCAGTAGAGCTGCTTTTGCAAGCTTTTTTTGCATTAACAGATATTTACACTTGCTGTCGTGGGCTTTTACTTTAATACTGCAGCGCTGAACATGGGCCAAAAACAAAGACTTTCTGTTGGAGATTATGCAAGGAAGTGATGTTCTGGCAACAACGCCCCATTGTATTGCCATGGTTTGCTTCTCTTGGCGTGCTTGCCGCGGGCCGATTGCTGAAATCTTCGTCTTTGTACCATGCGACAGCCTGCACCAGCCAGGCGAGTAGCTGCTCGCGCATTCCTTCCTTCAGATACTTCTCCTTTGAGCTCGGTGCCATGCAGGCGGTGTCAGGGTCGAAAAAACACTACGACAGTGCACCACATCATCGTATAGTCCGTGCAGGTTGTGGACACGGTCACGGTCTTGAACAAGAGGTGCGCATGAAATGATTCACCAACTTGGGTCAAAAGGAACGTGTTGTCCACTGTCGAGATTAGAAAGGCAGTCAATGAACGAGTTACTAGACATCTACATGGATAGTTGCAGGAGCAGAAGACGTTGGTTTCCACGTAACAGGCCACGTAGGAAGTAGATGGCAAGATGGCATGGGATATGGTGCTGGATGAAGAGTTCAGCATTGCAAGCATGACACAGCAAGCCACAAGTCTCTTTCAATATGGACTTTTCTTTGTGAAGCCTTTCCTTTTTTTTTTTTTTTTTTTCATTCCATTACTTTACACACTTGGTCATTGCCTTTTTTTTTTTTTTTTTTTTTTCTTTCTTCTTCTTCTCCTAATTCTCATACAAATCTCTTCAGATATGTCTCGTCCATCACTGCCTCCGCCACCGCCTCCACCACCTGCAGGAGGACTATCAACAGCCTCTCCAGATCGCACTGCACTTCTATCTCAGATTCAATTGGGTGCTCAGCTCAAGAAAGCATCGAGCAACGACCGATCTGCGCCTGTTGTAGGCATGTTAAAGAAACTTGTAACTCTCTCTGTCAGAAAAGCGTGTGGAAAAAAAATTATATTGGAAAGGAGACAGAATTTTAGAATAGAGTCAAAGAACTGGTCAAAGAGTTACGCATAATGGCATAGTGAGGAATCGCACTAGATATTGTACAAAAAGAACACACTCAGTCTCGCTACTTGTGCATTTGGCCAAGTTTCGTTGTTCATTTCTGTTACAATGTATTCAAGCCCTTGGCAAAAGTGGAGAGGAAGAGTAATACAGGGGAAGAACTGAGCCGTCATTGTGTCACGAGTTTCGAGCTGTTGCCTCCTTAGTATCTTTTTATCACAATTTCTCGACATTGGCTCCCTTGACCATTTCGTTGCACAAACAAAGGTTAACTCGTCCAGACCATTTCTTCCTTTCAATAGCCAATCAGAAAGGAAACACGAGTTCTAGATCGCCCCTATCTCAGGCGCCGCAGAATCCAATAACTTCTACGGCTCCTCGATCGCCTGGACCTCCACCTCCACCTCCTATCAACCGCAATGGAGCAATCTCACCGAGACCAGCACCTGGAGTGCCGGGTCGTGCCGCTCCATCTCCTCTTATCACCACAACGCGTCCAGCCCCTGCAATACCTGGTGCTAATTCTTCAAATCCAGATAATCGACCAATGTCTCCTATCGGAACTGGTATCAAATTAGGTGAGTAAAAAAAATATTCATTGCTTCTTAATGTGTCATTAGATGTTATGTTACAATATTTCAATGATCACTCAACTTTCACTTTTACTTTTTTTTTTTTTTTTTTTTTTTTTTTTTTACTTCAAGCTGAACCGCCTGCCATTGAAGGACGCTGGGCATTTAGGACTGCACAAGATTTTTCTGCCCCTCCGCTTCCTGACTTTAGTCAAATAAGAACATATCCTAGTGGAAATTCTTCCGGGACAAGTATGTATTTGCTATATTACTTTTTTACTGATCAAACTTTTGTTAATACCTTTTGATTAACAATCATTCATAACCCTTTTCTTTTCTTTTCTTTTCTTTTCTTTTTGTTGGATCGAAAGCTATACCTCTCGATCTTACAACTCTGGCGGGGATTACAGCAGGACGAATGCCTCCACCGCCTCCTGCTGAAGCCATTGGCCGATATCTTTTTTCATAGTCACCATAGTCACCTTCCCATAATCTTACAAATATCCCTGTAATGTCGCGATTTTCATTTTCCTTTCTTCATTTCATCTTGCCATTCCTTACTGGCTTCTAAAAATTACATTCATCCTCTAAAGTTTCCCCATCGTTACTTGCTCATGTATACTCATTTGCTTATCCTCATTAAAAACCGGCTTTGGATCCCCCTTTTCCGGTCTGTACTTTATTCTAAAGTTCTCATATGAAAACATTGATAGCCAGCGTGGCCTCACATTGCTCGTGCATAAATTTTTGTTCAAATTTGCTCTTGCTCAATAGAATCCGTATCTAGCTACTTCATTGCTATTATTTTTTTTTCTTTTTTTTTTGTTAAATAGTTTTAATCACATCTTTGTATTGTTATGTTGAAAACCTAAGGCTTTCAGATCAATGCTGTGATAACCCCGTGTAACTTTGAGGCAATAATCAATTACAATGCCGAAAAGTAGTATCGCAAGAGGACATCAGCCATTCGTTTACCGAGAAAAGGAAAAAAAAAAAAAAAAAAAAAAAAAAAAAAGCGATCAAGTTTGGGAGCCATGGTAAGAAAGTTGAATGTTTGATATCAAAACTGTGCAACACGTTGCCTAGACAGCGATGCACAAGAGGCAAATAGTTCACAATTAACCATTTGTGACTTCTGAATGCTATTAGGATAACAATCGTACAAGTTCAACATCTTAAAGATCAAAATGATAAGTAGGAGTGAACTTAAAGGAAGTAAGGTTCTTTGGGATCAATTAGTCTCCAAATAATCGCAAACAAAGGGAGACATGAATGGACGTAGCCATCTTCTTTGACAGATCAAAGAACTGAGCAGGTATTTATGATACAGAAGAGAACAATGCATAGAAAGAACAAAAGGTTGGAAACATGTCGCACAATGCATACCATTCTCAATCATAAGTTTCATGCACAGTTCATATTTGGATTCTCTTCTCTACCATTGCTAGAAATGAATCTCTTTGTTCCTTTAGACGTGTCATCATTGTTTTAAACCGCAGTAAAAGAAACGGCAGAGAGAATAAAGCAATGAAGCCATTCATCTGTCTGTGCGCATCCAGAGTATTGTTGAGTACCAAGAAAAATATGTTGTTGGGGGATGAGAAGTCCGCGGACGAATGAGAACAGTGACTCTCCTTGCCCACATGATTCAGATTGCTGTCTTTTCTCTTAATGACACAAAAGTGGCGTTACATCTCATATTTTCAGGCACACACATCCGTCTTTCTTTCTTTTTCTTACTCTCTATCGCTCTTGACACTAACTCTTTTCAAACATACACGCAGATACATAACACTACCCACCATTCATTCAACTTTATCCAAGGCAAAATAACCATGACCATCACAACTACCATTCCTGCATCTTCCTTCCCAGTAACTAACATCAAGGATGTGTCTACGTCTCCTCAAAATCAAATTGACGCATATCCATCACCTTCACATTCTCCTACTTCAGTTTCTTCTGTTGGGACAGTAGCTAAGCATCAGTTGCAGCCTACTACATTTGATCGACGTAGGTCGTCTGTCAAAGCCTTGTTAAACTCACCTAACCCACCGGCTTCTCCTTTGGATGCTCTTGTCATGGCTTTGGAAGCTACAGTCGAAGAGGAAGAAGCAGGCCTTGAAAGATTTTCAACAAAGATAGAGGACGATGCAATGACGACAACAGGAGCAGCAGTAACAGCAGGAGCAGAAGACGAGGAAGAAGACGACCCTGATGCTACCATCCCTTCTTCACCTACAATGTTTATGAAACGTCCAGCATCAGCAACAGGACCATCACTTCATCACCTCCCAAGCATGATGCTTCCTGAATCGGCTGCATCTTCGGTCGCCAGATCCCATTCTGCTTCAAGCCTGACGCCCAGTACACTCCCACGCGAGTCTTTAGCTCAACATAGTAGTAATCAGCGCAAGATGTCCATTAGTAGTCAGGATTCTTCTTCGTCATTTGCATCGAATGGCGAACGAACCAAAGAGTATGCATGTACAATTGAAAACTGCAAGAAAAAGTTCTTTCAAATTTCACACCTGCGGTCGCATGAACGGTAAGAAATATATTTATTATGTGAACAACCAAGAGTGCCGACTTTTTTTTTTTTTTTTTATTGTTGTTGGTGTTTTATCTTCAATAGATGATGAAAAAAAAAAAAAAAAAAAAAAAGGAAAATCAATGTATGCAAAAGTATAGTAGGAGACATTTATCAGGATGAAAAGCAGCTCCATCACCCTTATCACTATCATTGACACTGAAATCTTAGAAAGAAGCCGAAAAAGCCTATCTCAGACTACGTGGATACGAATCATAATCTCATTTTCCTTCTTTTTCCTTCCAAAGAATTTTGACGACACATTTCTCATTTCGCCAGTCACTTTTATTCTTTGTACCCTCTCTTTGCTCTGGGGCAGTGGGTCGTGGGCAACAGACAGTGGTCGGTGAATGGACGGGCAAATAGCAGACCATAATTTAAACGCGTGATGACTCGGCTCGTAAACTAATCGACTGCGCTCTATTTTATTTGTTTGTGTTCTTCGCCTTTGGCATTCCCTAAAACAAAAACAGTAGGTGCCACTCTGGTACAAGGCCATATGTAAGTCTCTTTCTCTCTCACACCCACAGACAGATAGCTCTACTTCCCTTGTGTCTATCTATTCCTCAACATCCTTTCACATCCGACATAATTGGGCATGGAAACGGACCGATACAAATCCCTGGAAAGACTATTGGAGGTTGAACAAAAGAGATCTTCCTTATTCCATCATTCGATCTAATGTGATAAAGTTCACGAATCATCCTTATGAGCTGGAATGAACTGGAGACCAAAGGTTTTCTTTTAAAAGGAACAATCAGGATAAGTCAGAGACTTTCATGGTTAGGGTCATAGCACAAGCAAGGCATTAGATGGATTGACAGTGTTCGAACCAAGCGCGTCTTGAACCTATCTCCCTCAGTAGGCGAGGGCCATCTTTTAACCGATAATGCTGGATCAGATTGCTCTTCAATATGGCTCTATTGGATGTCAAATCCCTGTTTAACTGCGATTGCACAAATGGAGAAGGAACAAAACAACATTCATTATTACATTTGGCAGACTTTCCACTTGTTTTTCGCTCACGTTGCAGATGGTTTTTTTTTTTGCGATCCTGGGGTTCATTTTTCATTCCGCTGTATTGTTTTTATTTTTAACGTTGGACTTGAGATTTATTTGCTCAACCCTTCGGTATCTTTACGACATGTCGACCGTGATGAAAAAGCTGGTACAGACGTCAGCGTGAGCAGAGCATTTTTACAAAAGGCCCTTAGGAGTGCTAGAAAGAAAAGGCAGTAATGACGAGAAAAACTCAAGAGAAAATGAAAAAAGAAGATCAGACATACAATCGCACTCATCTCCTCCATCGCATGCTTTCACTCTACACAATCCGCTTTCCTTTTCTTCCAATCTCTCTTTCTTCACGTTTTAATCTGCTCTATTTCTCACAACTTTCTTCTTTTCCACTCTCCAACAATTGTCTGTCTGCTTCTTCTTGTCTTCATTCTCTCCGCGTTCACTCAAATTGCTTTTTTGATTCCTCCTGAGAAAATGTTTGACGAAAGTAACTGAGATTTTGACGACTTACGGTCTTCCCAAATCCATTTTTTTTTTTTTTTTTTCCTCATCTGCTTGGGGTTTGCGCTGCTTTTTCTGGTTGTTTTTTTATGTTCTTCATTTGTGCTTCATGCGACGTCCATCAATTTGGCAACTGGGACCGTTGGTTCTTCGCGCGGATGATTTGTGTTGTCATGTACACAAATCTCTTTGTGCTTTGTTACTATTGATTTGGTCCTTCTTGTGCAACGCATTTTTTCTGGCTTGGCGATGCTTGATGGGCGCACTTGGCCTTTTTTTTTTCCCTTCGTTCTCGTTTTCGTCCATATGGTTTTTTAAATTAAATACAGGTCTGTCGATTTGATGGATGTGATCGAGCGTTCACTCAACTGGGGAACCTGAAGGTAAATAAATGTTTTTATTTTTCATGAATTCTGTCATTATTCGATTAATAATCAACTGAATCATACTTCTATGTTCTTTATTGGATGACTGTAGACTCATGAACGCAAACATACTGGCGAAAGACCCTACAAATGCCCACACCCCGATTGTGACAAGACATTCACACAACTTGGAAATTTAAAGACACATGAACGTATCCATGATGAGGTCAAGCCATTCATGTGTCGGCTTCCAGGATGTGGAAAAACATTCAGCCAACTTGGAAACTTGAAGGTACGTTGTTAATAAATGTTCAGGAGCTTTTTTTTTTTTTTTTTTCCGTAAAATATAAACATATCATGCTTGATCTATAGCTAATGATACTTTTCGTACTTGTATCACTAGACACATACCACAAAAATGCATCCAGAAGTAAATATCAGTGATGAAGAACTGGCAATTAGGACAGCATCCAGCCCAACACACGAGGCTCAGGATCTAGAGGATAGATCGTTGCAAAAAGCACGACTTGTCATGGGCAGTGAACCAGGAGTGGTACAGGTGATCGCACACTTTAATCCTTACCAGCGACGACCCATTAAGCCTCAGCGCTATGAGGAAGAGCGACTTTTGAGGACAATCCGAGCAATGATCCAACATCAGCAGCGTGTACGAGAATTAGAATATGGTAGTGAAGTTTCTGATGAGATGGAGGAGTTAAAATAGATATCAAACATCGCTCGTTGGATAAGCAAGAAGGAATTAGCATAAAGGCCAAGGAAACGTCCTTTCCTTCACTTATAAAAAAATTTCGTACATATAATTTCCACCTGAATCGGCCAACCTCTATTCCTAATGTGCCACATCCCTTCTTATTGTTCTCATACCATTTCTTCTTTTCCTTGAACAAGCTGCGTTGTAATTGTAGATAATTCGCTCTAATAAAAGGATAAGCTTTATGTATCCAGTCTAATGCATACCAAGGTTACCAGATGTTATAGTTCCCCACTACTTGCACCAGAGTTTTTGTTACATATATGTAACTTCCACAAGTCACAAAGGACCAGAAAGTCCCACTTTTCGTCTTCGTGTCCCTTACACTTCTTATTTTCAACTCCATATTCTTCAACCATGGTAAGACATTCATACTTGCAACCAATCATGAATCTCCATTAACGCCATGCAATATATGACATTCAATGTCATGTATTTTGTACCATAGAGTTATTTGCCTGCCATGGTTGCATCACTCATGTCCTCCCTAAAAAAAAAAAAAAAAAAAAAAAAAAAAAACACTGATCATTCATCATTCAATTCTACATGACTGGGAGGGGTTACATTCGATTTTACAATAAAAAAATTCGTTGCAATGAATTCTATAGGCGTACCAACCTCCTTCTCAGGTTATTCTTTTGCCTCAGACTCAGCAGCTCAAGGCGTCGATGACCATCATCCGGGATAAAAACACACAGCGCGCCGACTTTATCTTTTATTCTGACCGTATCATTCGTATCTTGGTTGAGGAGGGTATGAATGAATGCTATGAGATATGGAGAATGTTAATGGTGAGATTCCTTTCAGGAACTCAGGAACTAAAAAAATTTTTGCTGGTAATTAATTGTCAACACCATCATTGTTGCTTTTAAACAGGTTTGAACCACCTTCCTGTCATCGAAAAGACTGTCATCACTCCTACAGGTAATTTCTTGCACAGGCCGTTTGATAAATGCACACGAACATGTACAAGAAACACAAGTATAAAAGCACGGCCCATTGCGAGACAAGAGTGTCTTTTTTTTTTTTTTTTTTTTTTTTTTTTTTTCCCCCTTTTTAACTCTGCGATGCTTTTTATCTCTCTGCTCCTTGCAAACCAACAATCAATACAACGAATCCAGGAAAAGAATTTCATGGGATTGACTTTCAAGGGCGAATCTGTGGCGTATCCATCATGCGTGCTGGAGAATCAAGTAAGAATACCAACACTTCATCAAAAAAAAAAAAAAAAAAAAAAAAAGGGAATTCTTTCTTACTAACATTAATATCTACAACACACATAGTGGAACAGGGTCTTCGCGATGTGTGTAGGAGTGTCCGTATCGGCAAGATCTTGATTCAAAGGGATGAAGAGACTGCACTGCCAAAGCTGTACTATGCCAAGTTCCCTCCAGATATCGCTTCACGTTATTGTTTGTTGTTGGATCCCATGCTTGGTAAGGTTTTTTTTTTTTTTTTTTTTTTTGTCCCTCAAGATGAAGCAAAAAAAAAAACTTATTATGCTTAGAGATTACTGAACTGGTGCGAAAAAAAAAAAAAAAAAAAAAATGCTAGCAACGGGTGGATCGGCCATCAAGGCAATTGAGACCTTGATTGATCATGGTGTACCAGAGGAGAGAATCCTTTTCTTGAATTTGATTTGTTGTCCTCAAGGCATCAATGCTGTTGTTGCAAAGTTCCCTACCTTGAAGATTGTCACTGCAGAGATCGATGTAGGACTGGACGAGAAATTGTATATTGATCCCGGTCTCGGAGACTTTGGTTGCCGCTACTTTGGAACCGACAAATAAACCAGTCTCTGTCTTGAACCTCATTTTAGGTTCCTATATTATCATCATTTATTGCCACGGAATGTATTGTTGACAACTTGTTGAATGAAAACCTCAAAAGCGATATATTAAACGGTGAAAAAAAAAAAAAAAAAGATCGTTTCTCGTGTTTGATAGCAAATCTTTATTCATGAGCGTAATATGATACAATAAAAAAAAAATAAAAAAATAAAAAAATAAAGAAAAAAAAGTGAAAAGGATCAGACACGAGGAAAGAGGAATGGGAAGAGGGCAAACTAGGTTAAGGCATCAACATTCTTAGGCGCGAGTCAACTTTCCATAGATGTGAAGAGCAAAGACAGAGGCAATAAAAGCCAATGACAAGACCAAGACCACAACGGGGTCACTAAGTTTAAAGAAATTAAACAAGAGAAAGAAAGAAACAGATGAATGTCATGGCCTAAGAATACGGCAGTGTATGCGAATTGACAGATTGCGTTGAGGAGGAAATGACATCAAGCCAGGAGTTTAATGTCTAATCGCTCGAGCCAAAAGAGAGATAAAAAAAAGCCAACTTACACACGAAGACCAGGCGAGTCATCAGTGTAGATACGCATCATTCCCGAGGTGCTGGGTCCTGGTGCGCGAGAAGTCTGAGCCTTAGAACTTGTAGTACGTTTCCTGAGGAACCAACAACAAGAGAAATACGTCAGCATCTCCTGAGTTAAGTCTACTGTCAAAGAAAATGGTTTGACTCCAGGAAAAAAAAAAAAAAAAAAAAAAAAAAAAAGTCTACCTCAAAGCGGCGGCGCGAGGAGAGGCGCCAGCGGGGTTAGGGGAAGGAGCAGAGTCAGACTAAAGAGAGAGAAGGAAAAAAAAGAAAAAAAAAAAAAAAGTAATTTAAGAGAAATGCTGATCAATTTCTTTGTTCATTCTGTAGTTGATCCTGAAAATCAGGAATATAGAAAACATGCTTGGTTTTCCTCTGCAATTCGCGACACAAAACGAAAAAAGCCTAAAGACAGGATAATTCAATTGATTTTTTTTACCATGGTGATGATTTGATGGAGGTGTGAGTGAAAGTGTGAGAGAATAAAGGATGATGAGAGAAGAGAAAGAAAAAGGTGTGCAATATCAATGCTCTTCTTGATTGAGGATCCAATGGGATTGCGCCAGTCAAATGCATCGTCAATTACATATAATTGTCAATTATAGAAATACATTTAAGCGACTGAAATGTGATCAGTCAAAGAGTGATACCAAGTATAATATCATCTGTCGGATTCATCACAGTTGATACAATAAACTCGCGCCATGAACACACAGGCTTTTACTTTACCATCGCCTTCCGTCCTCTTTTCTTTCCTTTATTTCAACTTTTTAGGCTCACGCTTCTTCACAAAAGCAAAGAAGTTCCGTTTTTAGTGCAACTCATCATGTCGCTGCCTTCTCTCACAGACCTCGTCAAGCGTCCAGGAATAGGCACGCTTGGGAGATCAATTCAGGTTCGGACTAACCATTTCGGAATCCAAAAGCTTCCAGACACGCTGATCTACCACTATGATATTTCCATTACGCCAGCAATGCCTGTTGGTGTAAACCGAAAGATCTTCACAGAATTCATGAATCTTTATGGAGTATCCGATCTTGATTGCAAGCATCCTGTTTACGATGGTCGAAGCAATATGTTCTCACCAAAAGAATTCCCTTTTGAGACTCGCACATTTGATGTAAGAGAAAAAAAAAAAAAAAAAAAAAAAAAAAAACAACCTGCCGTTTTAGCTTGTTTTTCAGTACTGACTACGCCTGCTCTGTCCCTATAATATTCGTATGGAAGGTCACGTTAATAGAGGAAACCAATCCCAGAGGAGAAGCGCCTTCGTTCAGAGTCAGGGTCAAGAAAGTTGCGACGATCAATTTATGGGAGCTGCATCAGTTCCTTCAAGGCAAATCACGCTTGACCAATAACTGTCTAGCGTCAATTATGGCTCTTGATATCCTTATTCATTTCAAACCTGCTATGCTATATTTCATCGTCGCGCGGTCCTTTTTCCTCCCCACCAACAAGCAGATCCTCGCTGGTGGCCTTGAAGCATGGCGAGGTTTCTATCAGTCTGTGCGCCCTGCTGCCGGCAAGCTGACAATCAACATTGACATCTCAGCTACCGCTTTCTATCAATCAGGGTCCTTGATCGAGCAGACTTGCAAATTCTTGAATCTTCGAAGCACTGGTTTGTGATATGATCTTTTTATTTTTATTTTTTTTTTTCCTCAATAGTATGTAGAAGAGGTTATTGGGCCGGCCAGTAATTGCTTGTCGCATAATCTTTGCAAATGTATAGGTGACCTGCATCGCTCGGCTCCACCCATCAATTGGGTACAGGTCGAGAGACACTTTAAGGGCGTCCGTATCCGAGTCATACACCGGCAGGCACGCAAGAGAACTTTCAAGATCTATGGTATGACCAAGGCCTCAGCTCGCGAGACTGTCTTTAAAATATCTGCTGAGCGTAAGGAAGGCGACGTCGGCGCGTCTCAGGCTGAGGCCGAAATCGACGTTGCCAGCTACTTCAAGCAGGCCTATAACATCAGTCTCAGTTATCCATCGCTCCCTTGCATCGTTGTCAGCAAAAAGATGATCCTCCCAATGGAGGTATGCACCATAGTCGAGGGCCAACGATATATGAGGAAGCTTAACGAACGCCAGACAGCAGACATGATCAAATTCACGTCTCAGTCACCAGCTGCCCGTGCTAACATTATTAAAGATGGTATTAACCTTCTGAAGTACGAAGATAACGAGTATCTGAACGAATTTGGCTTGAAGGTATCTAACGAAATGGAAACTACCAAGGCACGAATCCTACCTTCCCCAACCCTCCAGTTCCATCCGACTTCAAAAGAGCCTCGCCACATTCCTCGTGAGGGGGCATGGAACTTGAAGGATAAGAAGGTGATCCGTGGCGCGACTCTTGGCTCTTGGGGTGTGGTAGTCTTTGGTAATGAACGAACACTCCCACCCGGACAAGCCCAGGCTTTCCTACGCGAATTCATCGTAGCCTGCACAGATACTGGCATGGCTATCCTAAATAAGAATCCCCCTATCAGCTACCTTTCTCCACAAGGTAACATCGAGGAAGGTCTCAAGAAAGCGTGGCTCCAGGCTGGGAATGCGGTCAAGTCGCAGCCACAGCTGCTAATCTGCATCCTTCCCAACACTGGTGTACAGCTCTACGCTGAGATCAAACGCGTGACTGATACATTTCTTGGCGTTGCGTCTCAATGTCTTCAATCGAAGCAAGTGGGGAACCCAAGGAGACAATACTGTGCCAATGTTTGCCTCAAGATCAATGTCAAACTCGGGGGTGCAAACGTTGAACTTGCCCCAGGCACCTTCCCAATACTGACAACCAGGCCCATCATCATATTTGGTGCCGACGTTTCTCATCCTCAACCAGGTAGGAGCCACGAAGGACTAACATTGGTAAATAACCCCGTTCGGTGATCAATCAAATTAAAATTTTTGCTTTCATTAAAAAAAGGAGACGATGTTCGTCCCTCAATCGCTACTCTCGTTGGGTCAATGGACAGTAAGGCTGCTCGATATGCTGCAGCCGTCCGTATCCAGACTGCCAGGACCGAGACCATTGCAGATCTTTCTGATATGGTTATGGAGCTCCTCAAGACGTTTTACCAGAGGCAAGATCAAACTTAAAATGAAGGTTAATATATGCGTTCGGTTTACTTTAGGAATTTTTCTAATTGTTGAGTCTCTTACTTTTTATTTTCTGATACTGCGGCCGGGTTGCGAATATCCATTACCTAGCTGCGGCGAAAAACCTGAGCGTATTCTTTTCTTCCGTGATGGCGTATCAGAAGGGCAATTCGCGGAGGTTCTCAAGATTGAAGTCCCTGCTATCCGAGCTGCCTGCCAGCGCTTAGAAATCAGTTACATGCCCGCAATTACCTTTATTGTTGTCCAAAAGCGACATCGTACCCGCTTCTTCCCAATGAAAGCCTCCGATGGCGATCGTAGCGGCAACTGCCTTGCTGGAACTGTCGTGGATACAGGCATCGTACACCCCTTTGAATTCGACTTTTACTTACAATCCCAGTCAGGGCTTTTGGGGACTTCGCGGCCAGTACACTATCATGTGCTCCTAGACAACAGTAATTTCACAGCAGATGAGCTACAAGACCTATCATTCAAGTTATGCCACCTTTACGCGCGAAGCACGCGAGCTGTCTCTTTGGTACCCCCTGTCTACTATGCTCACATTATTGGGACGCGCGTTAGGTACCATTCACGAGGAGATATCTTCTCGGAGGGTTCTTCTGAGGGCACTGTCCCCAGTGGAAGTGGAGCTGCAAACTCCTACGTGACTGTGAGACCTGACTTGATGAAAGGCAAGCAATATTTTTTTAGAAAAAAAAAAAAAAAAAAAAAAAAAAAAAAAACTGTTCCATGCTGACATATTTTGTACTGTTTCCCTCTGATAGTCATGTGGTTCATGTAGCGGGGTCTCTATAATGGAAGAAGCCAACAGATAGCAAGCACAAGTCTACCCTTTTTTCTTTGCTTTATAAATTTACGACAAGTAGCATTAATGAATTGAATACATTATGCCTTACCATCAACCATGTTCCTATCTTTCATCATTAATAGTTGTTAGCTTTGACTTAGACCCTTACGACCACTCCAGGATGTTTAGCTGCAAAACATCCTGTTGGGTTATCTATAACCCATTTACCAATTACCTTCCTAACCTTTGAATAGGGCCTTCCTGATCATGATTACTCAGCTAATTATTAATGCACAGCAGTGTCCCCAGCTGTCCATTTAGTCTCTTCTCTACCACTATTGAGAACAGGAGCTCCATCTCGTTTTTTTTTTTTTTTTTTTTTGACGAGGTCATGTAGGATTTATTTAGGTGTGAGCTCTATAAATGGGTTCCCCACTACTGGGGTCGCGAATAAAGCGGTTACCAATAATCGTCCGAAGCCGCATCGTCATATTGCCACAGTACAACATCCTGTTCATAAACCACGTCAGCAAGGAGTAGACTTCCTTGACCCCCGGGGACCTGTGACACGGCTCTACTCCCTACTTAGCCTGTTGTGCGCGAAGGTCATCCTTTAGCCGCAATCCTCAATCATCAAAAATTCGCAACCTCCCAGGCGCTCCATAACCGCCATCGTACGATATGGGTTCCATACAGTGACCCGTTACTGATGTACTGAACAATACGTACTTGAGGTTTTTTTCACTTATTATTTACTTTTCACTTTTCTTTTACTCGATATTTACTTTTCTTTTACTTTTCTTTTACTTTTCTTTTACTTTTTTTTTTTTTTTTTTTTTACCGATGTTTAAGTAAATAATAAGTAAAAATTTACTGAAAAAAACCTCAAGTAAGTATTGCTCAGTACATCAGTACGGGTTCCATACTGTTGTGGCTAACTATTTTATTTTTATTTTGTAGTCTACAAATCGGACATTCTGTTGATCTACAGTTAAAAGAATCTTTGTGCAACGCCTTATAAGCTATAGGTGAGTCCACCTCACCTAGAAAGCACCACAGTCAGGCCTGTAGGCTAAGTTATAAAAGCCAAAGAACTTCTTTCTCAATAAAGTCTTCAGTTTACCCATAGACCTTGAGTTTACCAATAAGTCTTAAGTTTCCCCTATCTGTCTTGTTCTTGACCTGCAGTTTATCTTGCCTTTTTATCCTTTTCCCCTTGTCCCAACAAGCATTCGTCTTCCGGTAACTCAGTTTGTGAGCTCACCTATGAAGTTCCCATCTACCCTTTTGGCATCCTATGGCGCTGTTTGTCTTTTTTTTTTTTTTTTTTTTTTTTTTTTGATAACAAGGACCCACGAGGTCATGTAGGATTTATTTAGATGTTAGCTCTATAAATGGTCCTATGGCGCTGTTTGTCGTCAAGATTATTTGCCTCTATTTCCTCTTGTTATTGTCTTTTCCTGATTTTGTGTCTATCTTTTGCCCCTTAAGCAAATATACACCTTATTTATAGCATAATGTAAGCACGTGATTATTAGTTTATGTAATTATACAAGTATAGAGATCATGCTCTCAGCCAATGAGATCCACCGAATCCGGCGGCTAAGGGGTTGTAGCTCAGTGGTAGAGCGCTCGCTTTGCATGCGAGAGGCCCGGAGTTCAAACCTCCGCTGCTCCATGTTTTCTTTTTTTTTTGCATTCAATGCTAGTCAATGCACGCTGATTTCAGTCGGCCCTTTGGGCGTTGTGATTTTATGACAGCAGGAGGAGTAATTTTGCTTGGACCTTTACGGCTGTGTTTGCTACCCCTATCAACGTATAAATTGGTAACAATAATCAAGTTTGATCGAATACTCATACTTTACTCTAATTAATTTTATTCTTATTATTTTTTTCTACTTGAACATGCGCAGGTAGGCTGAAGGAAGGAAAAAAAAATAAAAATAAAAAAGAGAGATTGTGAAAATAAATGTTAAACAATCTAGACTTGTCTTTTGCTTACTCACATATACAGTGAGCAATGTACTGAAAAGTAAAGAAAAAGAAAAAGAAACAGAAAAAAAAAAAAAAAAACTTACCCAAGATCAAGGCTCCTGCACCAGTGATGGTACCAATCATATACTGTAAAGTCTGCAACTTGATCGTCTCCATCTGTGTTCTCAATGCTGCAATCTCTTGTTCAATCCTTTCCTCTGTCGCTCGAACCTTCAATTCCTGTGTCGCAGCTTCGTCTCGGATTCGTCCCTTTTCAAGATTCAAGTCCAACCGGACTCCTGCCTGTGTACGTGCTACTTCTTCTCTCAAACGTTGACGCAGCTTCTCAATCTCAGAGACTAGACGTTCATTGTTGGTGTTTGTCAATGAAAAATCATTTTTTTCCAACATTTGCAATTCAGATTTTAGAGCCGCAAAATCGACTTTATAGGTGTAGACCGTCTATAAACACGGATGAAAAAAAATAAAAAAAATAAGAAAAAAAATGGAGCATTATAAACATGTATGTTATTAGTAATGAGTAGCCTAGCCTTAGAAAACTCGAGTCCATGTTGAGAATGCTTTATAACTGAAGAGATCTGTTCTTTCCCTTCAAGATACCTTATCCTGATCAGCTTTTGTCACCATGTTCTTCGTAAGATTGTTCATGCTGTTACCACAACAACAAAAACAAAAGAATAAAAAAAAAATAAAAAAAATAAAAAGCATACAGAAATAAATAAGCATCAGATAAATATGCCAGAGCACCTTGAAGATCATGTCATGCTATAGGAGCAATCGATTCATGTCATTTATTTTACCTTTCTGTAATAACCTCGTCCAATGCATTCATAATAGCCTCTGACTGCTGTCGTGAAAAGCCTTCCCGCTCCAGTTTCTCTACAAATCGATGTGTGTCAAAATGATGTCCACCTCCATCATCCAGAGCTGGTCCTGAGGTCGAAAAGGCCCGAATCGGTACTATGCTGCGTGGAAATGCAAAGGTACTACTCAAAGATACTCCATCGGTTACTGATGTTGTTAATCCTGAATCTCTGCAAAGCTCCTTCTGCGAAGATAATGATAGTTTAAAGCGCGTCGAATAACGATGACGATGAATAAGGCATTGCTGTTGTTGTTGTTGGCTCCCTTTTGATATACTTTGTCCCAAATACGCAGCGGAAGTGATGCTCCGTGACGGAGCAATGATCCTTGAGGCAACAAGTTTGGTGCCTAAGAAGGAAAAAAAAAAAAAAAAGAGATAAGTACTGTCTGCTGATTACATCCTATAACACAACAATAGTAATAAAAAAAGGATTCTCTTGCATATTTATGTGTGTCTTTGTCAGTTACTCACAAGCAATCTGCACTTGCGCTTGACTCTGCACCAGCTTTGAAACGTTAGATAGAATGTTCTGAGCCGAAAGTCTGTTAATCATCTGTAATTAAAAAACGGGTTGAATGTCCTCCGGAAAGATGATGTCCTATTAGATTAATTCGTGATTTTAAAATGCCGAAGAGGATCAATAATTAGATCTTATTGAGATGTGCAAACCATTTTACCATAATCACGTGGGCATTTTTGTGCATGGTGGATAAAAGTGAGAACATCTTGTCTTTAATTTCTGTTGTTACAATAGACTAAGCTAACGGGTACATGAGTGAAACAAGGAAAAAAAGAAGAGAGATTTTTTTAATGGACAGGGGCCACAGGCACTTGGGAGTTGGTAAGCGACGAAGCAGGGATGGGAGATGATTTGATGCTGCTATTATTATATTTCACCGACAAAGCACTCTCCTCATCCTCTTCGTCCTCATCCTCAGAAGAAGAACAAGCATGACCGTCGGAACGAGGCTTGGGATTAGGGTTCCAAACCGCAAAAGGGCCTTCACCAAAATGATGTGAATGATACAAGCACGAGTTCTGAATTGTGCAGGCCTCAATGGACTTGACCCAAGGATCTTCCAAGACCTCGGACATAAGCACACGCTTCTTTGGATCCACCTCCAACATCTTGGACAGAATAGGGCGGCTCTCACGTGGCATCAGTTTGAGTAGACGAGACTTGCCGGACCCACTAGCATTAGTGAAGGCCTCGAATGAAGGGTCTGCATCCTTACGAGCCAATTTCCAAGGAAAACGACGAAGTGTCATGCAAATAAAGATGATGGCTAGTGACCAGACATCTGCTAGACGGGGGTCATGCTCTTCTGTAATAAAGACTTCAGGGGCAATATAAGGATCTGAGCCAGACACGCCTGAGCCAAAAAAAAAAAAAAAAAAAAAAAAAATGATTAGATGAATGTTTTTCCACACCTCCACGCGACATAAAAATAAATAAATGATAAATGAGCTCACAATTTCCGCTCGTTAATATAATCTCACAAGTTGTAGAGCAACATGCATGAATACACCAAAAAAAAAAAAAAAAAAAAAAAAAAAACCACTATACAATCATTACCTTTTGCCATCTGTATCTGTTTCTCGAATGGTAACCGATAAACAACAGAGCATCCAAAATCAATGATTTTGACAATCCCACGCTCATTCATCACAATATTGTCGAGCTTGAGATCACGATGTGCCACACCCATCTCATGCAAGTATGCCACTCCATCAATTGCGCCCTTGAAACAGCACGCAATTTCATCTCGACCCATCTGGCCCGACATCACTGCTGTAAATAACTCGTATTTGACAAGCTCCATGATCTCATAGTACTGATCTCCTTCTTGAACAATATCTAGAGTCTCAATGATGTTGGGATGATGGAATGTCGAGCCCAAGCAGTACTCTGAAGTCAATTTTTTGATGTAGGCACGTTGAGACTCATTAGGTTTGCGCTTGCGGAATTGCTTGATTGCGAATTCTTTACGATCAGAAACGCGACAGATCACTCGAACAGTTCCTCCTGCGCCACTTCCAATCACTTTGCCAATCTTGCCATACTTCTTGCGCAAATCTGTTTCAATTGCATTCCCATGAGGTCCGTGCGACTTGGCCGAATCACTGCGGAAGTTGGGAAAGGACGATGTCTTTTTAATCTTGGGCGTAATGGGTGCTTGATGATGGTCCACATTGTCTTGACCAGCAGGTAGTGAAGGAGATAAGGTCGGGGAGGTTGAGCGAACCTTCAGGAACCGCTTCAAATCGTGGAAGATCCCATGGGATGTTTCACGACCAGACTTCTTGGCATCACGTTTCCGGGAAAAGAAAGATGCTTTCTTGGCGGGAGATGATGATGCCATAGCAGGTGAGCCCAAGATAAATGAGTTGGCTGTGGATGATGCAACGGAAGAAGCCTCACCATCTAGTTGTGTAACAGGCATTGCCGCTCTTTCTGTCGTTTTTGCCTTGGCAGGAACGGCTATGGGTTGGGAAGGTCCAGGCGAGGCATCCTCCTCAACCGCGGCAGGGGTACTTTGGCATTCATCGCTTTCGCAACATGCCTCAGCATTCACCACAAAAACGGAATCCCTGTCCAGACGGTGTTCTTCAAGAGCATCAGTAAGATTCTGAATTCCTAGCTCCTCTTCAGCCTCGGATTGTTGTTTGGGCGAATGTTGAGTCGAAGACATCTGACGACGTTGAGTCCACTCTTGAATTGAGGAAGGATCATGATGATGATGATGATGATAGTAGTGAGGGGGGATGCTATGATGATGATAGGGATGATGAGGATAGTGATGATGGTTATCATCCTCGTCATTCGAGTTTTGTCGTGAAACATCCATGGAAGTGGGCATCGACAGCAAAACTTCAGTAGTTTCAGAGTTTGTTCTGGTGAGATGTGAATCGTGGATATGGGACGATGAAACAGAGTATTGTGAATTTTGATATACTGGCGAGGAAGGGACTGGGTGAAGAGGACGTAATGAGCTATTGGATCCCTGACGATGAGGAATAGATGCTCCAATGTCTGAGGCCTGCTCTAGACTCGAGACATCTGTATTGTCATCAACCTCCTCTGGATCCTCAGTCAAATGCGAAGCAGCAACCAATTGGGACGACGCATTGTTGGTGGCGTGTAAGGCATGTCGACGAGATTGTTCCACTACTGAAGGTGATGATGCGACAGCTGTTGCGGGCATATCACTGTTGCCTTCTTCCTCCAGGGACAATGAAGAGCAAGCCAGTGGTGAAATTGCAATTGTTCTCTTTGCAGATGGGGTGTTAAATTGAGCAGGATGTGAAGTGGTAAGGGTTGTCATATTGAGTATTGTAAATGAAAAGAGGGGGGGATTTATGTACAGGTATAGTATATTCAATAGAAGCAAGGAGAAGGGAGAAAAGAAAAGAAGAGGTATTAAAGAGTAGAGATGAATTGGATGGTATTAGGAAAGTAAAAGATGTTTAGCAGAAAAACAAAAGCAAGAAAGAAAGAAAAAGGGCTGTGGTGGGCTCCAATGTGACGATCAAGAAGAACAAGAATAATGAATGACTGCTCTCCTTTGGGAACAGGATCGACTTTTTTCAAAAAAAAAAAAAAAAAAAGGGAGGTAAAGATTATGATGTATGATGTGATGGTTGCACTAAACCACCTTGAGAATGATGAATAATACAGAGCGATCAGGAACAAAGTGCAGTGCGAAGTCGATCAAATACGCTGTGATGTTCTAATTCTAGGCCACAGGAAAAGGGGTTGTTGACTTGCGCAAACAGGACTGGAGAAAGCACGGACAAACAGGAAAGGAATACTTAAACACATGTAATCAATAAAAACATTGAAAGTGTGTGCTCCTGTGTTCTTGTGAGGAGTATTTATATCTCAGTAAAGGTAACAAGTAAAGAAGCTGAAAAGGTTGTGTTGGAGAGAGTGGAGAGAGTGGAGAAAGTAGAGATTGTTAAGCCGTTGAGATGTGAAATGGCCAAATGGAGAGGAACAAAAAAAGAAAAGATAAAAGAGATAAAGAAGGTTAAGAAACTTGAATATGAGGAAACAAGATCGAAAGGAAGAACAAAAGAGGAGGTGGGGAGATGGAAGAGAGAGAGAAGAAAGAAAAGAGAAAGAGAGAGGAATTAGGAATCAGGAGAAACAAAATACAAAATGCATTGCGCAGGGCACTCAGAGGGATGTCGAGAAGAGTGTACGGGTAATTTGCGATCAAGGCGTGGTAAAAAGGGCCTCTCAATTTATCCCTTTTTTTAATCTTTTATCTTTTTGCCCTCGTTGTGCATGAGAAAAGAGAATCCCTATTTAATCATTATTTTTATATATTTAAACACAATTAACGATAGCCGCTAGAATTAGTATACAATAAGTATATATAAAATAAATATAAATATATACAGTCGACTGTATATGTATAATATAACTATCATTGTCCTCATTCATCATCATTTTCATCCATTTTCATTACATTTTTAAATTCATAAACTAAACTTAATGCATTAAATAAAAGATCTATAACAATAGAATTTTTTTTTTATACTCCATGCTCCAAACTCTAGTAATGGAACATGTCATATTCACCAACGAAATCTGCTGTCTGCTCTGTATTTCAATGCTGACTTGCTCAAATTTTGATCTCCTGAACGAATAAAAAGCTGATATTCATTTCGCTTCTTTTCATTTGATCATTCATCAAAATGTCTTGAGTTGAAATCATCTCTCCTATAGGTCTGCTGTAGTAGATCCAGCACAAACGGCGCAAGGTGAGGGTAAAGGTGTTAAACATTGATTTACATCAGTTATGATGATAAAATCAGTAATGTTTTTTTTTTTACCGGAATCTCCAAACACGTTGACATGTTAATCTTTCCTTACGAGAGACTATTCTATCAGTCTATCAGTAGAAGGCCTATAAAAAGGAGTATCTCTGAACTTACTTCGATAGGGAAATTAAAATGCCGTGTCAAACTTTGCAAAGCTCCGATAGTGTTCTTGTTTGTACACATTGATGCGGCTATGCGATTTTCCATCCTATCTTAATGCTTCCATGGTACACACGTTTGTTGAGTTCCCTAAGATGTCGAACGGATGTGGGGGAATTGCTCGCCTGTGCATTTTTGTTTCCTGCATGCAATAGTCATAATTGCTGTTCATCATTCATTACATAAAGTCATTGTCAAATCATTATATACCAGATGTTACCAAGATAACAGCTTGTACATAGGAACTAGACAGTAAGACAAAGCCAATAAAAAAAAAGGACTCATTGGGGCCTGCTTAGTCATAAGTTCCTACGTGATTACCGGGAAGAATTGCGAGAGTGTAATGCCATGAGAGAATGTTATACATTAACTTTGTGCGCGATTTTTGGAAGAAGGTTAGTAAAACATGTTTTGCCCTTTTTTTGCTTTCTTTCTTTTTTTTCTTTCGGAAAATCATTTTCGCCAGCCGAAACTGATTGCGCATTTTTTTGTTTTCCTTTTTCTTTTTTCCCCCCAAAATGATTAGATGTGCGTTTTGTAGATACTCTCACACAGCAGGCTATACATCCTTTACCGATATTGGTGGAAGAAAGGGAGTATTCATCTTGTAACAATCGTAATATTATATTTTCTCTATAGACAGATAGTGCACAGGTAACAATGGGCTTGAGCAGGGCATTAGGAAAAATGATCTGCTTCATGTGTTGTTATTATGGTTAGCCCATATGTAATAAATATCCTGTTTTCTAAGCCTTTACTAGACTACTCGCCCATTTGCATCCCAAACGACAATGCCACCCTAGCTGCCAATTCTCGCCTATCATTCTCCGACATAGCCTTGCCTTGCTCTATGTTTTGACAGAAAATTATAAAGATAGAAATATAAATTAGCAGAGTATATAATTGTAATACACTTTATTAAGGCCACGTGGTCATGTTGTTTATTTCATTTATACAGATTGACTCATGCAATGTATGATTACGTATCATTACCTCGAAGTCCCTGTAGCGTGGCAATGGTCTGAGCCATTCCTTCTTCATCGTCAATATTGGCAAACAATGCTCTATGCATAGATCTGATAGATTCTTGGTTCGGTGTGGACATACCACGGACTGCCAGGATTGTAAATCAGAATCGTAAAAAAAAAAAATCCAGATGAGTCTTTGTGAGATGAATACCAGTCAAAGCCTTCCACATCAACCATATTAATCTTGCAGGTGCAACTATTTGCGCTTTTTACCTCCAAAATTGATATCCAAGTCCTCCAACTCTTCGCCCCCAGGGCCTTCAGAGACAACAAAGTCACCAAATTCAAATTCTCCATCCTCATTCAGCTCAAATGATGAAAAATCCTTTTCCAATGAAGAGTCCAATTCCCCTGAAGACTCCTTGCCACCATACTCTGAGGATGTTGTGACAGAGTCATCAACTGGCTGTCCTAGAAACTTTTTAAATTGTCTCTCCAAAGTGCGGTCAATTAGGTCAGACCGTCCTGTTGAATCCTGACTTGACCAAAAGCTTAGCTCATCGCCTTCTAATTCCTTAATCTCATGACCATCGGCTCCAAATTCGTCATCAAAACCATGATCATTGTTTTTACTGGCTCTATGCTCATCTGGGAATGACGAACTAACCCCTAAGCTTGATTGCGAGGACGAAATACCTGGGCCAGGGACAGGTGCGGTAGGAGATGCAGATCGATTATGCATGTTAAGCTCCTGGAGAGCTCTAGAGAAAGCCTTGTCATCACCCTCGTCTTCATCTTCACTATCATCATTGCCATCATAGTCCATTTCTTGTATGTCATCATGCAAGTTCAAGTCAGCTGCATCCAAGTTCATGAGACTCTTTCTCGATACACTGCCTCTCCATGATGAATCCATGTCTATGTCATCATCCCGGAACGACATCATCATACTACGATCGTGTTGTTCACGTTTCTTGCTACTCTTTTTCTTTAATCCATCCCACATATGTGCCGCCAAGGCCTCCATAATTCGATCTAGGCCAACATGTTCATCTATTAAAAAGAATGCATACACGAAGGTAGTCGAATAGGGATGTTAGAAAAAGTAAAGGTAATTGGTGATTCTTTTTTTTTTTTTTTTTTTTTTTTTCTTACCGTGTGTCAAGTTGCTCGGTTGGTCCTCGAGATCAACGAATTCAAAGCCGTTACCGAGACACCATTCATCATAATCATCTACAACCTCCTCTCTTTCAGGAATGTTAAGCCTCTCCTCCTGATGAGGCGAAGGTTTTGGTGCTCCTGTTGCAACACATAGCGTGATAGAGGGTTCGTGTCTCTCAACGAACGCAAGCCATGGCTTTATATCGTAAAATGTTGACGGCTATGGGCATAATGGGTAGTGAATAATAGCGATAATAAAAAAAGATGTGATGTTAGTCGCAAATCAAAGGACAAAGAAACATGTGTTAAAAAAAAAGTCGATTTACCTCGTTTTTGGAAAAACAGAAGATGACAGCTTCCACAACTGCACCCATTTCGTCCAGCTCACCATCCTCGATCATCTTCTCCAGTTCAGCCTTCTTATGGGCCTCTGTTTCATCGATCCAAAAATCGACTTTGACTGAATAATACTTCGTGTCAATAGTCCAAGGGATTGTGACTCCGGAATGATCGGATTTCGGACGTGTAGGTGTGCTAGGTTGAGATTCTCTAATAGCACCAGTAGCAGAATTAACCCCATTTAATGAAAGCGGTTCTTTCCGTGGCAGCGGTGATGTAGGCGGTGATAAATTGTCATTATGTGCCGCAGTTATCGATGTTGAGTCTATAGCCATGTCATCTATGCTTTGATGTGTATTGTTTGGTGGCGTTGAAGTCGAGATACTCTGATTCAATGGTATTCCATGGTTATCTAAAATAGTCTCCTCCAGAGTTGGTACAGGAATAGCAGGTAGGATGAGTGGCGATGACGGTTTTGACTTTGATACCGAAGTTGTAGGAACGAATCTCGATCCTAGGATGGCTGACACGATGAACACAATTGATGTTAAATTCGTTTTTTTATAAAAAAAAAAAAAAAAAAAAAAAAAAAAAACACCATTATAACATACACTGGACGAGCGAGAGTTTCCCCACGCCTCTTCTTCCAACCACAAGGATCTTATTCCGAGGCGGATTGTCTGAGGTGAGCATGGTCAATTAGATTCAATGATGAATGAGACTTTATGAAGGTTGTTGAAGAGTTGTTTTGGGTTGGGGTTACGAAAGAAGTGAGCAAATTAAACAAAAAAAAGTGGTTATTATGCATGGACACATTGGGCACATGGTCACAAAGTGTTAATTTAAAGTAATTCTTTATTTATTCTATATAGTTTCTCGCACATCATACAGGTATCATCCATCAATAAAAAAAAAAAAAAAAGACAAGTTATACACTGGAGGCATCAATGATGTATCTAAAATAAGTGTCAGTCGATTAGTTAATAAGTTGTGGAGGCACGATCCATAGTTATTCGAATTGTTTCTCACAAAAGAAAAAACCTACCCCTTTTTAGTGACTACGCCTCGGCAGGTGATGAATGCAGAGTACTTGAGCACAAAGTTAGGTACAAGGAACTCAGCTGCCACAGGCAAATAAGGTTTCAGCAACAATGCAAATGTTTCCTGTGGTAAAATGTTGGTCAAATCTCCATGGGTCAACAGCTCAATGCCCTCTTCTTTCGCATACTGGATCAGATCCTTGGGCAATACACAGCAATCCTGCAGATTAACTTGGTTCACCTCTGGTGCAATCATCACTCCTTCAGGATCCGCTGCTGCCACCTCCTTTAGCACTTCAAGCTGTTGTTTTGAAAACTCTGCTACACCCAAACGACCAATACGACCTTCATTACGCAATAATGACAACTGCTTCCATACTGGTAATAACATTGTCTGGACTTCAGCTCTGAAGGATTCGAATTCAAGTGCATCAAGTCCATTCTCGTCAAATACTTGATTAGGGAGTGCTAGAATGAAAGTATCCAATTTTATATCTGGGATTCCAAGAGAATATTCTAGATCTGTAAAAGCAACTCTCAAATAATCAACTGATAATGGTCTCCCTGTCCCTACTCCTGTTTCTGTTGCTGCTGGTGGTGATGTTGGTAATGATGAGAGGTAGAACATTTTGACTATTATTATTATTATTATTTTTCAAAAAAGTGCTTGTTAGCTTGAGATGTAAAAATTTGTCCATTTTCATTCAAAGAATTAACAGCAATAAAGACACACCTGTGATCTCATATGACGAGCGATCGGCTTCCAAGGGCCCTATGCTGGTTTCATCTCTAATTATGATGGAATTATTCTCAATGTGAGCGGTACTTAGTGAGTAATACAAGGTGTCCTGGACCGCTGCAACCAGCTACATTTTGTATGACAAAAATAATGATTCTGTTAGTAATTATAATCACATCATTTCGCCCTTTCTCAAGCAAACACCATTACTCAAAAACGAAGTTTCGTCACAATAAAGATCACCATCCCTTCATTCTTGAAAGAATATTTTAATAACAAACAAACAGTTACAAGAATCTCACTTCAAAAATGAAATTTAAACATTGGCTATGACAATGTTGCCTCCTTTTTTCTCTCCTCACTCCAATTTCTTTCTTCATATCTTGCTCTTTACCTCTTGATTCGACTTCTTAAGGTTTGTATTTAGTTGTCCTGTTGTCCCTGTGCGCATAGTGTTGCCGGTATAGAGTGTCAAATGTGAGAAATTGTGATTGGCGAATGCTGAAAGAGACGAAGAAGTAAGAACTGATCCATTGTTGTGTGTTTCTTCTCGCTTGCGCAGTTCGCCACTATGTGCTTCTGATGAAATTACAGCCATGGCTTTAGATATTACTTTCTTTTAAGGATAGATTGTGGAATGAAGATAAAAGAAAAAAGAGGAAAGAAGACAAGAGAGAATTTTTTTATGAATCTAAGCCAAAAGTCATGTGACAAGAGTACCAGGGGAATCTTCTGAAGCCTAGTTTCAGATCATAAAAGGTGCCTGGACTCTTTTCCAATGTTGAATAAATCAAATGATTAAATAGGGCGATGATACCAAAAAAGAATCTTTGGGAAGCCGCGGCAAATGGCTCTTGTTTATAGCCGTTCCATAACTTCCTGAATCGGCGAACGAGTTCCAAAAACAATTCTTGCCTGTTCGGGTAGTAATTTCCAAGCGTCCTTATGGTTCTCATCTTTTATTTTATTTTATTTTTTTTAAAAAGAAAAAACAAATAAATAAATAAAAAGATGAAGCAAAGTGCTTCTGATTGATCCATGAAGCACTCCGCTATACAGATTGATATTTGACATGGACTAAACTGTGTGACACATTCTCCTGGGAACAGATTATAAAGCAGATTGAATATTCAACTCGCTGCTTGTTTAAATTGTATTAAAATATGTTGTGATGAGAGACAATTCATGAAGTGCAGATCTTAGGATAGGGCCAATATCACAAAGGAAAAGAGGAGAAGGCTTCATTTACCAAATCTGAAAATTTCACGCACTCCCTCTCTCAATCATTTTCATTCAATTGAAAAAAAAAAAAAAAAACTCAAGCATGCAAAATCTTGAATCAAAATCAATATATATTTTTTCTCATAGCCTCAAGTTGCTATAATTGAATGCCTATCTTATGAAAACAAGGGAGCTTTTGGACAATAATTCCCGGAATTTTTCTAGCCTTTTTATTTTATTTCTAAGCTGCCCCCCGGAGGTTCCTGAGTACATCGTTTTCATTATCATCTTCATCATCAGAAATGTTCAACTCGCGCTCAAACAATGCAATATCCACATCCACATCTCCCTCCTCCATAAATGTAGCATCCGATTTGGCTAAGCTGTGGTCACGTTCGAAGAGTTGACGACCTATACAGAAAAATAAAGCAAAAAAAAAGTGTTTAAAAGCGATTTTAAACGTATGCAATGTAAGAGTTCGAGATTAAAAAAAAAAAAAAAAAAAAAAAAAAATCTTTACCTGTAGGCTTCAACATCTTTGGATCTTCTTTCTTGGTTCCCTTCTCAATCCTCTCCTTCTCAGCCATCTCTGCATCGAACGCCGCTTTCCATTTCATGAATCCTTCCACTGTGACCTTGGTTCCGGCCTTCCGCCTTTCCTCCTCCTCCAATTCACGCCGTTCTCTTTCAAGTTCTTCTTCCACGCGTCTGGTTTTAATCTGTTGAACGATCTCTGTTAATGTATCCTTTGCAGTCGAGGCCATTGAGAAGACCATACCCATGCCTATTGCTTCTTCCGCCTTATAGGAATGCAGGAAGAAATGAAAAGTACCAAATTATTATCAATGTTGTAAGTATATGGATGCCCTGAAAAATACATGTAATCCTAAATCTCAAAACCTCTAAAAACACATTTCGTTACAACTCTCTTTTTTTTTTTTTTTTTTTTTTTTTGGGCACTCTCCAAGTATTACCGATTCAGTAACTTTCTTCATGATCGTATCAAAATTCTCTTGATCTAGTTTTCCTTCCTCCATGTCAATTGAAAAGTCGGGCAGCACATCAGGATATGTTTCTGTATATTTGACATGCAATTTGATCGAATCTATCACAGAATTTGCAGAGTTAATTTGTTTAACTTAGTAACAATATAGCAGTATGAAGCAAAAAATAAAAAAAATAAAAAATAAACAAATGCATCATTTATAAAGTGATATAGTGATAGACTTACAAGTGTTCTGGCCATCCTGTTCGTCAGAGACAATAAGGATTTTGAACTCGCCAGGGTCGGTAGAGATCTCTTCGTATTCATCAGGGTAGATGGATTGAAGTGCTTCTAATTCATTAGCCTGCTCCTCCTTGTAATCTATTTTCAACACAGGAATAATGTCGAAAGTGTATGTGAGCGCAGAATGTTGAATTGTCACTCACAATGTTTTATCGCCTTATGCCCTCTTGCTCCTTTTCCTCCTTCTTGCTGTAGTCTAGTTTTTTCTGATGTGAGCTGATTCCTGTACCTGTCATGGCGAGTTCTTGTCTAGTAATAAAAAAGGGTGAGAGGAATGCCTTTCAACTTCAAAAGCTCCAGCTCCATTGAGATCCAATGCCTAAGCCACACTGATTTGACAATTTGTATTCATTTCTTAATGAAAGTATATACATTAATACAGTAATACAAATATTTTAATAAAAAAATGACTCTATCCTTTTTTTTAAGCAGATTTATCATATGCAGCATCATGGACCTTCTGAGCACGTCCAGAAGGATCTGCAGGGCATCCCCAATCGCCACGAGGGATCCAACGGACTACAGACTCTGTGCATGCCTCCTGAGGGAACCATTGCTCAAAGATCTCGCGATACCAGTATGCCTCCTTGGTCTGGGGTGTATCCTTGGGCCATCTCTCTGCAGCTTTTACAAATTCTTCATCCGAGACCTTAGTCAAAGCAGTTTCCTTCAATGAGTCAATCCAACTGTATCCAACACCATCTGAGAACTGCTCCTTCTGTCTCCACAGAATCGAATCGGGTAAATAAGGCTGAGCAGTGGGGTCATCCTTAGTATCAAATGCTCGACGAAGAATATACTTCTCCATTCGACCCTTACTCTTGGCCGACATCTTTTCTTCTGGATCAACATTCATAGCCACCTCCAAGAAGGCCTTGTCCAAGAAGGGCACGCGAGCCTCTACACCCCATGCCATTGTTGATTTGTTGGCACGCAAGCAATCTGCATAGTGCAAATTCTTGACACGACTGACAGTCTCCTTGTGGAGCTCAGCAGCGCTAGGCGCAGCGTGGAAATAGAGATAGCCTCCAAAAATCTCGTCTGCACCCTCTCCAGAGAGAACCATCTTGACTCCCATGGCCTTGATCTTCCTGCTGAGAAGATACATGGGAGTAGAAGCACGGATCGTTGTGACATCATATGTCTCCAAGTGATAAACAACATCTGCGACGGCATCGAGACCTTCCTGAACTGTGAAAGTGTACTCATGGTGAACTGTCTTCAAGTACTCTGCAGCAACACGGGCAGCGGCCAAATCAGGCGAGCCTTCCAAACCGATTGAGAATGAATGAAGTCTTGGCCATGAAGCAACTGCACTCTCGTCGACATCATCTCCGTCACGGTTCAATGGAGTTTGTCCATCAACGATCTTCTGGGTTTCTCTTGCAGCAATCGAAGCAATCAAGCTGGAGTCGAGACCACCGCTGAGCAACACACCGTAGGGTACCTCGGACATCAATCTCTTGCGGACAGCCTTCTCCAAAGTTTCACGGATTAGTTGGTAGTCAACAGGGGAGGTTGGAATCTTTTCAGCATTCCACCAAGAAGGCTCAAAATAGCGTGTGGTCTCTCCAGTCTCTGAATCAAAGATATGACCAGGGGGGAAGGCAAGGATGCGATCACACTCCTCATTCAGAGACTTCAATTCAGAGGCGAAGTAGATAGTGCCGGGTTGTTTGCTGTTCCAGCCCTGGTAAAGAGTAGTAATACCAATAGGATCACGAGCTGCCAAAATCCTGTTCTTCTTTGTGTCCAAGAGCACCCATGAGAACATACCATCGAGGTGCTTTACGACATCAGCTCCGAGTTGTTTATACTGGAAAAAGTAACCAGATTCAAAATAAAGTAGAATATAGGTAGTTTATAAAGTTAGTAAATAGACCAGTATTCAAGAAAGTAGTATTAGAAGAACAGAGATTTTGTCATATAACATACAAGATGGAGAATGACTTCGCAGTCGGACTGGGTCTTGAAATGAGTGTCAGGGGGGCACATCTTACGAAGAGCCTTGTGGTTATAAATCTCTCCATTGACTGACAAGATCAAGGATTCATCGTCGTTGGTCAAAGGTTGGGCACCAGAATCTAATTTGTTTGAAGAAAAGAAAAAAAAAAAGAAAAAAAAGAAATAGATCATTGATCAGTCGAACATTGTGATATGATAACTTTATCTTTTCTGTTTGACTGAGAGCGGAGCGCCGATTTCTTCCTCATTCTCCGGATCGAGTCATCAGTTTTTGCCTTTTTTCGAAAAATTCTCCGTGCACAAACTTTTTTTTTTTTTTTTTTTTTCTGCACCAGCCAGTCTGTCCCACATTAGATCCTCGTCGTGATAATTTTTCTTGTTCCAGCCTCAAAAGAATTTTATTGACGAGTGACTCACCAACACCAACAATAGCTAAACGCTCGTGGCAAAGAATATGTTTGCCAGCAATAGTGCATCCACTCCAGTCGGGACCGCGGTGTCTGAGCCTAAATAGAAGTTGAGTAAGCAAAAAAGATGGATTAGAAAAACGAGTATTGTAAATCTACACCGCACAGTTGAAATGTTTGATCTAAAGCCCCTTTTTTGTTAATATTCTCTGATCCTTCATTGTCGTTGTTGCCATCGAATCAATCATTAATTTCTGATCAGACCATAGTCTGATCTGGATAAATGGTGCCAATTTTTTAAGTTCCTGTTAAACTGTTGAATGGTAGTCTGCTTATGCTCGCTTTGTAGGAGACTTACTTCTTCGAAAGAAATAGAGCACGCTGACGGAACTCAGCAGCGTTGCCAGGGAGGTTGTAAACACCAAAGATACCGCACATTGTCTTTTGCTACTGAGTGAGAAAAGAAGAGTAGGATATAGTTCTAAAGGAAGGAAGAGGCTTCAAGGATAACGACAGATAAACGTGTCGAAGGAAAGAGAACTGAGGTGGGCAGCAAAGGTAAGGGGTGAACAGAGACAAAAAAAAAGTAAAAGAAAGAAGAAAAGTAAATGGAGGACTGTGAGAAGCCCTTTATAAAAATGGGAGGTCAGAAGTGATAAGAAAACAGAAACCATGACTCGAGGCATTATTTTGTTCTGATCTGTTTTGATCCGACCAATCGCCATTTTTCCCCTTTTCCGCACTCAAGGGGCAGAGGAATTTCAACTCAGCTTCATCAAACAAGGTGCCTGTCATGAATCAAAGGCTAAAAATTTCCTTTTGTTTATGACTTTGACTGCTCCAAATCAAAAAATAAATGACTAAAGCTTCGAGTCATGGTTTTAAAACTTAAAATAGAAACAGAAAAGGCTAATTTCTCAAAATTCCTGTATTACATTTCTTCCTATTTTCTGAAGCTGCATGCAACAAGTGGGTCACAATAAACAGCAAAGCTCATTTCTCCAAAGCTCGCTATGCATCTAGAACAACTAATGCCCGTTTATTTTATGCACCAAAAAAAGGTATATAAAAAAAAAGTTGTGATAGGAAGGCTCAGCCATTGTTGTGCTGAATGGATGCTTGCACCTAGTCTACGTTCGCACCTGTTTTGGCGCAGGAACAGGAGCAGCCATGGTCCTTTGCAGTTTTACCTCATTAAAAAAAAAAAAAGGAAACGCGATGTACACTCGAAACAGTTGTAGATCAAGCGATCGCAGAAATGTTCGATGTTGTAGAAGATCCTCATAAGTTCTCCCCTGAAGAACTTCGAATGCGACTTAATGGCACTCACCTTTGCCTTGAGCATGTTGTGAAACTTAACACCAAGAAGACGGCTCTATTATCCGCCAACTCCATGTCTTAAGCATGACCACCGATATCACTACAGTGATGTCTCCTTCGAATTCTTGTCGCGCGACTCTTAATCAAACATTCAATATTCAATGCATGGAGGATTAAACTCATCAGCGAGATGAACACAAACAATGGCGGTGGCAGCACAAAATATATTCGTCCGTGATCAACGCGCGTTTGATGCAAGGGCCACTTTCGCAACCCGAGTTTAAAAATTAAGCTTTGGATAGTAAAAAGTCCAATCAATGGACATGAAAAATGAATTAGCTGTGTTATTACTCGCTTCATTTGGAAGAAGTCAGTGAAGAGAGAAAAGGACATTGAAAGATCAAAGCAGACTCAGATTGAAGTTGTAGGAAGAAGGAGAAGACAAAGGAGCATTGGACTATTGTGTAGCGGACGGTATGGAAGTATAAAATAGTGTTCATTCGCGAAAAATCTGATTGCACCTGATGCATGACATAAATGAAGGAGTGTTTTTTGTGACAAAATATAAAAAACACGCATACTTTCCATTTAAAACATTATGGAACTTTATTAGTCTATAGCACTATTGTTTGGATATCAAGCCTATCACCTTCTGCCAGTCCAATCACTTCAGCCACTTTCCAAAGCAGATCTTTATCATCGAGTCTGATGGCACCAGAGCGGCCCAAGGCCAAGTATGTACATGAATAGCTGTGCCGGTGGCCTTACTGAATACTCTTGATCATGATTACGGCCGCCTGTAATTATACAACTCATTTGGGACTCAAAATCCTTTGATAGAGATACTAAAATAAATACCTTCGAGGATCTCGCAAGATTTCGGCCAAGGCGATATCCTTACTTGAGTTGATGGAGAAGGATCCGCAATGATAGAATCCATTAGGTTGAGTGATGAAATATACTATATTTAAACTTTCGAACCAAGAGAAAAGCTTTGGAGCTCAGGCAACTCATTCCTAATGGAGCATTTGCCTACAATCTAAGCAATCCATTGCTTTGCCTATCCGTCTATGATCAGGGTTCTCTGAAGCACCCATTTATGCTGATATAATAATACCTTTTATTTGCATATAATATGAGACGCCTGCACAGGACAAGCCTAGTTATTCATAAACCAAGATCAACACGAACCAACGAATTGGAACCCTTACTGCGTCAACAATCCTGTGTTTGTCATCTTTCGGACACCAATCTATCGAGCACTATAACTTGGCTGTCGAGAAATATGAAGACTTATTTTATTTGCCTGGAAATAGGGGTCGTATAGCTGACCATGACGATCAAATGATAACTCGGCTTCGGTACTCATGTTCGTCTTCCTAGTGAAAGGCTATGTGAAGTCGAAAGAAGGCCGACTAGAGCTAATGCTGGTGATGAGTAATCCAACCATATGCTCAGATGCTGCATCTGTAGTTGACTCTGTCTTGACATGTCTTATTGATGGGCTCCCTTGAAGGAGGAGACGTACTTGTCATCGAAGAACTCCAGAACTAATGTCAATATGGATACTACTGATAATGATGATGTCGCTCGATATGTCAACATTGCGTGCCTATTCGCCCACAGTGGTTATGAGTGTTCGAATGTGGGTGCAGGTCCTAACTAAGGTACCGGTTACGGCTGCGGGTAACTCTTGTGAACGGTAATCGCTTGACCCCAGTCAGTTATTTTTCTAGACATTTAATCCACATGGTGGTGTTTACACTACGAAAAAACAATTTTATTTTTATTATCATAAATATAACTGCCTCTCACTTCCTAGTTTTTTTTTTTTTTTTGTTAATCAAGGCCATTTCTCAGTCCAAACACCTCCTTCGATACTGTCTGTCCAGTCTTCCTTCATTTTCTCTAGGAATGCATCCTTCTCAACATACTTTTGGACAACCCATTCACTCAACTTTTCATCATCTTCAGGCAGATCTTCAATCTTATAACGTTTCACATGTACATGAAATTTATATTCGGGTGACAGCTGGGCTGTGTGAACACGCACCAGATCTGGGGGTACGCCAAATCCTTTCGTCTTGTGGTAGTATGCGAATGTGAAATCTAGTGGTAGTAAGGCACCGTATAGTAGCGGAACGAGTCGTTAACAATTAATCTGGAGTCAAAATCGATCGTTTTTTCAACATTAATAAAAAACCTCTGTCGATCCATTACCATAGATACATTTGACATGTGTGCCTCTAAACTTGTTGACACAGGCAATAAAACCCTTTGTTCTAGGCATCATGACATTCGACAGCAAGGGCAAACCGCGTGAGAGCATGAACTTTTGTGACGCAGCCAACTTGCTGGGTGTCAGACGTGAGCCCTCCAAGAAACTGGCCACCCAGACGGGAGCCTGGATCTCCAATATCCGCGCAAACATTTTGTTAATCTTGACTTGGTCCTGTTGCCAGTTGCGGTTGATGAACAACATACCCATGATCCACATGCCCCATCCGTAAAATGGAATCTATGAGCATTATTCATGCAAGCAATGAGTAGTAATAGTAAGAAAAGAGAGAACATTTTTCCAGTTAATACCTTGAGGACAAAAAAATAAACAAATAGAAACAAAGACCGCAGGATAATTAGCGAAGTCTAAAACTCAAGAAAAGTAATATCAAATGACAACACTGCCAGAAAAAAAAAAAAAAAAAAGCTTACATATTTGAGCGAGTCTTTGGCAAAGTACTAAAAAAAGGAAATGGGTATCATTAGCGGCTATGCATAAACGTCGCTTTAGGATGGAGATATGACTGCGATATGAAGATCCGTGTCATGATTATTTTACTTACCTTCATGTAATTAACCATGCCTCTCCTGGCAGCAACCGAATGGAACATGTAAAAGTCAACAAACGACCTGTGATTACCAAAGACAATGGCACTCTCATTGTGCGGAACTTTATCACCCGAGAAAGTTATTGCAGCCTTGTGCCTTCTCTGAATGATTCACGTTCGGATTAAAAGTATAAGATCGAAGAAAGTTAGGAAAATATTTAATACCCGAAGACCGCACTATCCCAATAGCAGATCTTTCAACTACTATCCGTGATTAGTATAATCGATCCTGCTACCGTGTTATTCTGTTGCATTGTCCTGTGCTAATAATCAATTGCTTACCTCCATGATCAACTATCAGTTTTTTTACAAGATCAAAAAACGTAAAATCAGGTTAGTTTCCTTCCCCTGCCCCAGATTCAGCGTCAATCGTCAGATGAAAACATGAACAAACCTGCATGATTTTCCACATAGAACCGGCAACACGGGCATTCACCTCAAAGAAGAGACTTTTCGAGAAAGGTCTCAAGAGCAATGAAAACACCTGCACAACATTAAGTAACGAACAGAAGCTTAAGAAAAAAAAAAAAAAAAAACGTTAACGCTTTCTTCCGAATAAACAACAAGAATAAAGATCTAGTACTATTTTTTTTTTTTTTTTTTTTTTTTTTTTGGCAATAGCTGAATATGAATGAGAAGAGAAGCTCATCCGACCGACGAGGATGTGATTTCAATGTGTACCTGAACAAAGCGGTTCCGTAGGCCAGGGCCATTGCAGGCCGAGTGACAGTCTCGAACATTTGTTTAGGCGGGGTGTAAAAAGGGACAGTTGCTGTGTTCAATGATCTGTATTGATTAATTTCAATGAAAGAAACAATTGGCGATGAATAGGAATAGGAATGAGAAGTAGTATGAACAAGTTCAAGTGAAAAGATGTGGAGAAGGTTTATAAACAAGAAACACACGGCACTAATTTTTTTTTTTTTTTTTTTTTTTCTTTTCCTTATTCACTCCACCAAGGCAGCCACGAGAACAACCTTGCAGTTGCAGGGTCTCGGAAGTGGAGGTATGAAATTGCCTTGAAAACAAATAGATTAAGGGGTAAACAACAGTACGCATGTGGAGCAACACCAGAGAACTTATGAAAATGATTGAGTGGTGCGTGCCTAGTTAAGCAAATCATCGATCCACCCAATCACTCACACCCGCAGCTCCCACTCTCTTTCTTTCTCTTCTACTTTTCTCAAAAATGAACTCAGTTTACATGCGGTCTGTGATGCTGAATTAGACTCGAGTGGGCTCAAGCACAGACCATTTTTACTCTTCTTTGTTCGTGTGACAGTTTGAGTGACATGGTGATGATAATGGTGATTACATGAATAAAAATAAAAAATAAAAATGGCGGATAAGTCACTGATGTCTGATTACCTATTCCTTGTCTCACTTTCACCTCATTCTTTCTCACTTTTACCTCACTCTTTCTTCCTTTCTTTGTCCTATCTCTTTCCCTACTCTTGATACCTACACAATTGAGATCCACATTCACATCTATTGCATATTTTGTCCCCTTCATTTGCACGTGTGCTATCTGATACCATCGTGGGCTTTCTTCTTTCTACTTTCATATTCATAGAGCACAGTTTTCTAATCTCGAAAATACATCCTTTACAACCATGAACTCAACACAGCACGACCATTCCTCTCCTATTCATCTCTCCGCTCTGACCTCGAGAGAGTCTCAACAGCAGCAGCCACAGCAACAACAAACTATGCAGTCATTGGCCAAAGTTACAAATGCTAATAAGATCCAGCCATATAGTTCAAATGAAAAGATCCTCGATTTGGACCAGCAAGGTAATAAACAACCAGACCAGCTTCAACAGCCACAGCCACAACCTCATCAGTTGGAACCACTACAAAGATCTCAGCAGCATGAAGGTAGTGATCCGGAGAAACAGACCATTGAGCCTTCAGGCAAAAAACTTACGCTCGCCAATCTTGTGGATCGAGTACGTGTTGCTCAACAACAAGAACAACAGCAGCAGCAGCATCAATTGCCTGAGACGCAACAGGGACAACCTCTCCATCCCTCAACAATTACGAATGATCATCCATCGCATCAGCCTGCTCCCACGCATACCTCAGAGCCAATACACCCTTTAGATCATGGTAAGAGTTTTTTTTTCTCCCTACCATTTCAGATGATGAAGGTTAACTGGGACTTCAAGATCGATATTAACATGATGGAGATCAGAAAGGGTGACTATATGCAGAGGGTACTAATCCTCGATAGATAACTACACGTTATTAAATTTTTAAAATCATTTCAGCCGAAATGGCAGAGGATTAAGGATTGACCGGTTGTTTTGATATTCTGTCTCTACCCTGCATCGTCTAAGACATCACTAATTTATTTTTAAAAAAAAATTTTGTTGTAATCATTAACAGTAGATTCTTCACATACCAAGCTGACGCCACGGAAGCATTCCTCTCGTCCAACCTCGATAGTTCACAATGCATCTGAAGATTCTGACCACCACAAGCACCATCTTCATTTTCAGAGGCGTCGCAGCGGTGAAAGCCACGGAGATAGAGGGCATTCTGCCCACCTATTCCCAAAGATCTTTAGCAAGGACGGTGTTCGAAATGCTCTAAAGCTGAAAAGTGCTACTACTGCCTTTACAAAATCAAGGGACTTAGGTAATGTTGAGATCCCCGTTGCAGCCATAGAAGTAACAGGATCCGCTATCCCTGCACTCTGGCTTCGAAGAGATGATAAAGGCCGTCGACCGGTAAGACTTTGTTCCTGTTCTTTTTTTTTTTTTTTTTTTTTTTTTTTGCCTCGGTTTTGGATTCAACGCACTACTTTCTATTTTTGCATGAGCAACCACAAAGCCTGTTGAAGGAGCAGGGCTCACAGCCCTTCATTTCCATGAAATGTTAATGTTACGCATTGCTAAAATTGGTTATGATTTTTTTTTTTATTAGCCTCCTGTAATCTTCCAGATGCTTAAGGTGCGTTTTTTATTCATTCTGTGTTAAATACGTGGTGATTGAAATACACATTACAAATAACTCTAGCACTAATTATCATTCAACCTTCCTTCTTGTAGGTTGCGGTGACTGATTCTAAAATTGAACCCGGTTTGGCTAAACACATTATCTTCCGTGTTGAACTTCAGTATGGTGATGTTAAATGGGTTATCTGCAGAACTCTATATGAGTTTTATAAGCTCCATCTCATCCTCGCTGCTAAGCGTTTCGAGAACCTCCCCAGCTTCCCAAACCAGGTGAGAACAAGTTTTCTTTCTTTTTTTTTTTTTTTTTTTTTTTTTTTTGGCACATGTCATGTATTCATCCTATTTTCGTCTTTTCTTCCTTCTCAAAAATGACATCTTGATTTTCCAACGGAATAAAAAAAAAAAAAAAATACTTGTTTTAGCTCACATATGCCTTCTCAATAGCAAAAGCCAGTTGGGGTATGGAGGGCCAGGAAAAAATGAACTATATACGTGAAACAAATTTTACTCGACGCCGTGCACTTCAAAACTATCTCTTAGAAGTCCTTCAAAAGCTCAACTGGACGATTGCGTATGATCTATACGAGTTTCTGGAAATCTCCGCCATGTCATTGACTAAAGATATGGGTTGGAAGGGTAAAGAGGCATATGTGGACACCAAAGTCACGGATAGTTCGCGTACGATCTGTGGCTTTAAAGGAATTTCGCGCTGGGAAAAGAATTGGGCGATTCTGCGTGATTCTTACATGGCCTTCTGTTCGAGTGTTGGATCTGAGGAAATGACGGATGTGTTCTTGTTTGATCAAAACTTCTTTGTTGAACAAAAAGGACATTCTCTCGGATTGAATATGCATCATATCGAAATTGGAAATATGCATCGAAGGATCGAGATTAAAGGAGATCATAACAGAGAGATATTAGAATGGATGGAGCACTTCAATAAGATGAAGCAGGCCAGTCCTTGGGTCAGATCTCACCGGTTTGGCAGTTTTGCTCCTCAAAGAGAGAATGCAAAAGTACGATACTATGTCGATGGAAAGGATTACTTCCATGCAGTGTCGGATGCGATCATGGCGGCCAAGACAGAAATCTATATCTGTGACTGGTGGCTCTCCCCTGAACTGGTAAATTGGGAGGATTGTGGACGCCAAAGAGATCAAAAGAGGTAGAGGATGGAAGGGGTATCCAAGCTGACATTTGACTTTATATTACACACACTTTTAGTATCTCCGCCGCCCTCCAGAAAAGAATGAGGAATTCAGACTGGATCGATTGCTGAAAAAGAAGGCTATGGAAGGCGTCATGATCTACATCGTGGTTTACAAGGAAATTTCGCTTGCCCTATCTCTCGATTCTGCGCATACGAAGATCTGGCTCCAAAATCTTCATCCAAATATTCAAGGTAAAGAAAAAAAAGAAAAAAAATGTTCGATATACTTTTTGACCTACAGCTTAGCTTACAAAAAAATGTTTTCAGTCCAACGCCATCCCGATCATATCAGCGTGAATGCAACACAATTTTGGGCTCATCATGAGGTAGGGATTCCGGACATCATAAAAAAATGTTGCCTCGTATTGTTGCTCTCCTTAATAGTATTGACTTTCTTTTATTTTATTCAGAAAATCTGTGTCATTGATTGCCGACTGGCTTTCATTGGTGGTTTAGATCTTTGTTTTGGGCGTTATGACAGTAGAACACATCAGCTTTCGGATTATCATCCCTCTGGAAAGAGTGTTATTTGGCCTGGCCAGGATTACTCAAACCCGCGCATCAAGGACTTTGTGAACGGTAATGAACTTGAGGCACTCTTTTTTTCCAAAGGAAAAAAAAAAAAAAAAAAAAAAAAAAAAAAAACTAAACAAATGTTTCTATTATCATTACTACTTCCACATCTAGTCAAAAAATACAGCACCAATATAATTGAAAGAAAGCTCCTTGCGCGTATGCCATGGCACGATGTGCACATGAGCATGGTAGGGCAAGTGGCGCGTGATGTCGCTCGCCATTTCGTGCAAAGATGGAACTTTGTGAAAAAAGAAAAGGGCATGAAGAAATCGCACATGAAATTCTTGGCACCCAAGGGTGAGTTTGTGAGTACACGTAATGAGAGGGGATGGACAGGTTCACAAAAGGTGCAAATATTGAGGAGCAGCACTCTTTGGTCCCAAGGCGTGAATCTGGAACGCTCTATCCAAGATGCATACTTGAGTAGCATTGAAAATGCAGAGCATTTTATCTACATTGAAAACCAGTTTTTCGGTAAGTAAAGCAAAGAAAAAAAAAAAAAATAGTCATTGGTGGAATGCAGTGCTTAGCGAAGTTGGCTAAATGATCCTTCACCTCAATTACTTAGTTACTTTGGCTGCTGAGAATGGCAACGCAAGTATCAAGAACACGATCGGTATTGCGCTGGTAAACCGCATTTTGCGTGCGCACAGAGAGCGTAAAAAATTTCGTGTGGTTGTGGTCATGCCACTTATGCCTGCTTTCGAAGCCGATATAATGGCTGGCGATGCGGGTACGCTCCGCAAAATCATGCATTTCCAATACGTCTCGATCTCCCGTGGCGGGAACTCGGTGTTGGAGCGATTGATCGCTGAAGGGGTCGATCCGGACCAATACATTGGCTTCTTTGGTCTTCGTAGTTTTGACAGGATCAAACATGGAAAATTCGATGCAATTGTTGAAGCAGTCAAGGAGGCAGAAATCAAGCAACGGAGGGAGAGAGTGAAGCTCGCACAGGATGGGCAACAGCAAGAGCAGCAGCAACCATTACATATGGAAGATAGTGCGAATCAAGATGAAGATGCAGCTGTGAAAGCAGATAGTCTACTGGATGTGGATTCGGTGCTGACCGACGATGATTTAATAGAAGACAGCTCGCTTGCATCCAAGTTTCTTCTGCAACCGATCCCAAAGGATGAAGAGGCTAAAAGAATTAAGGCTATTGCAAGCCAACGCAAGGCTCTAGATGAGCAGAGGACATGGGATGAAAGTATAACAAAACATGCTATGAGCCCAGCTACGAAGGAACTCGGATATGTCCCTGCTACGACCGAAACTTCATTAGCGGATAAAGAGATCAACGAAGAGATCCAACGTGAAACCATGGAAGCAGAGATTGCTGCTGGAGAGCACAACTTCAGAAGAGTAGGAGAAAAGGGTCCTAGACTACTGGATGGACTTGGAACCATGATGCATTCAGCAATTGAAAAGATTAAGGGCACTAAACAAGACGGCAACCTGGAGCCGCTACATCGTCGGGTTGGCCAAAAGCCCAAAGCACAGCGCCTGCGTCACCCGATTCGACACCATCGTCACCATCACCACCACCATCACCACGGCCATAGCGAACATTCCGACGATGATGATGCGGATTCTGTGGAGTTGGAGCTGGAAGAGTTACGAGAAAAAGGTTTTATACGCGGATATGAGGACTTTGGTAAAGAAGTTGCGCCTAAACCTGCATGGGACGAGAAAGAGGTCGCTACTCATGAACCCAAATCGACTGTCGAGTCTGCTCCTACTGCCAGCACTACTGAAGTTGGTGAGCAGATTGGAGCTGGCACCTCTGTCAGTGGTGGTGCATACCCCGCACGTCATCCGAAAGCGGACATACCTGAAGTTAAGGTGGAGAAGCCGATCGTGGATGACGAAGTGGATGACTTTGTAACAGAACAACTCTACATCCATAGCAAGTTGATGATTGTTGATGACAGGATTATTATTTGTGGATCAGGTAAAAAAAAAAAAAAAAAAAAAAAAAACGAATAATAGAAGAAAGGAAGCGAAGGAAAGAAGGAGAGGGTTTATTGAAGGCTGTGAGGACAAAGATTAACCTGAAAAATCTATATACATATATTTATTCTCAAATCCCCTTTAGCTAATATCAACGACCGTTCGCAGCTTGGTTACCGTGACTCTGAGATTGCAATAATCATTGAGGATACTGAGATGGTTAAATCGCGTATGAATGGTGAACCAGTAAGTTATTTATTCACCTTTTTTTTTCGCCTCCTCTCCATACCTTTCACTCTTTCATTGTTAGATATCATTATGACTTTAGTTCATTAAGTGTCTTTGGTAACCTGTATTTCCTTTTAATAATACTAATTTAGTATCAAGCTGGTAAGATGGCTCATACTCTTCGCTGTGATCTTTTCAAGGAGCATCTCGGACTACTGCCCCATGTGGAGCATGATGTTGTGACTAGTGCCTCAGTATTGCCTGTAGATCTAAACGCGCCTGATCGAGACCCAGAAGAAATGCGTTTAGAGCTTATTCGTAAGGTGAATGAGCAACAGCAACACCAGCAGCAACATCAACAGCAAAATCAAAAAGAAATTCAGTCTTCATCGGCGACTGGCGCTGGGTTGGACACACTGCTAGAACACTTCAAGAAACCTCAGTATCGCTTCAGTGATGGCGTCGGCCATCTCGAGATCCATGAACCCGATGCTGAAGAAAGCGAAGCGATCAAACGCTGGCATCGTGCTGCTGCTGGCGCTGGCGCTGCTGCTGGCGCTGACGCTGCTGCTACTACTGATCCTTCTGTTGATGAAAATAACAGTGGCTCGGCTGAATATGGGTCCGCTAAAGGGGCTGTTGCTGCTGATCCACATACAGCGGATCGGATTGTTATGGACCCGATCCACGACTCGTTTTATGAGGGTTGGTGGAGACGTGTAGCAACTTTGAATACGGAGATCTTCCGAGAAGTCTTTCGATGCGTACCTGATGACACGGTCGAAACTTGGGATGAGTATAGAGCGTTTGTCCCCGACCCTAAAAAAGTCCTTACGGGTCATGTGGCCATGGAAGGCGCTACGGTCGAGAAAGTCACTGAGCGATTACAGAAAGTGACGGGGCATTTGGTCGAATTTCCTACAAGATTTTTGTGCAGAGAAAATTTGCTTGGAGGCGTAGTTGAAGGCGCAGTTGTACCAATGGAGATTTTCACATAGAGGCAAATACCAATATATTTATTTTATTCTCCTTTTTGAGAAAACTCGTGATAGAATTTTGATGAATCAAAAAAAAAAAAAAAAAAAAAAAAAAAAAAAAAAAAAAGGGATGCATACATGTGCAAGATAGATAAGCTCTATGAGAATAGTTTCCTTTTTTTTTCACTTGATTGTTTGCTTGCTTGCTTGTAGCTGCCTTAGAGTGAAAGAAAAGAAAGGCTTCTAGGAGGTGAACAGTCTCTAGATACTTACTGACAATATTTCGTAGGCGATTGAAACGGTGCCAAAATACCCAGACTATCCTGAATTGACTCGAGCAATAAAAGAATGTCGTTATTAGGGAAGTATACTTTCTTGTAAATACACTCTACACTTTTTTCTTTTTTTTTTTTTTTTTTTTTTTTTTTTCTAGAGCGTCGGAGACATCTTGGTGCTGCGCTGGTATAGTTGTTTGAGGAGCTGACGGCAGACAGATTGACAATTCGACCTTGCCTTCTACGTTGGACGCGTGGTCCTAAAATTTGATCCGCCCACCTTAAAAAAAAAGCCTATCTCAAAATCCGATTGACCTTCTATACTGATGTTATGAAGTTTATGCAGTAATCAAGATAAGTGGCAAAGATGCTAGTATAAGCCTTACTTTCCAAAATGAACTCTACTTTTCTGTTGTATGAGAGCACTACGACAAGAAAAAAAAAAAAAAAAAAATCCGCAATCCTGATCATTAGGGACTAATGTTGTGAGAAAGACCAACCGTGCCTTGACTCCTTCTCCAGAAGTGTTGTTGAGGATCTTGGTATTGAAAAAGTAAAATGAGATAAAATATGATAAAAGAAAGGTAATGGCGTATCAGTAAGTCTGTGGAATGATGGTTAAAAAAAAAAGGCTTTTTGTCGGTGATATTTGAATTGACTTGTTTACTGTTGCAAAGCCAATGCTCAATAGAGCGGAGAGCCTACGACGCGTGTCCTAGAAACTTTTTGCTTTAGATTTGATTTTAGACTTTGGTTTCAATGGAAGCATAAAATTTTTTTAAGGCTGCAGATTAGTTGTTGAATGCAAGATGTTATATTTTTCTGTGGTTTTTAATGCACTTGGAACTGATTCGATCATATTTCAGACTCCACAGCTTCACTTTAATAATGAAATAGTAAATAGGGGTTGATTGTCAGGAAATAAAGATGGCAAACAGATCATCACCCGTATCTAATGCATTTGAGGCTTATTGGTCAATGATGAAGAACGCGATATGATGATTTGTGTATGGTTAAATAATAAGTCGATTTATTTACTAAATTTAATGGGGAGGGGGTTGCCTTTGCTGCGATACTTTGGGAGGTACAAAATAATGATAAAATCGATTGGTATTTGACTTTTTTTTTCTAATGAAATAATAATCCCGATTTCTTTTTTCCTTTGCTTTATCTATATTTTTGTATATTGTTGCTTCTGCTTTGTTTAGTTTTTGTTTGTTTGTTTGTTTACTGCCGAGACGAGGGGTCTTGAGGATAGCTAGAAGATCCACTTCTTGAGTGCGTTTGAGACCCTGTGCTTCCTGGTGCTGATACCGTGGGGGGTTGAGCATATGCCTGTTGCTGGTATTGCATGTACTGTTGAAATTGGTCCTGTGAGACCTGATAGAAATGAGGGTCAATAGCCTTGAAAATAACGCGAAGTAAACAAATCGATAGGTTAGGACATGATGTTGACAAACAATTGGTGGCAAAACATTAAAAGATTGGGGTAAAGACTTTTTTTTTTTTTTTTTTTTTTTTTGGGTTCGATGCCGTCATTATTGTATTCTTACATGAGGATATCCAGTGAGTCCTCCAGGACCTTGAGGGTAATATTGAGCATATTGTTGTTGGTGTTCGTCATAGACCTCGGGCTTGTTAAAAAAAAAAAAAAAGTCAGCTCCCATGTAATGTAAGAGCTTACTTTATCCTTTATCCCGTTACTACAGTCATCTCTTTTGTTTACCTCTGGTGCAGGATCTTCACGATTAGTTGATCGCTTGTTCATCTTGGGCGGCTCTTCTCGAGGAACAATATCGATTAAAAAGTCGAATTGATCCGAACGTGAGACTGCGCTGGCGACATCGCTTCGTTGCAATGTTCTCCGCTTGTTCTCCTCCGCATGCAGCCACGCCCTCCTTGTGATTTCACAGATGAAGATCTCACAGCTGTGACATTACCAGAATTAAAAAAAAAAAAAAAAAAAAAAAAAAAAAAAAAAAGCTGATTGGTTTTAAAATATGGAGAGTGTGGACTTGTCATATGGAAACGTGTCAATGATAAGTCGCAATCTTCTTCTGCATGGAGGAAGACTTGCTTACGCTTTGGAAAACAAAATAGGCGCCTCTGCGGAGATCATCTATTATCCCAGTAAGTAAGGCAAAAATGACCGAATGATAATAAAAAAGCGTTAGTCGCTGATGATTAACTTTCCCTCTTTCACCCATCTGTTGCGTGTTCTAGCCCGACAAACAATGATGATCCAATGGACACATCGGATTTCGATTTTAATACGTCGTTCATTCCTTTCAAAGCTTCCCGTTTTCTTTTTCCTGTTTCATCCGTCCCTATTCTTGATCTTTCATTTTTTTTTTTCTTTTTTTTACCTTCACATCAGGATCAGACTTCATGACTTTCTTGATACGTGCTAATGGTAAAGGATGGTTCTTAAAGTCGGAATCAAATTGTTCCGCGGCAATAATCTGTTCCTCCCAAAATTCTTGTGCAAACTGTTGCTGTTGTTGCTGTACTGTGGACGAAGATCCCGCAGCACTGCTACTTCCACCGCCACCGCCAGCTCCACTACTAGTCGTTGTTGCAGTTGGTGCTGTAGTAGTAGCCGTTCCTGTACTGCCGCCACCCCTTGAAGAAGCACTCGGGGGTGCTGTATGCTGCTGATATGAGTCATACATTATTTAATGAGGAAATCTTGGATATATTTGAAGATAAAGAGAGAGAGAAAAAGGAGAGAGAGAGAGAGAGAGAGAGAGAGAGAGAGAGAGAGAGAGAGAGAGAGAGAGAGGGGGGGGGAGGCTCGCCAGTAGGATGACTAGGATGGGTGGAGGAATGAACAAATGAGAATTGTCCACAATAATGTAAGTTGGTTGATGAGCAATGACTCCCAAAGTTCTTTATTTAAATCTTTTGGTTCTTGTGTTCCTGGAATTCAAAAGAAGGAAGGAAGGGTACAATGTCGGGCACCAAATGAGACAATAGAAAAAAATAAAAAATAAAAAAAGGGAGAGCGTTGAGTGGAGAAGGAGGAAGGGAGGAAGGAGGGGGTTTGGGTGCCGTAAGAAGAAAACGCTGTAGAAACATTTTTGGTTATAACATTCAATAACATGGTATTCAACAATAAAACTCAAAAAAAAAAAAACAAATAAACAAACAAACAAAGCATATCTCCATGTACATGTCTCCATTACACACTGTGAGAAACGTGTTCAGATGGAGCAATCATATCACATCGGGACAAGAAAATATACGATTTTGGCGCATACCTTTATTCCCTGTTAATCAGTCATTGGAAATAGCTTTTTCTGTGCATATTCTTCATTTCTTCTATCCTAGACATGTGTTTTGTATACATGTCTCTGTCAGTATTTCATGTCCAGGTTATGAAGGAACGAAACGACCTTTAGTTCCCTCCTCTAGGACCCCATCTCCTCTCCAACCATTCAAGTTTGAGCTGTGCTGAACCTGATGTTACCATTTCTGTTAATGTAGTGGAGTTTGATACAGGTATCATGGACAATACATTCTGCTGCCTCCTCAACATCGCTGAGAAATCGTTTGCTTTTCTCTTTCTCTTATTCAGTTGACGTGACATTCTAGTGATCACATTTGATTCTCGTCGCGATCGGCACGTTCATAGGAAATAAATGGCTTGATATGCTTAATATATATATCTCTTTCATTGCTGTTTCCCAACACTTCATTCTGAAATGAAAAGTAGCACAAGCTATTAAAAAAAAAAAAAAAAAAAAAAAGAGCTTCCATATACCATCTAAAACAGAAGCAAAGGAATGTGTCATGCCAACTCTAGACAAAAGGACAAGCAACGACGCGTTTTTATTTCTATTTAATTTTAATAATGACGAATTGGTGACACGCATGCTATTTTTCAAAAAATATGACATCTTGATCCTGTCATCAGAGCCATACCCATGGAAACCGGAAAACATATATAGTCCTCTCCCACATTCATCTTTCATCTCTTAAAACATCCATCATACACAAACACATCATGTCTTCCGCAAGAATCGCAAACTCTGTCAAATCCGCCGTTGGTGGCGCCAAGAAGGCCGTTGGGTCTGCTCTCGGCAATGAGTCCATGAAAGCTTCTGGTATGGCCCAGCAGGCCGAAGCCAAGGTTTCTGGTATGGCTTCCCAAGCAGCACAAAAGGCCAAGGGCGTGGCCCATAATATCGAAGGTGCAGCACAACGTACTGTCGGCGCCGCTACTGGGGACAAATCCATGGAAGCTAAAGGACACCTCAACTCTGCACGTGGAGACGCTGAACGTAAAATATAACAACATCAACATATCGGCGTTCACATTATCGACAATGAGAAAAAAGACAAGTTGTCAGCCTTGTAAATATCATATTTGAGCAACTCCTCACTCTCTCGATACAATAAAGTTTTTATTATTCAGAAAAGAAGAAACACCCCTCTTAAAGGGTGCCAAAAAGAAAATATGAAAAACTGTTTTTTTTTTTCTTCTTTCTCTTATTTTTGGTTGACTGGGGGAAGTACGTTGTTCATATTATTGACATTGTCATACTCGGTTATAAACTCGTCTGCGCACACCCATTTACCATCGACAATGAACTTGAAAAACTACATTTCCGTAGCAGAATTAAAAGAGGCAAAAGATGTTAATGGACTTGTAGCATATTAAGGTCTTTTTTTTTTTTTTTTTTTTTTTTTTTTTAAGCATACCACTTTCTGTGAGCGATCGATATCAACATTTTTTTCAAAATGGTCTGGGTTGTCCTTGGATCTATCCATTACAATTGATCCTATGTAATAGAATTCATTTGTAACCATCACCAGAAAGAAATTAAAGGTCAGAGACAACGTTGGCCAAGTTCTAATTAGCTTTACTTTTTACCTCTTTTTCAGACCCATTTTTCTGTAATAAAAAAAAAAAAAAAAAAAAAAAAAAGAATGGTGGAACATATTTCGTCTCTAATGCGATCTCTGGCGCATATTAGAAAAAACCTAAAAGTTACACTTTGCGGATGTTGCGTCGAAGTGATGTCAAAGCCGCCATTAATTAGGTTATCTCACGGTCCTCTCCACAGAACCACGTATCAATAAAATTTGAGGGAAAAAAAAAAAAAAAAAAAAAAAAAAAAAAACATCCATCAAAACCTCACTACGATTCCTTGTCTGTTGAGCGTTTGCATTTCATACCTTTCCAGTTGTCGAAGGTGCCAGTGACTTTGACAACATCACCACCATGCTTCCATTCAAACTAAAAGGAATAACAGGATGATAAAAAACGGCAATTGTTAGTACTGAAATACAAACAATCAATAAAATAAAAAAAATTAAAAAAAAAAAAAAAAAAAAAAAAAAAAAAAACCAACCTTGTAATTGGTTAATTTAGAGTCTTGCTTCTTTGTTGCACTTTCGATGTGCTCGCCCTCGCCATGCTTTGTAGAGTCTTCTTTTTTCGTTCCTGAGGAGGGAGATGTAGGAGGTGGCGTGGCGGCAGCGGTGGGGGAGGCGGAGGGGCCAGTACGTTTTCGTCCCTTTGGAGGCATGATAGTCTTGATAGCTATTTGGTCTTATGAGCCAGATCTTCAGGTGGTAGATAATGCCAGCTATTGCTTATATAAAGCTCACTCAGATTTGCTGGGGACCTTGATCTGTGCTACTGTTGATACTTTGTAGATGAGGCAGTAGGTTGAAAGTACTGTCTATGGTTGCACTTGAGGGTTCGAGAGGAAGTGAAGGTAAATGATGTGCAATGCAAGTATTTTTTTTAAAAAAGAGAAAGAGAGAGAGTTGGAATTAAAATCAAAGGGGTAAGAAATGCAAGTTGGCTTTTTTGGGCATGATGTAAAAATTGCATTGACCCCTATACGAGGACCACCGAGCTTGGTCGGCTTCTGAAGAGCGTGAGTAAAAAAAACGTGGGATTTTTTTGTATTCATGCTACTTCTATAAAACTTTTATACTTGTTGAAGTTCATGCTACTTGTCGACTTCTACGTCTGACTCGTTGACATGCAAAGAAAAAAATTAATATTCAATATTCAACGACGCTCTTTATCTCTTGCTCAAGAAGCGAAATGCGGTGCATATCCTGGTCTGTTGATTTTATTTCATCACCACTGTGTGGCCGTTTATCACTAGGAAAAACCACGTCTTTCGTAACTGAGGAAGGAGTTGCCGGTAGCATGCATCCTTCGCATGCAGGAGGCATGATTGAATTCGATAGGTTTGCTGAATCACTATCCATGTTCAGGGTCGGAGCAGCTGAAGGATTGTGGTCACTATTACTCCTTTGCAAATCTGAAGTTTTATTTCCTCCTGAGGTCAGATGTTTATTTACCAGCTTTGGAAACGACTTTGTCAAATCCCTAGGCCGTCGTTGAATGCACGGTATACCCAGGCCAAATCTCGATCTCAGACGCAGCTGCCGTCTTTCTTCTTCTTTGTCCATGTTTCGTAGAATTGAGCCTCCAAACCTTGGGATGGCTGCAGATACAGAAGCTCGGATCTCTGACCCAACTTGGTGGATCCGATCAACCAAACCGACTGACTTTTGCGGTCGATGATCTAATGAACTGTCTGTACACGAATTACCCGTAAAGTCTATTGTATGTTGTCCCTGCTCTTCCTCCTCGCGAACGTCATCACTACCTCTCTTCCGGCGTTGCATCACCTGTGGATTTGATGCCCCCGGTTGGGATCTGAATTGAAATGATCCACCAACATCAAGAAGTGGATTTATAGACTCAGTCAGTAAAGTTTCATCACTCAAAGGCACATGTTCGAATACTGGATTATCATCGAATCCATCTTCCAGTGATGCCATCGTCCCTGGGCTGGAGTAAGGCAAATATTGAGCAGAAACCTTAGTAGATGCCCTTAGGGCGTGATTCGATGCTGAGGATGAAAACCGAAAGTGGGGCAAAGAAAAAACGCCGTTATCAATAGGCGCTACATTTGATATGTCAACTGAGTAACCTGGATGACAGAGCCTCGAATCAAGCCGCGCACGCTTATTCTGCAAGTCATTTAAACTCGTTGAGTAGGGTCCTTGATTTATTTTTCCCTGCTTGAGCATAGATTGATATCCTTGGTAAAAACTTGGCTGCCTACTACCGAGATCTGTGTGGACCGGAAAACCTGGAGTAGCAAGATTTCTGTAGGGATTGAAGTCTGCCTTAATAGCCCTTTGCACTGACTGCTCAAATGCCGGAGTTGGGCTATTGTAGATATATGTGGGAACATTCATTTGTTGCCGTCTCTGCAAAGATTCATTCTGCACCATCAGATCCATATCATGCTACCAGTAGTTATTACAAGTAAGGGGCGCTCGACGTATTTTTAGCCTTGAATATGAAGATGGTGATACTTCGGATCAACAAGATGCATAGACTTCAACGTCCAACACAAACCTTCATTTTTTCGTACTTTCGATTTAAGCTCCAGCTTCCATGAAGCTTACGTGGTCTTCTAGTTCCAAGGCGTGGCGGCGGTAACTCGATTACAATCGCAGACTCGCTATTGCGTTGATACTGGTACTGATCTTTATCAAAATTTTGATTGGAAAAACTTGTATCAGTGTAATGTTGGAAATACTCTGTAGCACTTTCACTTGGTTGCTGAATATCACTCCCAGCCACAGCGGAGTCTACCATATCTTGCTGTGACCCATTTGCTTTCAAGGCAATAGAAGGAAAATAAATTGTGGGATTTGAAGAGTTGTCGAAGCAAGTCGGTCTTTTTTCGAGATCCTGTACGCATGGAGGAGCTATCTCATCATATTCTAGTGCATCGTCTAGCTTGGGCACTTTGGCATCTACATAAAATGTACCATGATTACTATCTTTTCTTGTGAAATATAGCGGTCATTCGGATTTTCAAATGCGATTCGGAAAATTATATGTAAGTAGGACACCAACCCCCAATGTTTGTAGCTGACCATTGGCTTATAACAGGTGAATGAGGACTGGAAGCGTCATCAGTTTGCCTGACAAAAGCCCTTGAGGCCCTGTCAATAAGATATAGAAAGTAATGTGGTCAGATTCTATCCATCATTTCTAAATTAACATGCTAGGGCACGAAGAGGCAATACTTTGCAAAAGGGATATAATTAAGCTCATGCACTGCATCTGAGCTCCCATATGTGAGGGTAGATGGGGAACTAGAACGTGTAGCAGAAGACTTTACTATGAAGACCATGATAGCTTTTGAAGGAAGGATGTGTGTTGCATTTGAAAAAAAATATAGGTCAAACGGATGGTGCAAGTGAAAGAATAAAGTGCAGAAAGTGCAGAAAGTGCAGAAAGTGCAGGATTATCAAGATTAAGTTTTATGTCAAGAACCACATTTTTCATCCCACAGCAATTCTCCAAATGCCTAAGCAGATCAACATATTGAAGACTTGATTAGCAGCCTGACTTTTGTCTTATCTGAAAGCTACGATAGCCGAACTTGGGCCGGAAGACAATCTGGTCAGAGGAGGATCAACTTTGACATACGCAGTGCTTTTGTTGGCTTGCTTGTTGACTTGTGGCTCTAGCTCTAGACTTATCTCACGAATTGCTGTCGCGCAAATAGAGCTGCGGACTTTATTGCACATGCTTCGATCGTTGATCGAAAGACTCAGAAACTGCAAGTAGGCATTTTTTTTTTTTTACTTTCTCATAAAAAAGTCAGAGTCGTGCGCAGGATGCTTTGGTATCTCAGGTCATAAAATATTTCCTGCGGAAGATTTAGACTTGGGTTTACATCCATCGAGTGAGTATGTTGATAGCTCGCTCTCATACTCAAAGAAATGCTTTTCTGCTTGCCTGTTGTCTATGCAAATCTGTCTACTTTCATAGTATGAATGGAACAGCCGGCTGCTTGCTCATTTTTTTTCGTTTCATTTTTTTTCATTTATTCCATATGCTTTAATTTCACCTTTTTTTTAAAAAAAAGCTTACTTTGCTAAACTGCCCTTATTTTTCCTAATGCATCCGAATAACTGCAAACGAACCAACAAGTCAGTGCTCTTTTAATTAATTTTTAGAACAATATAGACGAAGCACACATCACAAAGCCAAACAACAACTGGAACCATGTGCTTCAACGGCCTTCCATTCTTGCCACTATCTCGCTCTTCTGCTTCACCTTTACTCTCCCCTGCTATCCTAATTCATGACTTCCATACCCTTACTTCCATCCAAATATCTCGTGTCTCTATGGACCGCGATGCCATTGAATTCATTGTTAGCAGCGATGAAAAACCGTCTTTTCAATCAAAAGCACCAACGACATCAGCGACACCGATAGCTGCGGTCGTGCCTCAAGCGCCATATCTCCAAGGCCAGACAGGAATAGATAAGTCAGCACAGTGCTTCCTCGGTTCATTGCCTTCATCACCCCCCTTTCGCCCAATTCAACTCTGTGAGCTCACGCATAGTCCTTTTTACCGATACCGCACCCTTGTATCAGTTTTTCTCACAACTCTAATTCATACAGCAACGACACAGCACACAAGAGCAATGTTCTAACTCAGACCGCTTCCAGTTTTCTATTCTCAAGCGACCTCGAAATACAAAACTATGATCACTATCAACAAAACAGTGCACCTTCGACAGATGGCCTCCAAGCGCGATCCACTCAAAATAATAGTATTTTCTGGCGCTAACGACCAAAACCCGCTCCTTTCGCAATCTATCTCTATCAGACATCAAAAGCATCCGAATAATGCAAATAGCGATATCCATGTCAATGATAGTAATGTAACGCAAACAGGTTATGCAACAACAGCTGTTTCATACTCGCCGTACTATCACTATATTCCAATGTCTTCGTCAACACATTGTAGGTGTAATACGTCTTCGTGCGATCAAAAGACAAAAACAGCAGAGCAATGTATGATACCCATAATCGTACCAGCACCAGCGCGCATCACAGAACCAGCAAAGCGTTTCAAATTACTACGATCACCACTGGCATTCTTCGAAAGCCCTACGCCGACCAGCTATTAAACGAGGTTAGAATGGCGATATGCCAGAGGATGGAATACCATACGAATCTCGGTGCACAAATCCACAGATAGTTACCAATATATTAGAAATGAATATGAGCGGCGATATAAGACCGGCATTCCGGGTGAGGATGGTGTGGAACCAGAGACGAATGTTTTTTACTATACTTATAACACACCGGATATGCCCAAAAAACCCAGGTCATTGGCAGGTTCTCGTCAGACTTCTGAAAATACTGGTTGTGGTGACAGTATCGTACTCTGTGCTCTTGTCCCTCTATTATTCAGTAGAAGTAAGTAACATTTATATTTTAAGGAAACCCAGTCGCAAGCTTTCAGATATTCTTACGGATGTTCGTTCATTTATTTATTGATTTTCGATTTTTGTGATAAAGTATCGCTCTGTGGATCACCTTGAAAATTTAATATCTTAGTCGCGGATCTGGATCAGTCAATGATTGACAATGCATTTCTCAATTTCACAAAGATAACGGACATTCAGGGCAGATAAACTGGTCAGTGCAATCTGGATTCAAAGGTGTTACAACTATTAACAAGGAGGCGAAAAACGGCAATTATTGGAGCGTCATGGTTGTATAAGCCAATGCAAATGATGCTTAACAAGGTACCTTCGATACCCTTAGTAGAGTACGACCCCACAAATCCATTTCTCTTTATATATGACAGCGGTGAAACCATACATTGTTGTCAGCAGTTTCTACAGTTCACCAAAAAATTTCAACCCTGTCTGGGTTCAGTTCGTATGCGTATGAAAACAATCAAACAACATCGCCTCTTATAAATGTGCCACAAGAACTTGAAACTCCTGTAGCATTTGGTGAACTAGATCTACACCTGCCCACAGCATCCATCATTGCCTCAGCGACATCAGTAGCATATATATATATATATATATATAAGGATTTTTCTAGTAACAGAAGGAAGCACGTATATTGTGGCGCATGCAGTCCAGTCAATTACCCGCAATACAAGTGTGGGATATGCGATGGCTGTCCTGTTACTGCCACTACTTGTTTCCCTGTGCTCCCTTTTGATGACTTGCGCAGTTTTACTTGGGGTATTTGGAATAACTTTCGAATCAGCTGGTCAGTCCCTATCATTATTCCTGGGAATGCTGCTTCTTCAAGCTGCTGTAGCGTCTCTGGTTCTCTTCTTAATTCCTACGACGTCTATCCCCTAACCACAACCACGTTTGTGATCATGAACATTGTTGCGGTCTTTAACCCTATCGAGCCGATGCCGCCGTTCTACCGATGGGCCTATACGGTACCTTTTCTTAACGCAGTCCAAGCGACGCGCTATGTTCTCATGGAGTCTTACAACCGCTTGAACTACAAGTTGCTCATTTTTTTTTGCCGGGTCGTGCTGTCGATCACGTTACTACCATTCGCAATTGCTCGGCAAAAACGGCTGTTGACGAATAATAGGAAGATTGAAGAGTGGGATCGAAAAGAGTCTCAACACCATCAGAGGCACTATACGAATAGTAAAGTCAGCTATCAGCAATTCAGTACGGTGGCCTTGAAAGCGACGAGGCTTACTGTCTGGCAATGGGGCAGCAGAGCGAATGAATAAGTCACATAAATTTGGAAGGTATCACTCTACTAAATCTAGACATTATGGTAGCCGAGGAGATCCAGAAAGGAAGATGTGGCAGAGTAGATCCGTTGACGGTATAGACGGGGGGTGCGCGAGGACTTCAAGTGATGGACGAGCGGCAGTATTGCCGCCATGTTATTAATGACGTGGATGATATGAGTTCAGAGTACTATGGCCTTGACGGTCCAGACGAAGAGACACACTGCCGACATCTAGACATCACGAACAAATCACAAAATACTCGGCCCCTACAGCACCGAGCATTCAGCAGCAGTGCGGCGTCCAGTGCACAACTAAAGTCACAGGCCTGTCATACCTGCCCTCGTCCCGACGGAGGAGATTCTATGGGCATTAGCCAATCACATGCTGGGATGCCAAAGCTGAACCGACATCCTTATGCCTCCGAGTTGGTACGATCGTCCTCCCCTGACGAAGTAAAATAGAGGAGAAAAACTTTTGAGGATAGTCTTAAAGAAGTTGGAAAGAGGAAAGAAGAAAAAAAAAGGCTTTGCGCTTTTCCCAAAGACCTTGAACAAAAAGCATGCCAAACTGGCGCATCACTATTTCCATAAATATAAAGTAAATAGTATTATGCTAGAATGCGAGTTACAAAAAATATAAAGCATATCGATTGTGAATATGATCGAAAAGGAATTTGGCGATAAGGGCATACACCTTATTTATTTCCGGGCGGCCATGATAGCAAACGGTGGTTTTGAGTGGTTTGAGTCCACATTTAGCGCTCTACACCACATTCGACCAACAAATTTGTTCCGATTTGGCACTTGCTTTGTTCACGCGTCCACGCGAGCTGTAGGCTGGCCATTTTGGGACATGATATGCTGCCAAAAAGAACTTTAAAATGATGCATTCATGGATAAAAACAAAAAAAAAAAGGGCTGATGCAACTAGCTCAAAGACATAAAGTCAATTTACCAGGGAAACTTCACAACCCTCCCCCTTTCACCCTTGCACAGACTCTCTCGGATGCGCATTGTAGCCATACTTTTCTTCTTTTCACTTTTTTCTTTAAATTTGCCATCTTTAATCTCTTTCTATCACTCTCTATCACTCTGGTATTGCTTTCGCTTCCCCCTTCATTTTCATTCAGTACTCGATATTAACCTACATTTTTAACAATCTCCTTTCTTTCCTCAATCCTCCACCTTCCCTCCTCCCTTGCTGTCTATCCACCATATATCGGACGCGATCAGAATACAAGTCTGTCCAAAAGAAATAGGTATGCTGTAGAATGTACTCGATTCAAATGACAATATTTGGCGGCTTCAACGTGTGTTCTTCTAGCGTATATTAGTATATATATTCCTTCTCTTGATTTGCACAGCTTTCCAACCATATTGGTGATAATGTTTTAGAGAGAGTAGCATAGATGAATATGAACAGAGAGTGACGATATCTTCACTTTTATCTGTGATTCTTCATGGCACTATTTATTGCTAGATCGATTTTACCCTTCCGTACTATACGCCTTTTTTTTTTTTAATGTTCCAGACCTACCCCAATACTGTCAACTAACTTTTTGTTGTCATTCATTGCTATATTTTGCCCTTATCATGCACACTGCCTTTGAATAAAATAAATCACATTGTTCATTTAAGCACAAGCTCCGCCCATTTCCGACATTCACCCAGGGAAAAAAAATAAACCTTGATGATACGCCGTGCAGCCTACAAGCAAGTTTTTGTGATTGATTCGCCATGGTCACAGCCCCCACAGCAAAGCCATGGGCTTAACGAACCTCTACTGTCCTCAGAATCGCCACAATCATCTCTGCCATCGCTATCGTCATCGCCATCGCTATCATCATTGCCATCCTCAACCTCATCCTCATCATTACCATCATTATCGATAACGAACTCATTGCAGCAACAACTAGATACTGACAATGATGACACTAGTATCAGGTGCAGCAAGATCTTCAGCGCGCACCAGGTACCGGTTCACCTTTTTAAACGTCAGCGTGCGATTCTACTCAAGGACCTCGAAAGAATCGCGCCTGAATTTGAGTACATCCTGACAGAGCAAGGGACTGTTGTCTTTAGTAGGAGCGAACCGCCCTCACCAAGTGTATCAGGCACTCCGGCCAAGATATCATCGCTACCATCGTCATCGCTTGGCCAGAAGCAACCTCCAGCCTTTATTGCAATCCATGAAGAGATGGAAGACAAGAATTGGTATATTTATGTCAAGCCCACCATATCAATGTCATCTCCTGGAAACACTACCACATCACTCCTTTTAAGGAACCCATTCTCTGTCTTGCCTACGGGATCTTTACCGACACAGCCGAGTTCCCTAAGGGGCCAAGGAAAGGGGAGCGGTGGCGACCCGGAAGAACTTAACCAGGATAGGAGGGCAGGATATGAAAGGCGAGGACAACAAGAGCGGAGTCATCCGATGTTAGTTGAAGAGCACATCGATCAGGAGCTGCATGTGGAAGACGGAGGAGGAACGCGCTCATGTCAGAATTCTGTCGGCCAATCACAATATGAATCTTGGGCACGGTCTTGGATTCTACAGTCGCACAATACACAAATGCGTTTATCAACATCACTGTCGACTTTTACCTACTCTTCTTCCTCTTCTTCTTTATTTCTTCCAACATCGACAAGTACAAAAATATCCTCCTCATCATCATTGCATACCATGGCGATTCCTTCCACAACATGCACAGCTGAATGCCGTTGGAACACTGCGGCTCTTCAAGACCAACTCACCCATTTGGCACAAACACTAATCTCTGTTGTAGATAATAAAGATGGTGCACAAGAAGGACATTCCAGCAAGGACAAGGTCCGAAAGCTGGCCAGCAGTATCCTAGAGACACTTCCATCCCCAGCATCGACCCATAAAAACATAGGTTTGGCTACTCCGGAGGTGACACCAACCTCAACGCCACTCATTTTTGCAAGCCCAAGGCAATCACCTCGTTGCAGCGGTGCAAGCGTAGAATCGAGCAGCAATAGCCAAGGGCTCACAGAATTCATGTTACCAAATACAATGTTGTCCACCCTCCACAACCATAGCCATGGTCATGATCATGGGCTGAATGATAACAATAGTAGCCTCATTATAAACCAGACAAGTGAGCCGATGTTGAGAGATTCTGTCTCTCACTTTTCAAATTACTATATGAATTTCCCTCCTCTCCCTTTCTCCCCATCTACACTTCCACCAACGATAGCACAGCCAATGGCAAGGAGTCTTTCTATTCCAAAGGAAGAGGTTGAGGGAACTGCATCGTCATCAAAGCAAATAACGGAAAATCAACACCAACAGAAAGTCAAAAGCAGGAAAAATTCACTCTTGTCGATTTTTGATAAGAATATAAGTCAAACCTCTCGCCGTCTAGAAGAGGATCGTGAAGGGGACTGGAACCAGCAGCACCAACAGCACCTAGTAGGCCGGATCGAAAACAGAAAAGGAAGATCCAGAGCAAATAGTTGGCTTATAGCCAAGCTAAGCCCAGGAAGCAACTCGGACAGCAAAAAACAGAAGCAACCCCTGGTTCAAGGCAAACAAGAGCCTGCTCATTCCCCAAGCCCTAGATCACCGGGAGCAATGCATGGAAGTTGTTCTAGTTTGTTTTCATCACCATTACCGTCACCATCATTATCACCATCACCGCTGTCGCCTTTTCCTACTTCTCAGCCATCAAAACGATCACTTTCAAGGATCGCACCATCCCTAACTCCTCAGTCATTTAAGCGAATCACAGCATCCATTAACTTCCGTCGCAGATCTTCATCTACACCTATGTCATCTTCGGGAGCACTTCCCCCTGTAGCATCGCATGCAGGGGTGGAACCGACTGCTACAATGACCTCTATACCCGAGAGACCAGCAATTTCCATGAATCGTTCTCACTCCATAGATATTGGTTCCTATCACCATCACTCACACTCCGTTTGCTATCCTCGCTCTATATCACAGTCACTATCTCCCTCAGTAACTTCATTCTCAGCGCCTCGCACGCCACGGACAGTTGCTACTGCTTCGTTCTTTGACTCTGCTTCGGATGATTCTGATACAACCGATGACAACGAAGATCCGCCATGCTCCCGACCTCAAGCACAAAGGCATACCAGTGGCCTGCAGGCACCTCGACATCGCCAATATCTACACCATGGCAGTCGTTCGAATCACGAGTCAGAATTCATGGTGCCGGCTGAAGAAGGATTGCAGCACCAGGTTGACAGGGATACTGACACTGATACCGACACGGGCAGCGATACTGAGAGTGATAGCGACAGTGATAGCGATTTCTATGGTACCGAGGATGCTGGGCGTAGCGTTAATGAGATCCGTCATGGACAGAGACAAGATGAACCAGAGCGGCAGCATCATCCTTTGTCTCACAACCAACAACAACTAAACAGCTTGGCACAGTACGCGATCCCACCAACTCACCGCCAAGCTGTCGCATTCGATCTTCAAACACTGGCAGGATATGAGCACCAATTCGATAATGTCCCTCCACCCTCATACCACTCATTGGTGCAAGCAGGAAATGCTCCCAGATCCTCCTCTTTCAATACATTTATTCCCTTTGAATCATTGAACGTACAACCTACTTTTGCAGATTCACAGCCTGTGAACATACAGGCAATTGAGCAAACGTTAACCTCATCAACGTCAGTCAGGTCATTGTCACCACCACTATCGCAGGGATCTTTATCATCACAATCGGGCCCTCATGTTCGCGCTGTATCTCATCAAGTCCTGAACACCCTTCTCGAGCTGTTGCATCAATTTGAAAACCATATCCAAGACGAGTTTAAGACACCAGCATTCAAGCATAGAAGACCAAATACCAATCGTGATCATGATCATGATCAAAGCCACTCAAACTCCTCGACACCAACTGCAACAGCAGTAGCGACAGCAGCAGCGGCAGAATGGCACAACCGCCGTCCACAAAACGTGTCTTCATTTGCCTATTTGCTCATTGAATTGCAACAGATTGGTATTTCTTCAAATGCTATGAGTGAATTATGGCACCAACCACAGCAAGGACAGCAACATTGGCTTACCCTAACAGGCAACGCATCCTCTGAAGCTGAGCTAGCTACATCATTAATTATTTTGGAGAAAAACTGTGTATTTGGTATGGATAGGGAGCGGTGGTGTGGCGCCAATGGTACAAGAGAACAGTGGTTGAACAGTTTACAAGAAATCGTAGAAAATAGCTAAGTATCGTGTCACCAGAACACGAGAATTAATCAATTCATAAAAGGCATCGCCGTATTTTTTCTGGGACGCCGTCCATCATTTTTGTGATTGAATTGTGCACGCAAGGACCCTTTTTTGATTGCATGTAGAGGAGTAGAAAAGTGTAAGCATTGACAAAAAAATCCCCAAGGATAAATTTGTTTTTAAGTCTTGCCGAATTTGTTTTATTCTAATCGAATTATGCGTTTGTAGACGGCTCAATGATCCTCTCCGTGGAGAGAAAAATCTACTTTCTGTTTCTCGATCTATTCCGCCACTTTTGTTTGTTGCGATTATTTGTTTGTATTTGTTACTTGTTACTTGAAATGTATTCGTCAAGAAAGAAGAAAAAAAAAAAAAAAAAAAAAAAAAGATGAAAATGAGTGAGACATTAAACAGCATTATAGCCACGTCCTACAGCGACCGCAGCGTAGGATGAAGGTTCATTCGAGCACATGTCAGGCCTGCAGTGCTCGCTTGAATTCGAGGAGGTTTCGAGCTGGATAGTCGAATGATGAATCTGGAACCGTCCACAAACCAGATTCTGAGCCTCTGTCAAGATGCGATCATAGTCTGCCATCGTCAGGCCCTGGTTTGTGACCAGACTCTTGGGCGCCAACTGCAGATGAACAGCCATAGAGGGCTATTAGATTGTATTTTTATAAAAAAAAAAAAAAAAAAAAAAAAAAAAAAAAGAGATTAAGAATTTAAGTATTCCAAATATGGTGTCATTAAATGTGGTTTTTCATTTCCCGCTGTCAAATGTGACATACTTTGCCAGCTGTCAAGTTCCAGACATGCAGATCGTGGACAAGGGTCACACCAGGAATGTCGAGAAGGCTCTTTTCAATTTCTTCAGGGTCAATATGTGTGGGTGTACCCTCCATCAAAATACCAAGACTGTCCCAAACAAGACGATAAGTTGTGAACAGCACCAGGATCGAGAAAAACACCGTACAGATTGGGTCAACAATCGTCCAGCTGGGCTTGACCATGATGACAATTGACGCAACCAGTACACCCTATATCAAAATAGCCTTATATGAGAAGATATCCATAATTGTAACAGATTCCATATGATCATTACATTTGCGATGTCAACATACAACAGATGAAATCAAATCGCCGATAACATGCAGAGTTGCGGCCTTCACATTGATGTTGACCTCCTATTGAGTAGCAGCATTAAAAACATTTCATGTTAATATAGTTACTTGAACGGGCGGTTGAGCAGTGAGGAAGAGCAAGCAACACATTTACAACGGATGGATTGATAAAAAAACTTTCTTACTACCTTCTTTTGCGCAGCAGCAGCCTTAGAAGCATTACTATCGCCATGGTCGTGTGAATGAGAGTGGTTGTGCTCATGGTTATGTTCATGGCTATGACCGTGACCGTGACCGTGACCGTGACCGTGATCGTGGCCATGGTCGTGTCCTAAAGCGAAAGCAAGACTATGGCGAAAACAAAGTACTCAAAGAGTTAGACCCAGATTGAAAATGACAAAAATCGATTACTTTGTCATTTGATAGATAGATCAAAAAGTATCTAGTATTGCATACATAATGTTGATAGCTACACCAATACTGGCGACCAGACACATTGTCTTGCCATCAATCGTCTCTGGGTTCCTGATGCGCTCAACAGCTTCCATTAACAGGAAGGCTGTTAGGATCCAGATGATAAATACAGACATCAGTGCAGCAAGGACCTCTGCACGATGATATCCAAAAGAGTGGCGTTTAGTTGCAGGCTGTTCCGAGAGCCAGATGGCAACCAACGAGATCATAAAGCTAACAACATCTGGCAATAACAAAAGAGCAACAAACGTCAGAAGGCTAGAATTCTACTACAAAAAATACAAGATGCATTAAATCTACAACAAGATGAAACCCATCAATCAAAAGCACAATATAAAATCGCCTTTAGGCCGTATAGGAGCAAAGCAAAAAAGAAAGAGAGCTTTCGATCTGTATGATACAACAGGCACTACGCAGAAGAGATTTCAAAATAACATACCTGACAACAAGTGGAAGGCATCACTCATTAGTGCAAGCGATCTAGCAAAGTAGCCACCCACCATCTCCACAGTAAAGAAACAGAGACAGAGAATCGTAACAAAGATAAGCTTGCGCTTGTTTTTTGTAGACTCATTAGTGATCAAGACACCTTTGCAGGCAATTGGTGGTGGTGTCAAGGATCTTTGAGGTGACATGGCAGAGTCATTATTCTCGCTGTCATTCGATGGATTTGCATCTCGAGTTGAGCCATAACTCTGACCCAGTGATTGTTTTAGAGGAGTAGATGAAGACGAGCTCCTGGGGATAGTGTGGATGATGCTCTCACCATCAACGCTCTGAGGACCATGGACATGTCCCGAACCATGGTCATGAGAATGATTATAGCTATGACTATGATTATGGTCGTGGTTATGGTCATGAGAGTGAGAAGAGTGAGGATGAGAGTAGCCATTGACTTCAGTAGTTGGAAGTGTAGGGGATCGTTGCGGATTGCGTGAGCGGGCAGGCTCTTGAGGCTGCAGCAAATGCTGTTGCTCGTCTTCGTCGCCATTGCCATGACCATAATCATTGTTATCATTGGTCTGTTGTCTTTGCTCTGCCAAGGGGACGTTACTATCAACAGGAACATTAATATGGTTGACAGTAGACGAAGGGTGCGAGAGGTTAGAGTCAGAAGGAGCAGGTGAAGCAGGTGCAGACGAGGCAGAAGCAATAGAAGCAGCGGTAGTTGAAGCGTTAGATGCAGCAACTTGGGCCTTTTGGCTCTTTTTCTTCCTTGAGCCCATGATGCGTGAAATATCTGATTAGAAAAGAAGAGTATGAGAAAGAGAGAAGAGAGAGACAAATTCATTTCACTTTTGTCCACACATTGAAAAAGACCTGTGGCTTGCTGGGTGTTACCCCTTTTTGTTTTAAACAGGAATGCACTCTGCATCCGACTTTGTCTTGGATCTATTTTCCTGATCCAAATATAAAGCTACGAACTTAGTTTTAGGCTCCTGCAACCGTGCTTATAGATGTCAAATGATCTGTTCATCAACTGCCTTTATAGCCTCAATAAATAACAATGGGCTCCTTCACTAAGAAAAGTCTGTGAAAGCTCCTTGTATCTCTTGCTCAAAGCCGTGATATCTATATCTTTTTCTATTCAACCTTCCTTCTACATCGTTTATTCCAATTATCTATCCGGCAATGAATACCGACTTGAAAAGTGTTCCAGGTCGCGATATACTGACTGAATCCTAGCTATGATAGACGCCAGCAAGCGTTCATTTAGCTTCTTCTCTGCCACGGCTGAATGCAGGGCTGCATCCTTCATTTGACTATTAGGCCTTGTTACCCTTCTCGGAAACACCAAAAGCTCTCTCCACTAACGTCCATGCATCTCGGGGGAACCTTGGTAAACTAGTTCCTCCTCTTACTTTCCCACTTCTCCTTCCACCATTCACGGAATACATGTCACCGTGATTCCCTTCCCACTGGTGCCACCTCTGATCAAGCATTCTTCTGGTCCACAATAGGCTCAAGACAGCTCCATAGATGGTGGTTTGCCTCAACAGCCTTGTTACATCATCTGCTAGTGTCAGTACTGTATAGATCAAGATATCGTTCCTTGATTCGATATGCTCACTGCTGGTGGTCCTGCATATTGGTATGTAAGGCTCTTGGAACATGCGGCCTCAGTCCAGTCTCGAATACACATAAGCCTGCGATCATGGTGGTGTCACATAGCTGCTTATAGCTTTGAGATCTGTCGAAGATCTTGGTCAACTGGTGCCCCTACGAATGAAGCATAATGCTTCACTTAATGTATCTCTCGTCTTCATTTGTTAAAGGTTTGACGCCATCGTCTAAGTTTATTTTTATTTGTCTGTCTGCGATATATAATGATACACAACTGCTTACCGTTGTGCAGAAGCTGAACGCAGTCTCTGTCTAACGAGTGATGCCTGTCATCGTTGAACTGATAGTTTGAAGGCCCTTTAAGCCTACTATCGTCCATGAATACATTGACGGCAGTATCCTTGGAATAGATAAATTGTCGCAAATGAGCCATATAGTTTGGCGTAGGTTGACGACGTGTACCCTCTTGGCTGATATGGGGCGCTGTCGCGAAGTACGGGGACAAGGATTTCAACAAGCAGCTGGAGGCCATACTGCAGACGTCTATGACGTACAACGATAGGAGCAATAAGTCACAGCAGTTTGCTAATTGTTGCTGCGAGGTTAGGGGCTATTTTATGTAAACCAAGGCGTTGTTCGTGGACATCGATCATGCTTGCAGTGCTCATGGCAGAAAAAAGTTTGATGCATCGCATCAACGTGCTTAAGATGAAAATTTATGGTTTGCTCTCAGAACAAGCTCTGTTGCTTGAAAGGACGCTTTGACGCTTTGACGCTTTGTGTTATTTTTTTTTTTCATAAACTTGCTTCAGCTTTACATAAAAGTGGTCGTAGTAATCTTTTTGAAAATCGACGTCAAATGTAGCTTTCGTCGATAAAATGAAGTGTATATATAATGCGATAAACTATATTTCTAAGAAAGTAGTGTTGACAAGGAAGAAAGGTGAATTAACAATGGAATGAGATATTTTTTAACAAGAAATGTCACAGTCGTTAATTGGACGAAACAAGTGACTCGAAAAAATCAGATAGGATGGAATACGGCTGCTCCACGCCTTTTCTTCATGCAAGTTTCCATTAAGAAGCTGACCTTTACACCTGTCACTTCATGATACTTGATATCGTCTGCAACATATTGGTCTTCTATTGAAGGTATTCGGATTGTTTTTCACACTTCAGCTCACGCTTGGGTCCTTTAAAGAGATTAAACTCTTGGATGCTTTAGACGGCCAGTTTGCCGTAAGGAATTCTTGCCCTTTATAAAGAGACGCGCCAAATATATTTATAAATAAAAACAGTAAAGGCTGCCGTGCTACGGCCCTACTCCCTACTTGACCTGTTGCGCGCGAAGGTCATCCTTTAACCGCAGTCCTCAACTATTACAAATTTACAACTTTTCAAATGCACCATCACCGCCAATCCTACTGTTGGTAGCTTGCCGCCACCCGCCGATCTGCATCGGTTCTAATCGCCTTCACTTTTTTTTTTTTTTTTTTTTTTTTTGATAACAAGGACCAGGGTCATGGGATTTATTTTCTATACTCCATGAACAAACTGCTCCAGAAACTATAGTCAACAAACAATTATTACTGCACAAACTGTGATCACGATTTTACATGATTTGTACCAGGTTTCTGTACGACCGAATTCTTCTATGGTCTTGACGAAGCGCTCTGCTGTCATAAATTCGTATCTGATGCTCCAGTCACCTCTTGGCCCAGTATGACGCACGCTTCTGCTTATAAATTGCTTTTTTTTTTTTTTTTTTTTTTTGATATCTGGGACCTACGAGGTTGTGAGGATTTATTAGAGATAGACTCTATAAATGGGTTACCTTTTTTTTTTTTTTTTTTTTTTTTTTTTTTTTTGATAACAAGGATCCACGAGGTCATGTAGGATTTATTTAGATGTTAGCTCTATAAATGCTCTATAAATGCTCTATAAATGCTCTATAAATGGGTTACCCTATTACTAGGGGTGCATATAAAGCGTTTTCCAATAACCGGTCTTAACCGCGTCGTTGAACTGTCACTGTACAACATCCTATTCACAAACCACGTCAGCATGAGTGGTAACTCTTGATACCAACGGAACCTGTGGCGAGCCTTGCTCCCTACTTGGGTTGTTTTTTTTTTTTTTTTTTTTATAACGAGGACCCTCTGGGTCATGGGTTGGGATTCAGAGGCTCATACCGATGTCTTACCGCTGCCATTTTTGGTTAGTCCTCTATCAATTACAAAAGGTTTATTAAGTGGTAGGCTTATAATTGACTAATACCGATATCGGTATGAGTCTCTATGTCAGTTGGGATTGCTGAGGGACAATCGCGGGTCACGTGGAGTGCAATGTACTCAAGTATAGTTTGTTATTACTATAATTATAGAACCAAGCAAGTTGTCGTAGAGCATCTACTAGTGATCTCTGGAAACTAGTAGGTAATGATGAAAAATGAAGAATTGGGCAAGAGCCTCGTGGTTTTGGGATACGATAGTGATCCTAAGTAATGCTTTGAATGATTTTGAGGATGCTGCAAAAGGGCATCGATAATAAGAAGAGAGATCTTTAATAACTGCTAATTTTCTGAGAATTCATAATGAGAATAATGAAGATAAACTCACCTGCAAAAGGGCATCGATAATAAGAAGAGAGATGCCGTTTTTGCAGTGAAGGAAAAAGCTACTTAAATACTATTTAAAAATGGTAGAAAATAGGATGATAGGAAATAAATAAATTGAAAGGAAATACATATTTAAGTAAATGAATAGGCGTCATTTACGACAAAAGTCAAGAACCGGCTCTTGTGGCGCAATTGGTTAGCGCGTCTGACTGTTAATCAGGAGGTTGGTGGTTCAAGCCCACCCAGGAGCGTACTATTTTGTGGATTATATTTTGCTCCTTGAGTAAGTGGCTCCGCACTCCCATATAAATACACGACAGATATTCTTCCTCTTTTTATTCTGTGGCAGCATATCAAATTGACAAGGGACGATCCAGTTTCTCAAAATGATAGCCACCTTTTGGAGATCATTTCTCCTGACAAGTGTCTGCTTGTCCATCTCGTTATATTTTTTTTCGAAAAGTCTATCCTTGATCCTCCGCAACAACGACAAATCAATATAATAACTATCTTCCAGAATGTGCAAAGTGATATGAATCTTCAGGCACACTCGTTAATTCCGTGCTAAACCCATTCAAAAATAAAAAAATAAAAAAAAAAGCATGAAAGCACTTCTTTCTCCACAGTCATCGCCTTCTCGGATGCCAAAGTGGACGGTCAGCAATATAGTGGTTGTGGACGTAACGTCTGGGGCACACTTTCTTATAGGTACTTAAATGAGGGAAGTGTGACTTATTAGTTGATCAAGGAAAACCTAAAACCGGGTAAACGGAGTAAAGGACGATACTTTCAATACTTAGATCAAGGTCTCTTTGAATCCGCTTGAGTTGCAAGTAGGCTGCTAAGGTGACCAAACCCGCTTTTAAGAATATTGCTTGTGAATGCCGTTTAGCGATTGCCTTTCCTTGATAAAAATTTTTGTCGTGCTATTAACAAGGAACGAATAACACCTAC